CGGATACCAGAAAGCCCATAAAAAGGAATCCAACCAATGAAGGCAAAGATCGAGATAAGAAAGGGGACATACCGATGATATGGATAATATTTGCTGTCTTGGTCGAGGGAACACCAACTAAGAAATTGTCTGGTTTAATGTCACGATAAATTAGGGACTTGTCGTGGACTGATTGTACGCGACTGATCTGAAGAAGAAGAAATCGGGTTAAATCGATCATGATACTTTATCAGCTAGAAGAGTGGAGACGGTCCGTATCTGGGGGGGGGGGGGGGGGGCTAAGGTGCTTCCACCGCTCTCAACGGGTGTAATATGCAGCGGAAAAAATATACGATGACTTCATACTTACCATCTGCTTTGCTGCCATACAAACAGTCTTGATCGTGAATTTACGGCCGCACATATCGAAGAGGTCTTCTAGATTCGGACCGAGGAGATCAATTACGAGGACATTATGTAGTCCTTCTTGACCGAAGTGGTGCACTTGTGGAACTCCGACTACAAAAAGGATCAGAAGAAGCACAATCAGTTCAACGATGTTTATCATTTACCAGTGCCGTTCAAAGTTCGATATGAACGAAACTCGTCTCGTAACTGGGGTGCATCCGACTTCCTTGGTTCCTACCCATAGCAGTAAATTTTTAGCGGGAGAGTAGCAGGACATAGATAACCAGATTAACTGACGAATTTGATGGCGACAGGTTGATTGGTGAGTAACTTGGTTCCTAGCACGGCAGATACCGAACGTTAGCAAAGGCTCGATCGAATAGAATGCATACAGAAGTCAAGACAAAATAATTATCGGACAAAGAGGTAAACACTATAGGAGCAAGTGCCCAAACGCCGTACGACAGAAATAGATGGTAGAAGCGCAGGCGATGTAGATAAGGATTAGATGAAAAAATCGTGTACACTTTACAAACACACAAGTCGAAAGGGTCGACAGCTTTGTTATCAAACGACGCGGCTGCACTAGATCCCATTAAAAAGAGAACAGGATGACGGCCTGCACCGTAGTGATGTTATAATCGGTTCAAGGGAAATTACGAAAAGGAGAAAAAGCGGCCAATCGTATACAAAACAGCATTGCTAGAACACGAGACTGACCTTCAAAAACAACACCGAAAGAACCTTCACCGATTTTCTTGCCAACACGGAAGTGGTTTCCGACGATACCATTCGATGTGGCACTTTGTGAATGGTGACCAGACGAGGATGCAATAACATGAGGTGTCGTCATATTGAGGCGAGGATATGTTTTATGAAGACGCCAGTCCGATGTTGAGAGGTGAAAGGGAATGGATGGACTGGTGCAAAGACAAAAGCAGGCAGAGGCCCAGGGAAAATAGAGGAGAAAGGGAGCTCCAGCACCGACAGGAACTCGTCAAACAGGCGGACTTTAAATTGCCTTATTTGTGTACACGGCACGCTTTCTTGCGGACATCCCGTGGTTTCTGCGCCCACACGTCTGCGGTCCCTTATACAGCATTGGGCGCCGTACTGGCCTTGCTGCATCCTTGCAAAGGCTTGCATACTTCCATCGTTCACTCACAACCACACTAGTACGCCTGTAAACATGCTGGCTGTCTCCACATTTCACCATCCTTGGTGCTAAAAGTGTGCTAGCTGCTGTGCACTGCGGCACAGCTACAACAGCCCTTGTCTTTTCGCTTCACAACTGGACGTCCACTCCGATTTCTAGAAAGCTTATGCATCACTGAAAGCAGTGTTCTCCTCGTCGTTCGGACGTCAGCCATAGCCATTGGTGATTGCGCACCCTAGCCGAAATGATTTCCTCATCATTGGCTGGTCAGCCCATTCGACCTCAAACACTGCATCTTTCAAACATACAGCATTCAGTGCAGTATCAGGTGATCTCGACTTTTTCGTATCTAGCAGTTTAGCAATACACGTACTATCGTTGGACAATAGGTGCAATTGGTCTGGGGAGAAGTTGAATAACTCACCAGTCGTTGAGCTTGAGACCGTCGGAACTTGACCAGTAGATAGAACTTTTAGTTTTCTAGCTGTTTATGCAAAAGAATCAGCAAGAATTTGAGGCGTTAGGGCAGCGGAACGAAACCGAAACGACGACACACCTTTTGGAATGGTTCTGCAACTTTCGGTCACACTGAGTCACGACGGCACTCACAAACGAAACCAGGCGGAGCTCGTCGGCAAGGACTCGGCCAAAATGAAGAAATTTTCTCTAAGTCCTGAGGCTGCTTGTATGTGCGTCGTTTCGTTTAGGGCATCAGTGGAAATAATACAAGCCAGGAAAATATATAAATTAGCTACTAAACATTCTATTATTACTATGTATGAAAGTATTTGGTATATAATATGACGAATTTTGAGAATTTTGAGATATACTTGAGCTTGATGATGGAAAAGGAGAAAATGGAATACTACCAGGCAGGAATGGAGGGTAACTCATGTGGGGATGTGGTAGATACATATTGGGTTGATACGGCATTAGAATGGACCCAGGGGGGGCATGGTGCTGTGAATTTGGCACCTCGGATGGCGAGCCGGCAGGCATGGACATGTTGCTTCCAGATGGGAGCGAAAAGGATGTGGGGGCTGGATGAGGGGCGGCGACCTAGGATATATTAGAAAGAGGCTTTAACAAAATAATAAAACATCACCTGTCTTCGAGCTCGAGCTCCAAATAAACCCGCAAAGTGGGGATTTGTTTCGAGATCTGGATGGGCTTCGAAATGGTCCTTGATTTGATCAAGGACCTCTTGCTTTTTGCCGTCGATGCTCAGGCTGAGTGCTGCCGCAATGAGCTGGAGGTCAGGCTTGGACTTGCTGCCCAATGCTCCCGCAAAGACCTCGGTGCCATTAAGCCTCGCCATTTGGACCCCTTGCTTCTTATATTATTCAGCTTGTCCTTCAAGTCCGACAACTCACACATCATGAAAGCATTATGGCCCTGCATCGTATCCCGCTCCCACCTCGCCTTTCCCAGCTGGACTGACAGCTTCTGGATCTTCTCAACAAGTGTCAGGCAACGAATACGAAGCTATATAACAAAATACAATGCCTGGTCAAGTCCTTGCTGGAAGGCGGTGAATCAGGGTATGAGTTTTGAAGAGTATTGGTATAGGCACAAATCCAAACTAATATTAAACTAAAGAATAATACATTGAGTATGTACTTCTTTATATAGTGAACGGTGTCATGCACCAAAGTTGATTGGTAGCATGGACAGGTGTCAATAACGAAGTGAATATTCAAAAAGACTCGCCTTTGTGCCACACAGGCACAGTGCCACGTGGAATAGTAATTAATATTGCCCTTTTCGAACTTGTGGCTGATCGGCACCACCTCTATTAGGCAATCCAGTCACGCTCACCTTTGCTTTTCCATCTGGTACTTTCCGCATTTCGGCATTTCGGCAAATTTTCGCGTCGCCACTGGCTACACATTGCATTGCGCCCTCGCTTTTGTCGTTTCCCTTACTCCCCTTCCTTTGCCTAGCCCCACCATGGGCCCCTTCCTCTCCTTTTTATTCTCACCTGACGGTCGTTTTTGGATCCCTATTCTAATCCACTTTTCCGTCACCTCCACCATCCTCCTCCTCATCTTATTTGCACCCCCACCATTTCTGATGTCACCACTTCCTATCCGCTTCCGTCGCTGATCCGTTGACTACCACGTGCCACTGCTGATATCAGCAAAGCCCCGGCGGCCGGTTCAAATAGGGCAACAGGTCCATCTTCGTGACGTCGATCTACCATCATATACTATCAAAACATCGGTCGCTTGTCTTGCCTGGTTGGAGCGTGGGTGGGTAGTTTTTGAGCTGGAGAAGGTTCATCCCCTTGCGTGGCCCATGTTCATCGCTGTCCCATTCACTTGGGTACACTTATCTTTTGTCCATCGTCTTCGCTACAGCTACACCTATCACACGCTGCCTGGGACTCACTTGTTCCAAATTGGAACTACTCCTCTCCCTCCCTCGTTTTATCAGGTGGTCCAACACAACCAGTCCATTGGTAAGGCCATGGAACTGTCAGATTTGGACTAGGTGGTGGACCGGTGGCTCCAGTTTCTTTTTCTTCAGCAGAACATTTGTTTACAGTGCAATTATTTTTGATTTTTGAATCATTTTTATGGACACATATTTTTTAGAATGCCTGACTGACAATAAAGGAACTGTGTTGATACTGATAGTGATTTGCCTTGCCCTTTTTTTACTGCATCTTCCCATGACATCATGATTTTCCTGCTCTCTTTTTGCTATTGGACTTTACTTTATGGCTATACAAACCTGTGACATTACTCACAGCATTCATTGTGCTATCTCTTTCTTTTCCTTTTTTGACAATCTTATCCTGTACTACCTACGCAGGATTTGTCAGCGTACATTCCTTCCTTCATATTCTTTCTCATTCTTTTTGCACAGCTATACTGTGCATAGCCTACTTTTCTTTTACTATATAAACCCCTGTATTTTACCTTGTAAAAAGAACAAGAAATCCAATCCAGACTTCTTCTCTACTCTCAAGTTCACTACTCTGCTACTTGTGATCAAGTGTGGTCACAACACTTCCCACTTCTACCACTGTTAACTGCTGTCATCGTCACTCGTCACTTTTTGAAAGTGATTGTCATCCCTTTCGATTAGAGTCCTTCTGAGCACTACAGTTTGTGCGTCAGGAGCCTGCTATCACTGGGAACCTCATCATCCTTGTTGTTCTCAAACCTAACTTGTGCTACGATTAGCAAGGTAGTGCTTGTCTATACACAAAGCCCCTATCTTTCTATAAATTCAACTATCCCTCCTCCTCAAAACCCACACTCATACACCTTTGGGTTTTTACTTTGAAGGATCTTTATACATACCACCCCACGAACAACCAGAGCACCCACTGTTCTAGGAGGCAAAGCCCATAAACAAGGTCCATGGAATCTGGGAGGATTGTGTGTTAGTTTGTTTTTTTGTGTGTGGTTTTCTAACAACAGTTCTCATCATCGACAACGGCGAGGGTCAGACCGAGAAAGGGAAGAATTAAGAAAGTGGTCTGACCAGCTAGCTAACCAATAAGAAAAAAGGAGAAAGTGGTCCAATCTATTGTATTTACTAATTGTATGAGAAAAAGTATTGGTAAGAGGTGTGTGATTGGCTGTGTCAGTAAGCCCATGAAAAGGCGCTGACTCACAACCTTCTTCGCTTATCAATATCCCTCCAAAGTATTCCCAGACATAGCACTGGATCGTTGCTATGTCATTTGGATATCTTCTCGAGGGTCTACAGCAGGTCTCCTTCGTTGTAAGTACAATAGGACGTGAGTGTGAATAGAGAATAAGAAGAAAAAGGATAAAAGTAATAAGATACCAGCTGTGATCTCCAGTCCAAGAGCAAGAGGAGTGACAGGGATTGAGTCTGTTAACCATGACATGACGGGAATGTGATAAGAAAAATTGATTCCTCACAACAAGGGCCTTCTTCGACATCATCAGCAGCAGCTGAGTCGGCTGCAGGTGGATCGACATCGCGGCGGGGGTGGTTGAGCGCGAGTTTGCAGGAGAGGGCAATGGAGTGGGGATCCAGCTGCTGAGAGACCAGGACTGCGACCGTGTTCGTTGCGACACGGAGGGCTCAGCACTTATGTCCCCTAGGGGTAGAGCACCCTGGCTTACTTGAAGCCAGGCCCTTACACCTCTAGACGGCTGGCCGATGCTGTTGTTGTTGCTGCTGCTGTTGCCGTTGTTGCTGTTGCTGTTGCCGCCGCCATTGTCAAGTTCCACCTCCCCATCTGAAAGACTGGTTTCAGACCCATCAGGATCCCCTGTTCCCTCAGAGCTAGCACCGTCTGAGTCATGCTCAGAACGGTCAATGCGGCCAACAATAGTTGGTTCACATAGTATTGTTCTGTCGTCATCATCGGAAACATAATCGGGGTCATCTGATGATGGGCCATCAATCCAACCATCAGGGAAGTTTTCCGGGTATGAAGCAGGGGCATGGTTGACGGTCGATGTTGAGACGCTTGGCGCATAGTCAGCGGCCGTGAAGACGTTCAGATTGGGGGGGTAGAGGCCACATTTGCGCCAGGCCTGCAGAATTGTGTTAGTGACGGAAGCACTCTTAAGAGCCTCCCAGTACTCTTTCACAACATGTTGCCGAGCGATGGATGTCCCATATTTGGCCGTGTACGGTTCTGCACGCCGATACCAGGCTTTCTGCAGGGGACCAAAAACGCCAACATCAAGAGGCTGTAAGCGGTGAGTAGTGTGCGGAGGGAGGCAGAGAAGATGAATTTGATTCTCGATAGCGAGATCAATCATGGTAGTCATCAGGTGCGATCCATGACCATTGTAGACGAGAAGAGTAGGCTTGCCGGACTTGTTTTGAGCACGAGATTGAGGAATGAATGATTTTCTAAACCACTCTGTGCATAAAAAGTCGTTAGTCCATCCGTTAATTGACGTAGTTAAACTGTAAAATATTAGTAGACAGATACAATGAAAAAATGGAAACGTACAAAATTTCAGGGTGAACTTCATACGACTCCGCATCAATGATTGTCCCTGCAAAAATAAAGCCAGGGAGTATGTTCGCGCCAACAGCGGAGACACACTCTATTACTGTAACCAACTCCAGACTACCCCCATGAATTGTGTAATTTTGATGGTCGAAATGAGAGAAAAAAAAACGGCGGCCATTAGAATTTTGACCGCCTCCAAGTTGAATCCCCTTCTCATCCATATTGTAGATGTTCTCCCAAGGTATGTTGTGTTCCTTAATCACTGCCTCAAACTGCTTGAAAAAGTCCTGGACGACAGGTTGGTTGAAAGCTTGAGCTAGCATGGGATCGATGGTTGATGGCCTTCATGATGCAATTTGTTCCTCATGTTTCTTGATGAAGTGTCGGACCCACTTTTCAGAGGGATACTTGTTGCACATGTCGAAAACATAGGGGGCGATGGTTTGTTTGCAGAGGGGACGACCTGTATTACCTAGAAACTGAATCCATTCCAATAAAACCTCCTCCTGCGCCTGATTTAAGTGCTGCTGTTGGATGTGAGCCTCACGACATGGTACAGCCTTTCCCTTATACCTCCTAAGTGCAGTGTAATGGTGTTTGATGATTCCCAGATCGCGACACGCTGCCTTGAGGTTCCTGGCTGCACCGGTGCTGGTAGCCTCACATGCTGCCTGTATTTGCTTTTCGAGGTCCACTATGTCGCTGGTGGGGGGCTGGGACGTCGAAGTGTGGCAACGGTGCCTTCTGGTTCGTATGGGGGGCATAAGTTAAGAGATTTTAAGGGGGTTAGGAGAGTAAAACCGTCGATATTGATGAGCTCTTTGCGCTTACCAGTGTGATCTTCATCCATCAACAAGTGTGCGATTTGTGCCGGAGCGGAGCTGGCGGGCCTTGATTCATTATCTTGGTGCGTGATTGCCTGTTTTGGTCACCTAGTCACGACTTCATCATTGTTCTCATTTCTCCAGACGCCTCAAGGCCCCAATCAGCTAGTCTCCCCAGTCAGACAAAATTAATGATACGACAGTCGATATCAGTAAATAAGGTCTGATCCGAACTAAGAGTGGCGTGCAGGAGCCCCCCATTCGGTGTCAACAACACGAATGGCTGAAACTTTTTCGCCAAAACCCGAACTCAGCAGAAACTCAACAGAAACTCAGCAACTCAGAACTCAGTGATACTCAGCGAGTCAGCATCTCAACCATTGTATGGATCAGCCTCATGCAAGGCCTCAGCAGCTCGCACAAGATCATCATCAGGCCATAGAAGACTCCTGTTTCCCCCCACCAGTAGGCATTATCAAAAGCTGTGATATGCCTGCTAGTGAATTCACCCAGCTCTGAACCTGGAATGAACAAGGGCCATTTTGTCATTGAGGCATGCGAGCCTCCATAATTCCCTGGATGATGGTGCGGCCTTCAAGGGATAGCCAATCAATTGGAGGCTGTGTGGTTTGATTATTGGAATTGGGAGTGTGAGGCATGTACAGAGCTATTCACTGCAGGCATTGGCTTATTTAAGCCCAGCTTATATCCTGAAAACAATTTTAGCTTTTTCTAGCCAATCAAATCAGAACCCAGAACTCCCATATTTTCAGGATATAAGCTGGGCTTAAATAAGCCAATGCCCGCAGTGATTAGGGGTGTAACATTGTCTGTGATGCACATTGCAATGGTATTAATTTTTCCAAGTCCCTATCCTCTTTCTCATGCCGACTCTGGCCGTTCCAGCCGTCTCAAGCCGACTGTTCAATCACTCGGATCAAGCTTTATTGGTACCGAATGGGGGGCTCCTGCACGCCACCCTTAGTTCGGACAAGACTACCAATCAGCTTGGTAAGTACCTGGCATTGTAGGCGCTTACCTATTGACGCTTCCCAGGACGAAACCGCAATAATCCCAGCACGAGATCTGGTCAAATCTGGGCATCTTTCCCTCAAAATTCACACCTTTGGAGATCAAAAGCTTAGTGTCAGGTCTATCGTTGTCGCTACAGGTAAGCTCTTCATTAAATTCTTTCACAATTATATTCTCTATACTCTATTCTACATCTGACAATTTTCTAGCTACCTGTACAGCGATTGTTGAGCCTGTGGAGGCCCAAGTGCATCTCTCTTACCGGTTGCATCCGGTGTCCAACGATAGTACATGACTCTTGGTAATATTATTGATATCAATACACGAGGAAATAATAATACCTAATAACCTTGTCGCGATCAGCACAATAGAGGGAAACATACTCTTACACAAATACACTCTTGCGCGGTGAAGGAAACCTTTCAACCACTGGTTTGTTCCCTAATGGTCATTTGGTGAGATACTGCAACAAGAGGCCAAACTTCCTCTGACACTCTGTGCAAATACACATACCAGGGGGGTAAGCAGCTAAATCTCGTCAGAACTGAACACGATCTCACCGATCTTCCTCATCTTCGTCCTTTTTCCTGAGAAGAAAACTCTGACTTAAAAATATTTTCTGATGCTGCTCCAGAGGGTCCATCAGTTCACCGTTACAAACGACGAGGACGCCAACCTCGCCAAGATATTTCACATCGAATTGGACGTGAGATGGACCGGATGTACAGAACTTGTGCTTGCCCATGGATAGTAATGCACTCATAATCTCCAGGCGACCCTGTTTGATATTATGGGCTCCTTTTGCTAGTGTAATTGACCCAAATGAATACCAGTAAAATGCAGCAAAATCACCATTAAATCCTTACCTGGTATACGGCTGCCAGAATCTGGAACGAAGGACGTTCTCGTAAGAGGAGAGTGCCCAGGCTGCGACACATGAAATTGGTATGAAAAAAACGCGTTACGTGAATAGGCAGGCGCCAGACTAGAACGGTCGGCATCAAAAGTTTGAATATATCTATCGTAGACTTATCAGCATCGCAAGGTTCACCAGGACAGTCTACACATGTACCGCTTAAGGTAAACAAGGCTAGCAGCTTCAATATCTGTCATACTGGGATCTGGTTCTGTGATTGGCTTCACAGGAGTATGCAACACAGCATTAAAGTCAAAGCCAGTTGTTCCTTGTGTCGTTGGTGCGTTGGGTAATGTTTCTGGTTTCTCCGGAGGCCTTGAGGGTTGCATAGCAGGTGTACTCATTCTCGGCGAAAGTGAAGGTACGCGAGAAACTTGAGGAGAGGCATTGGGGCTAGGGCTTTGAGTGGGTTGATCAATGACACTGGGAGATATGGACCAAGGCACAGAAACTGGAGGGACTTGGGTGGCAAAGCTGAGCTGAGAGGTGTCGTTGCCTCGACCCGGAGTAAATCGATTTTGAACGCCACTTGGAATTGAGGATGGAAATGCAGGAACGAAAGGAACATGAGTAGTGACATTGGGTAGAGGAGTGTCACCGCCTTGACTTTGAGTAAATCGGCCACGATTATCGGCGCCTGTGGCAAGTGGAGACCAGGTTGAAGGTTCATTTTTAATGGAAATCGAGGAAGAATCCTGGTGCCAGTTTGATCGCACTGCGACTTCGCGTGCAGACCTTCGAGGGGCCGGCACGATCATGGGAGGAGGAATAGGATATGGAGGGGAAGTAGTCATTTTCTGGCGCTGGGCTGGTGAGGGATTGGTCGTTCCATTCATAATGAAGCTTGGTCGGGGTGGTGGCGGAAGTGCTCGTACAGGTGCCTTGGGGGCGGGTCGAAGGCGTAGACTAGAAATCTCATTGACGGTGTGTGTCCTCTCAATCGCAGATGCCAAGTCTTTCGGTTCGCTGGCAGGCCGCAGCGTATCAGACCATACCGGAACGTCACTCATCCTATAATGTATTCAGTTCAGTACACACAAACCGATTGAAATTTACACTACCAATCGATGGACAGCCCATCATCCCTTAACACCGAGCACATCTCAACAACACCACCACAATATACAGGAAAAAATGCTGGCGCACCTCAAGTACACCTTACCAGTCTTCACGCCCAAGCTCCTCAAAACGCCCCGTTCCCTCTCTAACCACTCTTTTCTGTGATTCGCCCAATTGGGGGCTGTTTTCTGACAGTTTGACGGAACAGGAAAGCACCATTTTGCACCTGAAGTAACCAGACGCCTAGAAAGACTCGGAGGTGGTGTTGGACTGCGTTCTCGTTTTACCCTGACCATACCTGTCTGATTCGAGTGGGGCAATGTAATAATTTGGGTACCGACATTGCTGCTTCTCGTTGATGTCAAAATTTGGGTGCTTTGATGGTTATGATACGCAGAACTCATCAGCAGCCCTGGTAGAATATCCTTGACGAATGGAACGAGTTTAAGTGGCTCTGTAGTGAAAGTTCAGGTGAAAGGTCGTCGCGTCTATCATGATATACAACCGAAAGCCGGAGACCACTCGAACTTCGCTCTGGCATCTTTTTTTGTCGAGGGCCTTTTTCTCCCACTCTCATGATTGCTTCCAAAGGAAATGCGTAAAACCGGTTTAGAGTCATCTTGTAGGATATTGCTGCTATTCAGATGTTGTGCAAAGTAATACCGTCTGCAGAGTCTAAAGCTACTCAGATGTTTCTGTAATGCGAGTTCAACACAATTTACAGACCGAAGGCTTCTCCTTAAACCAGCAGCTGTCTGACATACATACAAATACATTCATTCAAATTAGCCAATGTCAACTAGGGTATCGCTGAACTTTCTCCAATATCACATTTACAAGGGTATCATCGGTATCATTGTTCTCAGCTTGGAATCAAATATTAGGACACTATCCTCGAACTATCAATATCGATACAGAACAAGAATTAAAAATACATCCAGAGTCACTTGCATTGCACACCAAATTGGGCTTCAGCGCCTACCGACTGCAGCTCTGATCTCAACATCTTGTTCAGCTGGGTCCGTGCCCGTCTCCTCAAAGGCTCTATCCATGTCCTGCTCTTGCTTGTAAGCATTTATTTTTTTGCCACGCGTGCCAGATTTCTTCTTCTCATCCTTTGTAGTGTCCTGCATCAGCTCCTGCACTTCCCCTGGTACAACACATTAGTAACAAGACGACTAATAAGGGTCAAGTCGAACCTTTCGAGACTCTACCCGTCGCCTCGGATCGTGCAGCTTCCTGGTCCTCCTTCCCGGCATTGACATATGACGGTTGGTTACCTGCACCGCGTGCGGCTACGGGGACGTCTTCGGGATCATCATTGGGGTTGTAAGCAGCGCTATCGGCCACGTAATCACCCTTGGGGTTATAGGTGAGGTCGTCGACATTCTGGTCGATGTCAATGTTTCTAGCGGACATGGCTTTAGCTGATGGTTACTGTGGTGGTTGTGAGTGTGTAAAGGTGACGGGTGCCAATAGCTTGATGATATGATTTCTCCTGAATTTATAGCGCCTGCATATATGCGTCATGTCGACATATTTTCGACGTCAGTGCTCGATACAGTAAATATTCGATACAACGTCATAGACGATTAGTATTGACAAATTAGGGGCCGCCTCTGCTTACTAAACAATGTATGCAGGACTCTACAGTAAGTCAATAATCGATGATACTATTAAACCCCTAATGTTCACACTATGCTATAGCCTGTACATGTTGGAATCGACCAGTGCACACGAGTATCGGAAGGTTTTGTCGTTTCAAATACTTATTACATACAGGCTCTGATCCGCAAAATACAAAACTTAGTGCTCATGCCCCTCCGTTATTTATGGTATAGCTGGAGCCAGGGGCGTATGTCATCGAATCAGCCCTATGTTGGGTAGAGTTGTCCCTCGCCCGTCGGCTTTTCTCAAGAAAAAGAAAGGAAATCACAACCAAATCGCAAATCTCCATCGCGCGAGAATCCAGGACAAGAGTAGCAGGTTGAACCTCTTGTGCGGGGGAATTAAGATCCTTTCCCCTAGATCGACGTGACTTTATGAACCGAGCCACAGGCTGCTTATTGTCTCCCTCGGTGAATAACTGTTTAGAGACGTCACGTAACAATAGAAGAACGACGAATAGTTTCGAACCTGTAATGCTAAACCTGGTGAATTTCCCTTCCACTTCATTTGCTTTCCGCGACTATCTTTCCACGAGACAGAACTAAGTTATCTTATTATCACTATCCGAAATGATAACGAGATAAAGCACTCACTCGCTGAAAGGTATGATGCTCTTCTTCAACCAGGCACTGGACGGAAACTCTTCTGTATTTCCCAACTTGATGATGTCAGAAGTAACATCCCTCCACTTGGATGATGCGATCTGGTCGCCATCGCCATTCCTCACATATGTGATTGTATCTTTCTTCGTGTGCTCGGTGTATACCGTGTAAACTCGTTCACCCGTTTCCTGGTCTCTGATAACCGTATTGCATGGGTTATCAGGTTCAAGCACAAATGTAGTAGACCCAGACATCGTAAGATGCGATTTGGTGAGCCTTGATGTTATGGGGGAATGTTATTGTCAATCTGAAACCACGAGTGCTCTTTTAAGTATAGATATGTTCCTGATGTTAATGCTGCGCACTGTCTTAGAACGTTCACATGGAACGCTGGGAGACGTCGCTGTTAGGAGGTCCCAGTCAACGTCCAAAAAGCCCGCGCGTCAATGCCATCATTCTGTTGGAATTTCATGACAGCCATGTCCAAGCAAGGCACGAGTGGTCAATATCAGTCTCGGGTCGGACTCGGAACTGAAACATGCTCGCGGAGACCCAAAAATAGTTGAGGGTTCAAATCCCACTTTCAAGTCATAATGCTGTAGCCCTAGGCTGATCTAGAGTCTTGACACGAGGATGACTGTAGGATATGTTATTTATCATCAGCAGAAGTTTGAAAATGTAGGGAATAACACTGACTTCATTGGTCAACTTCATGCACAGATATCCCTATCAAACACATGGTTTGCGCATGGATCCGGTTGCACCAATATGAACGAGTACCCGTAATCACAACTGCGCCTAACTGCATGGCCTGCACGCCTGCACGAGCATAGGGTGCGCTCAATTCGAGGTCAGCTCCTATTTGTACGACTTTCTCCTTCCGCGCTATCCATCCGACATCCATTGTCTGATTTTTATATTATACTTACTTGTCTTCTACACCAATCTTTTCGCGATGCCTTATATCAGAGCCCACTACCACCCCTTTCTTTTTGCCTTCATCACCGTGTGCGCCATGGCCGAACTCGGTTTAACCGCTTTCTTGATCAGCGACGGTAACGAAAACCACAGCTGGCCCGATGCACGCTATCACTCTCTGTATGTCAACATTTCAGCCAAGCTAGACTTGTTGCTGACGCCTTTTCTTCCAGTATGATTCTTTTCGAGTTCAATGCCGTCTGGACTACGGTGTTTGGAACTGCTTACATGCTGTGGATAGTCGACGGCGCCGTACACGTCCTCGCCAGCATCGCAAGCTCTATCATATGGCTGGTCATAACTTCCGCTCTTTGGGTGCGTATCCTCCATTACGTTATAGCACTACTTTAGCTGAGCCTCAGCGTAGGGTGCTGCTGCAGGAATGCTGCACCAAATGCGACTCGGAGGTAGTTGTACAGACTTATCTGGGTACTTCGACGAGAGTCTCTCATGTGACCCACCCCAGGAGCTAAGTAGTCTCTCCAAGTGCAGAGAAACACTGACTGTTGAGGCTCTGGGTTGGGTGGAGTTTGGATTTTGTCTTCTCGCTCTCCTAGCAACCTGCTTGTGGCTTCGGACGAGCAAGAGGAATTATGTGAGTGGTCCTCGTAGGCAATTTGAGAGAAAGACCATGGCGGGTTAATAAAGAATTGGGTTATAACAATAGCATTCGAGCTTTTATGTCTAGTCGGGAACCCAGGAGGCATGACAATCAATAACTTATCTCGACAACTATTATAACTTAGCCCCATACTGTTCACCTGGATTTTCGAGGAGGATATGTGAACGTGTTGTAGGTGTAGTACCACCCTGCTTTTGCGCACCATTATATTCAGATATTGCGCACAAGCCATGTACTCTACAGCGTCAAATCATCGAGGATCTATTGGGTTCCAACGCATATTAATTACAGTAAGATGGTGCAAGAAAAAAGTCTATAATGGGCGCTCGAGAATATTAGCAATGGATTTGAATGGTGAGTATCTATATCGAGCGCTACACCACCCCCAACACAGAGTCATTTTCCGCTATATTGTCTACCTGCGTCAGTTCCTCAGAGAGTGTGCTAGTGATTCCTTGGTTGAGTGGTGCTTGGTTGTGTTCTTCAGATATCGTACTCGTGGTCGTTCCTCCCTCATGCTGTTTTTGTCGCATGTGTTGCATATCGGCGACGATGCTCAAAGCTTCTTGAGCAAAACGAGAGTGCTGTCTCAGACTAGCACCATATCGGATGAATATTAAAGGTATAGGGAGAAGACCGAGCGAGAGGAAGCCAAATATCGACACTGCACCACCCTTTTTCAGCTCAGATATCCAAGAGACAAAGCAACTATGCATACCTCCCCATTTAGTCCCCAAGTTATCTAGCAGATAGTGGGCCAGCACTGGCAACACAGAAGCTATTAATGACCGTACGAATACATTACACGACGATGCGCTGGATGCATATATTGTGTAAGTCTGTGATGAACTGTAAACAAAACAATAAGCAGGGAAATCGGGATGAGAATAGTAACACCGCTCACTATGCATTGAAGCATGAGAATATGAGATACATCGAATAACCAAATGGAATTCCTGATAAGGTGGGTGCTATCCAGTGTGTCTCCGGCCCGCTAGTCCTAAAATGCCATCCATTTAAAGTTCCCAATAGCCTCATATACGACGCGAACATACCAGGCAAACCAAAACAGAGATATAGGCATCAAAAAGCTAATCGTTCAAAGTTACTATCAGTATGCATAATACAACCATCAGCAAACGATTCACCAAGCAGAAACCACTACCTTAAGGCGGCCTTCTGGAGTGGCAAGGCTAGAACCCTTTGTAGTGACTCCGGGTATCGTTATCGAGTTAGAGAAGCGAAGGATGGGCTCAAAGAACACCATGACGAAGACCATGCCTACAGGAATTGCAAGAAAGGGGAGACCTCCCAAGATGAAAGGGAAATTATGCTTTTGGGGAGTAAGATCCATGGAATGGAACTAAAGTTAGAAATCACGAACCTGCTTTACGAACACCACAGGATAGGCCTCGAAGAAGAAGCTGAAATAACCAATCGGAGATCAACATGTGATCAGTTTTCGAGACTTATATATGCGCACTATATTATTCCATATGCGAGGGATATCCATAATGCTGCTCCTTGGATAATTGGTTCACATGTGATCATAACTTGTGACGTGTATTTAGATATTACCCCCACGGCCAGTACAAGCCACCCACCTGATGGTCTGATAATATGCCTCTGAATCAATTCCATTTTGGATAACTTTCGTACTTCATGAGCGGCATATGCATTTCGTCCTTCGGCACGGAGTCGTTTGGCTTTTCGTGCCAGGAGGGTTGGCCCGTGAGTCTCAGGTAGCATGTACGCTAGGGGCAAGACGGCGATGCTGAAGAAGAAATGTACTCTCACGACCCATAGGCTGCTCAGGTGATGTGTTAGTTAAGCAATGTTGAATAGGATCTGGTGCATACTGACGCCGAGCCCGTGGATTTCGCTGCTACGAAGAAACCAACCAGGGTGCCAAACACAGGTCCTGAAAGAGGGCAGAAGCTACTGCAAAAGCCCATTGAAATCAGTCAGCCTTATGGTCGCATGTACCGGATGATACGAACGTACTAATATAGTAACGCTATGAAAAGCCAGGTGATATCAACAGGTTGCAGTTCTTAGGGAGTCAGAGCTAACCTTTTCCTAACTTCTTCATATCATTGTTGAACATGCTGTGCGTTTATCAGCGCGATAGTGGGAAATTAGAGCGCTTTCGATTTACTCAGCGGAAAGACCCGTCCCACTTCGGTGAAGTTCATAATTATTATTTCGATATCTTTGAGCCGAATAGAATAACGTACTTGTTCAATGGGCATGCGGCAGCACAGCCAGTAAAGAATCGAACTAAATAGGCGCTCCGAACACTGAGAAGGCGATAAATGCAACGACCAGAAAAACGACTCACAGACCAAGATAACGGGAAGATTAGGTGCAAAAGCTGATGGAACGATTGTTACTGGAGCGCAGCAGTATGAGAATAGGGTGGTTTCGCATGAAGAGAATATGTAGCGCACTTATCATTATTGGCCATGAGATTCTATATGCAAGCTGGCGACCATATAATTCACTCATGGGGCCTTGACAGCCGTTAAGACAGATTTAGCAGTATAAATGAACGAAACCTACCCCCTAATAATACTGCTTATCAGCGCAGCTCCTGAGTAAGGTGCATTACACTCACACAACAAAGGTCCGATGGCAAATCCAAGCACATACCACGTCAACCCTGTGCTCGCGATAACTTCACTGACACCATATACCTTTTCAACTTGAGTCTCTCCTGGGGCCTACATAACCATTGTCAGTTTATTTTATGCTGGTGTTAGAAACTTGAATTTACATATGATGATGAACCAAAAACCCTATAATCATTTCTGTTAGCCACCATTGAAGGGAAAACATCCTCAAACGTACGCGCAAAACGACATAACACAAAGCATTGCGACTATCCCCACCTTCCTCCTCTGCGGCCAATTTCTAGGATCTTCTGGGTCATTTGGTCCAAAAGTGACGATTTCGATGTCTGCTTCGTGTGCCATGGTCTTTACGTTTCGCAGGTCACCGTCGTGTAGTCGCAAGGACTTGAGTGAGATGGCGCTGGATGCTATTATAAGAGATGGCTAAGTTTACTGATGGAGTAATAAGCTTCTTTGAGTTCGCAATACCTCGGGGATAGACTAAGCTGCCCGACAGAGACAAAAATACAACTAACCAGTGTGAGCGCAAAACTACCTTCCGCGAATCGGGTTTGAATTTTTGTCGTGTTTACTGATGCTTGGGAAGACTTTGCGAGAATACGTACAGCTAGCAAAAACCCAGCATCGGAGCCAAACCAAAGCTGGTCCAACTTCATTCATAGTAGACCTTCTGGCAACGCAATGGAGTCCACGCGCATACAGCCATTCCGGCTATCACTTTGCCGAATTCCGAAGGTCGAGGAGACCGGTGATCATCAAGTTTACCGGCTGTATAAGTAGGAAAACCTACGCCTGACAAGGCATGGAAGCTCCACTGTAAGGCTGGAGAGTAATTACTACTGTGATAATTCAGCAGATTACAACTAGAAGTCATGTCGGGATCGACTTAGTGCCCAAAATATCATTTAATATGATCTCAACACTGCATAATTTGACAGTTTCCGTGATGTAGTAGCAGCACAAACACGATATATTAACAGAACACTAGACACTATGACACCCTTAGTATAGAAAAAGTGAACACTCGGCTGTGCTTTCGCCCGTTGTTGTGTGGATAAGAGAGTTAGCTCACTGACCAAATTACAGTCATGAGTCCCTCAAAGTGACAATGGACAGTAAAAACGATCGAGTTTAATATCCAAAATGTTTATACACGTGCATTATAGGAGATAAAGGGCTCACCATATCATAAGGGCAATTTGACATGAACAAAACCATCGCGCTTCCTGTACTTTCAATGGCGTCGCAACCTACGTACCTGGTTAAGCTACATTTTCGATACTGCTCTATTGCCAGCGTAGCAGTGTTGTTGCGGAGAAAGGGAGATACTCACTTCCAAGTAAGATATGGCAGTGGCATTCACACATCAAGGATGGTGACATGGATTCAGACCATTTGATACACAGGCAAAGGCATGGTGCATGATAAATGACCATGAACGTAATTAAGTCGAGCTCAACCTGTGTGTGGTCACTGCGTGGTTTAAGCGCAAAATCAGAGAAACCTCACATCGTTTATACGGCTACGAAAAGCTTACGGAAAGTTGCCACAGGAGGGTACTGGACCGGCAGCCCTATTCGCGGATATCAAAAATGCAGCTGACTTGATTTTTTGATGCGGCGAACGGCCAAGAGTATGCTCCGGGCATAATTCAATCGTCTGTGTTTGGCAAGCTCAGACGGCGAGCCAGATAAGTCTTATTTTTGGACTTCAAATGTGGTGTGGTATAGCTCGAGAAAGCAAAGGAACCTCATCGTGGTGGGTCCAAGTTGTCCAACGATGTCCAGCGTTCATCCACGTTCATCGTCGCTCTTTCGCAGGCTGGGGTCATCGCAGATCCGACATCAAAATGAACACCAAAGGCACAGGCTTTTCACAGTAGACCGTCGCACGTGCGCCACCATACCCAATCGGAGGTACGTGTTGCGTTGGGGACCCCTGGAGATGATGATAGCCCTCATAGCAGACGGTGCCCTGAACGCTCCTTGGAGACCCCGAACACGTCAATATTGGCCAAGGTCTCGCATGGCTCCGCCATCAAATAGTGGAAAATGCATGCGATAAGTACTACCTTCGATCGCTCGACACCGTCACCGACCTTTTCCTTTCCCCTTCCCTTTCCTTCAAATAATGGCCGGAAGATCCACTTTATCCCGCGTTTCCCTTATCTTCGCGTGAGTCTTGTGCCCTCCAGGCGGTATTTCTCGCTCATTCAGCCAAAATAGCTGTGGAACGGCGCTGTTCTCTGATGGTACATTCACTACTCGTACTTGTCCTCCAAACTGCTGACATACTCCAACAGGATATGCTAATAACATCATTGGAAGTGGTACGTCACAAACTCTACGCGCCCAGTCTTCCTATTTGCTAACTTCTACAACTCAGTGAACACGCGTTAGTCGAACTCATATATGCAATCTCGTCTTAATTAACGATACCATGCAGTTCTGGGACGCATCTATGGCACTGCTGCGCTAACCTCCAAAAATTACAGCAACACTCTAAGCAGTGTCGCTTTTGCTGGCACTGTAGTTGGTATGCTCGCCTTTGGGTACATTTCAGATAAACTCGGTCGTAAATTTGGAATGGTGAGATGCATTTGCATTCGTCTGGATATCGCTTCCAAAATCATTGACATACAGCGTGTTTAGATGAGCGCCACAGCTATCGTAGCATTATTCTCTGGTCTATCTGCAGCCTCGTCAGGGGCTAATCACAGCTTCGGTGGCATGATTGCGATGCTTTGCGCGTGCCGGTAAGGGATCGCTTGTTTTAGCCTATTTTCCATACTGAATACCTGTAGCTTTCTACTTGGTATCGGGATCGGTGCGGAATACCCTTGTGGATCCGTCTCCGCATCAGAACAGTCTGAAGAAGAGGGAATATCCAAAAATGCTCAGCATAGATGGCTTGTTTTGGCTACTAGTAGGTGGACCGTTACTTGGCTATATGCTGTACTAATTATCGCAATCATCTCATAATAGACTCTATGATTGATTTCGGTTTCGTTGTAGGCGCATTCGTCCCTCTAGTTCTTTACTGGATGTGAGTGGTGGCCTTTTCCACCCAATCCACTCTAACGCGGTTTTTAGATTTGGTGACAACCATCTCCGTGCAGTATGGCGCTTGTCTCTTGGGTTGGGTGTCGTTCCTGCGGTTCTTGTATTTTTTTGGCGTCTCCGGATGGAAGAACCTACTAGGTTTAAGAAAGACTCTATGAAGAATACTCGCATTCCGTACCTTCTGGCCTTTAAACGCTATTGGAAGGGCTTCCTGGGTATCGCCCTTTCTTGGTATGCTCGTGTTGATCGTATACCGGACCAGATTTCTCATCGTGCTTGCCTCCTCATTTATTATCTCTTAGGTTCATCTATGATTTCATCACGTAAGTCTCTAATGATTCAATGTTACTATATGCTGACAAGCTGTGGTTTTTAGCTATCCGGTAAGATATGGATTGATTTTGTCTATTGCACACGATGGTTTATACTATACAGTTCGGTATCTACTCTTCAACAATCGTAGACAGGTAAGATTACTTCTTATGTCATTGATTCTACTACTGCTCACATACAACTTGTAGCATCACTGGAAACAGCACTTCGTTAACTGTAGTTTTTGGTTGGAGTGTTGTCATCAAGTGCGTAGCACTCTTATCTAAATTAAACCAATGATATTGACTTTTCTATAGCTTATTCTATATTCCTGGTTAGCATTTCAGATATCATTCCAGTTCTTCTTTACCTATTTTCGTCATCAAGGAACCATTTGCGGAGCTTTCGTCATTGACTTCCTTGGTCCAAAGGCTACCATGGTAAGCTTTTTGCCTTCACGCTGTGTTTTGTTTCCGGCGTAGACCTTATTTTTAAAGATTACTGGCCTCCTTGCGCAAGCTGTCATTGGGTTTATCATGAGTGGCTTGTATGATAAGTTGACGCAACACGTCGGTGCCTTTGCTGTATGCTATCCATCTGTTCCTCATAACTTTCCTATCTGACTCCGCATTAGGTAGTATATGGTATCTTTTTGAGTTTCGGAGAGTTTGGTAATGATTTTCAATGTCTGCGGGCTAAACGTTCTACTCATGTTGACCGACCGTCCTTCGCAGGTCCGGGTAACTGCCTCGGTGTACTGGCTGCCAAGACTGGTCCTACTGCTATTCGAGGCCAATATTATGGTATAGCTGCCGCGACTGGAAAAATTGGAGCATTTATCGGGACTTGGGGTTAGTAATATTATTCCTCGTTCTTTTGACATCTTTCTTATCGTCTTCGATTTATCAGTGTTCCCTATCATCATCAATGGTAAGCACAGGTGGTTCCTCAGCATCTACGACAGCATTTAATGTTAGGGACGTAGACTTTGGTGGCTCCACTTCCCAGAAAGGAAACACTGGCCCGTTCTGGATTGCTAGCGGTAAGTCCTCGTCATGCAGAAAAACTTATTTACTCTAACTGATTGCGGCTTTGAGGTCTTGCAATCTTGAGCGCATTGGTCACCTTTTTCCTCGTCAAACCTTTGTCTCACGACGGTATGATAGAAGAAGATGAGAAGGTAAGTTCACCAGCCTTACCTATCACAGAATATATTCTCATCGAACTGACACTCCCTTTCAGTTCCGTGAGTATCTCGAGGCACACGGCTTCGATACTTCAACTATGGGTTTGCACGAAACTGAGACCACGTCAACGGCGAGCATTGAAAAGTATGACGATACTGAGGAGAAGGTGGTTGCTGCGGCTTAGAAAGCTTGAACGATTGCTTTGATGTATAATGAACAATCTGCTTTCTTGGAGTTGTGGCACCTTTGCCCCGGTGCTACTGTACGTTCTCGTTTGTTTGTTTGTGCGAGGTAGCTTGTTGTCTTATTACTTCTGATACCTTAATACAATATACACTACACTCATTGATTGCTATATGTACTCCCATGCAATCGAATCTATGACATTGACTGCTCCCTTAGTCAAACACCAGTTCATTAATTACGAAGCTGGCCTCAAAAGGAAAAGACGCTTGAATAACTATAGTCTCCTGGGGTTCTTGTGGACGGAAGTAGGCAAGGAGTCGGGATAGAATATCCTGAGGAACAGGGACTAAAGTCTATGATTGACAGTGAATAATACATAGAGTATTTGGTTACACAAAGTACTGGAGAAACCCAGAAGATTTAAATGGCACCATGCGATCAATGCTGCATTGCCTCGCCACTTCCCCCGCTCGATTTTGTGAGCTCATTTCTGTGTCATGATCAGCGAGGGATCAAAGGATACTCCAGATGAAGACTGAAATATGGCGCTTACCTTAGCTGTACGCTGAATTCCTCCTCGATGTCGTCGTCGTCCCAGTTGTCCTCCCAAAGCTTATCTCCTCCCGACTTGGCAGCTCCCGGAGCAGTGCCATTTAGGTGAACCAGATCAGTTTGAGAATCATCCCAGTCTATGTAATGGAACATGAGGATCGAAGTTTTTCATAGTTGTTGCTGAGATGAATATCGCACCTGCAGTAGCGAATTCCTCAAACTCGTCATCCTCCTCGAGACTGCCAAGATGAGGCTGCGTATTCTCCTCTTTCGTCTGCTCTTCAGGCTTTTTGGTCTCCTCTGGCACTTTGGAGGTAGATGCTGAAGAGGACATTGTTTCGTGGGTGGTTAGGTGATACTATCGTGACCTTTGCAGTTCACTGACGCGTCGGTGGCGCCAAAAAGAACGTGAGAAACAATATCCTCTTTGGACACAGTGAAGACTTAGGGGTCGACCACACAGAGTGAAAAAATACTGAAATCAGTCCGTCTACAGAGAAAGAGAAGATTATTGTTATTGTACATGTACAGTATATTCAAAACAGTAGGCTGTGGTATATAAAATAATAATAGAGTGTACACTGGTCCGCAAATATCATCCTCTAGAGGCATGCCGAAGACCATACTGAACTGTCCGTACCAGTGCAGAAGGTAGTTCGTCAGGTTCCTCATCTTCAGATTCACTATCAGAAAGAACACTTTCAGTATAGCGAGCGTTCTCGCTTTCATCTGAAGGAGGATAATGAGGCCGTTGCTCCTGCGCACTCGGTCTAGCTGATTTGATCTTCGTGTTCCGCTGGGACCGGATGGACTGTGGGGGAGTGAACGGTGAATTCGTCTTCCCTCTCTTCAAACTTTGAGGTACGGTTGTCGTAATGTACACTTCAGGTACAGGAAGAGTCTTGACCGAAAATAGCTTTGGGCGTGCAGGAATTCGTAGCATGATCTTGGAGTTCTCTGATTGAGCCTGCCTAGCTACTGTCGAATTCTTCTTAACAGGAGTCTTATTGCCCCGACCTGCGCTGACCGGTGTACGAGCCCGTCCCTTGGCTGTAGGCGTAAATGCACCTTTTCGTTTAGTCGGGCCTTTTTCTGACGCGGCCGCGCTGATCTTCCGCTTCTTCCCACTTTTCGGTGTGCTCGTAGCGTCCTCGACCCCTCTCTCTATAGCCAAAGCTGCATTTTCCTCTCTCTTCCTCTTCCTCTCGATCGCCGCTTCTTTCGCCGCAGCCTCTTTCTCGATCTCATCATCCAGTATGCTCGCAAAATCCTGTGCGTCTCCTTGCACCCAAGCATCAAACACTCCTTCCCACTCCCTCGTCGGAACCGGGAAATCTAGGTTGAGATAAATCGATTTGATGGGCCGCTCTTCGGTCGTCAAGGATTCTGGAGATCGACGTGGAGAAGGTATGGGTGTCGTAGGTTCCATAGAGACTTGAGCGCAAGCATCCTTCGCCGCCGCCGTCCCCCTCGCCTTCACCGCCTTTGCAAACTCACGAACAATCCGTTTCGTACCAGGTACCCTCAAACTCGTACCCACCACCAACAATACATCCGCGCCACTTCTACCTTTCCCCTTTGCGCCACCCACAAGGTCTCTCCTCACCACTTCTCCTACATCCTCTCCATCCTTATGCATCTCGTTGTAAAGCACTACGCTGGGACGCAATTTTCCCACACCTCGAGGGCGTTTACCGACGAGCTGACGCGTTTCTTCCATCCGTGTACATTCGGGGCAATAGGGCGGCGCACCCGATATGAGTGATGGGAGATACTGTTCCAATGGGAATGAATGGGTGCATGTTTGACAATGCAGGGTTTGAAGCGTGCCATGTAATGGAATACATCGAGGTGTTTCTGTAGAAGAGGACGAGCAACTGGACTGCGACGACTGGTTCGCGTGAGGCGACATTGTACTCGAGGATGCGATTAAGTCCTCGGGAGAAGGACCTGGTTTTGATTTAGAACGGGGCTTATAGCGCTTGTCCTCAAATTCGGGAACGCCAAATGTGAGACCGGATTTCGACTCAATGGCATCAATGTTCTGAGTGTATACCCTAAGGAGTCCGCCACGATCATCGAGGGTGCGAAGAAGGCGGTGGAACGAAGTGGGCGTAGCAGATTGAGATAGCTCTGATAATTGTGCTATCATTTGACAGAATAGCGAGGTAGTGTTTTCGGACTGAAAGTATTGTCAACACCGACTTTACGAAGCTGTGCATCAAAAATAGATAACCATAGCCCGCGTTCATGATTTGACGAGAAATATTTAATCATGCCACGAGCGAATCGAATACACCGAGAGGAACACCAACAAACAGCAGAGAGTAACCAAAACGCTTACATTGAATACCGATGCATCGAATAGATCTTTTCCAGAAGTAAGGGATTCCTTTGGGTTATCACGTTTTAAAGTCTGGAAAAGGCCATCGGGTGATCTAAAGTCAGGAATTCCAGCTTTCACAGAAATACCAGCACCTGAAAGAAATGAAGACATGTGTAAGTCCAACGCCCCGTCAAATGCAGATTTCTGATGCCGACGACGTACCACACACTACTACCAAACGCTTTGCTTTCATGATGGCCTTCACAACCCTCCGCACCTGTGTAGATGGGTCTGCAGAGTGCACCAAAAACGGCGGGGAAGTTGGGGGGGAAGAATCAGCCTCCAGAGGCATAAAAACCGTCATTTTTGGTTTTTGATTGAAGACAGGAGACCTATGAGGATGTGGTTCAAGTTCGAAAGCCAAGGGGTGAGGCCAAAACCACATAGGAACCGCCGGCTGAGCGGTGGCGCGGGAAACTGCAGGTAACGTAATCCATTTATCTCATCACCCCGTTTCCGCGCCCGGTTCCGTGCCTTGGTGCAGTGGGGGAGCTCGAGCTTCTTGATTTCAAGAATAATTGCTTTGGTGTTCATGCTTTCTTACTAGTTATGTACATTTTCTTATATCTAAATAGTGTATCCCTCTCAAGATCAAGAAAAACAAAATATAGAACAAGCAGCAACATTGTTTAGCAGCGTCGCTCACCTATTTACGCAGTCCAAAATGCTGTTACAGTTCCCCAAATCATCATAATAACCGCAATTGTCAACATCGCGGCATCAAAAAAAGCACACCGACCAGCCAGAGCGACCTTGGCAGCAAATGGTCCTATTACACACAGCACAAATGCAGTGAATGAGCCGAGGAAGGCCATGCTCGAACTGAATTCCGGGATCACGATGGAAACCAGTACTGATCAAGATGCACAGACGATACGTACCACAACCGTCAAAACACGGTTCAGCAAGCATCGACTTGCAGAAAGCTCTGTATGCGCAACGCTTGTATGCTGGCTGAGGTCTTCTTTGGTTATGGTGGTAGACCTAGCATCTAAACCAAGCCAGACTTCAATCGTCATGTTGAGCTAAAACATGACGAGCACCATGACCAAAAGACCCAAATCAACTATATTGTAGCTTACCGGTCTACTTGAAAGTGCAAACTTGGACCTAAAGCCAAAGGTAAGCTCGTGATAGATACATATTGATATGTCCACTCACAACGGTGCGATAAGAAGCATCCACATGGCAACCTTGTTCAATAAAGGACTGTATCCAGGCGTCGCTAGAAGGTCTCTGCTGATCTGCGTGATGCTTAATACAAGGACAAGGACTTGGTCAACTGTATTCCTTACCTCATCGTGGACAAATACACCGAACATCAGGTAACCAGCGTAACCAATGACAGTGTATAGAAAAGTGGCGATAACCTAAGAGAATGAGTCTTACTATCTTCGTTAGGAGATGGTAGAACACCACTCACAAATGCCCAGTTAATCATATGGTCGAACTGTGAGGGATCAGTCATGTCACGAGCCAAGGAGGGTATTACTGCATGCCCAGAGAACTAGAAAAGTGATAATCATTCATTGCAAGAAATTTGATAGTGAGAGGCACAAAACACTAACACCAGCCACAAGCAAACCAGGCTCCATAAACTGCCTGGACTGTCCGGCTTTGTGAATCCATCGAAAAAAATGACAATAATGATCAGCAGAGTAGATACCAAGTCCAACATGGATGTATAGGATAGGAATGATAACGGGAAAAACAAGGTGGGTACGATGCTAGAGGAGAGTTGGATCAGAATTTACAACATACATATAAATGAGGGATTCTTACATGACAAGAGACATTATCTTGTACGTGTTTACAGAGTGTTGTTGCAAGATGGAATATAGCAAATCAGCCGACAGCGTGATAAGCACAACACTAAATCCAATATCAGAAGAGCACGTGATAAAAGAACAAATAGTATACCTCATACAAAAAGGTTCAAGGCAAAACATGACGCTAGTCAGAAGCGTAGAACGGGGTCCAAATGCTTTCCGCCCTATATCTGCATACGACCGCAAGCGAGGATCTGCAATGATGATGCAAGCGAGATGAGCATTGTACCACCTATCCAGCCAGCGTAAGCAAATGCCAGTGGTTCAGATAGCATACCAACCCCGAGTAGAATGGCAATAGCGTTGAACAACTACGGATAATTAATTCACACTCGCTAATGTCAGGTATAGGTGTACTCACTGTTTGGCCATAAGGGCTTCTACCGCCATAATCATATGGTAGATTTTTGTTGGAAGCGACGGAGGGAGGCCGGCGTAAAGATGATTCGAGTTCACGATTCGGACACAGGACAGTGGACGAGCTTGTTCCAAAGCCTATCTCCTCGTGAACTGAAGGCATCACAGGTGATGCAAATGACATCCTCTGTTCAAGCAATGGCGTAACCTCATCCGCTGTTGCATCAAAAGTGGCAGATCGTTGGGAACTCGTACAACTGAGAGTACAGCGAGGATCATTTCGGCGTTGGGATCCAGGTGTAAAATCAAGTGCAGGCCAATCGAAGGCTCTTCGTGTATCTTCTCGTTCATGAGATGTGGTACAATTGTTGTCAGCTGTCGTTTCGTTGTCAAGCACTATGTGAGCCTCTTCATCACCATGATCATGGCCGCCGCTTGAATCTGAGTTGGAGGGTATATTAGACGTCGCAAAACACTGCGAACGGCGCCCTGTAATCCACGAGATAAATAACATCAGTGGTAGAAGGATATATTACTGACAAGTTGAGAATGCGTCCTTCATGCTTGCAGTATTAGAGGCAGTACCATACACATATCCCGAGTGATCTGATACAGATGTCATGTTGATGTATGGATCTTGTAAATGAGTTTAGCCAAAATTTCAAAAAATGGCGGCGCGATGGTGCAAAAAGCCACTAGTACAAGTCGGACTGAGGTGAGAGTGTATGTGGGTCGGTTCCAACCAGGATGGCGGTAACACGTATGTATTTATGGTGTCTTCGTGAGGGTCCGAGGAATCTCAGCGGGACAGAACCAGTCCGTTAACATTCTACGCGAAGAATGAAGGATATGGCAGAGAAGTTATGCCCGGTGATGGATTGATGATGGAGAGGTGTTATACTGTCAGATCAACGATATTGTCAGTTCTTCCATATTTCCACATATGCAAAAGAATGGGAAGCAAAAACCCATATGTAGCTCAGGCGCCAGCGAGAACCAGAGAAAAGATTGACATTGACAACAAATGTGGATCAGGGAATACACAATATGGCCTGGCGCAACGATGGACAGATGGCGCACAAATGATTGTCGAAGACAACACACAGCGAATACAGTCTAATATGGAAGCCTGTCAGTCGGTGACTCCAATTAAACTGTCAACGATATACCACCCCCACTGGCAGACTGTGCCACTTTACCGTGACTTGGTCTCCGAATAAGGTATTCTTCTGCTAACCTGTAGGACACAAGCAGCAACTGCTCACAGCTTAATTCTCCGCTGTAGCATTTGCATGACGCATATTCGAGTCCTATCAGAGTGTAACGGACGGTTTACGAGACTAGGACAAGGTGCCAGTGAGTGAAATAAAGGTTTTCCAATTGGTTCGATGGATCGGCGACTTACACAATACTTGGCGATGACTACAAGCCAAGGTTGAACACTGGTTGAACATCAACCTGCAAGACGTTAATATTGCCAGTGCAACGTAATGTGATCGAAGGCTGTCCTGCAACCTGCTCCAAGCCGTCGGCAAAAGTCGAAACGTGCGGCGAGCCCATGTATGTACCTTCAGTTGACCATCAACATGCCTAGAGGTTTAACCTCGACCTGTAACCTGTTCTAGACCGTCATCGGTCGAAGTCGAAACGTACGGCAAACACCCCTTCAGTGAGTTGGCCCCCAACCCTGCTGGGTGACCACACCGGTTGACCATCAACGTGCCCAACGGGTTTCACCTCAATCTGGGAAGACATTAGGTGATGCTCCATATGTCGGATGCGCTGAAACCGAAGCTGGACTTCCTGTATGGTACGACTGCCATACAAAAACGCAAGTCGCAAAGGTAATTTCTTTTCTCTCCCAAACATCCCAACACCTGATTAACAGTATTCTTGATTCACTCGTAGTGCCTATGAACGGATCTTCTGACTCTTCCCCTCATCAATCCACAGACAATGCCGATTCTACTGTCGTGCGCGCAGGGACGAAACGTAGGATAGATGCTCTTGAACAACAAGTTGAAGCATTCAAGCACGGAATACAAAAACGAACAGTGTGAGCTCTGATCGATCAACTTTTTAGATAGTTCCCATTTCTTACATGATCTGTATAGGGACACAGCTTCCTGGGCTAGTCAAGGCCGCGGCATTCGACGTTTAGTTACCTAATTTGATGCTGTGTGCGACGTAGTTGCTGCCTATGATCGCAGGGATGACGGTGACGACGGTGAAGACAGTAGTAACTTCGGAGATTCTCAGAATTACACGGAGGAGTGTGTTCTTTCCCACATTTGCCATATAAATTTTACTGACGGACTTATCATAGTGAGACTCGCCTTTACAATGGGTTCAAGGAACTTATGTTTTATGTTCCTTCTCTCAAGAAAAAATTGAGTGAGATGCCCATGAACAATAGGGAGCTGACTTCTGTATATAAACAGGCGAGTCTTATATTTTTTTGTTAGCGTTGTTCCTGATATTCAAGTTTACTATATCAAGCTTACGAAGGGGGCAGATGGTGCTCGTGGGGATGATGCGAGAAAAATGAAACCAGCTGTGGTTTTGTGGCTATCAGAGCTATTCCCAACAACATCATCGCATTCCCCTCTTGATACAGTTGACAAAAATGGACGGGGTTTTGCTCATAATCTCACCGGATACCTACTATGTCCCTGTGAGTATGACTGGAATGACAACAGGTGAGCCATAATTAGTTTTCACTATACTGTATCAAGCTGACTGCCTGTAAAACAGCGTCAAAGAACAGATCCGAGATCGACACCCCAAGTTTCTCGTCACGGCCATGAGCTGGCCTAGGTTCCTTTATTCAAAATACACCAATGATCCTGAAGACCTAGAGAAAGGATTTCTACAAGGCACGTTACTTTTGAAGGTTGGTATGTTCTCCTATTTGTATTGGGTCCTTTTCCCAGATCATCTTCGATGCATATTCTAGGCGTACAAATTTGTCTTTACTTCACCAACGTCGGCACGTGATGTCAAGGATGAAGAGCGTGATCCTCCTCCTCTTCACAAACGAACAAAACGTTTAAACCAAATTCGCACAAGAGGACATGTAGCGTCGCTACTCGGAATGCATTCTGTAATGCCTCGTTCTATCGCGTACATAGCTGTCCAGGTGAGCTTTGGCTTTTCCTTTGTATATATTTTCTAACCCTCAGCTTGTAGTTACGGTTTGCCCTCTCGAATGTGGGATCATGGCGATCAGACGACGGTGATTTTGATTATATTTTATTTTAAAACAATATCGTCGACTTCTTCGAGAGTCCACCTGGTCCTACAGCCGTCGCAGAAGTCGAGAATCTCTTGCTGTGGTGGAATAGGTACTGAATTCTAACAGCATTTACTTCTCGGGGCTTGAAGTCTGTTACAGGAAAGTCTTCGGTCCTTCACAAGCTGCCATGTATAGTCCACAAGCTGTTGAAGGCACGTCAGTCGCTCGACTAGCTGCTCAACGTGCCGCTCGAGAATGTCGAGCTGGGAACCAAGGAGTCTCTTAACTACTGTATCATTTTATTTACTAGATGCACATTGTTCTAAATAAGCAAGGTATAATATTGTCACCTCTTTCTCTGGGAGTCGTGATCGTCCGTAACTGTACCACATTTTTGTGCCTCGACAGAAGTCTTGCAAAGCCTCAACATTATGTGTTTGCATGGGCCACACAAATAATCATTTCGTCGCTTTATCACTAATGATCGGGTGTTTCACTATCTTACAAGCCAATGTAATTATCCCTGATATTCCTCGTGTTGTTGAATATGCACGATACAAGCTAGTAGTTGCGAAGAACATTATCGTGCTTTTGCTGTATGCTTTTCATACTGCTTCTAAAACAACATGTTTCTACTTCTGCGAATGTATGTAATGTCTACGATTTTTCCTTGTGTCTTCCCCATGCATCTGCCATTTTACAAATAAACAGTAGGTTGAAATAAATCTAGTAAGACGTTTAAGCTGAAAGTAGCTTATTCTGTGAGGAGCATAAAGACATATCATCTCGCAACATATCGGGTCTTTGTTTGCTTATCCATAGCTTCTGATACGCAGACTGTAAACTATTGACAGATCTTCTGTCTTTCCTATATTTCCTGTTCCAGATATACCATTGTAAATTGGTGTATTTATGCCAGAAGTTTCTCAGACGTGACTTACTCTTTAGTGTGTAGCAGGCTTTTCGAGATATCAGCATCCATTTTGTTTCATACATGGCATTGTAAAAGCTGTACATATTGCTGAAAGTTTATCGACCTGCAAGATTTACCTCCATTTTTATCAGGCTCTCTGAAATATCGGCATCATTTCCACAATCAGGCAACGCAAAAAGTAAATGAGAAAAATCTACTACTTTACAAAAAGGCATCATTTTTCACTTCATGGTCAACGTGTCAAATCTAGCGTACATGTTGTAATTTAATGTCAAATATTTCACATTTCCCAACCAATCTGTTCCAGATATATCACTGGAAGGTTACATATTTTGGCTGCAAGTTCATCAATACCTGTGATTAATCTCTTACTTTCGGCAGGCCTTGTAAGATGCGAGCATCATTTTTTCAAATGAGCAATGCGACAAAATAAGTGATAAACATGTGCTACTTTATACAAACATTTCGAGTTTTTGCGTTGATGCCAAGAAGAAAATATTGTAGACATCATGATATGTGTTTGCCAATGTATCCCAACATTTGCTTGTCCTACATTAGTGCAAAAAATTCCTGGCGTATCTGTATATCTATGTACTTTTTGTTACTAAATTTCATATATACATCATCATTGGCCGTATTGGCAACGAAAATGTTCATTGTAAGGCCTTGGTTGGCATTGTAAATTCGGTCATAATAATACAGGTATTATTGTTATTCTTGCCCTTATAATGCTAATATAATCTCATATCATAAAAATCAGATTTCGTTGATGCTAGGTGGTCAGAAACTATGCAGATCATGTTCTCACATACAATCTTTAGTATATAAACTAGCATGTTTGCAATATAATATTGATTCAATATTCGTATAGAAAACACTCCTTTCTCCTCCGACCCATCCGACTCAATTCTGCGACACCCTGATGACGACTTTTCCTACATGCTTCTGCGACTCGAGATAGGCATAAGCATCAATAGCTTTCTCGAACGAGAACACCTTGTCGACGACAGGATGGATCTGATGAGCCGTGATGAGGCGGTTCATATCTTCAAATCTATACAGTAGGGAGGTAAAGGTGGAAGTTACACCTAGCACTTTGAAAGAGGTGGTGATCTAAATCAAACTTACTGCTTGACCGACCCGATCTGGATTCCGCGATAGATGAGAGCTTTGCCAATCGCACTTCGAATGTTGATACCTTCACTGCCCTGGAACACGAATTGTGTCAGCGTCCGTCTCACGAAATGATGAGTGTGAAAGAATCAGACATCTGCGACGACTCCAATTATACTGATGCATCCAGCATATTTTGCCGCTTTGGCGCATTTCCCAATTGTCCCAGAACCGCCAACCTAATTCGAAGTTGGATGAATATCTAGTCTCGAAGAGCCACAAACAAATTGAGTACCTCGATAACGTGGTCCACACCTCTACCGTCAGTCTTGAATATTCGTTAGTATACTCCTCAAGATGTATGTGAGAATGGAGCGCAACATACAATTTTGAGGATCTCCTCATCCCAGTTCGGAGTTTTGTTGTAATTGATGACATGTTTGGCACCGAGTTTGCTAGCTATCTTGAGCTTCTCATCGGATGAAGAGGTGGCAATGACAATAGCTCCTGAAGCAATCGCTAGCTGGAGACCAAAGCTAAGAGAAAGAGTCCAGTAGGTTGGTGATAAAAAATGACAAGATGAGAATAAGCCTTACATTGAGACACCCCCAGTGCCGAGTACGAGAACATAATCACCCCCTTTGACGGGAACTGGGCCCATAAGGGCGTTGTATGCTGTCAACGCGGCACATCTAGAGTGATTATAAGCAGGAAATAGGATGGGTATTGAAATGGAACACACGGCAAAGTCGAAGCTTCTTCATATGATAGGTGCTCCGGCACACGTACGAGCGACTAGTGACCGATGAGTTAGAATGGGACGAAGTAGGGGAAATGATATGACCTACGTGAACAGGTACATTGATGTACTCTCTCAAGACACCATCAATAGGGCCTCCGAGACCTGTCGCTTGACTCTCTTTTGTGGGGTCTCCGTGGATGTGGTCGAGGGCAAAGTTTGGGCATACACGATCACCGACTTTGTAGTTCTTGACGTCCTGGCCTACTGCGATGATCTCACCGGCCATGTCGGAGCAAGGAATGTCATTTTTCTTTTGGCTATTTGCAAATTGTGGTAAACCACAACTGTAAGTCTGCAAAAGAGTGAGAGGCTTACTTGGGATAGCGACCCTTGGAAACCGTAAGGTCACGGTACTGTGATAGCAAGTATGTTGAGCCATTAGCGTGAGCATTTATGATGTCTAGGCGGCGGCACATACCTGCAACGAGACGGCATGAACCTTGAGCAAAACTTCTGTAGCTTTGGGCTGAGTAAGGGGAGAATCCTGCAGCTTCAAATTCTTATATTCGTCGCCCTAAATAAGAGGCTGGTTAATGAGGGGCTCGAATTAGATGATTGCAGATAGAGACCTGGCTGCGGTATTCACGGGTGGATTTGGGGATGGACATGGTGGGGTCGTGCTAATATGTTAGGTCTCTGCAGCCATGTGGGGTATATATATATACGGAGGAGTTTGGCTTGAGGGATATATTGTTTGTAGTAGGGCACACAATCTGTAAGTCGAGGCCAATTTAACTGTGCGGGTCCTCCTTCGGTGCTTTTAAGTGACCAAACGGTACCAGGTTTGGCATGCAAAATGAGTAAGAAAATAAGCAGATAGGCTGCAGTGGAGTACGTGTACATCATCCTATATCTAGACAGTAGATCTTCTGATCCCTCTTGAGAGAAACAAAACGCAGGGCAGAGATCGACAGTGTTCCGCAGTCCCTCGCTCATGCAGTCCAGAAAGCTGCTACAGTTCCCCATATCGCCATAATGATTGCGATCGTCAACATCGCCGCATCAAAAAGGGTACACCGACCAGCCAGAGCAACCTTGGCAGCAAATGGTCCTATTACACATAGCATGAACGCAGAGAACGAGCCGAGGAAGGCCATGCTCGAACTGAATTCCGGGATCATGATCGACACGAGTACCGATAAAGATGCGCAGATGATACGCGCCACAACCGTCAAAACACGGTTCAGAAAGTGTCGACTTGCAGAAAGCTCTGTATGTGCGACACTGATATGCTGGCTGGGGTGTTCTTTAGTTGAAATGGTAGGTGTTGTATCTAAACCAAGCCAAACTTCAATCGTCATGTTGAGCTAAATTATGATGAGTACCAAAAGACTGAAAATAGCTATATTGTAGCTTACTGGTCTGGTCGAAAGTGCAAACTTAGACCTAAAGCCAAAATTAAGCTCGTGATAGATACACATTGATACATCTACTCACAACGGGGCGATAACAAGCATCCACATGGCAAACTCGTTCAACAAAGGATTATATCCATGTGTCGCTAGAAGGTCTTTGCTAATCTGCGTATTACTTAATACAAGGACAAGAACTTGATCAACTGCGCTCCTTACCTCATCGTGGACGAATACACCGAACATCAGGTAACCAGCGTAACCAATGACAGTGTATAAAAAAGTGGCGATAACCTAAGAGAATGAGTCTTACTATCTTCGTTAGAAGATGGTAGGACACCACTCACAAATGCCCAGTTAATCATATGGTCGAATTGCGAGGGATCAGTCATGTCACGAGCCAAGGAGGGTATTACTGCATGCCCAGAGAACTAGAAAATGCCAGTTGGTTATTCAAAAGAATTCAATGATGGGAAACGCAAAAGCACTTACACCAGCCATCAACAGCCCAAAAGCTACTCCGACCTGACTCCAGTTTCCTGGACCAAAAGACGTTTGCGCAGGGCTCCATAAACTGCCTGGACTATCCGGCTTTGTGAATCCATCGACAAAAATGACAATAATGATCAGCAGAGTAGACACCAAGCCCAACATGGATGTATAGGATAGGAATGATAGCGGGAAAAACAAGGTGGGTATGATGCTAGAAGAGAGCTGATCAGAATATACAACATACATATAAAAGAGGACTCCTACATGACAAGAGACATTATCTTGTACGTGTTTACAGAGTGTTGCGGCCAGATGGAATATAGTGAATCAGCCGATAGTGTGACTAGCACGACACTAACTCACTTGTCAGCAGTGCACATGATATATGAACAAATAACATACCTGACAGCAAACAATTCAAGACAGAAAATCACGCTAGTCAGAAGCGTAGAACGGGGTCCAAATGCTTTCCGCCCTATATCTGCATATGACCGCAAGCGAGGATCTGCAATGATGATGTGAGCCAGAAGTTTAGCACTAGAAAAGCTTAGATCAGAGTATCCTTTAATACAGTGAATTATGATACCTACGTGTAGCAAGTGATGAATGCATAGAACACGATCAGCATGGTACCACCTATCCAACCAGCGTAGGCAAACGCCAGTGGCTCAGATAACATACCAACTCCGAGTAGGATGGCAATGGCATTGAACAACTATTTGCGGATAATTAATTCATACTCGCTAATGTCACGTATATGCGCACTCACGGTTTGACCATAAGTGCTTTTACCGCCATAATCATACGGTACGTTTTTGTTGGAAGTGACAGAGGAACGCCGGTGTAAAGATGGCTCGAATTCACCATTTGGACATAGTACAGCGGACGAGCTGGCACGACAACCTATCTCCTCCTCGTAGACTGAAGGCATTACAGACGATGCGAAAGAAATCTTTTTTTGAAGCAATGGTGTAGCTTCGCTTGCCCTTGTACCGAAAGTTGCAGATCGTTGAGTACTCATACGACCGAGCGGACGGCGATGGTCATTTTGATGTAGGGTTTCGGGAGCGCAATCAGGCGCAGGCCAACCGAAGGGACTTCGTGTGTCTTCTCGTACATGAGGCGTAGGACAATCGTCGTCAGCGTCGTCATATTCTGGTATGATATGAGCCTCTTCATCGACATGATCATCGCTTAGATCTGAGGTGGAAGGTATATTCGATGTCGCAAAATACTGCGAACGTCGCCCTGTAATTCCTATGATAAATAAGATCACGACAGAAGAAAAAGATATAACTGACAAGCTGCAATTGCATCCCTCACGCTTGTAGTACTAGAGGCAGAACCATACACAAAACTTGACTGATCTGGTGCGGATGTCATGAAATGTGGATCGAGCGAGCGAGGCCAACAAAGACGTCAGATAAAGGTAGCAAAATGGTACGAAGAGACACTACGAGGGAGACTTCAGAGATGAGAATCAATATGGGTTGGCTCCAACGGCCATGACGGCGGTCCCTACTTATGGTGCCCACCTTCATGAAGGTCCGAGAAATTTTCAGCGGGCCAGAACCAGCCCGTTCTACGCGCGCAAAAAGAGCATTATGACACTAAGTTCCGCCCGGTGAGTGAATCGATGCGACTGGGCCGAGGTGTTATGCTGGCAGATGCAGATCAATGATGTCGTTTATTCTTCCATATTTCCGAATATGCGAGAATGGACAAGAATGGACAAGCCGTGACAATAGGTACTCAAGCTCAAGCGATTCAGAGAGCAAAAGAAAAAGAAAAAGTTATCACCAACAACAGAATGAACAAGAAACGGACGACAAGTATGGCTTAGTGCAAGAGCGAGCGTAGTGAACAATGGACCGGCGATCGTCGAAGATAATCGATAATCACCTGTGGAAGTCAAGAGGATATCCAGCAAAAAAAGCGACGAGCCTGAGACTCGAACTCAGAATCTCTAGCGATCCCACAACCGGAAACTAGCGCGTTACCATTACGCCAACCCGCCATCGAAGAACACGTTTTCTCATGATGACTCAATGTGATAACTCAAGAATGGACGTTAAAGCAGTACAAGGTACCCACGCCACCACCGCTCTCCAACAGTTACATTCAATCCACACTCAGACTCGGACCCGCAAGGAAGCTCAAGCATCTGACTTGCCGTGCGCAAGTACTGCACCCTCTTTTTACATTTCAAAAGCCATTACGCGCCGTCATGTCGTTTTTTCAAACCGGAGCATCTACCACAACCACTGCAGCTCTAGACAAGGATATTGAAGTACCGGAGCCGCCGTCTGACTCTATTTCGTCGCTTGCTTTCTCTTCAGCAGCAGATTACCTAGCTGTAGGAAGCTGGGATAACAATGTTAGTTCAAATTGTATTTGTTGTGAAAAAGTGCTGAGAACCATCACGTTTGTGCAGGTTCGTTTATATGAAGTTGGGGCCAATGGGCAGACACAGGGGAAAGCTATGTACGGGCACCAAGGGCCAGTACTAAGTGTATGTTGGAATAAGGTTCGTCATAAGTGACAGTAAAACATAGCTTTATGAATCACTTTAACGTGTGGACACCACAGGAAGGAAATAAAGTGCTCTCAGGCGGCGCAGACAATGCTGCTCGCATGTTCGACATCACCAACGGCCAGTCTCAGCAAGTCGCCCAACATGATGCGCCTGTAAGAGTCGTCAAGTGGATAGAAACACCTCAAGGTGGAATCCTTGCAACTGGAAGCTGGGATAAAACCATAAAGGCGGGTTTGGATGCGCTTATCATAGTATTTACTGGTCTGACTCAACAAACTATTGACAAATACAGTATTGGGACTTACGAACGCCAAACCCCGTGGCTACAGTACAACTCCCAGAACGCTGCTACAGTATGGACGTACAGTATCCCTTGATGGTTGTTGGCACTGCCGAACGTCATCTTCAAATATTCAATTTGACTAACCCCAACACACCCTATAAAGTCAGTTCACGCAATACTTCAGGTTCGCTTTACTTATATCCATTATAGACAATGATCTCTCCACTTAAGTGGCAAACTCGTGTGGTATCTTGCTTCACCACGTCGCAAAATAGCGGATTCGCAATTGGTAGTATAGAGGGTCGCGTCGCCATTCAGTAAGTTCTAAAGTGTATGCTTCTCGTAGTCAATATGTGACGACTTCTCTCAGGTACGTTGAAGAAAAAGATTCGTCGTACGTTTTTCCTTCGTCGTCAGCCATTATCGTCACTAATGTCTGACTAGGAACAATTTCTCTTTTAAATGTCATCGTCGAGACCAAACACCCAACTCCAAGGATCAATCTCTAGTGTACGCGGTGAACGATATATCTTTCCACCCTGTACACGGAACATTCTCTACTTGTGGTTCGTATGTTTATCGATTTAGTCAAATAGATGTAGTAACGCTTTTATCATTAGGGTCCGACGGAACCATCCACTTCTGGGACAAAGACGCACGCACCCGGCTAAAAAGTGAGAAACATTATAACCCGGTCTATCTACCTGTTCTCACAGATCATTTCTAGCGTTCGACGCCTGCCCCGGCCCTATAACTGCGACAACATTCAACCGCAATGGCACCATTTTCGCATATGCCGTGTCTTACGACTGGTCCAAAGGTCATAGTGGGATGACGCCTGGCCACCCCAACAAACTCATGCTGCATGCATGCAAGGAGGAGGAAGTCAAGAAACGTCCAGCAAAGAAGTAGAATAGGGCATTTTGAGGTAGGACGCGCTGAGCACGTCGTGTCTGTGTTGTTGATGCCATACTCTGATTTGGATTCGCTAGCGTAGCTGTTCTATGAACCCTCTGTATGAGATGACTGTTCTAGTGTCTCACCGCTGTAGTACTTAGGAATATTTTTAACTGTAACCACGCGAATAGAATTTGGTGGGCAATTGGCGGGTATCATAGTTGATATCATACGGAAGTACAGTATAAGGATCTGACAAATCAATCCTAAACTATTACAAAGTGCATCTCCCATGACGTGCAGCAGTTTGTCATACACAGGTGGAATTCAAGTGTGGTTTATATATATAGGATGACTTACATCGAACAGGGGGAAAACAAAATACATTGAGTTCTGTCGATAACCACAATCATCATGCGTGCAGTCGTCTGTCCCCGTGTTCCAATCCCTCCTTCGGGTCTTACATACACCACCAGTCATCCAAAACCCAGTCCAAAGGCGGGACATGTTCTTATCAGAGTGAAGGCATTTGGCCTCAACCGCTCTGAGCTACTGACCCGTCAGGGCCATTCACCTGGCCTCAAATTTCCTCGCGTGCTCGGCATCGAGTGTGTCGGAGAGGTCGCAGACGCAGGTGGAGGTAGTTGGAAGGAGGGCGACGCCGTTGCCGCTATCATGGGCGGTATGGGTAGGCAGTTTGATGGTAAGCTAATATGGCCACCTATTAGACGAGTAGTATATGCTAAGCTGGCACTTTTCTAGGCGGGTATGCCGAGTACACTTTGATACCGCATGCTTCCGTATCACCCCCTATCATGCTCCCGCCAAGCATAGGATGGGACAAATTTGCCGCCATCCCCGAAACCTTCCTAACAGGTAGGTTAATCCTGATTATCCCTCTTTGATCGACATCATAATCGAGATTTACATGAAAAATAGCCTGGGGAACGTTGCAAGATTCGCTGCAACTCAATTCCGAAGACACTCTTCTGCTCAGGGGCGGAACGACCAGTGTTGGGCTCGCTTGCGCTGCACTCGCCAAGTCATCTCTCTTCAACTGTGCCCATGTGATTTCCACCACTCGTTCAGAGAAGAAAGTCGCAAACATGCGTGCGAGCGGTGCAGACTATGCACTTATCGACTCTGGATCCATCGCAGACAAAGTCAAAAAGCTCACTGGCGGCAAGGGCGCCACCAAATGCGTCGAGCTTGTCGGAGGCCCGACGGTTGTCGATTCTTGTGCCAGTTTAGGTCCTGAAGGGGTGATCAGTATGATCGGATGTGTGTCAGGGGAGTGGGTGTGTAAGGAGTTTGACGCCATGACGTGCCTTGCGCCAAAGAAAGTGAGTGTGCGATGCTAGATAAAACTAGCAAGATTCTGACCGCGCCTCGTGTAGCACCTTACCATGTTTTCATCTGCGACTGTCGATATTTCCACGGCTCCATTACAGTGGATTGTCGACGCTGCAGCCAAGGGAGAGATGCCGCTCAGCCTCGACAAGGTCTTTAAGCTGGAGCAGGCGAGTGAAGCGCATGCCTACATGGAAGCTAACAGCGCAGCTGGGAAAGTGGTTTGTATGATTGATTAAGGTGACATCTGCAGAGTTGCATGGTTAAAAAACAAATGAAGTGTACCCCAAATGAAATGTAATTGTATCCATTTTTCATCGATGATCATCCTCTCCCAGATGAAGTTAGGTTGTATTCACTCTCGAATATACAAGGTCAATATATCGGTATGCAATGATAATAGTAACAAATTAGCTGTATCAATGGTAAGGATTCCGAATATATATAAATCGTAACGAACATGGCACTGTTTTCCCCACTTATACGGAGGATATCGCGTCTATTCTCATTGCATCTTCTTTACCTCCGTCTCATGCGAGTCTGCCACTTCTAATAGTGGATCTAGTTGCGACTCCGGTTGACGGTACGAGCCACCAACGCGATCAGCCCATGTGAAATACTGTAATCAAGATATCAGATAAATCGGAATTATCAGATTACGACGGTAGAAAACATACTTGGCCATAGTTCACGGTGAAATAAAGGTGGTGTAGAGTGTGATGTGCAGGTCCATTAATGACCTTTTCGAGGAAATGGCCGGTTATCATATCTGAATCATGAATCTGACGTGATAGAAGCCATATGTCATTTAATGTTTACTTTGGCGCTCTATGACGAAACTCCTTACCAGTATGCTCCAAAAGTTGACGAAGACGAAAAGTGCGAGGTATAGTTTCCGGTGGAGAGGGAACATAAATACGAAAAGATGATATGGAACGGATTGGAGGTATCCATCGACTGGGTGGAATGCGTAAGAGGCAAATGGCGTAGGAACTGGTGTCGATAACATATCAGCACCATAAATGAAGGGTTGCTGACGAAACTTACTGATCCACTTGTGGTGTGGTTTGTGGAACGTTTTGTAAAGCATGGGATGATGCAAAATTCGGTGAACCCAGTATACTGAGTAATCTGTGAAAAGCAAGAAACTGCAAGTTGCGATAAGCCATCAAGATCAGGCCAAGAATAAAAATATATTTACCATGGGATAGATAACCAAAAGTAGGCTGCACCATAGTCGTCTATACTATTATAAAGTTTGGAGTAGCCCATTACTTCAGCTTGAAACCATGGTAGTGTAAGAAGCATCATCCAAGGAAACGACCGCAGGCTGGTTTGAATTTCGAGTTTTACTTGATTTTTCAAGAAACGCGGATGCCGCATCATGTCATGGTTGAATATAAACTGGTAGGAGAGACCAGCAAAAATGAAGTATAGGCAGTGAATGCCGATGAGAGTGAGGACAACGAGAGATATCAATTGTCTGCCTATATGGTCACGTGGCCATGCAGAGACGGGGTCGACTGCGAGGGGTATAGATGATGAATTAGAGTAGGGCGAGACGTGACGTGGGAGGACATTGGCCCAAACTCTGTCAAGGAAATACTCGTTTGAAATGTCGAGGATAATGTCCATTTTTTCGCAACTCGAATATACGATTAACTGGATACCTTTGAGGGGTAAGGAACCAGGTTGACGACGGTAGAAATTGGACGGAACCACCGAAACCATTTTGCCGCATGCCTGGCTTTATATGCGATCGGGAAATACATCAGACCACTTTTTTTTTTGCCACCCTGCCGGAACCGGAAGAGATAAGATTACAAATGGACCTCACTTACGTAACGACCTATTTGTGGAAGGTCTTTTGGTTGGCCTCCGCGTTGAGCTGCATTCATGATGTGGGCTGATTCCAAATTGTCTACCCACGCTTTTCGCTTTTGCCTTCAGAACACGAGGGCGTCATATGATAGAACATTGGCTCCGCAGCCGCATAGGAGAAATATGGTACTGCCTTCTACTTTGATGTGACCTCCTTCTCTGTCTCCTTCTCGCCTGAAGCCATGGTGACACGGTCGCCTTATGGAGAGCCTGGATATCCTTTTACGGTCTTGCCATATGCAGCCAAGGGATAAATTTTTCAAATCACTGATTCAACATGGGCATTTGGCACAGTGGTAGCGCGCACGCTTTGCATCTTCGCTTGCGTGAGGTCCAGGGTTCAATCCCCTGAATGTCCAATCTTTTTGATTATGTTGCATTTCCACCGCAACTAGCTCTTTTTGCCAACATGATGTTTTCGTGAGCGCATGTCTCCCAGTTCATGCGAAGTTGCAGCCGCATCGTTGCTTAGCCGTGTATTACACGCGTTGAACATTCATCAGCGTGCTTAAGAATACAGGGTGTACGGCCCAAGTTCTCCGCCTCGAGGACGCTGCTGACTCGTGCTTCGCAAAGTGGAACGACACGATAAATTAATTGGGATGTCGTTATCCATAGCCCTAGTTATCGTCATCCAATAAGCCATAGGAAACCTACATGCACGTATGTGCTGAGTAAGAAGACTGTGATATTGTAAAACCGCGGGTCTTTGTCAGATCGTGAGACCTGTGAGAGTATGCATGTGTTTCTCACAACGCAATCATACGAGCTCCTGCAATCGTTCAACATTTCCTGGCATCATCCAGAATCATGTTTGATGCTTGTCACTGAAGGTAGCAAGCTCGTGCGATGTAGCGCTTAGAAACCACTCACCGGCACTGTTCCTCCATCCACATTGCTCTCATGACCCGTATTCGGAATTTTATGAGTCCTTCCAGAACTTCCTTTGATCCGGAAAGATAATAACCATTCATATAGGGCATATGGCATATATATCTCCCTGATACCATGAGATTATAAGTATATCTTGTTTGAACTCTGGCAGCTTCTCCGAGGCGGATTCGGGATATGCAATCGCCAGGGGTGCCCTGGAGGTGATGGATAGGCAAGAGTGATTAGCCTATGGAACGGGGACTTCAGCCTCCAATCAATATAATTGTGAGATACAAGGCGATTTCCTTTGCTTACATTGCCTAGTCTCAGCTCAGAAGGCCCAGATTGTATTTGTTCGTGTGTTCGACACTCTAAGTTTTCAGGTCTATATGTAGCTTGGTTAAGATGAAAACCAAGAGTCTCTTACGCAAGTGCATACTCATCCATGATCATGATAGGTAGTAGCCAGCCAGAATTTCAAGAACCTGGTTGTCATTTTACCTTTAGCGGGTGCTTAGCTTTGTTCACTGTTAAAAAATCAGTATCAGCATCTTAAAAATTCGATTAACCAAGGCTAACCTTTTCTCGTTCTCGTAGTACTTGGCTACAAATATCAGCGTATTGTAACTCAAAAGGAGCCTGAGGGTGTTGCTTATCCTAGGCAGTCTGTAATTCTAACCAGTCACTGAAGCTAATCAGCTCATAGGGTCGATTTTATGTTTTTTGAATTTACTGTGTGTCCAGTAGTCGTATGAAAACTTCTCTTCTGTCTGAATTGTTGTAACAGTCAAGATCTGGTTCAAGTTATTGCAAAGCTTCAGCCACTGCGGCGCACAGTTACTGGGTGGCAGTGCACTTGCCAATTCAAGCATCCACAAAATTTCTATCGTGTATCGCCATCGACGTCGACGAATCCCGTTAGTTTCAGCAAAATGGCTGAATACGACCTCTCAAAAACGATAATATCGTATCTGGATCGTCACTTGGCGTTTCCACTGCTCGCTCACCTCGTGGAGACCAAGCATTTCCCAGTAGAACAAGTTCAGGAAGCCCAGTATGAGCTTGCGAAAGGCACGAACATGGTGGATTATGCGCTCAACTTGTTTGAGCAGCTTCATCCTGATGAGGAGATTCCTGCTGGTGCGTATCCTTGTTAAATTCTTTATGAATGAGATCTCAGCTTTACGTTCGATAATTCGATAGAATTCTCTGGCAAGCGAGAGAAAGCTGTATCAACAAATGAGCGGTTGCAACAGGAGGCTCAGGCTGTTTTGGATGTGATTGAAAACCCAGAGGTCGCACAGGCACTGCGCCAGGATAAGAACCAAAATCTGCAGTATCTTAAGGATAACTACAACGTACGTCTAATTTTTTCAAAAACAGCCAAGCCTCGTTTCGCCGACGTCTTCCCTAATATAGCTTACACTGGAGCAAATAACTGCGCTATACAACTTTGGCCAATTCCAATATACGTACGGAAACTACAGTGGTGCTGCTGACTATCTTTACCATTTCCGCGTCCTCTCAACTGACAACGAACTCAACACTTCTGCGCACTGGGGCAAGCTCGCTTCCGATATCCTGATCGGAAAATGGGATACGGCCCTCGAGGAACTCAACAACTTACGAGATGTCATCGACTCGCGTGCCCCATCATCGCTGCTGACGGCTTCAACTGAGCCTGCAGCACTTACCCAACTACACTCCAGGACATGGCTCGTTCACTGGTCACTTTTCGTCTACTTCAACCACCCACAAGGGCGGGCGCTCCTCCTGGAAACTTTCCTCTCCCCTACGTACCTGAATACGATCCAGACGTCCTGTCCATGGATTCTTCGCTACCTGGCAACAGCGGCTATCCTTTCACGAAAATCGTCTGCTGGTGGCGCAGGTGCATCCTCCCGAGTGCGGCATTCGATACGTGAGATTGTCAAGGTGATCCAAACAGAAGAGTACCAGTACCAAGATCCCGTGACGTCGTTCTTGAAAGAACTTTATGTCAATTTCGACTTTGAGGCCGCACAGCGCGAACTGGTGCTTGCCGAGCGGGTCATCGGCGATGACTTCTTCTTAGGAGATTTCCGAGAAGAATTCTTGGACAACGCTCGTTACTTCATCAGTGAAGCATACTGCCGTATACACCAGAGAATTGACATTGGGTGGGTGCCTCCTGTTGCTTTACAAATACTTACGTCTGAAGTTTCATCTCAGCGACCTATCTGAGCGACTTAACCTTTCCCGAGATGAAGGCGAGAAATGGATTGTCAATCTCATTCGCGAGACTCGTATGGGTGCGGATGCCAAGATCGATCTCGAAAAGGTTCGCATCTTCCAGCTGATCGTGATATGATTCACATTAAAAGACTTTTTGGCTACAGAATGTGATTGAGATCCATCGCACCGCCCTACCGGTTTATCAATCAGTCATTGAGAAGACACGCGGTCTGGCTTTCCGTACGCAAGCCATGGGAGCAGGGATCACTCGTTCGCAACAGGTGAGTAGTCAGAAGAATGAGGCCCAACCTGCGGTAGTGGAGGGGGCACGGTGATGTTGAGGCAGTATGCAGTGTAGTATGTACCTTCTTAATTGGTGTACCAAAAGCTTTTTAGCAAGCATTCTCTGTCTTTTCCCTGCTATATATGCTTCACGGTCCAGCCTCACGAGCAAGCACTGCTTCGGATTTGTCGACAATTGTTCCGAGTTATTTGATTCATTTCCTGGAACTAATGTCTGAAGGTCTTCCTATTGTTGTAAACAGTGTCCGAATGTAGTACTACTAGCTACGGTAAACATCCATCACTGGAGCGAGAGTATCTTATAAATAGTGTAGAGAGGGTACTGATATCACGTTAGTCCTACGAGCCAGTGGTGCTATTACTAAAAAAACACAAGGATAAACAAAGCGAAAAGTGCGATAGCTAGCTACTTATATAAAAAGGAAATTTAGTCCGACAATAGCAAACAGCGTCGTAAACGTGCATGAGAACGCAAGCACGAGCCTCGAGACACGCAGGCTCTCCCCGCTGCTCCAACCGGGAGGCAAGCCGAGAGTCACCGAAGGCTGCGAGACGTGCGAGGTCGATGTATATACGGCGCCATCTGCATTAGTCACAACAAACGTCACCACATCCTCGACCACAGGCAGAGCCGTTGCATTGATGAGGCGCGTGCCTATGATCTCACTATATGTACTGGTTGCGAGTCCGGCAGTCACGATTTCTCCAAGATATGCAGGAACGGAGGTAGCGAATGTGTAGGGTGGTGTTGTGTAGGTTGGTGTCGAGAGTAGGTAGTTAGGAAGCGTGGTTGCTACGGTGGCAGATTCGGAAGAGAAGAATGAATCGAGTGCCGCCACAGATTCCACTGGCGCTGAGGCGTTATTTTGAGGGTATAATCCGATCATGGGAGGTTCTTTTGAATCAATGCCATAACTGTGAAAATATAGTTAGCAAATACGTTACCCTCTGAATGAGAACGATCTACCTGAAAATAGAGTAAACCGTTCGCAGAAAAGGCGTTCCTTAAGAAGTAATGGTATGAATATGATCAACAAAAACGTTTATCTCTCGGCGTTACCCTACCTAATTGCCAATCAACGCCATCAGAGCTCGGTGGTAAAGCTTTTGGCCATGCAAGGCAAAGTTCAGGGTTCCCTTCTGCAGGCCCTATTAAGTAGTCTGATGGTTGAAGAACGAAGACCTGATCCGAGCTTCTCCATAGTCAGTATTCACTTCCGACACCTAAGAGAAATGTGAAATACCTAAAGCTGAAGGACATCGTTGCAGAAGAATCGCATGGAACGACCCATTGGCCGCCTACCGTGACCACAGGCATCAGATTCGCTCCAAAGGGGGATGTGCATTTTGCTTACTTTCATCGACAAGACGACTGTCAGGAAATGACGAGAACAATCGAGTAACCTGGATAAAATTGTTTGTTACCAAGAAAAGATACTATGAACCAATAGACCTACATCCTGGTAAGGACCGTATATACCTGAGGTCCCACTGAGATAATATCAGTAATTGAAGTATAGATATATAATGCCCACACCTACACGTCTATTAGTGCGATGGAGGAGTTATCAGTAGGACCGGGGTAAGTTGGTATAGGGGTGAATGTGCTTCCGTTCACCTGGTATGATGAGAAGATGAAGACGAAAAGCAAGTAGCTCTGAGACTCACTGCGAAACTCTTGAGCTGAATAGCCCAATAGAAGTAACCTGAAGTTGTTTCATTTCCTAGTGGTCCGAATGGAACTACTTCGCTCCAGAAAATGTTGCTGACATTTTGGACGATTGAAGCATCAATAGCACCTGCCATTCGATGAGTTACGAACATTTTGCGTACATATTGCAATGTTAAAAAAACATAGAAGACCTGCTTACCAACAGCAAGAGTACCAGATGAATTCCTAGTAAGGCTCAGTCCGAAAACTGGGTAATCGAGTATTCCATGTTCTGCTAGGGTTGACAAGAAAGGCGTGGCTGAAATTCGATATGTGATTAATCAAGGGCCAAGCAAGGTTCATCTGCGACTAACCATTCGACGTAGAATAATATATCTCAGATAACCGCGGGAAACCAAGTCCGAGAACACCACTGATCTGATCGTCCATAGTGACATTGGAATTTGTCACCACACCTTTAAACCATGCATATATCAGTAGACATTACTTGGACAATCATAATGACGCCAACCAAATGCCTGATCGTGAGCCGTCACGTTTGCAAAATATATCGATTCTCTTGCAACAAATCCAGATGCAGCTGAGAATGTGAGACTAATTAGAGGTGGACACGCTTTGTACATGTGGCATCATGAGCGTACCGGTGGTATCAGAGTAGCTCAAGTTGAATAGAGTAGCATTGTTGTTGACAGAAGCAAAGGTCGGACTATTATAATTGAGAGGGTAGCGCGGTACAGATGTGCATGTTTGTGTCGAACAATCTGTGGACATGAGCCATAGGTCTGATGAGCCAGTATCAAGTCCAACGCGAAAGCTAATATCTCCAGCTTGAAGCACTACATAGTAAGTCCTGCGGTGAAGATGCGCAGCGTTGACTACCTGAACATGCATGGAGAAGACATCACTCACTGTCCGTCGTCTGAAAGAGCTACTGGCGAGATTCCAAAGCTGTTGGGAACGGAGGTGTTTTGTTGGAGCTGTTGGCGCGCACGCAGACGACTGTTTAGCAACGAGGTTTCCGGTGATCTTTCCCCGTATTGCAAAGCAGATGCTAGGTGGAATACAGAGGTTATGGCGATAAGAAATAACGGAAGCCACATGATGGATCCTTCTGGTCAAGATGTCGGTGCAAACAGCATTCGTAGAAAGCGACCGTCGTTGCGCTGGGAAAGGGACGAGAATAAGGACCCACGTTAAAAGACAGAATAACTCAGGAACTGAGGCTAAGAAAAGCATAAAATCAGAGATGGCTGCGCATAGACGCGGGGTTGTAATGCAACTGAACGGGATAGACGCCGGATCCGTGTCACCTGCCAGTGGGAATGCCGTGCTCGGTGGCAACAGCGCTCAGTGCTCCTCTAGTACTCTTTTCAGATGGCATCTCCAGAACGACAAGAGCTCATTCGCAGTGCTGTATCGTTCCTTTCTGATATCAAAGTATGTGGTTTATCAACTTGTAGCCTCCAATCCGGCACTCATTTGGCGTCAAAGACCCAGCAGGCACCTTTAGCTCAGCGAATTCAGTTTCTCCAAGCCAAAGGTTTGACAGGCCCTGAAATCGACGATGCCCTAAAATTAGCGGGAAATAACCAAACGCCCCCTCCACAATATGTCCAATACCCCCCTGACTATGCGCGCTCTCCGTACATGGGTCCTCCCACAGCGCACAGATGGGATTGGAGAGACTACTTCGTACGTCTGATGTATGATGAGTGCAGCACACTGACAGATGTATGATTCAGATAGCATCCGTCGTCGCGGGGAGCACTGCACTTGGTGCTTATACGCTGCTCAAGGTACGTTCCACTGCCAGTGTTTTTGGGCAGCTGAACAGGACATCAATCATCTCAGAAATATCTTCTCCCCCATCTTTGGTCGCCAACGACAAACGCGTACATAGAGGATCGGGATGCATTGGACGTGCATTTTGATGCTGCTGAGGCCTTGTTGAAGGAAATACAAGCCGAAACCGTTGCCGTCCGGACTGCAGTAGAGGAGCAGAAGGAAAGAGTCGATAAAGTGACTCAAGAAGTAGATGCTGTCGTGCAAGAATTGCGAGAAGGTGAGACGAAGACAAGGGATGAAATGCGAGAAATAAAAGACGAGGTTCAGAACGTGCGCGAAATGCTCCCCAAGGTACTTTTCTACCGCTGCATTTCGCTCTTTTCCCCCTAAGCTCATTATTGAAACCAGATGATCGAGAAAAATAAGGAAGTACAGAAACAGTCGCTTTCCGAACTTCAGCAAGAGGTCAAGTCGATGAAGGCACTGCTACTTAGTCGCGGGTCCGGCCCAATGTCCAGCTCTAACTCCGCACCTCTCTCGTCCATTCCGGCCAGACCTTCATTACCAGTATGGCAGCTGGCAGCCGCTTCATCTGCTTCTGGTACGGACCTGGCTTCTACTCCTGGTTCTTTGCCAGACACAAGTCCCTTCTCTGTTCCTCCCGTGCTACCAAACGGAAAAGGCAAAGAAGTAGAATTACCATCTTCCGTCTCGTCATAGTCCACGCCCTCGTAGGAGGGTTTTATTCTCCTAGTAATCGGCTACTTATAAAGAGTGATTTCCGCAATTTACCCTTCGAGGTGACTAAAATATTGTCTTGGATTGGACAATTGTGGTCAAGCACCTGCTGGATGAAGTCCGAAAATTCAGTTTGGACTGTATTCGACTTCAAGCTTCAAGCTTCAAGCGCACGGCAGAGGGGATACAGGCAAATTTGGGGCATAGTCAAAACAACACGTATCCAGAGACAGACATAACTACATAAAAAATACATCCAATGGCATAGAAAACAAAGCCACACAGGGAGAGGCTGTATGACAAGGATATATAAGAAACTAAAAAGGCCGAAAAGGTATCACAATAGGTAGAACAGAAGATGAACTTCGTCTTAAGGATAAATAGACTGACGAAACGAATACCATTACCGCTTCGCAAAAACTTTCTTCAACAGCGCCAAGACCTTGGGAACATTCAACTGTACATATTCCAAGTCGAGAAGATGTTTGTTGTCTTTTTGCTGTGAAAGTTGGTTTAGTTAGTTGAGAGTCACCAACAGGGGGTCATAAGACGAACTTTCTCCAACAAATCATCAATTTTGAGATCCATCTCAAGAATGGCCTTTTCACGACCCTTATAATGCAGCGAAATGATGAATGTGCCTGGAGTAGGAGAAGTAATGTTGAAATATATATTAGGTCGTCTACATCCATAGCACGTTAGTGGGTGAGGGTAATGTAAATAATTCGTCACAAACCGATTATCTGGAACATTACTCTCCACTATAATACCCTCCTTCTCAAGCTGAGCATGAGTGAATCGGTATGGGCCAAGGATGACAGTCTTCGTCGGCTTTCTTTCTTTGCCCCCTACTGTGACCACACCGACTCCAATGGTGGTACCTTTGTCTTTAGACGCTGTTAGACGAACATTTTGTAGGTAGGCTTTATATTGCTCTAGCTGAGAGCGAAGGTAGTTGTTGTGGTCGCAGATGGTTTTATAGACCGCTTCGAGAGACTTTGTTTCTAAAAGTATCTTCTCTCGCAAATTGCCCAAATGAACGAGCTCAGCCGAGACCTCGTCTTGCATTAGTTTGTAGCCATCCCCTTGTTCAATTATCTTCTGCTCTTCTAGTTCGCGAAGCATTTCCTTGACTTTGATGCCTTTCCGCACAAGAGTGGCGTCCTTCGTCGTGGCAGCTCGCTCGGCGATTGCAGCCAGATTGTAGGGGCGTTTCTCAGTAGCGTGGGGGATGGAACGAATCAGCTGTACCAGAATAGATTTGGTTTCCATGTAGAGCATGTCGGCCGGAGAAACCGAATCCATGAGCGCACTCTGGGCATCATGCACAGACGTCTCCCATCGACTGTATAGATTAAGCTCTATAGTCCGATTTTCCTTGCGAGGTACCTGTGAAGGCGAAGGACCGAGCTCATCGGTAAGAATACGTAGGTGGAATTTGTCGTTGGGAGACTAGAAGGGATAAGAGAATTTAGTTTCAATATTGTTTTATCGTGTTAAGGACGTACCAGGCTTTCAATGTGCTGCAGTATTAAGGAATGCGTGTTATACAACTCGTTCATGGTAATATGTATCATAAGGTCCTTCTTTGATAGAGCCATGTATTGGTCCATCTAACGAAAGAAGAATGTCAGCTACACAAAAACATGTGCGTATTCCCTTAGCTACTAACCTCAAGTGTATCGTAGAAATCACCGACTTCGCAAAGATTATTCAAGAACTGGTTAATTCGTGCTTTGTTGTTCTCGACAAACGGATTTAGAGTCATCATATAAGCTTCTTTAGCGTATGATGGCTTGTTTGCCAGATTCTGGAGCATCTTCGCTATCTGTTTTTGATATTAAAACATATACGTGTAGAAGAGAGGACAGAACTCACCAAGGTCAGTGTACGTCGGGGGTGTTTGGCGGGTACGCCTTCAACCAGCATATATGCTTGCGGAGTCACAATAGCCGGATTGATGAAACGAAGGAAGAAGAAACCGCCAATGAGAGAGCAAATAGCATAATCGGTAGCTTCCGGGTATTTTCTCTGTGAGTACTACGTGAGGAAAGTATGGGGAGTAGAGGCCAGGCAGACAAACCCTAGTAAGGCTACGAATTTGTTTACATATCCATCGAATTCCGTAAGGAACGCTTTCCATACTTTCTATGATGGTGACCAAAAAGCTGTTCGCAATTTCCATGAGCATAGTCAACCTTGGAGCTATTATAGCCTGAACATCTGCGTTGTCAGAAGCAACTTCAGGAGGCACTCCTCGAGGCAGGTTTGGCGGCAAAGTTCCCGTTTCTTCTTCTATTTGGTTAATCATTTGTTCGTAAACCTGTCGTAAAGAGATAAGATATTATTAGAAAGACTGAAACTTAGAAAATCTTACATACCTTGACAGGATTTATTTCGAGATTTAGGTCTTTATGCTCAATCAGGCTGTTGATACGCTCAGCGAGGACACCTTTGAGGTAGCTTTGTCCGGGGCCTCGGCGAGTATATGTGGTCATCATTCGCGAAACGGGAGTGTTTGCCCGCAGCAGTGAGCCAAACTCTGTAGCTGTGTCAAACTGAGCAGAAAGCACAGACTGGAACATAGTCAGCAACAAATGCTCCTCCCGACTTTCGTATTGGTTTCCATATAGTGTGAACATGACGGTTTGAAGGAGGGTGTCGATCTCGGATAAGCTGACGAGCCGGCAAAGAGAGGCGATATGTTTAGGCTCAGACTGCAGTAAGAAGAAAAGATTAGAGTATTGCTGCAGCTTTCGGTCATCGGGGTAGTGGCCTTCTGTTGGATCCACTTCCTCTAGTGTTCTTTCGACTTCACGTTGCTATAACATCGGTGTCAGACGACCTGACGACAACTAAACAGAAGATGAGGTAGACATACCTCGTCCGCAGCCATGCGATTCTGAATGAGTAGCGCAATGCGGGAATCGAGATAACGAACGTCACGTTCTAAAACAAAATTCTTCTTCGACTGAGCGGAAATCTTCCCTTTGAGATCTCGAAGTCGTTTCTGTGCTGTTGAACGAGGTTCAAGTCAGCTGTAAGTCCTTTCACGACGGTTCTACACAGCATACCTCGCGCTAGATCATCCTCAACCTCTACATCCTGCTCGGCGGCCATGCTGAAAAGAGCTGTAACACTGTACCTGTTGGTGTTTCTGTTGGTCAGTCTCCTTCCAGAGAGACTGCCAGGCGAAGTGGGCTGATCAACGTAAGACATGGCGAAGGATTGTCTGTGTACACGTAAAGTAACGGGCAGGGCGGAAGAGATCAAATGGCAATGGCGAGAAAGTCACAGCCTGAGGCGTGGAAAGGGTATGTGGGTGATATGTCCAACAGCTCCAGCGCCTGCAGGTTGGCAATGGCGACAAGACTTTGGAGAAAGTGTATCCAGGGGATGTGTTTTATGTTTTTTGTGGGTATATGATGAAGGGATGTCACTGAGAATGAGGGGAAGGGAATGGCGATGGAAGCGACACCGTGTAGAATGGGGAACAACGAACCTGTGGCTCACCGGCTTCTTCCACTTTTGGTCTCTGTGGCACACTAGTGAGCGTGGAACACCATCATATCCTGATTCACCAGCCCATCACCAACAGAAAACCTGTGAGTTAGCATGGCCCTCTTACAATTTAATAACATGATCACAGTAGTTGCTTGTCCTACCACCGCACTTGTATCTGCACAGCTATAACGTTGAAGTCGCGAATTTATATAGAAAATAGTGCACATCTCCGAGGCAAGTAACGCTTCGGCCACCATACTGCCACATTTTAATCAATATCAGACATTAGCGGACTCGATGATTCCCTTATCTTACTGGAGTGACCACTTGACATGTCCATAGACGCCTCGGTCAGAATGCGATGGGCTCTTCACATGCCCATCATAGTCTTTTCGTAATCGACTGAGCAAATCACACCCTCAGCGCGGTGTCTCAAACGCACGTCTGTTGGCAATCTTGTTTCAATATCCTCGAGGATTCGTTGCCATGGAATGCGTTATTGGTGGCTTTCGTGTTTGCATCGGGGAACAAGTCCCCGGTGAGGTGGGTCCGCACTCAACTTTTGAAGTTGCTCCAATCCGAGGTACCATTCATTTCAGCAAATGATAGCCAACCTCACCATATCAGCGTGGTGATGAGACTTGCCGTGTATAGTTGCATGGCAGTGCTGTACATCAACGTGCTCCAGATAAGCCCGTCTATTCAAACAGCAATCTTCTTATGTTTCCTCGAAATGCCTTGCATAATAACAATGCTGGCATGGGGTATTCATTGGTCCGTGTAGGGTTGCCTTTTAGGATTCATAATCAAAATACGACGCATTTATACGAGCAAATCAAAGTTCTGGTCATGTACCGTGCGGCTTTACTGTGATATAATATCCCCGACGAGCGTCGTGCGTCTCTGAGATTCACGGTCGAAGATGAGGAATAGAATTTTTTCAGAGCGCCGCTGCTCGGCGCAGGCCTTTTCACCCTCATTTTCTACGGATTACGAAAAGCATGATTGCGGAGATCTTGTCTAGTTCCACCACGGCGACTTCAGCTGGACAGGTTCCTGGAGTTCTTCTCCCAGCGATTTCATCTGGAACGGAAGAGTGGTTATCATTAACAAATGGGCATTCCGTGGGCAGCGGCATGATGAGGTTAAGGTTTTTTTCCCGTCCACTATCAAGCGCTTTAGTATTGAGGCTAGGGTAGTAGATTTGATTCATCTATTGTAACTTGAAGCGCATTCGCAGTTGGAATCTCCCCCTCTTTAACACCGTAATTGAAGTTATCACAATCTCGATGGGGTACATGACCGTTATAAGCACGCGAATTCGTCCATTGAAGTAAATGTATTGAAACAAATTGAGCATGTCAAGGTAAATAGTACTTTTCGGAGGAGAAATGAGGGAATCAACTAAACACATTGCGGCATACTCAAGGAGGGACATTTCGCTGCTCGGAGTCTTTCGTGTTTTCCTTTGGACGGACGTCCTCCGGCTCGAATTGCGCGGTATGTTGTTGGTCCTCCGACGTATAGACAATTCTATACGCAGAGCGGGTACACTAGAGAAAATCATAAGCTGCAATGCTGCGAGGGGGGAAAATATGTACAGCACCCTTTTTGCGACTTCAAGGATGCCGACTATAATTCCTACTACCCAGACATTTGCCCGGATCCGGACTTCAACCTCTTGGTTCTGACAGCCACTATCAAGACAGGGTTAACCGAAGAAATGGATAGCACTTACGATTGCCTATATTTTAGATGATACCGTCAATGAGGGTCAATGAACTGAGAGCACTTTACTCACATAGTTAACTCGCGACTTGATATCTGAATTGCTGTTCATCCTTTGGAGATAAGGTAAATAAGGGAACAGGCGAAGGGACGGCCGCTCCACTCTTATACACGGCGCCTGCACTAGTCGTTGAACCGGGTTGAAGTGAAAATACCATGATGACCATCTCAAGATTATTGCATGACGAAGTTGTGTGCTTCTATAGATCTCGGGTAACTGAGACGCCTTGAAGATTTGAGAGTTGATATATCAGGAAGGAATGGGTTCCTAGTGATCCATGCAGCTACAGCATGTCCCAGTACATTGCAGGGACTTACGCCACATGCCGCTGGCGAAACATGGTGAAAATGGCGATCGGATTAGCGTGTGATGTAAGATGGTCATGTTTTACCAAGAACAAGTAACATCAGCCCACCATCTTGAAGATGCAGACCAAAAACATAGTTGAGCTAGACTACTGCCTGATACGACTTTCCAAGCCCAAAGCTCCCGGCAGTACCAGTCCTATGACTCAATGAGTGAGCATTTAGGAAAGCCGAGCCTGAACTACGAAAAAAGAATCTCAGATACGTCCATTTGGACCAGAATGTTCTTACCTGGAACGTGCAAATATTCTTGAATGGAGCACTGGGGGTAATTCAGCGGAATACTCGGGCGGTACTCAGCGGCACTTGGCCACCATTACATAACGAGTAAGCTTGGTGGGAGGCGGTGTTGTTCAGTTCTCGAAAGCTATTTTCGTTGCTAATCCATGACATTCTTTCTGCCACTGGCAGTCCTTGCGCAGGCCTTTATTTTCTTGAAAGCGGTTGCGAGCAAGCCGTCTTAGTGTAACGTTGGGAAAACGCTGGATTTACGTTCACGTATTTGTCGCACCATCGACGATAATTGCAGGATCTGGTGATCTAGCACCACTCGCAGTCGGCAACAACACCGTCATCGCGTGTACTTACGAAACACTCCCTTCTTCAACGTTCTGATAGAAAAATGCCAAACCAGCTAGCAATCCCATTCAAGAAACATTTTCCTGTTTCCATTCGCCAGGCTGTTCGTGACTATATCCATGCACATAGCAGTGATCACCCAGAGGCGTTTAAGTGGGATATCAATCGGTGGGAATCGTTAAGGAAAGATGGCGTTGGAGGAGTGGTACATGTCAATCGGATTGATACTGCAATCAAGTTAGTCGCCGCAAACCATCACCGGTGTGTCCTGACCAGAAGACAAGTTATCACACACAGCTTGTGTTTATATTGACTAAAATGCCCGCTGATGTCAGTCGCCCTCCCATCAGGACTTTACCTACTTATGTGTCAAGGTCCCTATAGATAAACTTGGAAATCTCCTATGCCCATGCATTTTCTCCGGCGTCCACGCCCATTACAATGCGAAGTCTGGCCTTCGAGCGAGCTGCGGTTCTCTTCAACCTCGCAGCTTTGTACTCGCAGCTGGCTTCTTCGGAAGATAGATCGAGCCAGGACGGCGTCAAACGCGCCAGTGCATTTTATCAGGCAAGTTCAGCCCGAACTCTAGCGGAGAACAGCAGTTTATCAGAGTTCACAGAATGCCGCTGGAACCCTGTCGTTCCTCGTATCTTCGGCTCTTCCGAAACTCGTGTTCGCTTCAGATAAGGAAGACCTACCAAGGGATCTCTCTGAATCTTTTGTGAAGAGTATGGAATACCTTATGCTTGCACAGGCACAAGAATGTGTTTGGCAGAGGGCAGTCATGGGTGAGTTAGATTGTTCCAAGAGCTTCTCCATGTACTCATTTCGCCAGACCATTACAAAAACGGTTTGATTGCGAAGTTAGCGGCTAAAGTTTCGTCCCTATACGCCGTATCCTTAACCACAATACACGCAGCCGCTCCGCCTATTACTCGTGATTTTCCTTCTGTAAGTGTCTATGTGATTTCATGATCAGTGAACTAGAAGTCTGTTACAAATAGGACTGGATTTCACAAATAGAAACGAAGCAGTCTCACTTTGCTGCGGCAGCACAGTATAGAAAAAGCATAGACGACCTTGAGGCTAATAGGTTGATAACCGTTTCCACGTAAAATGTTTGACCGCGTTGGATGACTTGTTTGCTCTGCTGTAGATATGGCCTCGAGTTGGCTCGCTTGTTCCAAGCGGAGATCACGGCAAAGAAAGGTTATAACATGGCCAGGCGCGGCGGAGTCCAATCGGCTGTACTCCAAGACATCAAAGTGGGTTTTTAATTATTATTTATGCTAACTCGTCTTTTGGTACGACGGGTAGCCAATGGTGATTGTTGTGGTCCGAGCGCTCTCCCATCCCATAATCATTTACTTTAAACCTTATTATGTGCACAAACAAGGGCATCAACCGGCTGGTGCTGACTATCTTTGTTTTGTATCTTGTTTGGTCGTCCTTCACTGAGCTTTGCCATTCAGTCCCTTCTCGATGCTGTACAAAAAAATCTCACTCGCGCTGAGAGGGATAATGACCTCATATACCACCAAGATGTGCCAGCGTCATCAGCGCTTCCCCCAATACAAGAGGTATCAATGGTTCAAAGTAACACTCCTCCCCAACTGCAAGACCCGAAGAGTGCCGTTGGCGACGAAGGCATTCTCTTCGGTGAGATGCTGGGCTGGGGAGCCCGCGAAGCCATCAGTAAGCTGATTTTCCGAGAAATGTGGACGTGGAATGACAAGGTACTAGATATCTATAATGACAATAAACAAACACTGGTCAAAGAAAAAATAAGTGATGCTGCGCAGGAAATGAACGACGAGGCAGAGGAGTTCGTACCGTTAAATCTATCAATGTCGGTTTCTGACCATGTCGGCTAGCATCCTGGCAGCCCTAAACCTACCATCTTCTCTGGAGGCTTTAGAAAAACCCGTTGGCCTTCCTCCCAGTTTACTGAAAAAAGCAGAAGAGGTCCGACTGGAACAGGGGCCAGAAAGCATCGAGGCATCTCTTGATGATGTACACCGACTAGCGCATCACGATATGGCAATTTTGAATGAGGTCAGTGTTTAGCCATCTACGCGAATCGCACAATATTGAAGCCAGCCGCGCAAAAGGCTATGGACATCTTGGATAACGAGGCTTCAGAAGATGAGGCTGCGCGCAAAGAGACGTTGGTTAGTCGGATCCCCTCTCACCAGGCTAACCGAGAACTGGTGCAGAAGCAACAACGGTATCGCGATGTTCTGACTCAAGCAGCGGAAAGTGATGAACTCGTCAGGCAGAAATGGGATGAATGGGAAACTAATATTGTCGCCCTTACATGGGACGAGGTACGATACGCGCTACATATCCAGAGCAAGCTTTACTTACGACACGGCCACAGGGCGACCTGGAGGCTTTAGTACCATCCAATGCAGGTCGTGCAACATCAGTCAGTGCCCAGACGCAGAAGTTCGCGCGCACACTTCGTGTGTTACTGGAATCTTTAGATGAACTCTTTCGCGCTCGAAAAGAATTGGTAGAGCGAGCCCAACGGCTCGCGGATGGCGACAACGTCAGATCCAAAATATTAAAAGCCGCTTCTAACTTTGAGCGGTGGGTCGATGTCCAGCCTGTAATGTTTGAGGACGTTTCGGATGAGGAGCTCGCCAAGTATGATCGGTTTATTCAAGGGCTTGCGGAGTCGCAGAAAAAACAAGAGGAGATCCTTGACTCGCTCAGGGTACGCGCGTCCAGACTGAATACATGGGAGCTCTTTGACAGGTTATATATTAGGTAAATAACGAGCACTTCGTCCAATCACGGAAGGAAGACCCTTCCATAAAAGAACGCGAGCAGGCACTGCGATCTCTGGATTTAGCTTACCATAAATATCGCGAAATCTCAAGGAACCTTGAGGAAGGAATGAAGGTGGGATTTGTTCTAGATTTGTTTTTACATAGCTTGATTGGCGCTCGGTTAGTTCTATAATAATCTCACTGGGATCCTTCTGCAATTCAAAGAGGCATGCAAGCTTTGGAGTAATGCGAGAAGCAAAGAAATCCGGTACGATTGACGTACTATCTGCCCATTTCAGGCCTTGCTAAACTCAGAGTCAGTTCTCTATCTCATTCACTGCAAACGTTGAGCATTAGCGCGGAAGAAAAGGAAGCAACCACGCCACCACCTGCTGTATCTGAGGCACCGTCGGCTCGAGCAGGAAAAAAACCTGCTATTTCCCTTCCGCCGTTGAATTCATCGGAATGGGAAACCATGAATCTACCGGCCAGCCCACCTCGTTTTTCAAAGAGATAAGTGGAATATTGACCGACAGTCTGTTCGTAGCTCTCTTCTTTTCTACTTTGAAGTTATGTGTATGAAATAGTTGTAGGATTTGTTGTACTTTCCTTCGCAATATTCAGTTACTGGCATCTGTACCTTGCGTTGTGCTCCATATATTTAAATTTGAGTCTCACATTTGAGTACAGTGGGCTATGCGAGGACTCATTCTCTTAGCAAACGGATAGGATGACCTCTCCGATATATGGCTTTCAAGTCCCTACCTGACCTTGAGTGGGGAATCCGTCCTCCTCACAAAAAGAGATCCAGCCAAGCTCGCAATGTCGGCAAATATGATAAAGCGCGACTCGGAGCTAGCCGAGCAGGTACCAGTAGTATCATCAAACTTGAACACAGCTTTAATCATTGCCTTGACCGTCGCCAAACTCTCAGCTTTATCGTTCACCAGTATCATATCTAGGAATTCATGACAATGTTTAACGACATATCGTCCAAGGACTCGGATGTGAAACATCCTCCCCCGTATACACCCTCGCCTGCGCTCAAGCCTCCCGCGTCAGGCTTCCGCATCCCCTTGCGCGCATCGTCCTCCTTCCCGCTAGTTCATCAGACCAAACGGCCGCCTTGTCTCGACGCAGATAATTATTCGCCAGTCTTCCTAGGCTCTGCAATACTTCCTAATCTTAGCTCTGTACATCCCTGCAAAGTATGTCCATGCCTTTCCCCTCCCTGCCGTGTTCCCTATGGTGGGACAGAAGTAGAGCATCAAGGGCGCTATGATTTACTGCCGTACGACGAAATTTTGATGGAGTGGGTCCCTACCAGTCTGGGTAGAATCCCTCACGGCCGAAGACCGGTGGAGGGGGGTTACGAAGAGAACGGAGCCAAGTTGTACCATGCCTTAGCATGGGTGCAAGGCGTCCGTACTCCGGGAAAGACGGGAGAACATCTCGTAAGTCCTTACATAGCGCTATGAATTTATCTCAGATCATTGAACGGAGTATCCTTTCCCGTTTAATTAACTACTTAGGATGGTTGTAACATCGCATTTGGTGGAGATGAGCATGTAATCTCCAAGGGATATGACATTTTGTATGTCTTCTCAACTGATTGGAGCTACATTCGAAGCTAATAAGCTCATTATAGATGCTGGAAGTGAACATTTGGATGATTTGTAAAAATATGCTTATATGCTTATGTATATGTAAGGTTAACGAGTTTGCTGTTGGGACTGCGGGGTCATTCTCAAAGACATAAAGATACGAGATTATAAATTTACTCAACTCCGACCAGCAAGTAACGCAACCATCTATTCAGGACTATGTACACCCAAATTATGCGATCTTACAAACTATCCCTCACAAGAATTAGGTCGCAGATTGCTTTTCCCTTAAGGTCCTCACTTCCACGTCTCGTCACCACGAGGCGTACTACATGCAGAACAAGCAAGATGCTCCGCATCATTATGCCTGCTTCCCTGATTAATCGTGGCATAAAGGGAATAAAAAGCAATGCTTACAGAGTACACACCAAACACGGCCAGTACCCTCGATCTGTTTCTCGGCTGCACTTATCACCATCACGGCCACCTAGCCCGTGACTGGACGCCGCCGCAATGAGGCCCGAGGTTTCATTTTTCCTCAGTCGAAGTTCACTGTCAACCATTTCCCGGTGACCCCGTGAAGAATTTGGACGCTCATCTTCTGCCAAAAAAAAATGCAGGGTGTGTGAAGGCTTTGCTCTTTTACTTGGGCGAAATTCCTCAGCTTCATGTTTGCGAGATTCTTTGGCATTTCCTGTAAGATCATTTGTTGTAAGGTCGATGATGGACTGCTGCTTCCGGACAGACGGTCCAGCTGCCGAGTTCCCATCCGTTGAACCTGAGCCGTTCGAAATGAATTTAACGTCACAAGATCCCAAGCTCCGAGAATCCACTTTCGCACAATCCATTGCACGAGAAGGCAGTTTGAAGTCAGCATAAAAGTTATGGTTTTGTGATTTCATATTATCGAGGTCCTGGCCGCCCATTGTCTCTGCCATTATCCGTCGTCGGTCTTGATCTGTTTCAGCAGAACCGTCATCTTCAGTGTCGGTGTCGAGATCGATAGTTTGCTCCTCATCCTTTGAAGGGAGAGATCCAGATCCAGAGCCTGAAAATACTCATATTCACTATGACACCCTTGGACTATCTTGTAGCCATCCTTACCACATAATTGACGTATCCTCTTTTCCGCCGCATGCGCTCGTTCTTCCCTAGCACGCTTGCTGCATATCAAGTCAGATAAGAAAGTTAGTGCACCTTCTAGTTTGCCGAAGCTGCTCTCACCTGGCCGCTTTCTTTCGAAATCCTACACCCACATTTTTCTGCTCACCGTTGGCATCATTAGCCAGCGCTACTCCGTCCCCTGTAAATGCGCCTTGAGCAGTTATTCGGGAGCCTGGCTTGCGTTGCTTAGCCGTTTGAGCACCGGTATGGTTCCCAGGACCCGCTTTTTTATAGGGGCGGCGTCGGCGGAGAGATGCAGGACGGGCGCGGGCATGAGCGCCACCACACTGATTGATTATCACTTGGCAATTAGGGAGTGCATGAATAGGAGATAAGAAAGATTATTCAAACCATGTATTCTGGGAAATCTCCACTCTCAGGGCCATGTCCATCAACCCGAGCGGAGTCGACGAGCCTCGTACCAGCCGACCAATAACCTGCAGTTGATTGGAACAATGACTCAGTATTCCAAAATGCCACCGTGATACCCACCGTCGCCGTAATATCCTTTGACTTGTAAGTTTCTAACTTCGTTACGAAGTTGCTTCCAAAGGGCTTGAAAGGCAGGGCCATGGTTCATGTGCTTAAAGAGCGCCGTGTGTTAATTTGGTCAACGTAATTATGGAAATACTAGGAAGAGCATACTTGGATGTGCGCGAGCTGTTGAAACAGTTTTAGGGATAGTGCGGTTCGAAACCATCAGAATGCGAACCTCATGACATAAAGTACTGATTAACCAATGGGTTGGGAGCAAGAGGCCGTTCACTCCTCGCAATACTAGTTCTGCCGTTAATCAAAATGCAGGGTGAAGATGAAGACAACCCAAAAAGCCAAGGTCAGAGCACGCTTACCTACTGTCTCGCCGTTATTCCAATTTCTGCCTGCGAATACGCGATTATATTCATACTGGGCGGCCGTGCCACACCAATGGAACGTTCAACGTTATCGGACCTGGACATGACACTTCTGATTCCACTTACCTCTTCAAAACTATTAATGGAAAATCCATGTCCTTTCATGACTGGCTTTATTTGAGCGGCTAGAGCTCGCATAAGCTGCCTAGCTTCCTCTTGCGGACGCGTATCTGACACAGGCAGAACTGAAATGAAGTTGATGTAGGGATTTGGGTTTGTCTCCCGCTCGTTAAGTCGTACGTGTACCATAATGATATATGCTTCTAACTTGGGTTTTGGAATCAAGTTGAAATGGGGTCAGCCTCTGGGTAAAGGAAGAGCTACTAGTCATACCAAAAGTGTATCATGGCACACGATTTCAAGAATGAGATGCACGTGACCTGCACGTGCTGCGTCGTGCCTAAGGTTAGGGTATAACACGTATCCGCAAAACCTCTGGGGAACCTAACACGCGCCGCATCAGTATTTTGAACTGCTACCGCCATGACCGCCATAACTCAGAACCTGCCATGGTTCATTCGCGACCTCGGAGTCTCCATCGTTGGTGAGGTAAGTGATGCATCCCCTAAGGTACAGGTTCTGGTGAATGACATGCTACCTAGAAATGTTACGCCTCGCTGGTCGAGAATTTGAATATTCAAGATGCGGAGTGTCTCAAATACTCGCTTTCAAAAGGCTTAGGCCTTGGTATTGTAGTTGGAGGTTCTATAATGAAGGTCCCCCAGTTATTGCTTAGTGAGTGTCCCAGTGGTTTTGGCTACAACTATCACTGACTTCTCCGCAGTCCTCTCCGCGCGGTCTGCTCGTGGCTTATCTCTACCAGCATATGTTCTCGAGACGCTGGCCTATGCTATCACTTCCGCTTATTCGTATCGCAGCGACTTTCCCTTCTCGACCTATGGAGAAAACTTATTCCTCACCATCCAGAATACCCTTATCACTCTTCTAATCATTCAATATCCTACTGCTTTGGCAAAAAAATCCCAAAATAAAACCTCTCAGCTTGCTGTGGCTACTGTTGCGACTGTAGCTGCTGGCTTCACATTATACAGCCTTCCCAAGGACACACTAGCTCTTCTCCAACTGGCTACTCTGCCTCTATCTCTGTTCTCCAAACTCCCTCAAATTATGCAGAATTCTCGTGCACAATCTACCGGACAGCTCTCTGCCTTTGCTGTTATTTCCCAAATTGCTGGCTGTCTCGCCCGGTTATTTACTACCGCTACTGAAGTGGGCGACGCTATTGTGACTGCTGGCTTTGCGCTAGCGCTCGTACTAAACATCATCTTGGGCGCACAGCTGTGGATGTACTGGGGTAAAGATGAGAAAGAGGACTTTGGAAAGACACGCATTGGCGTCCTTAGCGAGAAGGAAAAGGAAGATTGGGCACCAGAAAGGCAGAGCAGGGTAGATGTCGTTGTCACACCCAAGTCCCCTGTTCCACGTCACACTTCTTCGCCCTCTGGCAGAAGATGGTCCAGAAAATTAGATTGATTTTCTGCCTATTGTATTTATAGTTACTATTAGATATTGGCTATTTGGACTAATCGTTATCCAACTCATGAAATCTATATAAAAAGAGCGCCAGATCATGATGTCACATCTCTTCCAGTGAACTAGAATGTGACCATGCGCCAAGAAAGTATTAACCTTGACCAGCATTACCCGTTGACCACTGTTTCCACCACTCTGGAGTTAAGTCGTTGCGCCTTCGCTCCAACTTTTTCAGTGTATTTTTTAGCGATCGAACAAAATCGCCCCCTGCCATCCGTTCTACTTTCAGAGGGCCAAAACTCGTTGAATCAGGAGGAGATTTAGGTGCTTGGCGGGCCACCTGAGAAGAACTTCTCCAAGAAATCTGAAAGGTTCTTTCTGATGAGGACTCATCAATAGGTATTTTCTAATTTCCAGAATGAGCCCAGTCGGAAGATTCACAATTAATTACTGAACTGACCTTCAATGTGTCCTTCAAGCCAGCGATCTCTGCACCTAGATTCAACCAATCTTGGACTGGAAGGACCTCATCTCTCGTCCATTCACGTACTCTTGGATCGTCCATGTTAATCGGATCATCGCTGGCCAAGATTTCTGTCATGCCCGGTTCGAATAGTGTGGCGCTGAGCCAATTTTCCAAGGCCCCAGCAGCCACGGTGTCACCTCTAGGTATCAGCTTGAGCTGTGCGAAGAGGGAAGGTTTCCCTCCGTGAGTTATGAGGTCTGGCGAACTGGGATCTTCTGTGGAAGCGGCTGTTTCTTGTGCAAAAAAGCGTCCCTGTATATGAAATGAGGGTTACGAAGTTGAGAAGTGGTAGGAACAAGTCACTGGGAGACGCACTGGTTTGGAATAGGCCTCTAGGATGACAGTCATATATGTTGATGGCGTAGCTAAGGGATAACGCATGAGATAGATAGGAATGAGAACGGGATATGCAGCAAGCTGATGGTCAAGAGAATCAGGAGTTGGTCACTGTCAGTTGCTCTATGAACACACCAGGTTTGGCTTCACGGAGGCGGGGTGAAAGCGAAAGCCATCACAGACAGTGGCCTGAGTAAATGACAACTTGCGTACTTGTTCCGGCAGTGAAAGAGGGGTTATGGTAAACGGGAGACACATCACGTTGTCGCTGGATTGACGAGTGAGTGTTTCAGAAAATGGGACGGTCTGCCGCGGGTCCATATTCTTGTTTATGAAAGCAAGTCTTCCAAGCAGATCTAATGAATAACCTTCCAACAAAAGAGTAAGACAATTAAACAGCCCCCCAGTGAAGTGGTTATATTAGCTAACCTGGTAGGTATCTATACAAAATAAGCAAAATGATCTAATGTTTACAAGATAAAGCTCACGATTGGGAGAAATACGCGTTTACGGGTTGCTGGCTGGGAAGTAAGGAATGAAAAAGAGATGAGGGAGGAAGACCTGAAGAACCTGTTGGGCATCCTCGGACTCCGAGTTGTGTGGAGATAACCAAGCATTGGCCTGTAGCTCAGCATCTACAAACCAAGCTGGGAGATAAATTGGTTGTATTTGTGCGGGTTGCATAGGTATGAAACCAAATCCTGGAAGATACTTTGCGCCGAGTGAAGGGAGAACGCTCGGAAAATTCCAGGTTGAGGATGAAGCGAAAGGGCCCAGATGAGCTATGGCTTCATCTTTTGAAAATGCAAAAGGAAATGCTGTTGTACATTACGCAGAAGGTAAGTTGTGAGTTTGTATTTAAAAACATACACCAGATACCTCTAGTTTTGGAGTGGTATATAGTATTGCTCCCAGGACTTGAAGAAGTTGCCAATTTGCGATACAAACCGAGCCTGAGAGAGCGACAAGCAACACGGTGCAATCGAGATAACATTTAGATAAGCGCTAAGATGTATGGGAGTTGCTGTAAGTTTTCACTGAGCTGGCATGTCTAGATTCCTGAAGTAATAGCTGAGAGCAAATGTGAAATAATAAATTGGCATGGGATCGTCACGTGACCAGACGCGACGTTTTGTGTAACACAGCCACGCTTTTAGTTGCACTGCGTCACTCGATGACGTCGAAGCCATGGTCGTTGTACAGTTTTGTTCGGTTCGTCGCCCTCTGTTACATCTTTTTACTTACCACGATGACGCTCATTCTTTCAGTCAACACAGGCTCTTCTTCCCTCAAGATTTCACTATATAAGTCTGCCCCTCAGATTTCTCTCCTTCTCTCCTCGTCCACCTCGTCCATCTCTTCTCCCAAAACAGCGTTCTCCCTCAAGTCATCCTCAGAGAACATCGATACTATCAACTTGACTGATGTACAACAAATCAATGACCATACTTCCGCATTCACGTATTTCCTCGATAGCTTAAAGCATCAGGTTGGTATAGACATAAACCATATCTCTCATGTCTGCCACAGAGTCGTGCATGGCGGTGATTTTTCTAACCCAGTCGTCATTGGAGATCAGTCGTACCATCATATAGAAGAGCTTTCGGATCTGGCACCTTTGTGAATAGTTTCTACCACTCATTAAGCTATGTGTATCCTCATTGATTATCACAGACACAATGGGGCAGCGTTATCTGTCATCAAAGCAGCTGTATCTGCGCTTCCACATGCGAAATCAATTGCATTTTTTGACTCTGCATTCCACGTGAACCTTCCCGCCCATGTATCAACCTATGCGATAGATCAGGCTGTAGCCACAAAACGTGGCCTCAGAAAATACGGCTTCCACGGCCTGAGCTGTGTGTAATTACCCCTTTCCGACTTTCATGTTACTCACTACATCGACTTAGATGCTTTTGTCCTCCGGTCCGTCGCAAACTATCTGAACAAGGTACACTGGCTCTCACCCACCTTCCAAGTATTATTCACCCCTTTCCCCGTAGCCACCTTCTCAAGTTAATATAATAACTCTTCACCTTGGATCGGGTGCATCTGCCTGCGCAATCAGGGATGGGTGTTCTGTGGACACTTCAATGGGTCTCACTCCCCTTAGCGGTCTGCCAGGAGCTACGCGTGCGGGTGACATCGATCCTAGCCTCATCTTTCACTACTTTTCCGACCCTCCTCACACTGCTGCGCGCATGTCCCACGATCCCAATCTCGCAAGGGATGTGCACGTCACAGAGGCAGAAGATGTACTCAACACGAAAGCAGGATGGAAAGCACTGACGGGAACCGCTGATTTTGGGGATGTCGTGGAACAGATAAGAAGAGGGGACAACGACAAGTGCAAACTTGCTTTCGACTTGTTTGTGGATAGAATCCTCCATTATGTCGGTGCATATTTTCTGACCTTGCGCGGGAACGTTGATGCCTTGGTTTTTACTGGTGGGATTGGGGAGCGGTGTTCAGAGCTAAGAGAAGCTGTTGCATGTGCTATACAATGTCTCGGATTCGTGGAAATCGACAAGGAAAAGAACGCCAATATCGATGAAAATCAAGTGGTTTGCGATATAGGCTCATGCGTTATAGGCTCGGGACCCGAAAAAAGGTTGATTGTATGCCATACAGATGAACAATTTGAAATGGCTAGGCAATGTGTCGTGGAGAAAATTCTCTGAGGACAAAATGAGAGTAAGAGGCGCAGTATACTTGATGGGATAAACAAAGGTTGGTTAGTTTATACGTTTTCTGATTTCCATTGCGCTGAACTCAAGTTTGTCATTGGATTTTAAGTTCAAAAGTACATGGAGAACTTTTGAGCACATACCCGGAAAAGCCTGGTATGATGATCAACACTTTGATTAAAACAACAAATGTATAATAGGGAGGTTGGGAGAAAAGAGTATATTTTCATATTTTCATATTTGTTTGCTAGAATAGCAGAGAACTAGCAGTCTTGGACCAGTATGAGTAGGTCATGACCAAACTTACTACTCCCTGACAAAAAGTTTTTGACATTTTATATTCCGCCAGGATCAAGAATTGTTACAAGCTACCATATGCTAGTGTACATGCTTTCTCATTTGGGAAGCATTCACACTTACTGATTGTAACTCGTAAGCTGTAAGGAACACGTACTACGTCGAACTTCAACTGATTACGCCGTCAGGCATCAAAGAAAGCGTGATCATGCTCATCCGCTGAGGTCAATCATGCGAGTCAATTTCTTTAGGTCCATACTAGGCTTTCGTGGTTCGATGCGGCAAGGAAATTGCTGTGGGTGACTGCAAAAATGAAAACAATTAGTACGTGTACTTCTAACATAACAAAAAAAAAGAAGGAAAATCACGTTGTTAACCCCTTCGTCCACTGTGCTTCAAAGTCCACCTCATTTCCTCGTTCATCGATGGCTTTCTTTATAGTGAACACAGCAAGGAATGACACTATGGCGGACCACACGCTTGCGTCAGCGGCATGTCGACCGACACAAATGCGCCGTCCAAAACCGAACACATAGCTAGCGTTGTCGTCAGTAAGCCTGCCCTCAGAAAGAAACCTATCAGGTTCGAATGAGAACGGGTTGAAGTATATGCTCTCGTCATGCGACATAGCCCTGCGAAACATCGTACTCAGTCTGAATATTGGTTAAGAAATGTCTAACTGACCATGCGTTTGCGATGACAGTTGCTCCTGCAGGGCGAAAAAATATCCGATTCAACGTTATAATCGCAAGGATAGTATAGTCACCAACCCTTAGGTAAGTGGTACCCTTCGTAGATATCATCGTTGGAAACTGCGTGTGCAATACCTGGAGAGAATATCAGCGTGATATCGGACTTGAGAGGGGCAGCATACATACCCAATGGCGCGACAGGATGCCACCTTAGTGTTTCACGCAAGACGGCGTCGATGTACGGCAATGATGGCCTATCATCGAAAGAGGGAAGCCTGTTATGACCTACCATAGTATCAATCTCGGATTGGGCCTTCGCCTGGACTTGTGGGTTTTGTATCATGGCTAGGAAAAAGGTAGCCATCGCCGAAGCGGTCTGTGTATTATATTCCGTGAGCTGAGATGGAGAAAGAAGGTATCTGGTTTACTCACAGTTTCTGCCGCAGCTAGACTATACGTGTGAGTAGGGTGATCATTGGATTACGTGACGATACTGGCATCTTACCTATGTAGGCGGAAGCAGCAACTTCCTTAACTAGCTGTTCGCGCTGGTCGGTATCCTCGTCCTTGATTCGGTTTAGCAGATCGGAACACAGGGACGGTGCCAAAGCGTCCTCAGCCTGGTATGTGAAGTCTGAGAAATGTTTTATTGCTGAGAGGGAGGCCAATACACACCATGCTCTTTTTGACATGCTGGAAAGGTAATTCCACCATTTTCTTGCTTTCATCACGGGTATACTGAGCTTTCTTCTGGAAACCAGCACCAGGAAACCAGGAAGGGAGACGGATGACTTGATAAAGACGAAAACAGTCAGTCATGCCTATAAGTCTAGTGCAAAAGTGAGCTTACGGCTTGGAAAAGCGTTAAGAATCGCTGCTGCCTCGGTTGTCATAACCTCAACGGCAACTTTGAGAGCATTATTAATGGTCGCTACAAGCGGGTCATGCTGGGGTGCTGATTCATAGCTGTAAGTAACAGCCATCATAGCAGAAGAAGCCAGGCTATACTACATCTTCAGCGTCAGATATCACACGATCAGCCTTCAACGACATACGTGCGCAAATGGTCTGGATAATTCTCAGGACTTTCCATCCTGTTGAGGAGGAACCCATATGCTTTTTGCATTTGTACGGGGCGGTAGGTGAGTGCAGCTTCAGGCCGGAAAGCTTGGTGGAGGAGCCGTCTGCATTGCCGCCATCTGTCACCATAATGCATAAATGCAGCATTCCAGTCCTGTCCGAATCTACGAAAACGGAACGGCCATGGTGTTATAGCTAATTCACGTGGATAGATGTCGAGGGCTTTGCATACAAGACGTTGGTAACGAGCACCGGTCTATCAGAGAAGTTGGCTGATCGTCGGACCATGAGATCTTTTGCAATCTTCTCAGAATTGATGATGATGATATCTTTGTTAAGTAGACGAGAATACATGATAGGACCTGAGACGTGAACCGAGGTGTCCATGGGATGGGTGTGGTGACATTGGGGCGCAGGAACGCACCATATGTTTTCCCCCACTCTGTGTAGGTCTCCCAAGGTTTACTATTGTCCATGCTGAACAGATTCCCGACCAACGGTAACGGAGGTGGTCCAGGTGGAAGAGGAAGGCCAGTTCGCCTTGTCCATGTGAATACGTGTCGTAGGATATAGAGCAAGACGAGAACCCCAAAGAGAGTAACTATACCAGTGGAAGCCAGCGCCATGGTAGCAGGAAGAGAATAGGATTAGGGTGTGTGTATAGACTATATAGGGAGGTGAGCGCTCATTACATCTTGCTTGGTGTTGAAGATGCTGGACTGGGACCATGATTTCCCAGTTTACTTCATGAACGGCCCGGGTCTAATATCTGGTCATCCTATTAATAATGTGGCTCCTCCATTCGGGTTAACATCATTCAGTGAGTCTTACTTATTCCAGTCACTTGTTTCGAAACGGCGTTGACGATGTCATGTCTAATGGCTTGGAAGGCGTGAATGGCGGCACAGCCTGGATGGATTTAGAAGTAAACATTATAACAAACTAACGTCAGCTAACTCAGCCGTAGACTTCATATTTGGAAATTTGGACGCGATCTAGGAGATTTCGAATAATCCAGATGGAAGATATATCATATACGTACGTCTGTTCCGAGTGTCCTGGAAAAATCGGAAATTTAATGCAGTTTCCAGTCATTGATATTGCTACTAGTACCGTGTCAGACCCGATTTACGTCCCCCGTCTGATGCGGCATGGCTTGGAAGGCATGAACGCGAAGCCCGAAACTTGACCTCGTGAAAGAGCTATGGCCAGCCTAGAATGGCATTGTCCAGCATATATCTACATTCCTACACTCGGATGTTTCCAAATCGCCTTCTTTTTCACCCCCCCAGTATGTCTGCCTCAGCAATGGTAGATAATGCACGTTATGCTATTCCTCTGGCTGTTTTACTGGTCGCCATAGCTCTTGCCAAGCGTGCCGCGAGAAACTCCAGGCCCCCCCTTCCACCTGGCCCTACTCCGCTCCCTATAGTTGGCAATATGCTTACGGTAAATCCTACTGAACCTTGGATTACATATACGGAGTGGGGAAAGGCTTATGGTACGCTCCATGGTTCTTTAGTTATCACTAATTTTTGTCTAACATATACTTTTGTGCGTACGGTTTAGGTGACATAATCTACTCTCGCCTGCTGAACCAAGAAATAATCGTTATCAATTCGGAGAAGGTTGCAAGAGACCTGCTTGATCACCGCTCAGGAAATTTTTCAGACAGACCCACAATTGTGACCACAGAATTGTACGAGACCCGTGTCGCTCCAAAGCCAACGGTTTTTACTAAAGTCTCTTGCAGTTTTGGATGGTCCTACAACACCGGTTTTATGCGATATGGGGATAGATGGCGCCAACACAGACGATTATTTCACCGGGTGTTTAAACCCGAGGTAGCTCTTGCTTATCGCCCTTTGCAAATGCGGAAAGTACATCAGTGTCTGGTCGGCTTAATTGAAACACCTAAAGAATATGACAGTCTCTTGCAGACGTGAGTTTCTACTCTGTATTCATTGTTATGTTAGTGACTCCGTATGGTAGATTATCTGCCTCTGTTATTATGGCGATTACCTACGGGTATGATACGGCCCCACGTCACGACCCGCTGGTAGCAGTCGTCGAAAGCGCGATTACCCTCGCTCTCGGTGCAATAACACCCGAGGCAGCCGCAATACTCAGCGCATATCCATTCCGTAGGTCATATTTCAGTCCCGCTTCCAGCTACATTCCTCATGCAGCGCAATAGTCCTTCGACTACCCTCTTGGTTCCCTGGAGCAGGTTTTCAAACAAAGGCTCAGCAGAGCCGCGATGTCAGCATAGAAATGGTCGAAGCGCCTTTTAGACACGCTAAACAGTGTATCGTACGTGTTTTATCTTACCAGCTCTATTTTTGTTAATATTCCACACTCTTCATAACCAGTCTTCAAATATACCAATATCATGCGTGTGCTCAGATCTCTTGAGCAAGGCCAGTAATGAAGATGACGTCAACCTCGAGCAAGCAATCAAGGATCTTGCAGCCACCTCCTTCGTTGGTACGGTCTTATTTCACAAAACCATATATTACTGTCTCACTCTGAAAATACACTCGCTGGACCTTTAGCTGCGGCGGAAACCGTAAGTCATTTTTGAGTCCTCCTTAATGTTCGTCAACTTATCTTGTTATAGACTTCTTCAACTCTACTTGTTTTCGTCCTGGCGATGTTGCTTCATCCAGAAATCCAGAAGAAGGCTCAAGTAGAGATCGATGCTGTTGTAGGCCAAGGAAGGCTCCCGGATTTTGATGACAGAGCGTCAATGCCATATATTGATGCAATCGTTCGCGAAACACTTCGGTGGCACCCCGTCGTACCGCTGGGTAAGTCTTGTCTGCCCTTCGATGAATTGTGAGTTTCATTCATTGTCAGGTATTGCGCATGCTGCTACCGAAAGTGACGTGTATGAAGGATATCATATACCCAAAGGTTTGTGCATGCATATTGATTGCACAAATCTGGCGTAATGTTAACTGTGCTGCCTTTAGGAGCGACTGTAATTGCGAACGCATGGTGAGCATATATTCTATTTATACCTTCTCTGTCACATTAAATGACACGGGCGGAAACGCAGGGCTATGTCACACAACGAAGACAAGTACCCAGATCCGTATACATTCAAACCAGAAAGATTCTTGGTAAATGGAGAACTCAATGACGATACTGCCATATATGCCTTCGGTTTTGGAAGACGGATTTGCGTTGGACGACACGTTGCTGATGCGACCGTATGGGCTGCTATCGCTTCCATACTGGCTGCGTTCAACATCAAGAAGGACAGGGATGAGCATGGGAACGAGATTGAAATTGTACCACAGTGGACGACTGGAGTGACCACGTATGTTCCCTCATTTTCTTCAGGATATGAAGTTCTCATTAGAGATGATTAGACATCCTCTACCTTTGCCGTGCTACTTTGAGTCTCGACTTCCGGGAATGACCACAGAGAAACTGGTCCAAATGATTGCTACGGCTGAATGAGGAAAGCTGGACGCATGTATGAGGCTTTAACGACTCATCAATGTGTAGAACAGCTCTACGTAAAATATGTTTTTTCTCACGAGATCTATCCAAGCTGAGTGGGTTTGATGTAGTATGCTTGTTTGTTCTGCCTGTCTTATAAAGCAGCAGTGCTATTGCCTATAGATGGTGTCAATGGCAAGTGGGGAAGACGGCTATAACACGTATCTCCCAAGATTATCAAAGGGTTGGGCCATTGCAGTAATGGTTGTGTGACCTATGCCTCACTCCGGATTGGCAGATTTCTTCAGTCAATGTCCAAAACCCTTTATGCCCTTGGCATGCACGTATAAAGACTGAGACCATTACCTGTAAGCTATGCAACTTCTGGTTGGATTCTGATCCTTGAAGCTCGTAAAATGCATTTAGTTGTATGAGTAACTATAGGATTATTCCTGAGCCCCAAACCACAGCTCTTGGCTCCGGTGAGTGTCCTGTGTCCTATCTATTGCCCTATATATTCAGAGACACTCCGCCAGTATCTGTAAAGTCTTCAGGCAATGCTCACTGATTCCAAAAGGTTACCACTCACGCGCAACGTTCCAGGAGAGCTTCATCGGTTGTGTATGTGCGTATCTCCGGGGTGCCTGTTTCAGTCACATTGAACAACATTTCACTGTTCCCTTGGTTCCACATGGTCCAAGGAGGTGTAGTATTGCTCGGGTCAAATTTTGCGTTGGGATTGAGGTCTCTTACAATCGACATGAACGACTGAGAGAACGATGTTATGAATTGTGTGTTGTCATAAGACGGACCAGGAGGATAACTAGCACGACGGAATTAAAAGAAATGAGGATTAATGCGCACAGATGATGGAAGACATACGAGGTAAAGTAATAAGGTATATCTTGTCCATGGTTACCTGGCGGTAAGGCAAACTCACCCTGAAAGTTGACGACGAAGGATCATCATTATCATTGAATCCTAAAACTTAGTCAGAGAAGACGCACCTTCCAACCCTGCCCTGCAAATGCTTCTTGAAGGAAATACGTAGGACAAATAATAATTGCTATCGATATAATTGTAAGTGTGTTCAATTTCCATAGGAAGATGAAGGGAAAGTACTCACTTTCACCCATCACTCCGATGGCCTGGTCCAGGGAAGTTTCTAAGTACGAGTACAAATATGCAGCCTCTGCGATTTGTTCCGCATTCAGGCGGGGATATAATTGAGCCAAGTATTCTGTAATATTCATGGTCAGTCCGCTGTCCACAAACTCTCTACCTTCAAAAGTGTTTGTCACTGAAAACAACACGTCCTAAACCAGCTACGGTTATCGGAAATGAACTTGAGCGAATTGGTAAGCCATACCCCGTTTTTAAGTCCTTTACCAAGTGTTACGGTCGGCCTTTCTACAATAAAGGTACCGTCCACGACTGGAGCGAGAACATAAGTGCCGTAAAATGCATCTGCTGCAACATTGTTGTTGACAGTTATGAGAGTGTCTGTACTAGCATTACGCAAACAGGATAACTGGTTGGCACTGGAAGAACAGCTAGAAGGGAACAATAAGAAAATATACAACACCAGTCGGTCATTCCTCACTTTGCTTGCGAGACAACTTCGTTATATATATCCTGATGGCATGGATGTCAGCGATTCTCTTCCACTTCTGAGAAGAAGAAAACGTACTTCAACATATGGGTCGTTGTAGTAGAACTGCGAAGGCATAAAGGTAGAACTTGTCATGGCTGCTCTGAACAACGGAGGCTGCGTATTTCCTTGATTTGCAACGATATGCTGATAGACGGATCCCGCACCTATATCAGGTAGATGAATATGGATGGCAAGGAATGTACAACAAATAGGTTTACTTACCAGCTGACTCTCCCCAGATCGTTACCCTCTCGGGGTCTCCACCGAAACCGCTGATCTGACAACTCCATCCGGATCAGTATGCAAAATCAGACATGGATGAACAGTTTGCCCACATGATCCTGCACCCATTGGAGTGCGAAGGTCTGGTCCACTGATACAATGTCAGAAGATCATGACAAAACAAGGAACAGACGTACGAAGTCCAGCATTTAAAGCACCGTTCTCCTTCACCGCAGTGCCAGATAGGAATCCTACTCATCATCATTATTTTCATGAAAGGAGAAAAGTACAGAATACATACCAAACAATCCGAGGCGATACTGAATGAGTACCACCACCACACCATAGTCTGCATCGCGGATGATATCTGCTCCATCAAAAGCGCTTGCAGCGCCTTGAATATAACTGGGTCGAATTTCAGCTGTGTGGCCACAACACTTGGCTATGAATGGCTTACCCTCCTCCGTGAATCCATACTATAACAGGCAAATCACCTATGGGTTGGGCTGGTAAAGATCCTGGGAGGTATACACTGTTGACAGTAGATATTACTTAAAGAGCCCGATAATTAGGGGTTTATATCACCTACTTCAAAAACAAACAATCCTCGGATTGAGATACCTCGCGTTTGCTTATATTTGCCAAAGGATTTGTAGATCCGACGCTATTAGGCCCTTGAATGCACTCGTTGGGTTCAGCAATGGCTTGCTGTACTCCAGACACGATTGGCGGAGATTGGGGAGCTTCGAAACGCAGATCACCTGAAAAAGATTATCAAGACTAACGCATATAGTCTACTGTGCAGATCATACCAAATGGAGCGGCCGCATACCGGATGCCTAGGAAACTTGTGATATCAGTAGTGGTGTTTACTGATCCTTGGTATTGTGCATAACCCAGGTCTACGGTAGGCCCAGACGCAGAAGCCACGGGCGTCGAATATCCTTTCGGGAAAAGTGTACACAATAGGGCTAGAAAGCCAACTTTATTCAGCATCGCGGAAACCGCAGCTGTGAAATATGGATTATTGAGCGCAGACTTCAGCCTAACCTCTTCTTTAGTTGATTTATGTAGCCAAATCGCGGAAATGGAAGCATCAAATATATTACCTCCGAGGCCACGCACCATCGTATACATATAGTTCGAGGACTCCGAGTCGATGGGAGAAGCCAAGCTTGCCTCGTTCCTACTTCAAGGCCACCGAATCGCCGTCATGAGTAGAAAATATCCATCATAATCCATACCACGGGGCTTCATATCGCCGTCAATTTCCCAAGCATGTCAGCTGCAAATCTCCATGAACCTTTGATACAGAAAAAGGAGTTCCGCCTTGCAAAATATAGTGGAGTTTTTCTCAAATGACAGGTCACAGGGACAATTCGCGTTAATGAGCCGGGGTTCGAGCATCGACTCCTTGCTTCCTGAGCCCACGATTATTCTGGGCTCCTCGACTCCGGGTCTATGGTTGAAGTCGCAGTGGGCATGCAAGTCACGACAAGACCTCTGCTTGGAGTTTCCCGAGCTAGATTTCACTTGCATTGCACCACTGGCACTTGCTCGTGCAGAATTTCTACCAACCGTCGACTTCATCCAGCTCATGGAAGACCATGATACTCAGCTGGAAATATAGCTTATATGGGGAACTTGAGTCAAAAACAATTGACTGCCGACTCGTATAGACAGCCCTGTAGACTATTGCTCTGTGTACTCGGAAACACTGCGCCAGTACCTATAAAGGATTATCTCAGCACTCTGCCACCCAACGAAGAACCAAAGCAACTTACGCGCATCGTTCCAATAGAGCTTCATCGGTAGTAAACGCGTGTATGTCCGTAGCACCTGTTTCAGTCACGTTAAACAACATTTGCGTATTCCCTTGTTCATATGTGCTCCACGGAGGAGTGGTATTACTCGGGTCGAACTTAGCGTTAGGGTTGAGGTCTCTAACAATCGACATAAATGACTGAGAGAACGAGGTTATGAACTGCGTGTTGTCGTAAGTTGGACCGGGAGGATAGCTGGTAAAGTGTAAGATGGTTTTGCTTCGACAAGAAAAGTGCACGTACGAGGTGAAGTAGTAAGGTATATCCTCCGCATGATTACCCGGCGGTATGGCAAACTCAGCCTAGATATTAGTGAATTTACGTGATTACCATAAGATCAAACGAAATGTCTGAACGCACTTTCCAGCCACGACCCGCAAACGTTTCTTGAAGGAGGTACGTTGGACAAATAAATACAGCTGTCGACGCAATTGGCTAAGGCACTACAGGGAAGAGTCAGAGAGGGAAACTGACATTCACCCATCACTCCGATGGCTTGGTCGAGTGATGTTTCAAGATAGGAGTATAAATATGCAGCTTCTTCTATTTGTTCAGCATTCAAGCGAGGGAATAGCTGAGCCAGATAATCGGTGACATCCATAGTCAGCCCGCTGTCTACAAAGTTTCTGCCTTCGAAGGTATTGGTCACAGAAAAGAGTACTTCCTAAATCAGTGAACATCTTCAATGATAGTGTGACTTTTGTAAATCCGGAAATCATACCCCATTCGCAAGGCCTTTGCCAAGTGTTACAGATGGCCTTTCCACAATGAATGTACCGTCGACAACCGGAACGAATGCATAAGTCCCATAAAATGCATCCGATCCAATGTTATTGTTAATAGTGGTCAGAGTATTCACGTCGGTACCACGCAAACATGACATTGTGTCAGTACTGGAAGTACAACTAGAAAAGTGTAAAAGATATGCAAGCAACGGCATTTAATGCTACTTACTTTGCTTGCGAGATGACTTCGCTATATACATCCTAATGACAAGAGTCTCAGCATATTGTCTTCCCCGTCAAAAGTAACAGAATCTCGTACCTCAACAAGTGGATCGTCGTAGGAGAACTGTGAAGGTAGAAAAGTCGAGCTCGTCATAGCTGCCCTAAACAAGGGAGGTTGGTTATTTCCTCCATTCGCAACAACTTGTTGAAGAACTGATCCCGCTCCTATATCGCACACACCATCGTGAATCATAGACACAGGTTAAGTTGAAGCATTGGCGTACCGGCTGACTGACCCCAGATCGTGACCCTATTGGGATCTCCGCCAAAGCTGCTTATCTAACGACATACTGGGGTAAGTAAGGGTATAAACAGAAAAATGAAAATAGCCCCAACATGTTCTTGGACCCATTGGAGCGCAAAGTATTGGTCCACTGAGACAAGGTCAGAGGATCATCAAACTGAGTTAGACGATGGGCTTACAAAGACCAGCATTCAAAGCGCCATTCTGCTGTGCGGCAGTACCGGATAAGAAACCTGATCATTTTTAACAATTTAGACCTAATCACAGAAGAAGATAAAAACAGGATACCAAACAATCCAAGGCGATATTGAATGAGCACCACCATTACACCTTTGTCCGCATCAAGAATGAGGTCTGCCCCATCATAAGCGCTGGCAGCACCACCGGCATAACTGAACTGATCGTCAGTACTATGGCAACTCGAATATTGCTACAACTTACCCTCCTCCGTGGATCCACACCACGACAGGCAAATCGCCGGTTCCAGAAGATTCAGTTGGTAAACTACCAGGGAGGTATACGCTGTGGATAGTGACATTATTTAAGTAGGCTCGTCCATTAACGACAGAAGTTGCATACTTTAAGAACAAACAATCTTCAGACTGAGAGATAGCTCGCTTGCTCATGGTTGCCAGAGGATTTGTGGATGCATCACCACCATTCCCTTGTATACACTCGTTGGGCTCAGTAGTAGCTTGTTGTACTCCAGGGACGGTAAGAGGCGCTTGAGGCGCTTCGAAACGCAGATCACCTGAGAAGGCCAGTCAACATGGACGCATATAATCTACACTTCGCAGCGAAGCGTCGTACCAAGTGGAGCATTCGCATATCGAATGCCCAAGAAGCTCGTGATATCCGTTGTTGTGTTTACAGACCCTTGATACTGCGCATAACCAAGGTCAACGATAGGAGCAGACGCAGAGGTCACGGGCGTTGAGTATCCTTTTAGGAAAAAGGTAGGCAGGAGCGCAAGCAAGCCAAGCTTAGTCGGCATCTTAGGGACCAAGCGTGAAGTCCTGCTTATCGAGAAGCGCTGGCTTCAGCTCGACTTATGATCGTTGGCTGCATTTATGTAGGCCACGGAATTCGTGTCTCGAATTCTGAGGACACGCGCCACTGAGTACGACGTCCGAGGCACTCGAGGAAAAAAGGCAGGCACGCCTTATTGTACGTTAAGGGCACTGAATCGCCGTCGTGGGTAGAGCCTCATGGTCATAGTCTACATCATGAGACATGATAATGCAACAACATTTCGGAGAAGTGCATCAGCTGGGATCATTGTCGACAAGTTTATGAATAATTACCACAGGAAAAGGAGTTCCGCTATATAACAGACAGCGGTCCGTCCCTCGAGTGTAGATCACAGGGACAACTCGTGTCAGCGACAGGGAGCTGAAGACGTTAGTTCGTGCTTCCTGGTCCCACGAATATTCTGGCATACAATCATCCTAGAATCATTAGGTCCATGCCATGAGATTGTTTATCCACTATCGAATAACATTGGTATACTCACTGGTGTTATGCATGTTGTACTCATGGTTAGCTCCAGGAATCTATGCTTTACAGATATGAGTGAATGAAAAGTCTACAACACAGTATGTCCTAATAAAGCTTGACCCAGCCATACTGCGATCGTTGTAAAGCCGGGAGTTTCCGTCCCAGTGGTACTGTTTCGCCAGCCGCACCTTAGTCTACAGTCTGCCATTGCAGGATATACTTTCCATCACATACCAATAGTGCAAACGGTGCAGTAACCAGCTCCTGTGTATGACCAGTTATATTTTAACCAGTAAACTCAGTACTAACTCGCGTGTCTACCAGGCTTTCATGCCGATTTGTACCAACTGCACACATCCAATCTCTCACTTATACACGGTTTACCAGTCGAAATATAACCTCAGACTAGAACAATGTGTCCGTCTCTTGTCACTATTCGAGTACCTTCGCGAATTCACATCAGGTTTTGGGAAATTGGGACCATGATGTTGTAAACAGAACAAGTGCCAATCCTTCGCCGATCCTTATGTGGAATTCGACCATCTCCCGCTGATACTCGACTTGATACTACTCAAGAGAGAAGTGTACCGACACCTCCTGTACAACAGGGGAACAGAACCAAGACGAGCATATGAAGGGAAAAGCTCGAGCAGGAGTGGCGACACCACCCCAGAAACGAGCAACACGAGAGATGCGCAGCTGAAACATCAGGGTGATTTAGAAAAAGAGCATCAAAGGGAAAAGGTAAGTTAGAGAAGCTGTTATACGTCAGTCATACCTCATCTGTTCGAACCATAGCTGAGGTGGCAGTTGATCCTCCGCTTGGGAGGCGGACTCATCCTCGTCGATGCATGTACGTCCTTTACGCATTTACGCGAATACTCCAATCTTCTCTAACGCGCGAGACGCAGTTATTCGATGGGCACATCTTGGTACACTTCAGTCTCTGAAAAATTAGCACTCGCTGACACGTCGTAGATCCCGCAATATCGTCTGATGTTTCACGGTGGACAAATGACACTAGTATAGCTTTCCTCCGCATTTTCGTTGGATGCCTGATAGGTACTGTTTTCGTGGCTTACTTTAACCCGTAGGCTGTGAATTTGTTGCTTATTTTTGCCCTCCAGAAACGATAGCTTTCCATGGAGGCGTCATGCTGGCTTCGTTCTTCGTAGTAACTTTCTTAGATAGGATTCGATCCCGAACACAGACGTCGGGTGCTATATCTGGTATTCGACAAGAGTTTAGGTGTGTGATAGTCTGACTGTGCTTTTCACACTAACGTCTAAATTGTTCTATGTTAGGCTTTCTCTTATACCTCTTACTATCTTTTACTCTTCCTTGACGAAGCTTTTTCTCTTGTTCCTCTTGTCAATATGGCGCCCATCTGGGGCGACGTTCGACCAAACTTCTGCTCAAAATATGCCTTATAGGACACATTTTGATAATCCTTTCATTTCTGGTGCGTTGGAGATATGGGACGAAGACAAACTGGATCGCGAATGGGTTGTTAGGAATGTGCTTGGGGGTATGACGGCAGGATTCGGGCTTCGGGGTAGGTGATCAAAATATATACTAGGAATGAAACACTGAATTCTTATGTCAGTGGTCCTTGATTGTCACCCAATGTTTACAACTGTCGTGATACTTGCTGGGTGGGCTGTCAAGACCGCAGTTGCTGATTTAGTGAAGGATTGGGTTGGCGGAGACAGGAATTTCGGAGAAGTTTGGTTAGAGTATAGCATTCCATAATGCACCGGGTGACGGTGCCGCCAAACTTATTATTTTGTTCCTCGTATTGCATTGAAAGAGCTGAAGCTACCATGCCCAGACTGTGAATGATAGGAGACATGCGCACTGATGCCCTACTTGCATTTCATTTTAATAATGCAACGCCTACTAGTAACTTAATTTATACTGATCATCATACTCCAAGCTTCCCCCGACTTGATACAGCGGACCCCTGACACTGCTGTCACTCCTGTTTGCTCAAGAGCAATCCGCGAAACCCATAACCACAAAGATGCCTGCTCCTGCCAGTTCTTCAGCGCGCGCCCTCAACGCTATTCTTCCTCTCATCGCCTCTGGACAACCCTACGAAGCCCACCAAAAAGCTAGAACTTTCGCCTCGCGTTACTCAAAGTCAGGACAATATGATACAGCCATCGACGTGCTCTTCCAGTCTGCACGGGAGCTGCTTAAGGTCGGACAGCAGGGTAGTGGGACAGATCTCACATCTTTCCTACTTGATGTGTACGAGACCAAAGGAGAAGATGTAAACGATGAATCGAGAGGTAAGTAGCGATGGTCTAGGGCCTGATCCGGATAGACTGACGGTAAAGCTTGGGATGAACAGGCAGATTGACGCAACTGATTGCTCTGGCGGGATCTTCGGGATCCTGGAGAAAAACAATAATTGATAAGTCGTTATCGTAAGTTATTCTTCTTCGTAACAAACAGTATCGATGGTTCTCAGTATCACTATTACATAGATGGTCAGCCAAACATGGACCATGCCCTGCTGGCGATCAGGATCTTCAGCACTACGTTGGTGAACTGCTGTATAAAGGTATGAGGTTACGGTACCCCATTTAATGAATACAGACGAGTTCCGTAATTTCACAGATGGTGCATTTGATGATGCTGAGCCACATTTCCTGGCTTCAGGTAAGAGAGATAGTGCGCGTTTACTTGCGGAAATGACCGTCGAGTGGTCTGCTGCTGGCGGGATGCCTAGTACATTTGCCCTACGAGGAATCATTCCGTAAGAGTCCCTTAAGCCCCCATTCTTCAAATTAAACTGACCGCATCTTCAAGTTATTTGCAAAATGGCAATATTCTCGCTGCTCGAACTTTTATTACCCACTTTGTAACTCAGCTCATTTCTTCGAAGCCGACAATACGTTCAAAGCTGCAAACTTCCCCTCTTCCTATTGGACCCAGTGACAACCCGAAAGGCGAACTAATATACACTAGCGATTCCGTGCTCAATTTCTGCCAACTTGCTGTGTTGACTTGTCAGAGGGCACAGGGTGACAAGAATAAGTCTATCAGAGAGTCTTGGGTAAGGCTTTGTGGAACGTATCAGTCAAAGGGAGGTATCCTAGCCCACAGGGAAGTCCGAATGGTGAATAAATGGCGTTCTCCACCTTTTTGTGGCATTTGCTGACATATATTTTTTCCTGTTTATCAGGGTCTAAATGAAATCGGGCAATTATATTTCGCCATTCCGCCACCACGTACTCAGCCGGCAAATCCATTCGGAAATATGCTCTCTTCAATGCTGGGAGGAGGAATGCCTGGGGGAGGAGGGGGTCCACCACCACGTAGAGTTCTGTCTCCCGCTCCAAAGGGACCTTCAACACCTGGCCTGGATTAGGTTGGTGCAGTATACGGAGGGGCATCAGGAATATAGCTCGCTCTACCTTTCAAAAGTGTCTTTCTACGTCCTCGTTATGTTGTGTAGACACTGAAATATAGTTGTATTCATGGGACATTTGCGACTGCATGCACCAATGTATTGGGTGGGCTAGTTCCAGTTCTGTAAACACGAATTACTGTAGCAACAAGGGGTGCTGATTAGTGTGTAGTAGGTGTATAATTCAGTCAGGACCCACCAACCTATGTATATTTGCGCATCCTGGACGTGGTACAAGCTTCAGGAGCTTGAGGAACAACAAGTTCTGAACGATGAGATTCATACATAATATTCATCCTGGTAGATTATTCCTACAATATCGATTACAATTTGCGGTATTACAAGCGTGACCTAGAAAACTCGGAGTCAATACTCATAGGGTCACCATGGTCCTCAATTTCAGGGCCGCACCTAATAATATAAAGGAGTGCACACCCGTGTACACTTAATTGCTAAATTTTTTGTTTTCGAAATATTGGGTTTAGCTTGGGTAAGGTTGGTAAGGTCATTGAAGACCGCTGCCACTTCTTCTCACGCCGTTTGGCCCCGGAAGGGGCGTTGAGGCCTGCGACACTATAGGTGTAGTAACGTCTCCATTGATAATGTCTTGTATTGAAGCCTCAAGGGCATCCACTCGAGCGGACATCTGATTCACTAGCAGTCGCAACTGTTAGGTCAGAATTTGGTGGGGAAGGCGATAAGAAACGTACTTCTGTCCAAAATTTGAGAGGACATATCATCGAATTTGGTGTCAAGCTGTTCCAGAAGTGTCTCCACCTATAAATGGTGGTTCAAATCGATGTGCCAGAAAGACTATGAATGATAAGCGAAAGAAAGAGAAATGCACGTACGAAAGCAGTCAGCTCATGAGGACTGGATATTTCTCCTGGAGCTGGGGCAGCAGCCGGGTTTGGTGACTTTGCTTTAGAGAAGTCGCCATTTGTCACCGACCTTGCTGGCGTCGATGCAGGTGTAACTTTGAGAGGAAGTGAGGATGCCATGATAGTAGTGTAATAGGTACTATGGTCGCTCAAACGGTTTGACCCACCTGCGCGTGCCACAGCGGTATCCGCCATTACATAAGCATGCAACCGAGCCGTTTCAGTCGGACGGGCCACGGGATTCGATGCTAGCCGGATCGATATTCCTACTACGATGTTCTTCCCTGTAAGTTGTTCGTCCTGGCCATGATTTTTGGAGTAGGGCGAGAACGTAAATCCCAGGTCTAAAAGCTCTAACTCATTGCTGCGGGCACTTTGGACTTCTTTCACAGCTACCGACCATCCAAGGCTGACTTCCCCGAGCTCGGATTGCCCATAGCTGGAAAACTTGGACTGGATGGTACGTGTTGGAATATGACATCATTTCGCCGAACTTACCGCACCGTGCTGGCATTGAACAGTAATGGAACGGTTCGTGTTCGTCGCGCCATGCTCCCTAGTTCTCACCTTCTTTTCCTGTCATTTACTGTACACACGTATATCCAAGAACGAAGGTGGAGTCACAGCGTTAGCAGTCGAAGAATGGAGTATACGTATACTGTCATGTGTACCACTCAGCGGTATGGTTGATTTGTCTCTTCGAAATTCCATGCAAATATTGGCAACCCTATGTTCAGTGCATCGCCAATCATTTTCAAGTTAGGCTCATTGCAGTACCAGTGTTCAACGTTCAGCACAACAAATTCTGAAACAATATGTCCCATCGTTTTCTCCTTATTGACATGTTGTCTCCTCCTTATTGGTATGTTGTCTCATATTCCGGGGGAGGAGGTACGCGCTTTGGTTGTTCAGACTGTTCATGTCAAGCTCTTGTCCTTCGGTCCGTTTCACCGAGCACAGAGCCATCAAGTTCATAAACTTTTCATCAAGAGTTGAGGTCGTCATTGTCTGTGGGCAACGGCATTATTCATTGAGGCTGTCGACACTGGCGAACGCATCGCAGTTGAACGCTTGTAAAATAAATTTTTCTGTTTGTTTTTTGTTCCCGACTCGGAGGCCTCTTTGGGATATGTTCGCGGGAGGGCTCATAATGCGCGGAGTTCTTATCTCTACCATAATCCCATTATTGTTTTCCGCGGACTGACTCGGCAGCATTGCCAGGCTCACGAAAAAGCTAAAGCTAACGGGGAAATCACGCGAATATTAAAATTTGGTATCACCTCACAGCCAGGGTCAATAATCCTCTAGCACGCCAGAAACTTAATCTCGTCATGTTTCACTCACGGGCTCAAGCTCGCACGCTGCTTTCGCTTTGGTTGTCGTGATTTTATATCCAAAAGTCTTTTGTTTCCTCGTGGATTCGGATCTTCAAGTTTACCAACCCTGTGGGGCTAGGAATCCAAGTGCACTATACTCAAAGTACAATGTAATACCTCAGAACGATCGCGATCGCTGCGTATACTACAATGTGGTTGTCACCCTCAATTAATCACTTGGAACCACTCAGGCCCACTCTTTGATGTTCATTTTCATGGTGTAGCACAAGTTGCGTGCTACCTTTTCACTGTATCACGACGAGGTGACTTGTTCCCCCCGATTTAATTTCGGGTGCAAAAGGAATAGCGGAACGTGAGATTTACGTTGAATGGATCAATTCGCTTGTGTTATGTTACACTCACACAAATCTTTGCACACAGATCTTGTCCTGCCGTGATGGGCGCATTCATGACCGTGAATTTCGCGACATTGAGTGTTTTTTTTCTTGTGGTAACCGTCCCGAGCAAAAGCCCTTGACAGGTATAAAAGCCAAGCTCTTGTGTCTCAAAATATTCGTCGTCCCCTCATCTATCCACTACCTCTCTTCTATCATAGCCTTCTTATTCCTTTCTCGTTTAATCATCTGACGACCATGTCTTCAACTGAATCAGCTCCTACGAAATTCATCCTTCCCGATCTTGTCACCGATTGCACATTCCCTCTTCGCTTGAACTCAGACTGCTACGATGTTGCTCGCGCTTCCGAGAAATGGCTTTTGTCGGGTGCTCGTCTTGTCGAGCCCAGGAGCTCCAAGTTTATGGGTTTGAAAGCCGGCGAGCTTACTGCAGCATGTTACCCGGACGCAGATGCTTCCCACCTTCGTGTCTGTTCTGATTTCATGAACTGGCTATTCAACATGGATGATTGGTTGGACGAATTCGATGTAGAGGGAACTTGGGGTATGCGGGAATGCTGCATTGGTGCTTTCCGCGATCCTCTTCAGTTTGAAACCGAAAAGCTCGGTGGTAAAATGACAAAATGGTACGTTATCTTTCGTCATAAGTCCATTACTCGACTAATGTGACCGCTGTATCATAGCTTCTTTAGCCGCTTTGTAAAGACCGGTGGTCCTGGTTGCACGGAACGCTTCATCCACACCATGGATCTGTTCTTCAAAGCCGTCGTTTTACAAGCCAACGACCGTGCCAATGGTCTCGTCCCGGATCTTGAATCTTATATCACTGTTCGTCGCGACACGAGTGGCTGCAAACCGTGTTTCGCCCTTATTGAGTACGCCGCCCGCATCGACCTTCCAGACGAGGTTATGCAGCACCCTGTCATCCAATCTATGGAAGAAGCCACTAACGACCTCGTAACATGGTCGAATGTAAGCATTGATTTTTTCCAGCCGTTCATACATTTATTAAACATAATCTATTGCAGGATATATTCTCTTATAATGTAGAACAGTCCCGTCACGATACGCATAACATGATTGTGGTCCTCATGCGCGAGCGTGGGCTTGACCTACAGGGGGCAGTTGATGTCGTTGGCAACTTCTGCAAAGGCAGTATTGACCGCTTCCAGACCGAACGTGATAACCTTCCGTCATGGGGAGAAGAAATTGATCGCGATGTGGCGATCTATATCGATGGACTCCAAAACTGGATCGTCGGCTCTCTCCACTGGAGCTTCGACTCTGAACGGTACTTCGGAAAGGAGGGTCTCGATGTCAAGCAGCAACGTATTATCAACCTTTTGCCAAAACGCCCTTTGTGATCGGATTGCTCTCACCCTGTAGCGTTTACCTTATCTGTGAGTATAATCCAGCATCTATGATTTCCTTCTCTAATCGGCTTATTTACAGGTATAGCCGTCTACTACTAGACTCTTCGCGATAGCGATTATTTCTATCATATTACCCGGATAATCACACAGTTCTATGATATGGGTCCATGCGCAATATATGCCTATGCACCTCAACACACCTACCAAAACGGGCTGGCGCAATGGCCACCCTCTTTACTACCTCCTGTAGCTTTGACTTTTATTCTGTATGACGTCCATGTTTCGAAGTCTCCGACTGTATCATACCTCCGGCTCATCTAACTACGCTTTATTTTAGATTTTAGTTTTCTTGGATAGTTAGCAGTGTTATCTGTTGTTTTAATTTTTGAATACAAGTGATTGATTGATTTTATTTGCACCGTCATATTTTAAAGTTGATGGGGTAAAGTACAAACATAATTCTCTGCCATTTTATCCTTATTCATACATCTGTCAATGACTACTTTGCTCAGAAGTTTATCCAAGTATCCGTACAAGCTTCATGGTTTCCCACATCGCTCAATCACATATTCCTTTGCTCGCTTCTGTTCCGTACCTCCAACACCATCGAGGGCTTCCGGTGTCTGTTGGTCAAGGTTTTCCTGTATGCGGAACAAATTCAGTAGTTTATAGCGCGAGCCGTCTATTTGACTACATACGCGACCTCTGTCTGCACCAGCTTCAATCAGGAGGACAGCTGCTTGTGCATGAGCCGAGTCCATGGCAAGATGTAAAGGTGTATTTCCTTTCGCGGTAAACGCGTCAGTGGTACAGCTACCCAGGTGAAAAATCAACATTTACCCATGCGATCAGCATTATTCAACCGAGTCTTTGGTGAGCCTTGGGGGGGCTTGAGAAGGAGAGCGACAAATCCGGTGGATCCTGTAGTAGCAGCTCGATGGCTAGAGATTTTTGATTAGCAAGCATATGTGCTGTGTTCACCGTCTACTCACAGTGGGACTTGATTCGCCTTATCCTTAGCATTTATCTACACAGAGCCTTAGGTGTGTAGCTGGTGATTTCTGTAATACGCTTACATCGGCGCCTCTGGAGATCAGAAATTTACCAATCTATCAACAAGGTCAGTGTTCGAGAGCAAGTGAAACGGTATTGGCATACATCGACGCGAGATTTTGATGCAGCATAATGCCTTGACAGGGAGATTAATGGAGTACCCATCGGATGAATAGATACCATACAGTGGGGTGATACCCTTGTCATTCTTCCTGTTTACGTCAGCCCCTGCTCCAATCAGTTCTCGAACGACATCTTCATGACCTGCGCTGACTGAAATAACATGTTATAAATATTGAGCCATGTCCTGCACGTATGGCATACCAGCGATATGAAGTGGTGTCCAGCCACTACCATCTACTTTGTCTACTTCGGCTCCTTGGTCAACCAGGTATCGAGCTATGTCGATTGATCCCGAAGAGGCTGCCCAGTGAAGAGGGGTTCTTTCATCCTTGGGTAAATAGTGACCTTCGATCATTGGTCTATGACTGGAGAATATATCATACCACATCCGCTTCGTTGACTAGTTTGGGGTTCTCTGATATCAATGTACGAACTAGCGAAAGCTGATCTGGTTATCCAAGCGCAAAGTGGTCAATATACGATCTCTGGTAAACTCAAGACATGCCGTCACTTACTATTCTGTGCAGCGGAATGGACGGATAACACCATCTTCAGTCTGTGTAATTAAAAGATAAAAAAGTACAAAGCAGTTAGTAGGTAGTTGGACAACTTGTAGTAAGTCAGTTCAGGGTGTTTAACATACCGGTGACGCGTATCGTGATCTAGACCCTAACCTCGGAAGCTTCGGCTATAGCCGCCCAGCCAGCCGAAAGCCGCAAAATTTAGGCTGATAGATAATGACTCTAGCAGAATATATTTTGCTGTATTTAGCTATATGCTAGGATGACCGGTTTTATCGGTGGACACCAAGGCAATGTAAACTATATAGAACAATTATATCATATTTTTTCTTTCTTTTTCTTTCTATTATTTGAGAATCTTTCTGTCTGAATTATAATGATTGAAACCAAACACCACTGATTTATTGAACAAGCATTGAAAACGACTTAAAATGACATACAATGAAAAACATTGATTTATCATACAGGCAGCAAAAATGAAACAAAATGAAATAAAGTGAAACACACCGATTCATGAAAAGGGCACATAAAATGAAAGAAACCAATATCATCAGGAAAAATTACTCACACAGTAGCGCCATGTGTGGTCTGTAAACTACATGGTGAGGTGGCAAGTTCCCAAAGCGGAACATAGTGCCATCAAGTAACAACCGAGTGTCTATACCACTACAGACACTATAGTATCCCTTATAGTTGCCCTAGTGTTACATAGCATACATGTACTACATTCTACACTCCTCTAAAACATAACATTATTTCTATGATATACCTCGATCCGAAGCATTGCATTTGCGCAGGCGAGTCAATCACAGCACCTGTGGCAATGGCGATATGGGATCTGGCTCATGCAGATGCGTGAGCCACTCCACGTAGACCAGGACATGATTACCTACACCAAATTGCTGGGGAAATTGAAAGACTGCTCTGGCCTGCGCAACAAGCAGGCCTGAACAGTCTTTCAGTCAGCGCCAGCAGCTGTTACAGTGGTGACAAATGAATTACCAGCAAGACCCAATCCTCCTTCAAATTCCTCCTGGTTCTCAATCACCAAAGCCATGTCAAAATGGGCGGGTGAGGCCCCCTTCCTGCTTGTTTGTGAGGCTATTGACTTGGGGCTGCAACACAGCTGCAAACATTGGCCCATTTTGGAAGTGTGCAAGTTTGGCGGCACCACAAACACTACTTGTTTGTAGACATCAAAGCAGTCTATGGTGAAGGGGGTGAGTTGACAAGTGGGAAAGGTTGTCCGTAGATAGCTTGTGAAAGCTGGGAGGAATTTTTTGGCCCTATGTAGGGTCTCCAGATTGATCACGCTTGTTCCAGGCAATGGGCAACATTTAGCTATTACTCTACTGGTATGGTTTAGAGATCTGTAGGCCTCATCACTCACCCGTCCCACAGGTGTGCGGTTCAAATCCAATTCCTCTACTTCTGAATTTATTATATCAGACTCTACCCCCACTGTCTTGAGACCTTCAGAGCCGGGGAGTGCAGACTTTGCAATTTTCCACAGGAGAAAAGAGCCTTGCAAGTTGATTGCATCTTGACATTGCAACCAGATGGGCATTTGTTCCCCGTAGTCACATCTGTTGCTCCATCAATAGGCCTCCTTGGCATAGTCAATATGCAGGCACTTGGGTAGCTCTGTGTTGAGCCCATCGGCTGCACCAAACAGTTCAATCAACTTGACATAATGGAGCAATGCATGTAATTTGGGTATGTTGAAGTCGGACTATATTTTGAGATCCTTGAACACATCCTTGTTTGTGTGGAACACCTTGAGGCATTTATTCAATTTGGTAAGTGTCTTTGTCGTGCAAATTCAGAACTGAGCATAGTAAATGAAGTCCAATAATGAGGCAGCCACAGCCAGCACTTGAGCATTGACACCCCCTGCCAGTAAGCCCACAAAAACCCTCTCCGTCTCTTTGTGTTTACTTCCTGTCCATTAACTGATCTGCAAGATCCCTTTATTGACATGTTGTAACCCTGGATAGCTGGCCATCACTTTGAATCGCAAATCCATCTCTTCCTTGCCCATCACACTCAAACACCATTAGACTAGGTGATCTTTGAACACCCCCTTATGTAACTGATGAAGAATATCAGGGGTGAATCTCTTGAATATATTGGTATAGGGAAGTTTGCTCCAGAATGGCTTGAATACACCATGAAGACCTTCACTTTCATTCCTTGGGTCTGTGTCCTTGCTTTTGTAGTTGGAGAGCCTGATAAGTCCTCCTGGGTCCTGTTACGATCTCTATTGGACATTTAAGGACTACTTATTTCTTTTTACTCATCGGTTATACCATCGGACCGATGACTCATTTCCTTCACGTACACTTCCGTTCCTCTCGCATTCACAGTACCTATTATAGTACTTAGTCCTCAACAGACGGACCTGCCCTAGATAGGACCTAACTCCTATCACCGATTCCTTTCCATTATAAATACCATGTAACAGCAGTAGTATTCTCTAATACGATTCTACGCAGTTTACGCTTACAAAGCTAGACTCCTAAGATCAGACTTCTATTCAGAAGAAGACCAACTCCCGTTGGAAAACCTCCACTCAGAACTATGTTCTCGAACTTGTCTTCGGATAAGTCTCTTTACAAACCTCGACGAACCCTCAGACTTTGTTAAGCACTTCGTGCGTAACAGGTCCCGCAATAACAAGCTAACCATATTTCCTTGTTTGTCATGTAAAACAACACATTTAGGGCACCGACTTTCCTTGCAACAAGTGATCAAACACTGCTCAGGAAAATTGGCCACATATGCTGCCAGAATGGGATGAATGTGATGTATCAATCCATCTGCACAGATCATGTTCAATCTGTCCTTGCCAGCAGCCACAGGTGGCCTCAACATTATTGACATGCAGCGGTGGAACATCCAATAGCCAGCAAGTGACTGTGTGTTCTCTTTGAAACAATCCAGCTTGGCCACAAGTAACCCAGCAGGATCATAGCCTGTTTTGACGGCTTATGTCTCGCATCTTTAGCAATGTTCCCAATTGTTGTAGATGGGCCAGGCAGACTTGTCCCCTCAGAAGTTTGTCAACATTGTCTTATCCAATGCCAAGATTACTGGAGAGACAACTCCTCTGTTGGGTATGATGCCCTATCACCTGCTAAGTATTATTCTCTAGATATTGTACCATATGACAACTTACTTGTTTCTCCCAACACCAATCTGCTGTCCACATGTCATCAAATATACGCTCCTGAGCACTCTTGTCTGCATATGCACGCTCTGGAGCATACACTGTTGAGTCCTTGAAGAGAGGATTACCTATCAAGTCTTTGGTGATCTCCACAAGGTTTCTCATCCACAATTTATACTCTTCTGACCTGATCTGGTCATTATCATCCTGTAGATTGCCCATCACTGACACTTTTTCACAGGTCCATCCAGGACCACTCAGTAGACTATCTACTTGCTGCAAGGAAGACTGAGTATTATGAAACAATAAGTGTGATCTATTTTTTGTCTAGCAGTAAATCACTGTCAATGATCCGAATCCAATTGAAGAGACAGTGGAAACATACAATCAGCAGGTTCATAAATTTGTTGGTATGTCCTTGTCCCAGATTTTTCATTAACCATTCTGCTAACTCCCACTCTTCTTGATCAGCAAGCAGCTCCCATGGTTCTTTGCCTGCACTCTCTCAGCCTTTTTCCCACTCCTCAAACTTCATCAAGCCCTGTCCAAAGATTTTCACAGGGCTCCCAGCATAAGTTTTGATGTAACATCCAATGAATGGTGTACGTTCCAAGCAGTCTTCATTTTCATCTTCAGCAAGATTAACTCGGTGTCAATGATGAGAACTGTTGTTAGAAAACCACACACAAAAAAACAAACTAACACACAATCCTCCCAGATTCCACGGAACTTGTGTATGGGCTTTGCCTCCAAAAACAGTGGAGTGGTCTGGTTGTTCGTGGGGTGATATGTATAACGATCCTTCAAAGTAAAACCCAGGGATGTATGGGTGTGGGTTTTGAGGAGGAGGGATAGTTGGAATATAGAAGATAGGGGATTTGCGGCAAGTATAGATGAGCACTACCTTGTTAATTGTAGCACAAGGTAGGTTTGAGAATGACAAGATAATGAGGTTCCCAGTGATAGCAGGCTCCTAATGCACAAACTGTAGTGCTCAGAAGGACTCTAATTGAAAGGGATGATAATGATTTCAAAAATGGAGAGTGATGATGACAGCAGATAACAGTGGTAGCAGTGGGAAGTATTGTGACCATACTGGATCACAAGTAGCAGTAAGAAGTGGACTTGAGATTAGAGAAGAAGTCTGGGTTGAAGTTCTTGTTGTTTTTTTTTTACAAGGTAAAATACAGAGGTTTATATAGTAAAAGAAAGGTAGGCTATGCACAGTATAGCTGTGCAAAAAGAATGAGAAAGAACATGAAGGAAGGAATGTACACTGATGAATCCTGCATAGGTAGTACAGGATAAGATTATCAACAAAAGGAAAAGAAAGGGATAGAACAATGAATGCTGTGAGTAATGTCACAGGTTTGTACAGCCATAAAGTAAAGTCCAATAGCAAAAAGAGAGCAGGAAAATCATGATGTCATGGGAAGATGCAGTAAAAAAAGGGCAAGGCAAAACACTATCAGTATCAACACAGTTCCTTTATTGTCAGTCAGGCATTCTAAAAAATATGTGTCCATAAAAATGATTCAAAAATCAAAAATAATCGCACTGTAAATGAATGTTCTGCTGAAGAAAAAGAAACTGGAGCCACCAGTCCACCACCTAGTCCAAATCTGACAGTTCTGTGACCTTACCAATGGACTGGTTGTGTTGGACCACCTGATCAAACGAGGGAGGGAGAGGAGTAGTTCCAATATGGAACAAGTGAGTCCCAGGCAGGGTGTGGTAGGTGTAGCTGTAGTGAAGACGATGGACAAAAGATAAGTGTACCCAAGTGAATGGGACAGCGATGAACATGGGCGACGCAAGGGGATGAACCTTCTCCAGCTCAAAAATTACCCACCCACGCTCCAACCAGGCAAGACGAGCGACCAATGTTTTGATAGTATATGATGGCAGATCGACATCATGAAGATGGACCTGTTGCCCTATTTGGACCGGCCGCCGGGGCTTTGCTGATATCAGCAGTGGCACATGGTAGTCAACGGATCGGTGACGGAAGCGGATAGGAAGTGGTGACATCAGAAATGGTGGGGGTGCAAATAAGATGAGGAGGAGGAGGGTGGAGGTGACAAAAAAGTGGATTAGAATGGGGATCCAGAAACGACTGTCAGGTGAGAATAAAAAGGAGAGGAAGGGGCCCATGGTGGGGCTGAGTAAAGAAAAAAAAGGTAAGGGAGAACAACGAAAGCAAGGGTGCAATGTGTAGCCAGTGGCAATGTGAAAATTTGCCAAAATGCCGAAATGTGGAAAGTACTGAATGGAAAGCAAAGGTGAGCATGACTTGATTGCCTAATAAAGGTGGTGCTGATCAGCCACAAGTTTGAAAAAGGCAATATTGATTACTATTCTATGTGGCACTGTGCCTGTGTGGCGCTGGAGTAGGCCGAGAAAGGAATCAGATAACCCAGAGACAATTAGATAATCATAGTTAATAGTTCCAACTCCTTTCTCGGAGTTGGAGTCATCTCTGGCTGGCACTACCATTGTGGCTACTCCAATGTGGTGACAGAAGGGAATAGAAAACACTTTCGCTATAGACACTCTGTCTGAGTACAAAAACTGGGGCGAAACCAGGCTCCTCCACAGCCACTGTTTTGAGAGAGGAGGACTTAATCCTAGAGATAATGATGAGATTAGATATAATTAGATATGATAAGATAATAATCATAGTCAGCACAACTTTATTCCTTGCTCTCTCTCCACAGCGGCTGCAAATTACATTGTAAACAATGCCTTGCCACATTGATAGTGACGAGTCTCAATGTCGGACATCAAAAAAAATTGCAGACTAATAATAATGTTTTCCCACATGCCAATTTAGGCAAGTAAGTTCTAAGCACTGGCGGTTGGTAATCTCAGTGTCCATATTCACTTTTGCCAGTGTCTCCACATTCTGCTGCCCAAGTTTACTGCTGTCGTTGCATGTGTTTGGGCCTAAGTATGAGAGGTATCATAAATGCCAGTGTTGTTCCCAAACCTATCCTGCAATCAATATAACATCATTCCCTCCTTAGCAAGCACTTGTCCAACTTTGGCCTGCCAAAAACATGGATAGGAGCCTGGCTTTTGCTGGGTTATTCTACAGATGCCAGTAAAGGAATTTAAATCCTGCCTGGCCATCAACATACATCACTGGACTGCATCACACAGGCCCATCTGTATTGAGTACTTGTAGATACAAAATTAGTAATTGTACTGTAATTTGAAAAATGATTAACATTTTTCGATGTCCAACAATGATGCTCGTCACCGTCACTGTGGCGAGCCATTATTTACAAATGTTAATTTGCAGCCGCTGTGGAGAGAGAGTGAGGAATAAAGTTGTGCTGACTTTGAAATTATCATAATCATGTGACTATCTATTAATAAGCCTTGTCCTGAACTCCCTAGCACTCATCCTCCTCTCTCGAAACAGTGGCTGTGGAGGAGCCTGGGGCAAAACGCACTATAGCGTACCAACACTACACAATAACATATAGTGGAATAACAACAATGAATCAACAACATGGATACACATACCAAAACAACGCAATCAACAACAGCATCAAAAATTGATAGGGTACAACTAGAACAAAGTCCATCACCAGCGCAAAACTATGATTTCAACCAGTACAATGCAGATAGTGAGAACAAGATAGTAGGACTGATGGGAATACCGAGAGGAGGAGAAGGAGTAGAATTGTCCTTAGGGTCAGGAAGGCAGGACCCAGAAGTATGGATGAGGCGGTTCCTCAGAGAATCATTGTTATAGCCGCACAACAAAAAGGTATTACTCCTGGAGACATTCATGGCCCCGCACTTGCCAACAGACGACTGGTTCAACAATCTATCAGAAGGAGAAAGAATGTCATGGACATTAGTAGAACGAGCATTTTATTCAGCGTTTCCTAAGTGGGACGTGAAAATCGTACACAAGGACCCATTTGACGTGTTCCAAAAATTAAAACTAACAGAGAACGAGTTGGGGAAAATAATGACAATGAAACAGGGAGCACAGAAGCAGTTGTATGTCAAATTCGCAGAAGAAGCCTTACTGTGGGGACAACAAATACAGATGCCCGACAAAGCAGGGGAAGTGTTTGTCAAGGAATGCATACCGAGCACAGTAGCGGCATACTTAGACAAAGCAGTCACCAAGTCAGCAAGTTATGTGGAATAGATAGACACATTGAGAAAAGCAGAAGTAGAGGAGCTGATGGCAAAGAAGAAGCTGCAAGCAAGAATCAACAAAATGGAATGAATGATACAAGCACTCACAATAGTGAATAACCAGAAACCATTCCAACGTCCACAACAATGGCAAGACAATTGGCACAAAGCAAGAACTTGGAGAGAGAGCTCAGTCCCAGTGCAAATACAAGACCAAGGGAAGATAGAACATCAGGGAACGAGAGTGGAAGAATTACGGACAGGACAAACCTGGGGCCCGAGCCACCCCAACTCAGATGAAGGAAGAATCAAGACTGAAGCCGACAGAGTGGCATGGAAGAAATGATGGGGAGAGAATGCCAAACCAGATGCCACAAAGCCATACCCGATCACACCTGGCACGGTGCCAGCAGGCTTGGGAGAGTGTACGGAATGTGGATGGGGGGGGGGGGGGGGGTACCAATGCTACCAAAAATCAGCGGAGCTCCCAGAGTTAGAGCAGATGTTCTGAAGAGCAGTGGAAAAGGAACCAGCAAGTATTATGATAGTCACCGACAAAGGAGAAATAGAAGTTCAGTGGGATGACCTTCAAGAACAGGAGAGCCAGGGAAAAGTGACGGGGATGGCTTGAAGACAAACAGCCAAAGCCTATCCCCAAACAAGGAGCTGTTGAGAGTAGAAAGCAAACTCTTGATGGGGAAGACAGAAGTAGAAGAACACGAATGGATGTCAGAAAGTGTAAAGATAAACCCCAACAAAAATGATAAAGGGAGTGATGACATGTACATACATACAGCTATTAATTTGCGCTTTTTCCTGTACGACACAGACAAAGTGTTACCACTATACTCAGTCAACCCTGCAAGTAAAAAGGATGTTTGCCAATTATTCAAACACAAAATTACAATCAAATCAATGAGAGGGAAAGTATGAGAACTAATGGCAATAGTAGACAACGGAGCCATGATGAACACTATTGATACAGTAGTATGGGCAACAATAAAAGGTGAAATGGGGGAATTGAAGGAGTCAGAAATGAAAGGAAAAACAGCAAACGGGGCAGTGTTGAAGTCATATGGAAGATGAATAGGAATGGTGGAGATTGATGAACAAATATCAGTGGCCGGATTTGAAATATTCGACTCGGGGGGAGCCTTCAAAATCCTACTTGGCAAACCATGGCTAGTCAAGAACGAAGTGGTTCATTACTACGCAACGGATACATTACAAATGCAAATAGGAGACAAAGTCATCATAGTTTGAAATAAAAACAGAGGAAATGAACCACAGTCACAGAAACAAAAGACAACAACAAGGAGAAAAAAGAGGAAGAGAATGGAAAGGAGGAAGATGAAGTAGAAGAAAGGGCAGGGGAGACAACAACAGCAACTCAAAACGAGGAAGGGACAACAACGGAAAAAGAAAAATGGGTAAGAGGGGATTGATTACGCCAAAACGGAATGAGAGCCATATTGAACATAGAAGAAAAGAATGAAGACAACACGAAGATACATACTTGCAATTAGCCCAGATAATTGCCAAAGGGAATGGAAACGAGAAAGAGAGACATTGGGAGAGTTACAAAGATGGGCAAAAGAGTACAAAAAGAAAAAAAGACCAACAAAAAAAGAAAAGAAAAAACAAGATTGAGCAGAAGAAAGAGAGTGAAAAGAAATGGAAGCATACTTAGTGGCAAAAAAATATGTCGAAGTATGAAACAGCCACAGATTTCGAACAGACCGAGCCGAAAAAGTGAAAAAGTTAATCACAATTGGACAAGAACTATTGAAGGAGCAAAAACAAAAAGTAAGTAATCTCATCAAAAAATACGCTGACATATTTGCACTTTCATTAGCAGAAGTACAACCAGTAACATTGTACGTGCATAAACTGAATTTGCCGCCAGATGTGAATGGACCAACAAAAATATGACAAAAAGCACTAACTGAACCACAAAAAGAATGGTTATACAATATACTGGACGAAATGGTGGAAGCTGGGATAGTAAAGCAAATGTCAGCAAACGAAGTGAAATGAGTATCAGAAATCAATATATTGCCAAAACACAAAGGAATAAGTGAAGTACATCCCAATGAACTGAAAAACAAAGCTAACAAAGTGTTAGCCAGGGCAAAACTACCACCGCAATGGCCAGAAGTTAAACAAAACGGAGAGAATAAAAAGAAGCCAGAAGAACAGATTTTGAATTGGAAGAAATGGAGACTAACATTGAATTTCATTCCATTAAATAGGATCACTCCAAAGACAGTATTTGACATTGGAGACTTAGTGTGAGGCAACGATAAACTATAACAAAAAACGAAACCTGTCTCCTTCTGCACTTGCAGGGAGTAAGGGGTTCGATGAGCTTGAGGTCGACAGACACTAGTAAATATAGCGAGTAGAGGACTTTGAGAGGTAAGCTTCAAAGGTTCTTGTTGAGGAGTAAAGCGGGTAAATTCAGTAATAGAAAACTAAGGAACCATACATGAATAGGTAAGGCTTTATATAGTGAACTGTTCGTTCCTCAGACCGAAAGGAGAATAAAACAAAAAGTGGTCTGAGGAATTAATTGGCCAATAAGAAAAAGAGAGAATAACTATTGTACGACTTTTAACTTGATTAATCAGCAGGTGAGAGTTTTGTACTAATAATAGAGGTTTGTTACGCGTGTTCAGGAACCGTATCCTCATGATAAGGTATGATCCTGAACAAGGTGTTATTAGTATGTCCAGGCTCTACTGGGGCTTGGAGCTGGTTGGCGAGATGCCTACTACCAGTCCCTACTCTGTGTGCTGGCTAGCTGGGAGCAATACCCAGTCTCTGATCTGTGATATAAAATGGTAGCAATGGTTAAGAAAGCCTGTGAGGGCTATGAGAAGTAAAACGGCGAATGACACTTCTAGCCCTAGAGCCAGAGGTGTAATGGGAAAAGCGTTCGAGAACCAAGACATAGCGAAGATAGGAAAATAATAAAATGGTCCTTACACTTAGAAGCTAAACAAAGAAAAGTAGCGGGTAAGAAGTGGATAAGTATTATTGACTTCCATGCAGGTTTCTACGCAGTACCAATTGACACTCAAGATGTCCCATATCTAGTGTTCCATGTACCAGGCAGAGGATATTATGCTTACACTAGAATGCCCCTAGGACTAACCATCAGGAAAAATGGGGGTAGCTATATAGAGCTCTATAGCACTATAAGTACTCATAAAGCTGTTATAGTGGTCAAACCTGTTACAGAACCTCTGCCATCTATAGAGCCTCATATAGCTCTATAAATGCTCTTATAGATGTTGGAAATTGTTGTGTGGCTGATTAAAAAAAATTCACACAGACAGGATTTGAACTCTCAACCTGCTAATCAGGTTTTAGTTGACTAAGCAACCTATAACCACACATCACATTTATCCACTACACCATGAGAGCTTATAAAATGTGTTATACAGGTGTTATGTATTGACCTTTTATGGACTTAGATTTTTTTTTAATCATTGTCACCACTTATATTTGGATAAATCATTATTCTTATTTTATGAATATCAAAGATAGAGACTACTATTTCACTAATACAGGCTACATAATTAATTAATACTGTATGATTTATTAGCCCTTTTAAGCACCTTGAATTATATTATAACTGTCACCTTTACAGCTATAAGAGCACTTATAGTACCTTGCCTATAATAATATACTTGACTCCAAACACTTCTGGCCTCTTTCTATTATTGAACAAGTTTATTAGATTAATCCAGAGTTTGAGGGAATTATAGATACTTCTCCCCTTGGTTAAATTTTTGCCTACTACTGTGCTATAAGAGCTATAAGAGCTATGATTGCACTGATAGTACTATAGTTTCTACGGATGCATTTATATATATAGGTGGTAGCTATATAGCGCTATATAGCAAAAGGGTTTTTCCTGATGACCGGAGCACCAAACACATTCAACGAAATAATTGTCAATGCGTTCTCAGACATGATTGGTTGGGACTTCAAGCCATGGGTAGACAATTGTGTAATAGCAGGAGACAACTTTGACGACAAGCTAAGTACACTTGAAAAATTTATGCAAAGATACAGAGACGAAAAGTTGTCATTAAACCCAGGGAAAACATTATTATTCATGACAGAAGCAAAATATGCAGAAGCGATTATATCCAAGGATGGAATACAACCAGACAGAACAAAAATTGAAACAATCCTAGACTGGCCAAAACCGAAGACAGCCCACAATGTCTTAGGGTTCTTGGGATTGATGGGTCATTTCTGACCATTGATAGCAGACTACGCATGAAAAGTGCAACCACTATCGGACTTGATCAGAAATATTAAATTGAGTCCACCGAAAGAGACAAAAGCAAGAAAAGGGTCTTACAAGAAAGCGTTATTAGAAAATAACATACAAGAAAAATGGGGAGACGAGCAAGAAGTAGCATTTGCGAAGTTAAAAATGACCAGTAAAAGGAAAAGACGGAACATCACAAAAAGTGGAACACGCAGTAGCATACACATCCAAGCGGATGTCACTCACAGAGGAAAACTACGCACCATACCTACTCGAGTTTGTAGCCCTCCACTTTGCACTAGGAAAATTCAAGAAATACATCCACGGACAACCCATCAAAATAGTCACAGACTGTCAGGCTTTAAAAGACACACTGAATAACTCAAATTTATCCACAGCACATGCGAGATGGAAGAACACACTAATGGGAAGAGATATAGTAAAAGTAACTCACAAAGACAGAGAATTGAACCAAGCGGATGGATTGAGTAGAAAATGGCAGAATACAACAGCAGAAACAGGGAACAGACAAGAATATACAGGATTGCCCAAATGGGAAGACACGTCAGGAATAGTAAATGACTTATTCCTGCTAGAAACAGACAAAATCACCAAAAAAGTAGTCAAGAGATACAATAAAGATAAGTATTTCTCCCAAATTGTTGAATGGCTAATAACACTATCAATACCAAAGGAATGGGGAAGAGGATGAAAGAAGTTAGTCAAAGCATGAGCAGCAGCGTATATAGTAGAAGGGAAACAACTATGGAAAATAGCAGGAAAAAAATGGGAAAAGGTCCTCCAGAGTCGAGTGCCTAACCGCTGACGAAGGAATTATGAAAGCCAAAGAATGCCATCAGGAAGGAGGACATTTTGGTCGAGACCTATGTGGAGCAGAATTAAGAAGGTGTTTATTTTGGCCGAACATGAGAAAGGATATTATGAAGGCAATAATGGAATGCAGCACAAAGTGCAAGGCATTTGGAGTCCGTCATATTAATGTGTTGTTGAGTCCAATAACCAAATCACAACCATTTCAACTAGTAGCGGTTGATTATTTGTCATTACCTACAGGACATAATGGATTCAAGACAGTACTACTATGTATCAACATTTTCTCAAGATTCGTATGGGCATTCATGTACAAGCATGCAGGCACCGGATAATCAACAGTAAATGGACTAATAGAACTATGCAGGGGATATGCCACACCAGAACAATTGATGACAGACGGAGGTTCACACTTTGGTTGTGCAGAAGTATCGGAATGGTTTGAAAAAGAGAAAATAGAAATTATCCACACACCAGTACGTTCACCATGGGTTAACGGATTAATTGAAGATGCAAACAAGATATTGATTGGACAACTAAAAAGACTCTGCGCTACAGGGTACAAAGAGGATGAAAAAGACTTCGAACAAATGAACACCCCATCCAAATGGCCCCTACATTTGTCCACAGCGATAGCTCAGATGAATAACCAAGTCCTACCATGGTTGGGATTTAGCCAGAGAGAATTATTAATGGGAATTACACTTACAGGGGCAGAAAAACCGAAAACAACAGAAGAAGGAATAGTGGAAACTACACCAGAAACAGCAGAAACACACATGGCCTTTGTTGACAGATTTTGAGCAGAAGGGTTCTTAAAAGCAATAGAACATGCTGGAAAACAAAAAGAGGCATTTGACAGGAAAGTGAAACCTATTCAATTCCACAAAGGACACTTAGTGCAAATGTTTATAGGGAAGGAAGACACTCATGGAGTAGCAAGAAAATTGATGGCCCAATGGTTGGGACCAATGAGGATAGTAGAGAAATGGGAAAACTCGTATCTGATAAAGAAGCTAGATCAGCGACAAGATGAGCCTGGTATAAGAGTATATGCCAGACAACTCTGGAGATTCTACCCTAATCAAGGAACAGAATTGCAGAAGGAAAACAAGAAAGGAGTAGAGGAACCCGGCGAAGCGACTAAATCAAAAGCGGACAGGACTGAGGAAGAGACGAGCTGAGTAGAAAGCGCGAGGGCGCGCTTGCCTTGAGGGGGGGTGTGCTTGGAGTAGGCCGAGAAAGAAATCAGATAACCCAGAGATGATTAGATAATCATAGTTAATAGTTCCAACTCCGTTTTCGGAGTTGGAATCATCTCTGGCTGGCACTACCATTGTGGCTACTCCAGTGCAAAGGTGAGTCTTTTGAATATTTGCTTTATTATTGACACCTGTCCATGCTACCAATCAACTTTGGTGCATGGCATTGGCACGTATCCAACAACTCTTTCATGACTCAATGTGCAGAGACTAGGAGCCTCTGATAGAGCCTAGAAAGCATGGAATGGAAGTCACAGGGGGTTAGGAGGATCCATCCCATTCTAGCCTGCTATGTAGCTGACTATCCAGAACAATGTCTTGTCACCTGTGCAAAATATGGGACCTGTCCTAAATGCAATGCCTCTGAAGATACCATGGGAGAAAGACGTCCAGGGGGATGAAGGACCCAGAAGAAGACTGCTAAGGTTATATCAACAGCCAAAGCTGATGCAACCTCTATCAGCAATTTCCAGGAGAGATGCAAAGCTCAAAATGTGTTTGGGGGTGTCCGTTATCCTTTCTGGGAGGGGTTTTCTTATTGCGACACCCACATAGCCATAACCCCTGATATACTCCATCAACTCTACCAAGGTGTTGTAAATAATCTGATTCACTGGTGCTCTAGCTTGATGACCAACAAAGAGCTGGATGATTGCATTCATAGACTCCCACCTTGCTTTGGTATACAGCATTTCAAGCATGGTTGGTCACAGCTATTCCAGATATCTGGGATGGAGAGAAAAAATATGGCGAGGATTTTACTGGGGTGCATTGTAGAAGGTCCCCTCTCAGGTTGTAACTTGTTATATGGCACTCCTGGACTTTATCTATATTGTGCAATATGCAAGCCATGACGATACCACCATTCAATACCTGGAAGATTCCTTGGATCTCTATCATGCCAATAAGCACATTTTTGTCCATCTTGGGGTACAAGGACATCTCAGCATTCCCAAGTTTCACTGCATGCTACACTATGCTGAGTGTATTAGAAATGTTGGCACCACCAACAATTACAACACAGAAATGTTCAAAAGGTTCCACATAGATTTTGTTACAATTGACGTACCAGTACCTACTTACGCTTCACTTTTTTGTACTTTTACTTTTACTTTTTCCAATTCACATGACCAGTCATGTGACCATTTACTTTACTTTTCATTTTCGACTTTTCATAGTCACATGACCAGTCATGTGACACAACACCTGACCAGTGTCTAGACTTAGCATGTGATCGGTCACATGCTAGACATTGGACTTTAAACTTTATTTACAACTATACAGTACCTCATATATTTTAGTATATATACAGGAGCAATACATGGGGAAGGACTCAGCGAGTCCTCCTGTTGTATAACTAACTTGTTGAAGCCTAAAGGGTAACCACTCCCACATCATCCTCTCTATAGCTTGTCTGAGTTGTGCGCCAGAGTAACAAACTCTTGGTTGTTACAGATTTTGCCAAGGAAGGCTGGAGGGCATTAAATTTCCATGATGAAGCTCCCCAGATGACTCAGTGGCTTGGTAGGCAGGAGAAAGTAGCTATGTTTGAAAGCTACCTGAACAACTACAAGAGAGAAGAAGAGAAGCAGGCAGAGTTGGAAGGAGGTATAGAGGCTAGTTCATCGCCTTCATCCAAACCCCTATCTATTTTCCTGGCTAAATGTCCATATTCCCCTGGCCAGACACTGAAAAGCATTCAAACAAGTCATTAATATCCATCTTTCTCATATCACCTACATATTTTCCTTAACAAATTCATGGACAGAGGGAACACAATCCCTAGAAATCAAGTAGCCTTGGCCCAGCTTCCATTTGATCAACTAAATATTTGGCACTTATTCAAATTTGTGTTGGATAGTCTGGGTAATGATATAGATAGCATCCAAAATTGAGATGGTAGGATTGAATCCTGTTGGACTATGGATTGAAAGAGGTACAAGAACTTTATTCTTTGCAACAGACAAGCTTACCTTGATTGGCAATCAATATGATTAGCTGGGATCAATCTATAAGATATAACCAAATGACAACCAAAAACAATCACACTGGCAATATACATATCTTCCAACCATGATCATATATGTATGACTCATGCACCATTAATGCATATTGCACTGAAGCCTGAACAGTAAGTAAATGTAAGAGCAATATTCACATACATATGATAGCAACCATTTTATGTTTATAACAAAGAGTGTGAAATTGACGACAAACAATGGATTAGACATGAAATAAACATCTGCACCATTATGCATAGATGCAACGGCCGATCTATGAACACTTGAGACACCTATAGGAAGGACAAGAGCACGTGCACAGTGACAAATTATGACATTTGTTTATAGTATGAGAAAACATGCATTGGCCAGGGCTTGAACCTGGGACTCCAGCTTTCATGGTCTGGTGCTTTACCAACTAAGCTACCAAGGCGTACTTGGAAAGCATACTGATTGGTTGCATGCCCAGAAGGTCCAGAATCACTGTACACGGGTGTGGATCCCATTGTGTTGTGATACACGGTCCGTCATAAATAGAGCTATGCTTGCTAAGATAAGTATTCTGCTTGAGAATCTGACGAAAGGGAGATTCAAACATGTTACTACTACTAATTATCATGATTTGAGAGCTTCAACTGGTACTTGCCTGAGAGATTGCTTCATGCACCGTTTCGATAATAATAATAATATAGTTTGCAATAGTAGTTAGGGAAACAATCACGGATGAACCAATACATGTGATATTACTTAGCGCCTGAGCAACAGATCAGTTGTTGAATTCTCGAACGGAACACTTTGAAAGGGGTTAGACCTACCATATAACAGGGACTCGATCCATGTAGAGGTCAAGGTTATCTGAGCTACGGGAAGAATAGCCATGGTAAGGGTAGTCGGGTATCCGTATTATGGAACCGGAAAACTTTGTGAGCTAGCTTGAGGAAATTGGGTAGCACCTCAGCTTTATACAGCTGTGAATTGTACTGCAAGTGAACAAATCGTTTTTCGGGCCATTTGACATATCACTTTACTGCAAATTCCTCTAATCAGTTGAGCAGGTGTTACATCATAAGGTGTAGAAAGTGCAGGGAAGATTCATTTTGAGCAACTACACATTTTATTACACCGCTGGGCATCTCTACAAGCTCTGTAAATAGATTTTTAGGTCCTACAAACTGATATAAAGGAAGAAGGTCTTACCAATATCGTTCTCACACCAGACATGCTGTATATTGCATCCAGTCTATGTGCAAAGGATACTACAGCAAAAGAAGACAAGGCCCTGGCCCTTGATAACCAACGACTAGTACTGCGAACAAGTCATGAACAGCTGTATCCACCGTCAGGAAAATGTACTTACCTACAAAAAGCAATCGACCCGCCAGTGTCAAGGCAAGTTAACAAGATGTCAGTGCCGGAAGGATTTTCTCCACTCTTGGCAAAAGCAGTTGTGCTCAAATCTTGAAAAGCCAATTGCTATTCAAGGTCACTGAGGCACGGTGAAGCGGGTGTCTTCCCGGACCTATAATTGCTGCCATCGAAGTCATATTTTCCTCCGAGTTAATTGAGGGCTAAGAAGCAGCGCAGCCTACATTACAAGCCAGCACGGGTTTCCAGTGGGGACAATGCAGACGTTATGGATCGAGTCCTTGGCTGTACCTGATGACGGACGAAAGAATACAGCAGGGAAACGGGGACACTGCTAATTCCGATGTTGAACAAGGTGCCTATGAACATTTCGTGCATCTCATGAAGGGACAGCCGGTGTGTGTGAGTGACGGGAGCCGTACGCCTGAACGGAAACTATCACTGTACAATTTTGGTACAGCATGACGCCTGGAGAAGACAACCAATGAAATAACAAAAAGATAAACGGATACAATGCAATGGGGAGGCGCTTCCCTTCGCTCTTCCTGCGTATGTCAGCCCGTGCTTCGGCCAGTTCTCGGACGACATTTTCGCTGATCCATGTCTCACACGTATGACATACCAGCAATATGAAGTGGTGTCCAGTCACTGCCATCTACTTTGGCTTTCTGGTCAACCGGGCACTGAGTTATCCCAAGAAGGCTGCCCAGTGAAGAGGGGTTCATCCTTGGACAAATAATGATCTTCTATCACCAATTTATGACCCAATAAGATCTCGTACCACGTCCGCTTCGTTGACAAACTTTAGGTCCTCTAATATCAATGTACGACCTGATCTGGTTATCCAAGGGCAGAATGGTCAATATACAGTCTTCGTGAAACATCGAGATATTAATTGTCGCATACTATTCTGAGCAGCAGACTAGAGAGCACCATCTCTGGCCTATAAAATTGAACAGGACTTATCAGTGGTTATTCATGGTAGCACGAAGTCAGCGGCCCCGTGACGCATATAATCTAAACCATAACCTTGACTTCAGTCTGGTGGCTATAGCCGTGCATTTTCCTGCCTTTCTGGATCCGACTGGCCTCATCGACGCAGGATCTTTTTGTACTGGGTGCTGAATGCATAAACAGCACAGAACATCAATATGCCTTCGCTAACGACTCAATCAGAAACATTGACACCTGAAAGCATACCTCACACATTGCTCCCTTTCCTTCAGTCTCAATCGCAAAACACCCTCACGCGGTTATATCAACGACCATCCTCATGTTTCTCAATATTTCGGTTCAAATACTCCTTTTCTTTTGCATATTATCAATGTTAGTCTCATCAATTTAAAACAGACTTACCGGGCCTTTGGAAAGGCAAATCATAATGAACCTGCTATGGCTGGAGTCTGCCATACCTATAGCTACAATGTCCGCATGGGTTATTCGTGAGGGGAAAAAGTACATAAACATCAACTCTCTTTCATAAGATATCTGCCTCTAACGGTTTCAATCGAACTTTTGACAGGTTATATGATGCTGCATTGACAACACTCGCCAATTTACATATTTTACCACAATCTAATGTCAAGCTTGCTCTCAATCCGACGTTCAAAGCTAGTTTTCGGCAAGCTATAACTGGAGGGTGAGTGTGTGATTGGGTCAAAAAATGGGATGAATGCTGGATACACGCAACATGTTGCTTGCTTTTAGAGGGAACAGTTCAAGCTTTGGCGTACCTGCCGAAAAAGATGATAAGCGTTCAACAAATACCGTCGAGACACTCGATGCATATGCGCTGGAAAGATGGGAGGTATGTGTCTGTGCGGTCCATGGCCATGTGTATTCCTTTTGACTGTACTCTATGCTGCTTGGTAGACCATTCTCCATTATATGGTGTCGTCTGGACAGGGGTCGTTACCAACAAAGCCATCACAAGGCGTTCTTTATCTTTTGCAACGCAGTGGATTGATGACTCAAAACCAGTATGTGCTCTTGAGCATCAGTGCGATGGTAATCTGCAACCAACTCCATTAGCGGTTCCGCCTTGCAGATTACATCCGCCGGCTTCCAATTCTTACTTCATACCCCTCATGACCAACTATGGGATCTATTACTCCAGTATCTTCATATGGCCGAGGTGACTTTGGACACGTCCTACAGGACAATGTTTACACGGCCTGACATGATTTCTAGGAAAGACAAATGGACCTTGTTGAAGTGCTCAGCTTCTTGTTCATGCTATCGACGATGGACTTAGGAAGGGTGCTTACTCTTCCCGTGTCGGCTTTCTATTTTCTCACACCACTCTAGGAATATTCCACTGAAGGTCTCAGTGAAACACAAAAGGCTATGTTAGAAGACTTGCGGGATTATGGTCTCGTATGGCAACGCAAGGTAGATGCCTCATGTTACAGTCATTCGCAGAAAGAGGCTCAAACAAGACATTATCAGGCTACGTCTAAACGATTCAGTCCAACGCGTCTAGCAACTACGCTAACCTCGTCGTGTCCTCCCCTTCCGACCTCCACGGGGACCAGCGGGGGACCCCAGTCGCAAGGATTCATAGTCCTGGAAACCAATTACAGGATCTATGCTTATACAGGTACTCTATATCAAATTATCACACCGCCCACACCCTGACGTTTTCACAGACAAGCCTCTCCAAACCGCCGTTCTCAATCTTTTCATCACCATGAAATACCGGTTTCCTAATCTTGTCGTCGGCATGCTTACCCGAGAGAGCGTCAAAAAAGCTCTTTCCAATGGAATTTCTGCTGAACAGGTGTGCTTTGGTTTTGTTTTTCCAAATTGTCGAGCACCATCACCTCATGCCAGGGTTGCCTCTCCATCAATCACAGATCATCAGTTACCTCACTACTCATGCCCACCCTCAAATGCGCAAAAATGTTGGTGACATATATGCTTCTATACCTTCCCTTTCTCTTTCTATACAGAAACAAGCTGACACCTTTACGCTTAGAATCCGCTACTGCCTGTCACTGTGCAGGACCAAATTAGACTCTGGGAATTAGAGCGGAATCGTCTCAAGTCAGAAGAAGGTTTGTCAATTTCCTCTTGATCAAATTGATCCCTGAATGATCCAACCGACGCGGACTTCATTTCATTTCTGCTTGGCTCTCCTTATAGGATACCTGTACAAAGACTTTGGCTCTCATGCGGACTACGAATACGTCCTCAACTACGCCAAGCAACTTGACGTCGTTCTTTGGGAAAACACCTCGCGTAGGTGTTTCTTTGGAAGCCTTGATGGACACACGAACATACGAGGCTTTATCGAGCGAAGGACGAATGGGGCAGTTTAGACAAGGGCTGACTGCTTGCAACATGCCGAAACCGTGTTTCTTTCCCTGAGTTGCATGTGCTCTTTGCTATTCCTCGTTACGCCCCCCTTGCACCTGGTGACTCCAGGAACACTCTTCATTCGATGATTTGGAACTTCATTTCTCAGTTTGATTGGTGGACTTTTGGATCAAGTGACGTCGCATGTCAAATCGCCTGCGCTATCTCCGTATATGCTTCTACGTCAAAAATTACCAGATCGAGCACCAACACCACCACACCAACAGTAGAAAAATGGGCGCATCCATAGGGACGATTTATTGGTACAATACTGTTAACAGACAGAGAATCCTAATTGATTATAAGTGTTCGCTACGTGTGTCGAAATCAACAAAAATGAAGATAAATAATACAACAATGCATGCATATAGGCTAGTGAGCGTTCAATACTCGCGTGGACCATCAGATTTACAGAATACAAAACCGCCTTCAAGACCGACGACGTCTATCGCAGTGTTTGTGTCGCGCCAACGTCCCACAAGGCTCTTGTTGTGGATATAACCTCTAAACATCCATCGACCATGACTTTCTTCACTATCGCCCCTCTATATAGAGTATATCAGAACACCGAGTCCTTCGGAATAAGAGGTATACATACCGAGATGCGGAGAAGCACTATCAGCCCGTCCCAGGGCCTGACCCTACCTACGTAGGAGTAATGACCCCAGGCGTCGCCTTGGCGCTGGCTTGTCTACACATGGCCCATCAATCAGACATTAATGAAATAGAGAAAAACGAGCCTGGATGGAAGACATACCTCGCCTGTGATCAGGATATCGCGAACACCACTCGACCGATGCTCCACTGTGTCCTCCCACTCATCATCCGAAAGCACGTAAGACTCGCAGCTCGCTGGGCTCGACGGCGCCACGCTCTCGGGTGGCACATCGGCACCGCCAGGAACCCACTCTGTTGCCATGGACTGAACCTTGTTGTGCACTTCCACTGAGTATGGGGTCGAGCGTTCAGGGCGATAAGTCTCGTATCTGACGTGTCGCTGAGTTGTCGGATCGTAGACGTTGATCCCATTCTATAACGCAATAAGGGTCAGTTTCTAAATGGACAGAGGGTATGTGTACATACGGCATCGTGAGAGATAGTGGTCAGTCGAGGGAGCCAGGCGTTGAGCACGTTATCTCCCACATCATCTATGTCGTCCCAAGAACTGACAGGCTCTTCGGGAGCGATACAATGATGCTCCTCAAACCAACAGGAGAACCGTTCGTGTATGATTGGGACCGAATTAATTTGCGCCCGGGGATTATTTAGAACAGTAAAATGATTTTCGACACCAGGAACCTAAGCGGAAGATGTCAATGGACGGTAATTGAGAGCTGAGTGGGGCGTGACAAACCAATATACGGCCGTCCCACTGGCCACTCGCCAGACCTAATGAGTATACTTGTCCACTGAGTGGTGTATATTCCAAGAATGGATCGTAGCACGAGACAAGACGATACCAGTCTATATCACGCTGTTTGCTGCGCAAAGGAGCATCTTCGTCCTCGTCCTCGATATCAGGCACTGGCAAGGGGGATCTCTCGAAGAGTTGCGTTCGAGTACCATAGTGAAACTCGTGGACATCCTCGATCGTCAGGCCTTCTAAACCTGCGGAGTTTGCAATGTTTCGATTGAGTGGGAGCGTGGCTGTGCTTGGATGTAAGGGACTCGTATCTTGCTTAAATTCGATGAGGATAGTGTAGTTGAGAATTACAGCCGGGGTAAGTAAAGGGACGGAAAGAGTGAGGGGACGTCCATAATAGTTAATTTTGGTGGCTTTTGGGGAAGGGCCAGAGGAGTGAGGAGCGATGTTGGTATGATCACACAGCGGCAAATTGAAGTGAGAATCAGGGGCATGAAGCGACGGATTCTATGTATAGAAGTTCAATAGCTATACACCACGCACGAGAGAATATGTACCTGGTGGCCGAGAACTAAAAACGGCTTTATTAGATGGAGCAGACCGTCTCTTACGAGGGGTTGCTCGCGAGTGAGATCCTCTAGAACCAAATTGATTGATAATGGTTCCAAGAACGTACCCTATCGAAGCTTACCTCGAGTGGTGGACATCCACAACAGCCAGGTGGCCAAAGAAGTACCCTCTGTCTCTGTGAACCACCCACAGCTGGCGTTTTGAGAGTACATCCTAAAGGCGATGACCCGGCAGACCCAGGTACGGAGGTGCGCCCAGTGGAACAGATGACATTCGTTGCGACCATCGCTTTCGAGAAGCATGAGGTAAGCCATCCAGAGGTCATTTCGATGGTGCCGGAGAGTGACCTCTCCACGCTTGATGCGCTTCAAGGTGGAGCAACGTCTGAGGAGCTCCTGTGCGAGGGCGGGTGTGGTGGACCACCTATCTGAGAGACGACGCTTGATGGCACTGGTGTCGAACTTGAAACGGAATATATCTGCATAGAGGTGGGTGTTGTTGGGATAAGATAGGTGGTTGTAGATAAAGCGAGAGGTGCAGAGGAGAGAGACGAGGTCGGTGGGGGGACCAAGGAGGGAGTCCGTAGCGACGAAGTAGGCGACACGCTCGAGGGCGGGGCGAGTGAGGGACTCGAAGGGGGAGAGGAGGAGAAGATCCATTGGGAGAGTGGGAGGGAGGAGAGGAGAGAGAGAAGAGATGGATTATATATGAGATTTTTGGATGCGGCGAAGGAGAGTCGGGTTCGGATAAGTTCTCGAGATTATAATGTGTGATCGCCGCTCCCTTCTTATCCTTCCCGCCGTCACTGGGTGAGAGTCCGCGCAAGTCACCGAGCTATTACCACATCCCCTCCATCGAGTACATAACAACGCGACCCTTGGCCACACAATACACACTTTCGCCATGTAATAGCACCACCGGCCACCCAGACGTCCTGCACATCGACACAGAACACCCAGTTCCAACTCCGGTAGTCCCAAAGAGAGACGCCGGAAATTGCCGAGTGGGACTTGGGCAAGCGCACATAAGCCCGTGCGGCAGTGTCAATCCACAGACAATGGGTTTCATCTGCGTTCTGTCCGACGGTACCGCACACAAATCTCGTTCGCTCCATTTGCTCAGCCCACAGCTAACGTAAATACCAGCCAGATAATTCACCGTGTTCGTCATTTTCCAGCAGCTTCGAATGATACTGAGACTCTCTTCACTTCTTCTTCTGCGCTCATGCCCTTCCCTGCTCTGTTGTCGTCACTGGAACTTGCCGGCACACTGGCGCTAATTGCGCTCCAGCAGCCATGACTAGACCAGCCACGAGGGAGGGCAGGACACGAATCAGACATTTTTACCCTCATTTCCGCGCCGCGCGTTTACCCACCACGGCTACCAGCAGATCGCAGACAACTACTCCAATCGTCCCACTTCTTCTCGCTTCCATCCATCCTAGGTACTAGCAGACCAGAACAGCTCCAATACATTGCTTTGGGAGCTTCCATTGCAAATTCAAGACGCCGCTTTTGCTGTGTCAATTCACGGGCAGTACAAGACGTAAAACCGCAACAGATCTCATCATCATCCTATTGGCCAGACCCTCTCTCCAATGCAGCATAGTCGACATCCACACTCCGGCATGTCCAGTATAAGAAGTTCGAAGACAGTATATAATATCCCAGAATAGTATAAAAACCGTCCTTCCCAGCGAATATCGCGGGTGCGCATAAACATCAAATGTCTTGGGTATCGGGAAAAGGTGTGTAAAACATCCTGATCTGAAGGTGTGATCTTGATGAAATACCACATAGCGCCCCTGGTTTACATGGGCCATCAACTTCTTTCGAATCCTTGACGTCAGGTTGGATAAATATGGTTTCTCTATATATCCGGTCAAAATACTCACCTTCATTTCCAGTGTTATCCGCCTATGGTACCGGGCCAGCCAAGCTTACCTCCCGCGTCCGTTTGATCTCTTTTCCAATTTTACCAAAGTACCGCTCGGTTTCAAAGCTCCAATGAAGCGATCCCACTATCCAATCTTGTAAACCCAACACGTAACTTTCCACCTGTTCGTCGATTTCAGTTCCCCACGAAGGCAACGAGGCTCTGCTCGAGTCGAATCGATCGATGGCATATTCACAGAGCTTTCCAACGGAATCTATTGCGGTTTGCAGGTCACATTCTTGCGTGTGCATGATGACTGCGATCATATTATGTGTGTCCCCTCGTGCCTGTTCAACATTGTACGAGAATATATCCTGACAGGGGAGCGTCAACTTAGATCCCAAATAAAAGTTCACAGGTCTATACTTACATTTGACCAGGTAACTAAATCATTAGTGGCTTCATTGAGGTCTTGAATCATGGGATGATCGGCGACCTCGTCGGGAAGGTCGATGCCCGCTGCATATTCCATGAGAACGAACACAGGCTTGCATCCACTGGTATCACGCCGCAGCGAGATGTATGATTCGAGGTCAGGAATATCCCCACGACTCCTATCCAGCGATTGCTGGGCCACCGCCTGGAAGAACATATCGAATGCATTTAAGAATCGTCGTTGACAACGGGGTCCCGCTTTTCGGATCAGACGTTCCCAGAAACTAATCGGAAAATCGGCGCCGAATGAGATAGAAAGAAGCACAGACACGAGCAGAGATCTCACCTTTTAGCCATCTTACCTGCGACGGAGTCAGTTGCGTAGGATTCTGGATGATATAACACATTCATCACACAATCCCTTAACCCGCGCGTGCCTTCGGTATCGAATTCATCACTCCAGTCATCAAGATTGAAAAGATAGTTCATAAAGTCAGATACAACACGCAGCTCTTCCGCGCCGCAATCTGGATAGCACATCGCAGTGAGCAGCCCAGCCTTGAGGCCGAGGAATTTTCGTTGACGCCTTTCGCTAAACTTGGCCCCTCCTATCATCCACTGCTCAGACGCTGTTGCCACAGATTCGCAGTGTGTATTCAGTCGTAGGGGGAAGTGACAATGTGAGACGAGATCGGGAATGATGATCTTTTTGATGGGAGAGGTGGTCGACATGCTTGTTTCGAAGATGGTATATCGTGTACGCGAGAGGAGGACACTCGATAAGCACGGAACACAGGTGAGATGGTGCGAGATTGGCTCTTAGGAGGAGGATCATGCTGACAATCATTCACTTTTTGTATCCAAACGCCCGCCTCGTGCAGTTGGCGGAAATGACTTTTGGTGAACTGTCAGTTATTTGCCTTGGGGTGCGAACAGAGATACTACCGCCCTGACACTGGCACTTCCGGATCTCCACGGGCAACGCAGCTACATGGGAATGAAAAGATGCCACATGCTCTCGAGGGGAACAGACAGAAATACGGGGCGCATCTCTAGGGTCGCTGTCTATTGTTATACGAAAACGTGCATAGTTTACTGCAGGGTTTCTTGTTTTAGGGGGGGCGCAGTCCAAGCCTTGCACCCAGATATGATGATATGCGGGCCGTTTGAGGGAGTTATCAGCAAATTACGCATGACAGGCATGACAGACACGCCTCGGATTGCTTTCTACTCGTATTGTACAGTCCTTTTTCACGGGCATTAATAGCCTGAGGCCTTGACGTCGACCATGTGTTTGGCCGTTGGCTATCGGATATTAGCTTTGTCGCTCAGGCGGTGCAGCTGCGAGGACCATGAATATCATAATGCATGGGAAAGGGTTTTCCACGAACACAGGGGGAGGTGCTTGCCAGCCTTGCTGCAGGCGTGTTGAGCGCTGAGCGCTTAAGGCGTTTTGCCAAAAGGATCAAGAGAGTTTAGTGCAAATACGTATGCTGTGAGGAGTGCCTGGACATAGGTACAGCCTCTCATATATGATGGCATCTCACTTATCCATTGATCGGAGACCTTGGCCTTCTGGAACAAGTAAATGCGTTCCAACAGCACGGTTCAACTCAAACATTCTAATTGTCGAAAGGCTTTCCAGTACTTCCTCCGTTTCTTTTCATTTTGTACATTGTTTGTGTGTCCCATCATCGCTCCATGCGAAGCGATTTCATACAATGCATAAAGGTATACCGTACCAGCTACTTGGCGGCGACTTTTTTTTTTTTTTTTTTGATCCTAGTTAGACTCTTATCAAAATTTATTTTCGCATCAGCTCACCGAGGATGACGCCCGGGATATTTCAGGTTAGGCAAGAGCCCTATGACCTCCAAGTGATTGCTCCGCTCCTGCCCCAGAACTCGGCGCCATGACTCGGGATCTGTGTCTCGAGTAAGTACTTAGCTCCTTCATATGCATATGTAATCAAAATGAAATCAAACACGTACTCGAACAGTGCATCTTTCCGTACCTTTTATTATTGTATTTTCTACGCTTACGGTGTGTCGGCCAGACCGGAACGTGAATCCGAATCGTCAAACCATAAGAGTCAAACATATATCCTCCCGAAACAGGAACAGACTGGGAGCAGATATATATTGCAGTTTCCATTGGTGGTTAGCATCTCCCCAAGTCATAACGTGCTCCACATTCTCAACTCAAGTGGTATTGTGAGTCCGCGGATCAAGTGTATTCGAATTAGCCCCGTCTGTGGCAGCATCTTAAGATTAGTGCTGATACCATGACAGTAATACGGAACTTGAAGTATTTTTACATTACTCAGAAATGTGTGCGTTGATACAGGGAAAAATTAGGGTTGTTCGTACGAACTTAGGCTGCGGTGGGATGGATATTACATTCTGGATCCTCGTGACAATGCGAATAGGACATAGTTTATTTATCGCGAGTCTAATCTTCAATTGTTACAAGGTGATTTACTCGTGCCATCATGTGAGAGACGGATCAAGGACAATGAGTAGGATCCCAGTCAGTCACTAGTTCTATATAGAAAAAACGTCCATATTCATATATATATGAAATGAAGATGGTGCTAACCTTCATCGAGAGAGTCCAGATGAGAGATTTCTTCGTCCTCAAGCGAAAAGTCAAATATTTTGGTGTTGGAAACGATTCGCTCCTTAGACGACGATTTCGGGAGCGGCACATACCCCTGTTTAGGGAGATAAGCGGGTATCCAACGCATACATGCAGCTATCTTGAGAACTGCGTACCTTCTGGAGAGCATAGCGGAGAAGAATTTGGGCCGGTTCCTTGTTGTATTTCTGTGCCAGGTTTGCGATAGAGGGGTGCTTAAATTTCATCCCACGAACCAGGGGAGCCCAGGCCTGTGTGCACTCTTCGCATTAAAAATGGGAACTCACCGACCATGTCAATGTTACGTGCCTCTAGAAAAATCTCATGCGCCTTGCAAAAGGCAACTACATCACTTCGGGTCATGAATGGATGCAGGTCAATCTGTCGCATAATAGACAGGTGCGTTAGCGGAACAAAATGGAGTCCGAGCATCGGCACAAACTTGAGTGATGACGGGCAAAGGCCCGCCAGCGTCAACTATCTCTTGCATGTGTCCTACACCAAACGTGCTAATGCCAATACTCTTTAATTTCCCCTCTTTCTGCGCGTCGCAGATAGCTTGCCAACTTTCCTTACGGGCCTGAGGGCCACCCAAAGGGCCGTGAATGAGGTACAGATCTATGTAACCCAAGCCACATTCATCCAGGGACTTTTGGATGGACTTGGTGACGCGGCTATAACCATTATTGAGTTTTAACTTGGTTGTGAAGAAGATATCTGAGCGAGGAGTCCCCGTCTCTTTGCAGAAGTCCAGAATAGCCTGTCCACACTCGCGCTCGTTTTCGTACCACGCAGCAGAGTCCTATCGGAGTTAATGTGTATTTCAATACGCTATATGGTATGAATGGAGCAATAGATCGTGCTTGGACTACTTACGATGTGCCGATATCCGACCTGTTAGCCAATAACGATAGGGTGATCAAAAAGGCATTGTTAAAGAGTTATTGCCTCCGACGAGGACGCACCTCTAATGCCCACCTGACAGCCCGATATGCTTCTTCACCATCCATCTCATAAGTTCCTTGAAACGGCGCTCTGTTAGTGCTGTAGTGAACTTACACCATATCAATCAACTCACCGAAACCTAGTACAGGTATTTCATTGCCATCACGGAGCTGGTGATACCATTAATCAGATGAATTACGTCAGGACGCCTTCAATGACGGGACCAACCTTGAACTTGGACTGCAAGGAGAGCGCCGACATGCTTGCACTGCGGATGTTACTTGATAGTTGTCGATGAACTTGATGAAGGCGTCGTGGGAAGCTGGTAGTAGTTATCTGATGGTGTCCACTTGCTAATATTTTCCACATAATCGATGGTATCTAAATTTCCGATGTAGTGCAATTGCCATCAATGTCAGAACTAGTGCTGGTCATCATTTGCATACAGCAGCTTACCGCCATCATGGAATTGCGCAATGGTAACGCATGGAAGCGCGCGTAGGATGCCGAGGCGGAAGGCCACAGACCTCTCGCAAACCTTCGAGTCCCTGTATATTTTGGAACTGGTTAAATGATCCACTCATAAATCGTTTGCCAGAGAAAAGTTATCAAGTTCCACGTGCCAATACGAAGTGCAAACCACTATACACGTTGAAGTCTGCAAGCGCACTCCCAGGGTAATAACATGATCGCCGACAGTGGTCAGCATACGCGCCATTGAGTAGTTGATATCGAGAGCATAAAACTGAATCAATTCTGACTTGCATGACTCAAGACACGAGCGAAAGAGGACAACAAAATATGATTGATTGAACAAACTACATGTACAATACATCACTGCAACTAGCCAACAAAATGTATGAGCAAACTAACCTGCAGAGAAATACGTTAGCAACAGTTTGTGGCAAATGTGTATCAGGCTGCTTTTAAAGATCAGACATCCAAAGGAAGGTCATTCACGACCCTCATCGCGCCGACCCCCGCTTTCCATTTAGCGCACTCAAAGAGCGGCCCACGCTCGACTGTGCTTTTGGGTTCACACAGTACGAGGGGGAGTGTAAATGTTCCGCATTGGGGGAGTACTCCAAAGGAGGGCACTAGAGTGGAAACTGCGAATATACGGAAATTTTCATCGTAGAGAACGGCAGCCAAGGCAACCGACAGGAAGGAAACGACGCTCACCATTCATTCACAAGAAAACTGATCATGAAGAATAAGAGGATCTGAAAAAACGAAGGGACACAATCAGTTAAAGCTCAATCGACGCTTCGACAGAAAGTATCAGACAAAATGGCACTGGCAAGTACACTGTGCGCTCCGTAGAACGCGTGTTCGTTGCGAACGAACAGCTCTATTTCTCGGCATGGTCGTGTAGGACGGGGAAGAGAATAAAGTCATCCTTTAGATGAAAAGTGAAATAGACACTCACCAAAACATAAGATGGGAAAGAAACAACATGCTAAATAAGATGCGATATTTCAAAATTTATAGTCGGGCAAAGTTTGGTAAAAGTTTGGCAGGTGGTCTGTGCGCAGCGCTTATGTAATACCCTATAATGCTACCACTGGAACCTTTGTACAACCCAGACACAACCACAACCAACGCCTAAATCAAAATTTACCTCTCTAGGTACCCATCATGCCTGCGGTGGGTGTCGATCAACCAACGCCCGTAGTTCCAGAACGACGACGAAGACAATCTCCAGAGATTATCGATGTGGATTTACTCGATGATGATGATATTCTCCAGGTGACAGGACATTCACCACAAAGAAGACGGCTTACGGATGGTGCGAGTTCGGTGTCTGCTGGGCGAGACTCCATACTTGTGCTCGACAGCGATGAGGAAAGAGACATCCAATTTATCGGGAGTAATTTCTCTCCACCGCGAATGCGGTCAAGTGAGTGGATCTATTTAATCATTGCAACTAAGACTCTGGCTAACAAACTAGTTTACTCATAAAGACAATCGTTCCCGCATCTTTTCTCCACCACCACACATACAGCCAGATGTCATTCCACCTGTCCCTCCTGTGCCACCGCAATTCGTACCTATGCGGCGGAGACCGCCTCCTTTTCCCAGGAATCCCACAGACACATCCGGTGTCGTTTTGCCCAATGAACACCCGTTTCCATTTGAGGCAAGCTTTAGACCAGCTGCTCGGCGAAGAGAGAACCCGTCTGCACCAATTCCTCCCCCTGCCGCCGCACGTCCTTCACACCATGTTCCACCAATGGGGTTTGGCGGTGCCTTACTAGCAATGACAAGACATGCCCTTGGTAATGGTAGTCGGTCTAACGATGACGATGGGATGGCTAGGAGACGACGCTTTCTCTACCCCCCCACAGCAGTGGGCATGTTCAGACGTTGGGGTGGATTTGATTATAACCCCGATGCAGTAGCTGATTTTGAGGACGAGGCTTTTGCGTTCCTCGCTGACGACGATCCCGATCGTCCATTCTATCATTACACTGGCGGATCATTAGCGGCCAAACCGGTAGAACCTGACTACAAACCTGAGTTCACCCACCCAGATAAGCCTCCACCTGGATTTACTTTTGATTTTGCCCCACAATCGTCTGCGCCTTCCACGCCCCCATCGAATTCCCGCTCAGTCATCGTAGTAGATGACTCTCCGGGTCCAAGCAGTGCTAGTAGCAGCCTATCTGAGGAAGCAGGTGTCACTCTCGCTTGTGCTCATTGTCGTGATCCTCTTATATTGGGTGGTGCTGATGTTGCAGAGGGAAGGAGTGGAAGAAAACTATGGGGATTACGGTGCGGCCACTTGCTTGATGGCAAGTGTGTAGATGGCATCATGAAACCAGCCATCCCGGATCCACCTCCTGAATTTGACTTGAAACCCGACGTCAAAGGCAAGGGTAAGGCTAATGCAGAGGCATCGTACTGGGGTCCATTATTTTCAAATCCCGTCACTCCTTCGAAAGGCAAAGGCAAAGCGGTTGAAAATGAGAATCAGGATCGTGATGTGGCTACAGATACGCATATATCCCCTTCACACCCCCAACCTCCAGATGGATCTATACGGTCTCGTCTCCGTCCTCGTCATCCACACTCTCCCAATGCAATGCACTCTACGGTTTCTTATGACTTCCCAGCTTCCCCGTCACCGAACCGTATATCGGGTCGGTCTGGACCCAGGCGAAGAGGTCCAGCTAATGCCAGTCCTAGCGGGTTCGGTTCACTCCGATATCGTGGGAAGGGTAAAGGGAAGGGCAAGGCCAAGGGGCCTACCATTGAGGCTGAACATGAATGGAGATGCCCTGTTAGTGGCTGCGAACAAATCCATGTTAGCCTTCTCATCGACGGAAAATGGACCGCGGACAAAACAAGGGGTGCCATCGCTGTTTTCGTATAATCTCATCGATGACATTATCACTGTCTTGTCTCGTGGGTTTTTTTATGTGTCGTGTTCGAATAGAATCTAATTTTTTTTTCGCAAGGCCGCTTGCTTGCGATCTACGCAACGGAACCTGGAGTAACATCGCAAAATTTAATATTACTTTGTTTTCTCGACATCTTGTTCACGGCATTTGCCTGCTAAACCATCATCGCAGCTGATGTTTAATGTATCACATTTTTCTCACCTTCAATGGTCCGGCTTTGTCGCTCTCCTGATAAACTTGAGCTCTGCACGCGCAATTGATCACGGTACGTGTTTGACTCCCACTCGTTGTGCATAACACCCCTTCAGCCTTGGCTTGATGGCTCTTTCATCGAATCGAAAATGTCTGGATTGCTGTTACACTATCTTTGGTTGGTAGTCACGCTCTCGATGCTCGGACCGTATGAACAAACAAACAAAAAATACAATGTTCTGAAGTCGCAGAGTATGGCTTCTCATCTATTTATCCTTGCACTGGCTGTCAAAGTGTTCAAAGCCCTGTAACTGCTCTATGGGTGTTCTGTTTTCCACGTTGATTCTCGAAGATCACCAATAACGCACCGTCACGAGTTGGGCACGAGTCACGAACGTGACGCGATTTGGCCTCATGGCATTCCGAGTCAAGAAAGTCTGGCCAGCCTCCTACAACGTGGTCCTTGTCTTTCGATTTTTTTTGTTCGCTGAACCCAAACAGGACGGGATATGCATTCGTCGAGGCGCAGAACATCATTGTGCGCTCAAAATGCGATCTGGCACGAGCAGGATGCATGTTCACCCACTATAATCGGCGCTTTCGATCAAGACTATTACACCGATACTTATATGTCTGTACTCGCTTGTTTTTCTCAGTCGTGTTTATGATCTAGCCGGGCTGCGATATCTGTGTTCTGCAAACTGCTCTGTTCCTCGTGGCCAGGTTTCTCCTTCACCTTCAACACTATCAAGGCGCAAGCTTTCCATGATATCGACGACACGATCTCTGAGCCTCATTTACAGCAAATAGACCCATCGATGGACTCACGACGCTATTCAAGGCGAGAATGGAAGAGATATAAAGCGGTACGTATCATTCTAGATGTTTACTCAACTTTCATCGATGGCAACTCCCCACAGTATCTTCCTCCATCAGATTCACTTCCCGTACTACACCTGCTTCCCAACCGCCCACTGTTCACATGTGCCCGATGCGGATTCTCCAATACGCTCATTCCTCTCTGTTTATGGTGCGCGTGGACATCCGAGGAGGCGACGAGAACTTTCGAAAGTAGTATGCCGAGGTATCGTCGGCTGAGTGCTCCTGCGAAAGTAACCTACACTTGCGTTCGAAGACCGAGAGAATCCAGAAGTATGTCCGTTGCCTCGGTGACTTCGAGTAGAGGACCTGTGACCCCACTGGGAGACGTGTTTTCCACGGGGCACACAAAGGTAGAAGCGCCAGGTATTACGGCAGCCTTAGGCTTGTCAGTGGAGCACCAGACTGAGCGCAGTATAGTTAAACGTCTTTCACTCAACAAAAGGCGAAAGAGCCGGAAAGACAGTCCAAAGGCTCTCGAGGCACAAACGAGTAGTGTTTATAATGTCGATAATAGTGGTCGCAGTAGCAACAGTGAAGTTGCCACAACGGTCCCTCAACCGGTATAAATTTATTACGCGTAGCAATAGGGCTGAGCCACTAACCCTGGGTATTTCTCTTCTTTGTTCTCTAGCTCCTTTTCCCTACGACTGTTGCAGGCGTCGGTGAACATTCTGAACAGTCAGATAACGAGCAACGTCGATCTATACGTACTCGGAGACGACTTCCAGCATTATTTTTGGTCGGTGGGCCCGTTCGCATCAAACATAATTCTGATTACTCGGAACCGGTATCTTCACCAAGAGTCGTCGTAGACTCTCTGGTCTCTCAACCCGTTAAGAGACCAGCTGAGGTTCCTACCAACAACGAGCAAGCCTTCTGCAGCAGCCCAGTAAACGAGGAAATGCCTGATGCTGGTGATGGTACCAGGGCATCACTTACGTCTTCCATACCCTCATCATCTTCGCATTGTTCTCCATATCGAACGCTCCGGAGAAGAAAGCGTATAACTCTTTTGAAACAGAAGTCGTCTCGCTCTCTGCGCAAGAGAGCTTCAATACCATTTTCCGAGGGAGTAGAGATCAGTGCGCCACGCAGTCCTCGTAGAGATAAAGTGAAGCGAGGATCTCATGTATCCTCTACGGCGTCTATGGGTGTTGATCCACCAGTTCGCTTGGGTCATCCAAGCCGACCTTATTATACTGCGATACGCAAGAACATGTCGAGACCAAATACCCCTGGACTACCAAATTCAGCGTCTCGTACACCATCTCCCATCCCCCCTGAAACTACATATACCCCTCGCGCAACCAAGTCACTTGATTGTGGAGAGCGCTTAGCACCTGTTCAGAATGGATTTTCACTGCGCCCTACGTCAATGGTATTACCAGGACAAGGGGTCTCGGGATATCCATATGCAGGATTCTCATTGAGTGGTGAGACAGAGCTACGAATGGCACTTGCGAGATGGCGATCTCAGGAAGCTCCCGATGAGCCCGGGGAGTATCGATTCAGGGATATGGGACGGTGTGACACGAAGGCACGCATGAAAGGCACGGTAATGAAACTGGGGAAAGGCTTGAAGGACCTTGTACTTGGGAGGATGCAATGATGCATAGCTGCGTAACTGCTTTTTTTTGTTGTCTTGCGTTGCTCTGTATTTTCTTGGTTTATGCAGTTTATTATTACGCGCTCTGATCACGTGCGCCATGTTTCATGTCACGTGATGTACTGTTAAAATGTCGTGCTGCACAGCAGACCGCATCAAAACGCGGAGGAAGCGTTATGGGGGCGTGCAGCTAATGTAAATAGAATAAGCACAGCAATGATCATCCAGTTCTTGCATACAGACAGTTGTTGCACTTGAGGACAGCCAGCTGAGGTATGCGGATTGAGCAACTCCGCGCCGTCCGTACCTTTGCCGTTATTAGGTGATTTTTGGACGGCAACGGTGAACCTTGAACATGCACTTTCACAACGGACTTTGCTAACCTGCAACAGTCAACACAGCCAAAGGCTTCAGTTTCGTATTAATATTCCGCTCATTCGAACCAGTCAAACCATTGTCTCTCCTTGTCTGAATTCTAATTCACAGTATTCGTAGTATATATACTTTTCGCATGATAGGTCGAAAAATTCTTGACCGTATCGACGAAAACTTGCTCTCACCTAAATCACACTCAAAGAACGAGGCTCGTACGGGGCTGAGGATTGCGGGCTTGCGTATAAACACCGGCCATGTGGTGACGAGCACTGGAACATTACTCGTGCGTGCTTTTATTGACGAGGTAGACGCTCACTGGCAGGTCGACTTACTTCAGCACGTAGAACGCGCCCAAAGACCGTATTACGCCGACCTTATCTGCAGTGACCTAGTGCGTTTTCTCCTGGCTATTTCTGTGCCGTGACAGCATCTCATGCGGTGCGCAGCACGCCAAACACGAGCCTTACCTTTGGAAGACCCAATCCTACCACGGTTCTCAACTCTCCAATGAGTGAATCCTCTGGTGCATCAGTCCGGCGACAGCAACGCTATTCTCGGGCCGAGAAAGCTCTTGCCAACACCCTGCAACAATGCAAGCCTGAGCCTTCTCCCCAGGACTTGCAGATCCGAGCTCTAGAACAGGCAACCGCTTTGCTCAGCGTACACGCCCATGATGCGCAGGAACGAGCCACAAGGCTTCGCAACGTCCTTTCAGACAAGGAAATCGACCCTGAGAACTACATCGCCTATCAGCGCGAGCGGTGGATGGAGGAACGAAGACAGTTTGCAGCGACGAGCGAGGTGAAGGAGCTGAGTCAGCATCTGGCGTCACTGAAGGTTCACAAGGATGATCGGGATCTGGGTGAATCCGGACAGGTTGGAGTGCGGATATTGGGTAAGACCGTCGATAGCGAGGCAAAAAGGCATGCCAACCTTGCCAGGTTTTTTGAGCTATCACCCACGAGGACTACGTTTGGGACTGGTCATAAAGACACGCTCATGCCTGCCATGCAGTCCTCTCGCCGGATGACGATGAGCGACGTCTCGCCTCTGCGCCTTCGGCCCACCTCCGTCGTAACTCCTATCCAGAAATTTGCAAGAGCGCATGCACGCTCGATTTCTTTGGGCAGCAAACCCCCTGTTCCCACTCGTTCTGCAAAACGGCCAGCTGTCGGAGGAACGAATAGAGGGTCACTCACAATGGTTGCAGAGGATGTTGTCGCAAGCAATGTCGTGGACTCTTCTGTTACATCCACCCCACCTCTTTCTCCCACTTCTAATGCACCCTCTTCGTCCAGCACCATTGTGACCCAACCTAGCGAGAACGGAGGCGTTGCCACAATCTACGCTCCAGTAATGCCCCGCTCTACAGCTGAGATTCTTTCTGATCTTCGGGATGAGGTGGAGATCCCGAGTTACGCTATGAGCTTGTTGGAAGATTTCGATCTTATCCACGATGATATCAGACTACCTCCCGTGTCATTGACAAAGCAGAGGGCGTTCCCTCCTAGGTCACTCCTCCTGTCGCCTCCGGGACTTGCTGATACGCCAGCTCCTTCAGAAGAGTCGGATACTGGTCCTTATACTTCCTTTGCATTACCTTCACCGGCTTCTTCTCCTTCGCCGTCATCTCGAAATAACCTGCCCTTCCAAACACCACCACAGCAGAGGCAACACTCGCTTATGTCTCCTGATTACTCGAACATGTCAGGTTCCAGTACACCATCTACACCAGGTACTCCCAAGTTGCGCCATGGATCACCTTCCCGCAACCCCCTACTATCGCTCATTCATGGACGCAAGGATATGGGTGGTGGCAGTCCAGCGTCTTCCCGTTCGCACGTGGATGGTAGCTCACTTGGTTCCAGACGGCGGTTTGGGTTCTTTTCCAGAAAGTAGTAGTCAACCTTTCATTGTCTCTGGACTCTCGAGCGGGTCAATTCTGGTTCCAATTTTTGATTCGCGATGTCTTGAATTTGTTGCTTTCTGCTTTGCTTGGACTGGACACTACATTCTTCGCGTTGCTGTACTGTATCATGCATCTTAGTCACCATTAGCATAAGTCGAACTGTTTCTATGCCACTAAATCCATGTGAGTGGTTGGCCATAGTATCGTATCATGGTCCGATCTTAATATTCTTGAAGACTAAATTTTACAGAGGTAGTGCATGATTCACCCTCTATCCAAATGTTGTTGTGGTAGTGTGTGGGACACATAGGACACTTATATCAAATATATTTTAGTGATGCAACAGAAAGTGCGGACCTGCAACGTGTATTGCACTGCAATCAAAAATGAGCTCCAATGTGCACCCATTCACAAAGCGTCCATCCACATGTTCCATTTTCCATATCTCTACCATGTCCTCCATCACTTCCTCGCTGACATCCTCCCATTCCTTTTCTCCCTCGTGTTGATCCAGTTTGTCAATCGTAGTAAAACGATCGCCAGCCCATACACCATGGTATAATTTTTCATTCGTGCCGTGCCGCATGCCCATTGCATAAGGCCCATTAGCCCAAGAAATCCGAGACACTAGAACAGCCCCTAAAGTCGGATAATCTCCGGCAAAAAGGTCGTTGAAAGAATGCGGCTGCTTATCGAGGTCTGAGGTTGAGCTCGCCCGAACAAATGCGCACTTGGATAGGTTGGCAAGAACCCATGTCCCGTACGGGTAGTCAGGTTCATTCAAACGGTGAAAGATAGCGTGCTCGGCAAGTCTGGCGCGGTATGGAACGGCAGCGTAATCAGTCGAGTCTTCCGCGCGTATGACATCTGAATAATTAAGATACCGGTGTGTATGTGGTTTGCGGAAGTTATAGAGAGCAACACTGTAGACGTTGATTGGAGTATTACACTCGGACTCAGACTTGAAGCCAAGCCAAGATCCAGTAATTCAGTGTCTGTGAGGATGTTCTTTGGTAGGTCTTGACTCTTCGTGCTGCCTCCGATACAGATTAGGCGATCCCCTACCCAATGAGTCGGGGCATTTACTCGTATAGCATGGATCCGCGCCAAACTCATGGACACGAACAGTCTGCAGGTGAGGCCAAGTCGTAACACGTCTTTGAGATCGTCCATCTCTGCGAAGACAAGACTCATGATGTCATATGGGAGGCGCAAGATTCCAAACTGCCCGGGAGGTGGCTGAACATTTACAAGTGCATGTCAGTGCCTTCACTATTTGTAGAGGTTAGGCAGAAAATGATTGCGTGATTCACAGTGTCAGCTTACCTGAGGGGCTTATTTGGTTCAGCAAGGTGCTCGATGAGACTAACTGTCCTACCGTCGGAGAGCCATTTGCCCTACGCTCCCCACTGGCCGAGGATTTGTTTTTGTCGAGATTGATACTAAATGAAAGATAGCTTGTGTTAGCGCCACGGCCAGAAAGATACAGGACATGCTAGTTATGAAAGACGCACATCTCGAAGAATTGGCCCGGAGATTCAGATTCATACATATCTATCAAAAAGAAAGGTAAGAATCTAAGCTGCCTGTGATGAGACACTCTCCAATTCGACTCACCTCTTTTAAAGCAAGTTTAAACGTGACCTTGAATTTCACATGCCTTCGATCGATTTTACTTGTGACTCGTACTGAATGTCCACCATATTATTGATACAAGCTTACTAGTACCGTGACAGCTACAAACATACAAGTGTGCGAGTTAGGCTCAGGCAATATTCAAAGATGTGTAGCTGAACAAGTCACGGTTGCGTACGTTGCGTGTTCAAGTTGACACGTTTGGCTCCTAAGTTGCCTGGATATGGTGTGTCCGATCGTGTTTTCTTTGAGTGCTCTAATTTGCATCGAACCCGTGGCGCAGAGGTAGCGCGTGTGATTCCAGCTTCCGGATTTTTCCGCGAGCTTCCACAAGGTCATCCGTTCAATCCGGGTCGGGTTCAGATGTTGTTTTTTCGATATTTCTCATGGCCCACTCGGTGCAGTTTCTTATTATACTTTTGCTGGACTATCGTTGCAGCTTATGCTACCGAAGCCATGTACATCGTTCCTGGTAAGATTTCCAATACCAAGCATCATATGCCCACATTTATGGAGCAGCTGACTCCTTGATGAAAATGCATCTTTAAATTTGGGCCGCCCTTACCGTATTCCGTAACCGTTTCCTCGGCCTGACCCACAGTCCCGAGTCTCATAAGTATGTCGTGGTGTCGAATGGTAAAAAAAATGATGGGTTTCTCTCGAAGGCTTGTTATCCCCTCACGTTCAGCTCATCTGGAATTCGTGTAACGCATAGGCAGCATGGGCTACAGGGAATCCATAGCTGATCTCGTCAAATATCGCAATGCGTATGCTCTGGCTTTCTCTGCCGCACTGGGCTCAATATTTTACGGCTGGGATATTGGCCTTATAGGAGGGGTCATCTCTCTACCGTCCTTCAAGCAGTACTTTGGGCTAGACAACCAATCGGCCAATGCGCAGGCTAATCTCAGTGGTAACATCGTTGCCATTCTACAAGCCGGCTGCTTGTGAGTACTGCAAGCTTGAATATTTTACTATGATTTATTTAGTGTGGACTTGTCTTTTCTTTCAGTTTTGGTGCCCTCTCCACAGGCTATTTCTCTGGTCTTTTCGGACGAAAGCCCTGTTTAATTGCTTCTGGCATAATTTACATCATTGGCAGCCTGCTACAGTCTGTGGTTGGTCTCGGGAGTAGTCAAGCTGTTGGCCTCAAGGTACTTTACTTCAGCCGGTTCGTAGGTGGCATCGGTGTGGGAATGGTATCGGCCCTTGTACCATCATATGTATCGGAGTGCACACCAAGAGCCATCCGTGGTCGTTGCACGGGTCTAGTCCAGTTTGCGAACAACATTGGGATTATGCTGAGCTGTATGTGTGATCTTATCGTATTTCTCGTATTCTATGTTTATAGTTTCTTCCTAGTTTGGGTAAACTATAGCTCTTCCCTGAACATTCCGTATGGCGAAATGCAGTGGCGTATCCCATTTATTGTTCAAATGGTTCCGGGGGTACTTTTCGTTTTAACAATGATACCTCAACCAGAATCCCCGAGATGGCTTGTCGAACACGAGCGTTACGACGAGGCGGCAAGGACTCTTGCTTTTGTGGTGAGAAAAAGCGTCGAAGATGAAGCGGTCATTTCGACGCTGGACGAAATTAAAGCTGATTACGTTGGGAAGCAAAAATTGTCTATATTGACGCAATTTCGGAAAATGGGAGAATCACGTCTCACCGCATTACGTTGCCTTATCCCCAGTCTGGTTATGTTCTTCCAGCAATGGACAGGTACCAACGCCATCAACTACTTCAGTCCAGAAATCTTTGCTGGACTTGGGATCTCTGGCACGGCATCAGGACTTTTTGCAACGGGCGTGTATGGAGTAGTGAAGGTCGTGGCTGTTGGCCTCACTCTTGCATTCGCGGTAGAGAGTGTGGGCCGAAAGAATTGCTTAATCATAGGGGGTCTAGGTCAAGGCCTCACGATGCTCTGGATAGGTGGATATAGTGGAATTCACCCCCAAAGCACCATCGTCCCCGCCAGCTACGTCTCAATCGTCGCCGTATACCTTTACGCTGTTTTCTATTGTATCGGCTGGGGCCCAGTCCCATGGGTCGTTGCAGGCGAAGTGGCCCCGAATCACGTTCGAACCGCCGCCATGTCAGTCGCGGTAGGCGTTAACTGGTTGTTCTCATTCCTCATATCCCGAGTGACGCCTGTCATGCTCGTGCAAATCACGTATGGCACGTTCCTTCTCTTTGGTGTTTGCTGCTTGATCATGACTGCATGGACATATTTCTTACTTCCTGAAACGACGGGATACGCTCTGGAGGACGTCAAATTCTTATTTGAGCACAGTGTGGTCTTGCGTTCCTTGCAGGACGCTCCGGGAGGTCGTATGTTCATTGGGAAACGGAAAGCTATGCCTGTTGAAGAGCTGAGGAGGGCTGCGCTCGAAGAGCGTGAAGGTGTTACGCTTGATGTGAGTCGCAAAGGGGACGAAGAGAATATGGAAGGTAAGGAAACAGAACGGCCAATTATTATTTGATAAGTTGGACACCTGGACTACGTTCTTAAATGCTTTCGGACCACGCTTCAGATACCTTTTGCTTATTACTGACGAAACAAGGTATGGAGGGGAGTCTGACCAAAAATGCTGTGCCTATTCAATTGACTTGTTTCACGTGACGTCTTGAATTTGGTTCATATACTGTATGTTGACATCACGAAAACGGAAATCTCCTGCTATGGTCCTATATTCCCATGGCAGGAGCTGGCAGCGCCAACAGGCTCTAATATCTTGATGACAAGTATGCAAGACCTTACGTAGGACCTCCGACGGGCAATTCCCCGCACTTGCTCATCAAATCTACTACTATCGTTGGACAATAGGTGCAATTGGTCTGGGGAGAAGTTGAATAACTCACCAGTCGTTGAGCTTGAGACTGTCGGAACTTGACCAGTAGATATGATTTTTAGTTTTCTAGCTGCCTATGTAGAAAAATAAGCAAGAACTTGAAGCATTGGAGCAGCGGAACAAAACCAAAAAGACAACACATGTTTTGGAATGGTTCTGCAATTTCTGGTCACACTGGGTCACGCACTCACAGACCATATCAGGCGGAGCTTACAAGTCAAATTCTGCCAGGTCACACCAAGTCCTGATGCTGGTGGTGTGTGCGGTACGTACCGAAGCGGAGCTAGCGGTCCTTGATTGATTATCTTGGTGTGTGATTGCCTGTTTCGGTCGCCTAGTCACGACTCCATCATTGTTTTCGTTTCTCCAGATGCTTTGAGGCCCCAATCAGCTCAGTAAGTATCTGGCATTGTAGGGGCCTACCTATTGATGTTTTCTAGAAAGATATTGCAATATTCCCAGCACGAGATCTGGTCAAATCTGGCCATCTTTCCCTCAAAATTCACACTTCTGGAGTTCAAGAGCATAGTGTCAGGTCTGTCGTTGTTGCTACAGATAAGCTATTCACTAAATTCTTTCACAATTATATTCTCTATACTATATTCTACATCTGACAAATTTCTAGCTACCTGTACAGTGATCGTTGAGCCTCTGGAGGCCCAAGTGCATATCTCTTACCGGTTGCATCTGGTGTCCAACGATAGTACCCAGCAGATAGCCTAGCTTTAGTAAGCTATACAAGCAAAGCCAATCTTGCAGCTCTCCATTATACATGCCAATCAGCTGTGCCCCATATGACCTTACTCATGAACCCTATCTACCAAGCGCTGAGCAGGAACGGCTTTGTGCAGTGAGTCATCATGGAACATATCCTGCCAGCTCGTAGCATTCTTGTCTTCATGCCGTGAGTATTAAGAACAAAGCTTGAAGGAAGTGCTAGACACTTCCTTCAAGCTTTGTTCTTAATAGGTTATGAGCCCTGTGCTCTAGCCATCTTCCTGACCTCATATCTCACCATCCAAGCGTCCTACTGCTTATCCATCATAACCATCGTCTTCTGGGACTCTTATTATCTCATCCATCACCTCAGATTACTCTGATCTCATCTTGATCTCCAACAACAACTCCTTGTTGCAAGTTACCCCCATTTTGGACGCTTTTTTGGTCTTATCTGCACCATATCTCGCCCAATCCTTATCTGATTGTCCTGTAACTTCTACCATCGTCTTCTACGGCCTAAATAACCCTAGGAGACCTGTCAGAGCGGTTGGATTTGAGCTGGATCTTTCTGTGAGCCTTCATCATCATTTGATCACCTTTTGGCCCCCTATTCCATATCTCCACATCCTGTGCTCGGATCTTGGCCCTATTTGAGCCATCTACTACCCTATACTATTGCACTTTACACCCTCAATTTGGGGGCAATCCATCCACTCCATCATCCTCTGTGAAGTTCGCATTTTTGGCACTTTCACCCCTATTGGACCCCTATTGCATATCTCCACATCCTGTGCTTCACTTCTTGTGATATTTAAGCCATCTATTACTCTATAAAAATGTTCCCTATACCTCTGATTTGGTGGCAATCCATCCATCTTATCTGTCTCTGCATCAATTTCGACTTTTTGCTCTATTTTTCGCTTTTTGGCATATCTGGTGTGTGCATAAAGCTCCAATCTTCTCTACTCTGTCCATTATCAGATAGAACAAGCCTATAGACTGTGAAGCTCGCCTGCATTGCCTCAGTTTGCTGTTGCCTAGAGCCTCTCTCAGTCTGCGGTGTTTGGGGAGCTTAAGTCACTTTGTTGACTCATATACAAGCCCTATTAACCAACACTGTCTCGAGGCGATTTCTCTGTTAATATCAGTGTGGAATTGAAAGGGGAACACAGGCGTAACCCTGTAGCAGCACTAGGAAGCCTTAGCACCCTCCTGGATTGCTTTTGGACGCTTTTTGGACCCTATTTGGACCTATCCTTGCGCTTTCTGGATGCATGCCAGCTGCTCTACCAATTGAGCTATATGGCCAAGGTTATACAATGTAGGATCTTAAACATGACATGCAACCACGGACGTCTTACACAGAATAGCTGCTGCATACTGGGCTGGCTTACAAATCAGAGGTATTATCCTATGGAGTATTGGTATGTCAGAGTATATTCTAACAGTGAGTTCCATTCCTTATGAGAGTGACAAAACTGAGAAATCACTGGCAGCTACACGGTGATGCTAACATCGCTGTGGTTTGTATGTCTCAGCAGGCTGAGGGGTATAAGCCAGCCACGACATAGTCTCTGGTGGGCGGCATTGTTATAGTGTCATGGTCGGTCAGAATTCCATATTGGGACCAAATCTAGTGCGATGGTCGAGGACTTATACTTCTTTTCAAACTTTACCAGCCTTGTGAAAGTGCATCATCAAGCCTCTACCTGATGGATGTATGACAGTAGTCTCTTTTTTTATAATGGCCCACCTACATTTCTCGCATTGCAAGTTTCACTCTGACTTTGACCGTCTAGTCTGCTATTATCATGCTGACTCATTGCCTCATTCACCTACACTAACGTCAAACAATGTTATTGAGAATAAGAAAGTGAGTACACGCAATATGAATCTTGAGAAGCAACACAGGCCTAGCACTGACCAGCAAGTATCACTGAGACTATAAACTATATCCTCTTAGCGGACATTTCATGACGCTCTTATACAGCAACTGTCTTCAATAATCAAACACCTAGACCCACAGATAGCAAGCGGATTAACTTGCCAATGAGGCATCAGGACTTACCCATCACAGAGAAGATTGTGAGTATTACAGCTTCTTATTGAGTTTAGCTCACTGATTCTGTGTGATAATCACATTCCAACATTACAGCAAACACTCAAGTCAATGGCAGCAAGCCGGTGTCGATGATCAGAACTGCTGTTAGAAAACCACACACAAAAACAAACTAACACACAATCCTCCCAGATTCCACGGAACTTGTTTATGGGCTTTGCCTCCTAGAACAGTGGAGTGGTCTGGTTGTTCATGGGGTGGTACGTATAAAGATCCTTCAAAGTAAAACCCAGAGGTGTATGAGTGTGGGTTTTGAGGAGGAGGGATAGTTGAATTTATAGAAGATAGGTGCTTAGTGACGAGTATAGATGAGCACTACCTTGCTAATTGTAGCACAAGGTAGGTTTGAGAATGACGAGGATGATGAGGTGACGAGGTTCCCAGTGATAGCAGGCTCCTGACGCACAAACTGTAGTGCTCAGAAGGACTCTAATCGAAAGGGATAATAATGACTTCAAAAGTGGGAAGTGACGATGACAGCAATTAACAGTGGTAGCAGTGGGAAGTGTTGTGACCACACTGGATCACAAGTAGCAGAGACTAGTGAACTTGAGATTAGAGAAGAAGTCTGGATTGGAGTTCTTGTTTTTTTTACAAGGTAAAATACAGGGGTTTATATAGTAAAAGAAAAGTAGGCTATGCACAGTATAGCTGTGCAAAAAGAATGAGAAAGAACATGAAGGAAGGAATGTATGCTGACGAATCCTGCATAGGTAGTACAGGATAAGATTGTCAAAAAAGGAAAAGAAAGGGATAGAACAATGAATGCTGTGAGTAATGTTACAGGTTTGTACAGCCATAAAGTAAAGTCCAATAGCAAAAAGAGAGCAGGAAAATCATGATGTCATGAGAAGATGCAGTAAAAAAAAGGCAAGGCAAAACACTATCAGTATCAACACAGTTCCTTTATTGTCAGTCAGGCATTCTAAAAAATATGTGTCCATAAAAATGATTCAAAAATCAAAAATAATTACACTGTAAATGAATGTTCTGCTGAAAAAAAAGAAACTGGAGCCACCGGTCCACCACCTAGTCCAAATCCGACAGTTCCATGGCCTTACCAATGGACTGGTTGTGTTGGACCACCTGATCAAACGAGGGAGGGAGAGGAGTAGTTCCAATTTGGAACAAGTGAGTCCCAGGCAGGGTGTGGTAGGTGTAGCTGTAGCGAAGACGATGGACAAAAGATAAGTGTACCCAAGTGAATGGGACAGCGATGAACATGGGCAACGCAAGGGGATGAACCTTCTCCAGCTCAAAAACTACCCACCCACGCTCCAACCAGGCAAGACGAACGACCGATGTTTTGATAGTATATGATGGCAGATCAATGTCATGAAGATGGATCTGTTGCCCTATTTGGACCGGCCGCTGGGGCTTTGCCGATATTAGCAGTGGCACGTGGTAGTCAACGGATTGGTGACGGAAGCGGATAGGAAGTGGTGACATCAGAAATGGTGGGGGTGCAAATAAGATGAGGAGGAGGAGGGTGGAGGTGATGGAAAAGTGGATTAGAATGGGGATCCAGAAACAACCGTCAGGTGAGAATAAAAAGGAGAGGAAGGGGCCCATGGTGGGGCTAGGCAAAGGAAGGGGAGTAAAGGAAATGACAAAAGCGAGGGCGTAATGCAATGTGTAGCCAGTAGCGACGCGAAAATTTGCCAAAATGCCGAAATGTGGAAAGTACCGGATGGAAAAGCAAAGGTGAGCGTGACTGGATTGCCTAATAGAGGTGGTGCTGATCAGCCACAAGTTCAAAAAAGGCAATAGTAATTACTATTCCACGTGGCACTGTGCCTGTGTGGCGCAAAGGCGAGTCTTTTTGAATATTCGCTTCGTTATTGACACCTGTCCATGCTACCAATTAACTTTGGTGCATGACACTGGTCCACGGTCAGGTACAAAAATATTGTGATTATCTGTCGTTAGATTCAAGGCTGATCGACGAATTACGGATGGGGGAGATTTACTGGGGTTCTTGGTTTCATATTGCTTTCTGGGCCAGTAAAATATACAAATATAACAATGTATTTGCATGGTTTACATTACAAAATGTACAGCATAGTTAATATATTACATTGTAGGACTCTCAAAAAGAGTAAGTCTTCGTTGCTTCAAAGCTGCCCTTCATTCTTTTATTTTAGCAAGCGCGCTATTCTTGGATGGCGGACGCCAAGCAGACGAGTAGTTAGGAAGAATCTGGCTACCACAGAGGTTAGCTCTGTCAACTAGTCCTTTGTAATGAGATTAGCATCACGGATAGAGCAAGTATTAAGGCAAACATATACCTGAGTCGCAACATATGCAATAGATGCTGGTGTGACTTTTGTCATACCATGGATACGGGTGTTTCCAGATTGCGTAGCTTTGGGTTCCCGATTGACTGAACTGGGCGACGTAAAAATGTGTCTATACGCCTGAAAAATAGTAAAATAAGAACATCCTGAGCTAGACGACGAGGGCCGCAACGTAAGATGTTTACTATACCAAAACAAGTAACAGGCTTCTTGATAGCCCATTCCACGGGTCTTCTGGATTGTATACATAGTCTTGGTAGAGGAATACTGGCCACTGATCACCGGAAATCAGTAGTTCACCATTTTTAAGCTTCAGTCTGACCCTAACATGTTTGCATCAAAACAGCGCTCAAGCTCTTGGATGGATACAAAACGCAAGACTTACTCGGGATCAGACCAGTCAAGACCAGCGGGACAGAGCAATGCACCTGTCTGATCATGATGAAATCCACAGTCTGTTTTTACATTGCGTGCGAGAGGTGGGGTATGTGACTCTCGACATGGAGTGATCCAGTCTAAGACAGCGCCTTTGAGGCTTTTAGTGTCGTCAGATCTAGCACTAGAAGAGCCTCGTTGTATCTAAGTGTGCAAATAATATTCATGATAAAACTTCAAGAAAAGTCCTGAAAGACTCACCATTTCAGCCATGGATACAATATTGTCCTTATCACCTTGCAACAAACAGTCCTCCAAACCCGGGATCATGCGAAGAAGGGAGCGATAGATGAGATACTCTTGGTTTTCCCTAGGACAATTGGTGAGATATGGGGGTAACCAAAAGATGTATAGACAAACTCAGAACTGTAATATTCATCTGGCTGATGGAATTCACCCGTCCTTGCGATACCATTCGCAAGCAATGCCCAGATGTTACATAATGCATGAATTGTCCTCCCAAAATGTTGTCCATGGTGGACTAGCGGATCAGCAAGACACCTGTTTCCAGAATACTCAAAATGAACTTGACATGTATGATATTGGAGTAGACTAACAGTTTTTTTCGCGGGCCCAGGTGAAGGGCGCTTTCCCAAGGACGGCAGCCTTGAGAAGACATGTCTTGATAGCCATTGTTGGTTTGTGACATCATGAAGGAAGTGGGGACCAGCTATTGCAATGACGACGGGGTGGATACTGAAAAGCTAGTGGGGATGAGACGGGTATAGTACTGAAGACTCAGAGTGCGAGGGAGCAGACTCGGACAACTTTATACTACGCAGTGTATTGGCCTATAAAAGGAAGTGAGTTGACTTCATTTTGCATGCATTCAAGTTGTTTTCGCTAAGCTTTGACGTTGCGCATATATAAAATTTTGAATCAGGGAGAGGACTGCACCTACATTTGGCGAGTTATGGATATAAGTTTGCGCCTCTGTCAAGTCTTGGGGATTCTCATGCTAACACTGATTGGGTTCCCTCTGTGGCTCGCATGAAATTTGAAGCGGCAAGGCCAATGACAGTAGTAGTCGGTAATAGCCTCAGAGGTCTTACATAGCTGGCCTGGCTCGACCTAAATGAATCAAAATATATACCATATTGGGAAAGGATGTAAATCACGTTAGGCTGTCATCATAAGTACAATAAGTTCGAAAATACCAGGAATACCAGAAACACCAGAATTGACCAGATATTTCTATTTCTCAGATCCATCAATCCCTGGCCTCGCGAAGAAACTTGGCACCTGAAATAGCTGTAGGCGTTGGTTTGGTAGAAGTGGTTTAGGAAATGGTGACACACATGGTTTCCATTTGAGTTGCCAGTGAGGAGCACTCTTGAGGTAAAATATATAAAGCTAGCTAGAGTGAATACATCGACCGAGGTCAGAGTCGTCTCAGGCTCCAATTCCAGCAGGAATCACAAACAACAATCTACTCAGCTTCAGCTCTTTCAGCTATATCACAACTCTCTAAATCCGTCAGTTAGTCGGGCCCCTCATCATGACCAGAAGGGTTGCACAAAGACCCAAATTGAGCATTCGGGCTGCACCGCAAAGTGCCTCGACAATGAGTATGGATGTTCCTGATGCTGATGCAAAAATATCAAAAATTAGTGGTAGTAAGTCCTAGTTCATCCCATTTCTTGCTGAATCGTGATAAATACCTTGAATTAGGAAGGCCCAGTATTGATCCCAGCTCCAGTCCCAATGATACCTTGATATCATCATCACCTGAAGGATTAGTAAAGGGAAAGAAACAGAAATCAAGTGGTTAGTTCTCCTGTATCACCGTAAGAGAGTGGACTCACAGTTCCTACAGATTGGGAATGCATAGAACCACCCCATATCCATGCCAGTAAACCTCCCACCGTTCCACCAGCGAGTGACTTCGATCTCCTGTTGCAGTTGGACAATTGGAGTAGGCCAGGGTTAAGCGTCGCAGCTTTCAAGAAGTTATTCGCTAGTTGTATCTGTGGACTGGTAATGACCCGAAGGGCCTTCAAGGTGCATGAGTGTGCACTTGTGCCGAGTTGAGATGATGTCGAGCAGAATGTAGTAATCAATCTTACCGCCGATACAGATATGGAGTCGCAAACCGAGCCCGAATCTGGATAAATTCTAGTATCGGCCACGGCCGTCCTTCAAATTGTAAAAATAGTGTAAGCTATACTATAAATTCAGACATCATTGCGTCACAATCAACTCACAATACAATCAACTCACAATCATCAACTTGTCACTCAAATCTCGGTCGATCATATAGTCACTGCCAACCTGAGTGTACATTGGACCAAGTGAACAAAAACTTTTCAGAGCCAGTCATGCGTGACTCATCTCCACAGTTACACTGTGGTTGTCGTTGAATATACAGCAGGAAACTCCAATCTTTTTGGGGAAAAAATACTGATCCTACCGAGCATGTAAATGTCGTTTCGCAAGTTCGAAGCTTTCAAAAATTATTGCTAGTGGTAGAACAGATTCCGGCTATCAAACCGAGTCACATATACTTACTGCTGGTACACAAAGTTCAAATACAACATCATTAAACATAGAGTTGCGATGCAATATGCACCATCTTTAAATTGGTGAGTGACAAGGTATGGTACTAGACTGGACTTTTTATACAAATTTCAATCTACAAGTAAGGCTCTTCCCCACCTCAATACACGTCAAGCTAATGCTAGGCGTTAGTGATACAGACAGTGATATCCAGTGTTTTTAAACGGGGCGGTCATCTTTGAGCTGCCTTGGCGAGAAACTCAACGAAGGACTCGTGAAAAATATCATCAGATATCTTCCCGTTCAATATTCTTGTCAGTGTATGATAATTCTGCAAGAGTTGGTTATTGATATCTTCTTCTTCGTGATCATCGTCTTCTCAGTTGCCATCATTAGACCTGCGCATGAGGATGTACCGGGCCTGAAACAACATGAGGATAAGTCAATAGAATAAATGTTACTACTTACAAACACGGCGACACTAACCACAGTATTTGGTTGTAACATATCTCCTATAAAAGCATTGTACGGGTGGGAACAGTTCTTCATTGTTTCTCGCGGGCGTCCCTTTCTGGGTGAAAAGAGTTTGACCATAAGTGAAAGTAATCCTGGAGACTGTAAAAAATTTGACTAGAGTAACGGTGAAAAATAGCAAGACAGGAGTAGTTTTATTGGCTTACGCCCAACCCAAGAAACTCTTCGTTTCTCAATAACATCAATACTCTTGTTAAAATTATGTCCGGTGTAGGCGGCTTTTTGTCAACAAATGCTAGATAGCTGAATGGTTTACTCCCATCATTCTTGGCTATACGACCACTGATGCCAGGTTCCATCAAGCCTTTTATCAAATTCCTCATGTATTTTCGACGTTGAGACATCACTGAATCCTGAGAAAGCTATCACAGTGACATGATTGTAAAAAGACGCCGGGATGTTCTATCAAAATTTACATACTTTAGTCAGGTGGATTTTGTTAATATGGTAGCCTTCCGCAAAATCAGCACTGTGGAAGGATTGAGAGGGGGGCTTACAGGCTCCAGGTACAAGACCTATTTAATATTGGTGGCTCTGGTCACCAAAGGCATACTAAACTACTCACCCGCTTTCGTATAAAGATGTGCTTGTGCTGCCATGGTAAGTGCGGTGGCTGCAAATTTAATAGCACTATCCTTGTTTGGATGTAAATCCTTGAGTATGAGGATAAACAAAAGATATCCACGACTAGTATTGAGTACTTTTGATACAAGATGATCGGGCATGTTGAGTTGCGGCTGTTCAGCTTGGACGGACATTGATCGAGAATCAGCCTGAGGTGTGTATGAAGATGATAATGAGGATTCTGCATAAGCTGGTGGATAAATCACTGATGACGTCAATGTTGAGGTGGACATCCCACTAGCAGATTTAGAGGGCAGAAAATCTTGGGGCGAGACCAGATTCCACGGGTGTGAAGCTGAAGAGAAGTAGGGAACTTGAGACTGACTTGGATCCGATACATGAAATGCTAACGGTACTACATTCCATACCCATGAGAGACGTTCATACCATGGTAGAACAGCGGACGTACGGTTTCTGGTAAACCCCTGCATTACTGAATGGTCTAGGTTTGCCTCTAGGTCTGTCTCCAAAAAATAACCACCATCGTTGAATGATGGCATTTCTGCAGCGATATAACTAGTATTCATCTCGGCTCAAATAGATGGGAGCACTGTGCTAGAAGGCTTCAAAATATTTGAGGGCATCAAATTCTGGGCATAGGAAGCTATAATATACAATGAAGACCACAATAGAAGACAGATGAGCTTTACTCATTCTACCAAAAAAAAAAAAAAAAACATGCACCGTAATTTGGAGCGTGTCCAGCCAAAAAACCATATTCCTGACCGTCAAGGGGGGGACCCTGCATAGTGAAACCAATGTCCGTCTCAGCCACTAAAGGCCACAGGCCACAATCTATTGTAGAAGGCGCTGATTGTTGTAGATAATCCGAGCTCTGCGGGTATGATGGAAATATATGCATGGAGGAGTAATCCAAAACATCAGACGAGTAATTACAAAAGGATGCTAATGACAAAAGGTTAGAATTGCCTGTTCCTAGAACAGGGAAAAGCCTACAGCCATTGATCCCACTTGAAGGCTCTTGCAGATCGAAATAATCATTTCCAGCCACAACAAGATGTTTGTTGCTGGAAATTTGGGAGGGTTGAGACACTACAAGATCTCCAGATGCGGAGTGGCTCTCCCTCTCGATGTATGGACTTTGGAAGCTACGGCCCATACTCTTGAAGTCGCTGCTTCTAGTTGTTAAATTGCTACTGGAGGGTATACTGGCATCAAACGAGCTGCAGGTCTGTGGAAAGGATATTTGTTGACGTTGAAAACCGGGCAATAATAGCAACTGGGATTCATATCTTGAACCTGTGTCAGTGATGCGTGTATTGTATGGAGTATAAACACGATACATGGGCACCAGCGCTACAACCGAGTAAGCCTGATCTTGAAGTTGAGATGTCCAAGTCAGTGAATGAAGACGCATTGGATCAAAGTGATCAGATATATTATTACTGTGTGAAGGTGGAAGTCCAGGACCGTGCCAGATGAGGTGATTATGGCCTTCGAGATACAGTCATTGGGATAAAGTTGAAAGTGCATGATTTGATTCTGGGAACAATTCAAGCTGGAGAGATGTTTAGTGACACGTCACGGTAATATTAAGATCATGAAAGGATGGACGGACCCGTTCAAATTGAAGTTCAGGCTGATCCGCACAGGGCATTGCAACTGGCAAGGGACTCGGACAAGGCGACTGTTGCAACTGGTGTGGGTTGCGAGGCATGACCCGAAGACTGCTGCTACAGTGTAAGTCTGACACTAAATAAATTATAGCAGATATTTATTCACCATGGAAAATGATCTTTGAGCAGAAGCAGCTACTAGTAGTAGTAGTAGTAACACTGGAATGTTGACCCGCTGCGGCACAGATCCGAGTCATTCAATATTTTCCCATCGGGTCCTAGTCTACTAAGCATCATAGAAACCCTGAATGTAAGGTCAGAAAATCTGCTAACCTTCCGAGTCATGACATTACCTCCAAATTATTAGCCCACGGAAATGAGGTGACATTTGAAACAAGATGCCAGCTTGAAGAATGCAAGCTCCTGATGGTAAGTCTTGTCGTTGAATATTGTGATATGCCATTGCTGTAATTACAGAAAATTTATTTGGGAAAACTTGACCACGCCATAGCACTACGAGACCGAGCAAGAGGCCGAGCCATTGGAAGAGATATAGATGGACTTGAACTTACCAACATAGTAGTGGGGCAAAAGTATGCCTAGCATGAGCATCTGATGTCAGTGTCTGCCAGTGTCTAGTATCCATGACACGTTGACCTTGCTAACCTTGTGGCATCAGACTTGGAAGATAGGAGTCCGACTTTCAGGCAAGAAGACTACAGTGAACTTGAGCCTATAATATGTGGAGAAACCTTCACAGTCGTGACTAGTCCCTTGGCAGATCTACCTAGATCATCATCCAGACAAAGCTCTGGGTGAACTTGAACCCTATAATTGCACAGAAAAATTGACCATCATGACTGCCTCTTTAGCTAATCTCGGGCTACTAGATCATCATCCTAACAAAATACACCGAAAGCTCTGCACCACGTACCATATAAATCTACGACGTAAATTCCTCACATTCCGCATTTTTGTACAAGTCACATGGAGGTGATGGTTGTATAAATGGAGCTGAGCGAAAAAAGGACCGATAGCACAGATGAAGCTGCATAGAATATTGGAGTGCAATGGAAGTTACAATATAAAAGGTTAGGGGTAATTAAATTTGACGGGAGGCACTAAGCTCACCGCTGTAAAAGGCTCGCGGCAAACTTGAACTTGGAATCTGTGGAGAAAAAAACACCACCATGACTGACAGTTTACTCAAGTTGATCTACGGGTAGGTTGTTAATCTGACAGAGTGTACTAGAAGCTCCGCGCCACGCACCACAGAGGTCCGCAACGGTATATTCTTCATCCTCATCACGGTGGAGTACTAATGGTGTAAATGAAGCTGAACGAAAAAGGAGGTAGCGTGAATGGAACTGAATAGATCGTCTGAAATGGAAGTTGAAATGTAAAAAGCGATATTGGTACCGAACATGACAGGAAGTACCAAACTCACCGCTATGATGTTTTGTTGAAGTTCTCCTCAAGGGCCTGAGTGCAGTGGCGTAATAGGGTATATTGGTCTTTGCTTGAATGAGACAAATCTACTCACACCTCATAGCTGTTAACATAAGGCAACTTTCTGAGTTGTCGTCTTTTAAAGACTGCCGGCTGGTTGGGCCTAGATATCTCTCACAACTCTGTCACGGTACTACATCCATAATGTCTTCTACTGCAAACCCTTTCTCTCGAGCTCCTCAACCTGCTAGATCAGGTGCTAATCTTCAAGAAAATATGAATACTGCTGGTACATTTGCCGAGGTGCTTGCAAGTGTTCACTCTGATCACACCAATGTCAAAATAAGGTAAGTGTACTACAGGTCGAGCTCATTGCTATCAGACACAAACTCACCCGAGAAACCGTCTCACCAGGCTTGACGATATGAGCGAATATCTTGATTCTCAGTTAAATGGCCTCACAAATCAGTTTGGTGCCGTAGATAGCCAAATAGCCGTGTTGGAACGTAAGATGGACAAAAATGTATGGTCAACCAAGTCACTCAAGGAGGATTCGAGAATTCTGAAAGAGATGACTTGGGGTGTGAAGGACAGCATCAAGGGCCTGAGTACAAAGGACAATGTCAATGTCCTTAGGAAGGATGTTGATGGTTTGCAAGTGGATATGACTAGCATAAGAGAGAATATGGCTGAGCTTTATGCTTTGCAGTTGAGGACCAGCACCAACTAACTTGGGCTCATGAACTCCCTCCATAGACTAGAGACCTTCATAGCAAGGGTCAACTCTAGTGTCGCAATAGTAAACAGTGAGTTGATTCTTTTTGTTTATTATATGTAACTCATGCACACTTTACTAGACAATATAAGGCTTTTTAGACCATGTTACTGGTAACGGTGTACACAAATCTATTTCAACTATACATACTAACCTGGAAAATTTGCTAGCATTTCTGACGTTCCTAGCACTCCTATGCAATCATCTCTTGGTTCCTCTATATATCCTTCTGGATTCAGGCTTGTCGAATAATTTGATGTTGATACCACTCGGATCCACGGCGAAGCTGGTCATACTACAGAACTTGCCAATGCCAGCGAGGGTTACAACGTTCAGGTTTCAGGTTTTAGCCCGGGGATTGCTGGCCCCAGCACTGGCACCACCGCATGGCCGATCACTGTCCCTCCAGTTTCTGCTCAAAACCAATACCTCCATAGCCATGATGCTCAAGCTATTTGTGGTGGTAATTCAGGCTCAAGTGCCATCTGCCAGCTCCAACCTGGTCGCGGATCCGGTAAATCGACACCTGCTTCACACTGAATACTTGCTGCTGTCTGGCAGTCTGGAAATTTTTATGCTAAGAGGACCTTTTATCTTAAATTTAAGCGTGCTTTTCCACTTACTATTACGTTGACCCCTGTTGTAAGCTAGCTCTACTACCATGCCCATAGCCAGTGGTGTATTGTTACTCTTATGCCATGCCAATGTAGGAATTAACATCAGAGCTATTAACATTTTTGTACTTTCTTTTTCATCTTAGTACTACCATTGCCGATGGGTATTAGTTGTTGTCACTTTGTATTGCACTATACTATTATGTTTGTGTTTTCCTAAAGCTCCCCTGGGGTTTGGGTGATTACTACTTATGTCCAAGTCACTGTTTCTCAATGCGTTGGGCTTAAATTAGGCCAGCCAGCCTTTTTGGGTATGTGTAATCTCGTTCAAATTGGCCCAAACTGAATATGAAGACACTGACGGTAACTCATAAATATATACAGTCAACACAATCTACTAGCTGACCCCAAAATGGTAAACAACAATTACAACAGTACACCTGACCATTAGTTCACGTGGAGCATCCACCAAATTCCTGCCGTGCGATTCATCCGACACCCTGAGCTGTGTATGTTGCTAAGTATGCTGGTATACCAAAAGAGCTCAGAGAAAGCTTATGAAGGCTTTCTACCGATGCCAGTATGGCTGGACACCATGACCGTGCATCAAGCCCTATTTCAAGAATGATCTGACAAGAGTTTTTGGCATTGGGATAACTGATAGAATATAGTTGATCTTACCTGAGCCTGAGAGTAGATTGAGGTGTAGGAGACATGGCATGAGGCTTTTGTAGCCCCTCCGTTAAATTATAAGTAAGCCAGGAAAATGTGAGAGATTTGGATAATCACATGAAAGTACCAAGAGGACCCATCCTCGGTTTGCTGACCTTGTGTGGTTGATCCAGGAAGGACAATACACCAGATATTGAGCTGGTGTATCCGAACTGGTTTGGCATAGAGACATTAGAACATTGTTCTCTTTTTGCTTTTTAATTTACTTACCAGTCCTTTTCAAGAACTGACATTTGGTAATGTCCAGCAAAAAAACCATAGCCAGAGTTTCTATTACACCATTGATAGCGTAGTCTAAATTTGATTCACCAGTCCATTACCTGCATTGAGCCATATTAGTGAGATAGAATGCCTGAAGAGAAACAAAAAAAATAACATACCTATTAACCAACCGATGGATACTACCTTCCGGCGCCAACAACAACAACAACAACTCTGCTCACCTTCAAACATACAAAAAGAAAAGATAAAAGGCAAAGAAAGTAAGTAAAAAGAATACAACCGAAGACCGTCTGAATACATATACATTGTAAATATTATAGTTGGTGATTATATTTCGCTGATCGCCTTCGACATCGTTGTAAGTGTTGATGGAGGCTTGCGCGAGCACGGCGGTTTGATCAAACAGCATATTTCTACAGCCAACGTGTTATCAGTAACCGTTTCCGAAAAGCATTGAATCCACTTACCGGACTTCAACCGTGAATGAATTTGAAATGGGTTTGGATAGCGAGACCAAACAAAATATTCAGTTATCGGATGGCTTATAAGATTGTGTTAGATTAGAGCTGGATTGAGTAAAGCATGCAACGGACTGAGTGAGACTACAAGTGAAGCCAAAGCCAAAGGTGGTAAACGGAAGCTTGTATGGATGTGAGTAGACAATAATAGCAAGCCACACAACGGGGTATCTTTGTGTTGATGGCAAGATGCATGAAGCCGCAGGGAGATTGATTGTGTTTTGTCCGAAGGGTGTATGGATAAATTTAAAGAGCCACACGAGGAAAAATTGATAGCAACACTGGATAGGTGTTTTACAGAGAATGGCTGAGATGGGATGCACGAAGACATTAGAATTTCATGCAAAGAAAGAACATTGGTGAGATCGCACTTTCCTTTAGCGTCAGAGTGTGAAGAGCATTGGCTGATACTTGTCAATGCATACTATTTGGCATCAATACTCTTGTGAGTCATCACTATACCCTGCCCAAGTTTTCTGCTAGACAAGACTTTGATCTACCATGCATTTTTTGAGGTCAATGCTGTCCGAAAAAGCAACAACCATTGGCAGATGGGCTGTATCTTCCTTCTATTGCAAAATCTGACAAAAATATACCTCTGCATTTGAATCTTCCTGGTCTGTATCACCAAGTTTTTCCCTGGGAGTATCTCTCGCCTGACCACTCAAGATACACTACTTATATATTTGTACTTGATCAGCACTGTTGAACTGCCTGGTTTCTTGAACTTGCATATGATATGCACCCATCCAACCGTGACATGTCAGGGACTGATAATTTGGTTGGTGCCAGCCTGGGGTGAAGAGATCAATCAGGTCATATATGTGAGTTGATCATGACGCGCATTATTAGTATTGGTGATACTGACAAATTGAAGTTCTTGATTCGGTCCTTGGAAGTTCAAGTTGCAAGTTGAACTTGAAGACGGCGGCACTCAGGCTGGCACTGTCAGATACTACTCAGTCGCGTGTTGATTGCAGTTAGACTCAGGCTTATCTTAGCTCCTCAAATGAGACATTGTTTCTGGGGTGTTTTTACTGTAGTGTCACGGTAAGGCACAATTTTTTTGATTGTTAAGCCTTGCTAAAAATTTCCCTCTGAGATAGTATGTCCGAGTCCGAGTCATTGTTCCTCTTTGCCTAGTCACTGGCTCAGTTCTGCTGCACTGATGTGATGCTTGCCAGATTTGGACTCAGAGGCGGTACATTCGCAACGGTGGGTGCAGACTCAGGCATCTAGACACGATTCAAATGAGTATTAATTTTTATAGCTTTGGTTCTGTCCGTATACACATTTACTGTAAACCTATTTGTAATATACACAACTTTATTCAATTGTTCCAGCTTGTTCACTCATCTTACGTTGAGCAGCCAGTAACTGAGCACTCCTAGCACCAATATACGAATTGGTAGATTGCTGTTGTGCGTTTTTCAACCCTGAAGAATGCCTAAATATTTGTCTGGTATCGAGGTTAGTGCAATTAATTAGAATATTAGAAAGTTATGTACAAATTCCACCGTGAAAGCAGCTCGTCAATCCTTTGTTTACTACGAGGGCCAGGTGGATCCTCAAAAAATGACGGGATATTCTTGTAAAATTCAGCATAGTTGAAGACACCATCTTCTTCACGCCAAAAACCAATGTCAGACAGAGAGAATCACACCTAAAAATCGGATTTATGAGTGCATGTAGTATTGGTGTTGATCAGATAACACATTACCTGTACCGCTGTATAAGCAATGGAGCGGGGAGTAACTGACTTCAAACCAATAATACTAGCTACGTTGCAACGAGTATTGACTCTGTCTCATTGTGATAATTTTTGTTGTCGAGGGGTCGGTTCGACTTCTTCAAGAATGTCATTAGCTCTCGATGTAAGGTTGATATTGTCTGCAGAGGTAGGCGACGTGAATAAGAATAAGTAAGCCTTACAAAAAACATATGTTAGCATTTAATTTGTCAAAAAAATTCTATGTACCACCTTCACAAGTAAGTGCCCTCTAAATAAACCTTTCTTGAGATCACCGACATCAGCCCTGTTGTTTCCGAAGAGGAAGTTTGGCCACAAGTCTGCTGTGACCAAGAAGTCGGATTCACCGTTTCTAATACTAGACCAGACTCTGGGAATCCAACAAGAAGTTGTATGTGAAACGCTACATTGAAATAATGAATAGACGCACTCCTCATTCCATTGATACTCTGCAGGGCATAATAGTTCAGCTGTTATTTCATTTTCGAAACCACAGTTGGTTTTATTTGATAGGTGAAGCGATCACACTGCAAGGCGTTGGTGAAAAACATCTTTGATCCAGACAACTATGTCTGTTTTCAAGTTTGATGAGCCATCAGCTCGTGCGCCATTGCCTCCATGACATATCTAAAAGTCATCAATAGCATGCAGCCTATATAAAAACTTGAAAATTACATTCTTATAGAACTCCTCTATTTTGGCCACTGAGCCCTCTAGATAAAGCTTGATCTAAGGTATATACTTCTTAAGGGCCTTGTACCCCCCCAGGCTAATTTTTGTCTGTAACAAAATAAAACAGAAGTTGGTTTTTGAGCAGTGTATATAACGAGACTTAACTCATCTGTAATCTGTGCACCCGACGATCTCTTTCAGCAATAAGGTCTTGTGGGTGCTCAAAAAGAGTAACCAAGTGGCAAAGGCATTGGCCAGCAGATATCTGCTTGTAGCGAGGGTCATCTTTCCTTTGAAAAGAATCAGTTCAAATTTGCAAAAACAACAATAAAGATTTACTTTTGTTTAGGTGAACCCCCTTCTTGTAGGAGTTGTACTTCCTGCTGCAGTTCAGCAATGCGGCGCTTGAGTGCATGCCTTGTGGTGCTAACATCTAATGAACCCTCTGGATCATTCGGTGAGACACTGCGACTATGATGACTGCCAGTGGATGGGGGAATTAGGAGTAATGAGATTGTAGTAGGAGACTGGTGTGGAAACAGGCCCCAAATTAGGCTGGAGTCTTCTTATCGTATCATACTAGTGATACTGTTGGTTTGGTGCTAGAGAATAGTCAGGGAAGGCGACAACCTGTATCCACACTGAGTAAGTTATTCAGAAAGTTTCTAGAAAAGACCTTGGAGAGTAGACAAAAGTGGATTAGAGAATGGAGGCTCTACACCTTTTTGGTATGACATGCGCTGGAGCAGGCCAAGCTTGCTGTCATCATCGTCCCAACCACATGATGTATGTTCCGTCCTCAGTGCTAGCATGAGTTGCTAATCAAAATTTCCCTCCAGCTGGAACACTTCTACCCAGTTTACGTCGCGGCCCACCCCATTTTGTCACTTTCAACCATGTACCTGCAAAATGCTCAGAAGGGCATTGTTTGTTGGTATTCTGACCTGTCTATTATACTGCTGGACTGCTAGTATGTTCAAATGCTCAGCTCTATGCCAGAAAAGCTTTGATACACGGAAAGGACTCAGCGTTCATCGCAATAATTACACAACCTACAAACATGTCCAGATCAATGCGGTGGAAGTGCAAAAAACTATAGCAGAGACTTTGAAAAAAAGGAGTATTTGGGAGAAACTGAATGCAGCTCAAAATGTGGTAATGTGTTGGTCTTTTGTGAATATTGTATTTTGTCTTATGAATAATACAGCGAGACTCGGATAGTAGCAATAACAATGTCGCGGCCGGGATTGAAACCCAAATGTCTGAGCCGCTATCTCCTGAACCAGCACAATGTCATGCAATAACACGTCCCAGTCCTCCTTTAACATCTAGGGGCCGACCTAAGCGCCATTATCGACTTCCTAAAAGATATCTGGACCTACCTCCGGAAGTGTTCAATTGAGAACTTCTGGGAAGCGTCTAGCCACTTGCTGAGAGCTAACAGGGACAGAACTAGAGTCCAGTATGAGTAACTATATTATCAGAGAGTACAGAATGTGTACAGTACCTAGAGTCTAGTATGAGTAACTATATTATCAGAGAGTACAGAATGTGTACAGTACCTAGAGTCTAGTATGAGTAACTAAAGAATAGGAATACTGGACTTTGCAATACTAATCCGAAGTTTTGTAAACAAAGGTAAACAAATCAGCCACAAAGGCGAACTTATAGAATGCTCAGTGAGTACTGAACAATAGAGCAAAAAGAATAAAGAGGAAAGTGATTTAGAAAGGAGGGAAAGTAGATAGCACAACTAGGTGCAGAATCACCAAAACTAACAGGAAGGCCCACAGGTGGTGAACGGAGTGGTGCAATTGGGTACACATATTCCACTCAATGGCGCCAAAAACAACACCACAAATGATGCATCAACAGCTTCCGCTGTACAGTGCATTATACTTCATGTCTGGGATACAATCTGCACAGTAGCCAATTCTTTTGGTTTACTGTGTGAATATAAGAGTCAACCATCATATGATCCAGACTCCGCAGTAGAGGCTAATGATCTTCTAGCTACTCCTGTGCTATCAAACACTGACTCAGATGGTGCCGGTACTGAAGATCTAGGGGGTTACACCCACCCTCCACCTCCATGGCCATTTACTAGTATGTCCATCTATCGATTGATGGATTGGATGTATTCAGGTGGTCCTCAGAAATTGAAGGAAGAAATCAATTGACTCACTCGTTCTGTCCTCACAGCTGAAGATTTTAGGGTTGAAGGTTTGGTTGGTTTCGATGCGAAGCATTTGGCGACAAAGAACGAAAATTACAGCCTTCCGTACTCAAATAGCGGCACTTGGTATGAAATAACAGTCAAAATCAGTGTTCCAATGGGATCAAACTCATCTACAAAAGTGGAAAATTTCAAGGTGTCTGGATTACACTATTGTTCCCTTGTTGAGATCATCAAAGAAGTGTTCTGTGGCCCGCTCGCGAAGAAATTTCACCTCTTTCCATTCAAGCATTATTTTAAAGCCAGTGACAGAGCACCTGAGGAGCGCGTTTTTAATGAAGTGTATACTTCTGATGCATGGTTGCACGCTCATGATGCACTCCAGAAGCAGCCACCCAAGCCAGGCTGTAAATTGGAGAGGGTGATAGCAGGGTTGATGTTTTGGTCTGATAGCACACATCTCGCAAATTTCGGTACAGCCAAAGTGTATTTGTGCGGCACCAAATTCAGGTGCGTGCAATCATGTAGCCTACATTCCTTCAGTGAGCTCGTTCACACTCTTTAAGATATTCTATAACTCAATACATATGATTTTAGATTCCAGACAATATGCAAGACTTTATCCTTAAATCCGGAGATATTCAAAAAAGTCAACAGTCCAGTATCATCATGCACTGCCGGAGAAAGCTGTTTCATGCAGTCTGGCAATTATTTCTTGATGATGAATTTCTACACGCTTATAATTGTGGCATAGTCCTCAAGTGTAGTGATGGTGTGCAGCGCCGTGTGTACCCTTGCCTCTTTACATACTCGGTGGATTACCCCGAGAAGTAAGTGATAAAAAACTTTAAACTGTATGACTCACCAACTACAATTCCTACAGAGACTTAATAGCAACTATTCGTGATATGGGGAATTGTCCATGTCCTCGCTGCCTTGTCCCAAAATCAGAAATCGACAAGATAGGGCAAGTAAGAGATCTCCAATCACGCGTCGCAAAAACACGGTCATATGCCATGCACAAAATCAAGCTGGCTAGAGAAGTCATTTATTGCATTGGTCACTCCATCACTAGTTCTACAGTGGATGATATCCTTAAGAATGAATCATGGGTGCCCACCGTTGTAAGTTATGAGACAAATTCTTGCTTTTTGACACTCAATCTGATGTAACTTTACAGAATGCCTTTGTAAACAGACTCCGAGACAACTTTGACGTTTTTCCATTGTTAGTTGTCGATTTAATGCATGAGATTGAGCTGGGTGTTTGGAAATCTACATTCACTCATCTTGTTTGCATACTATATGCTTCTGTCGAAGGCAGCCGAGCTGTGGCAGACTTGGATGCAAGGTATCTTGTTTTTGTTGTCTGCTGGTTTCTCTGAGCTTACTCTCTAACTCTGTTTAGATTCAGGCAAATACCTCCTTTTGGCCAGTCAACCATTTGCCGCTTCTCAAATAACACCAGTGAAATGAAAAAGCTCGCAGCTTGCAACTTTGAGGATCTTTTGCAGGTGTGTATTTTCTTTTTGTTGTTCCCATTGTAAACAGCCCCAATTAGTGTGTGATTCCAACATTTGAGCAGCTTTTGCCATAGCCTCACAACAAAATTGTCAAGAAGCTCTTATTTCATTTCAACCAATGGCATGCACTAGCCAAGCTTCGAATGCACACCGAGTCAACAATCAAGGAACTCGAGAGCGTCACTGTTACTTTAGGAAAGGACCTACGTAAATTTTGAGATATAACTTGCACTGCATTCAGAACAAAGGAGTTACCACGCGAAATCAATTCGCGTATGCGTAGAGCTAAGGGAAGCCGGATTCAAGGTCAAGCCGAAGTTACGCAATTGCAAACAGAGAATCCACAACAAGTAAAACAACCGCTACAGAAAAAATTCAACCTATCAACATACAAAATTCATGCTTTGGGTGACTATGTGCGATCAATTAGATTGTTCGGAACAACAGATTCTTATTCTACCCAGACTGTAAGTAATTCCAGTCTGCTCACCATTCCAAACCTCCTGATTTATATGTAGGGAGAACTAGCTCACCAAGAAGTCAAGCACTTTTATATGCGTACAAATAAGAAAAACGCTATTAAACAGATGACGCAGCATGAACAGAATTCAACACACTTTGCGTACAACCGGTCCAAAATGGCGAATCCTACTGCATTTGGAGCCAAGGCCCATATTCATCAACTTGAGCACGACAAAAATGATATCATATACCAGGCTGAAATAATACCAGAGATGCACCACCATATTTCAAGTTCGAAGAAGCATCCTCTCCATATCATTTCATGGATTCACTCGTTCCCCAGCAATGAACCCGCATTCACAGTAAGTAGAGATGCTTATTGTGGTATCTATATTTATACGGCTAATTACATCACTTATGACAGAATTTCATACCAAAGCTTAGGGATCACCTGCTGACTTGCTTACTTGGTCTTTGTGAGGCAATGATAAACTATAACACAAACAAAACCTGTCTCCTTCTGCACTTGCAGGGAGTAAAGGGTTCGATGAGCTTGAGGTCAACAGACGCTAGTAAATATAGCGAGTAGAGGACTTTGAGAGGTAAGCTTCAAAGGTTTTCGTTTGAGGAGTAAAGCGGGTAAATTCAGTAATAGAAAACTAAGGAGCCATACATGAATAGGTAAGGCTTTATATAGTGAACTGTTCGTTCCTCAGACCGAAAGGAGAATATACGAAAAGTGGTCTGAGGAATCAATCAACCAATAAGAAAAAGGGAGAGTAACTATCGTACGACTTTTAACTTGATTAATCAGCAGGTGAGAGACTTGTACTAATAATAGAGGATTGTCACACGTGTTCAGGAACCGTATCCTCATAATGAGGTACGATCCCGAATAAGGCGTTATTAGTATAACCAGACTTTACTGAGGCTTGGAGCTGGTTGGCGAGATGCCTACTACCAGTCCTTACTCTGTGTGCTGGCTGGCTGGGAGCGATACCCAGTCTCTGATCTGTGATATAAAATGGTAGTGATGGTTAAGAAAGCCTGTGAGGGCTATGAGAAGTAAAACGGCAAAGGATACCTCTAGCCCTAGAGCCAGAGGTGTAACGGGAAAAGCGTTCGAGAACCAAGACATAGCGAAGATAAGAAAATAATGAAATGGTCCTTACAAGTTCCATCTCCTGCAATTCCACGACCACCACCAACTGTTACGATAAAACAATTTTCGGACCTTCCCGTTATCTTTATTTCTCCGCTTTAACCTGGTAATTTAGCTTTCACACATGGTGCCACGCGGCACTTCCCCTTTTGTCCAAACTCCTCTTTCTCGTGCCGTGTTGCCTTTCTTCTTAATATAGACACAACTCTCTCACATAGTGGAGCTGGCCATGCGGGCTAGGCCCCATGACATCATCAGCCACTGTCTCTATCAACTGTATAGTACACATGTACAAATAACCCTGTAGTAGTATATATACCCCAATAGATCCAGGAGACTGCTCAGCGAGTCCTCCTGTTGTTAACCAACAAACTCTCTGCAGCCTAAGGGGTAACCACTCCCTCATCATCTTCCTTATAGTGTATTTCTGTGTGCGCCAGAGTAACTAACTCTTGGTTGTTACACCAACATCCAGGAGCCAGCTAGCAAAGGCTTCACTTTCTGGAGTACGGTCCAGGCACATATTCTGTGTGAGATAGCAGATATGGATATTTGTCCACAGTTGTGACCTTCTAAGAAAGGCAGAAATAATGCATTGCCTTGACCCTCTTGGAACAACAGGTGTTGTTTGGTGGAAGTCCCCTCCAAAGACCATTATAATGCCTCCAAATGGAAGTTGATTATCCAAAATGTCCCGCAATGCAGATCTAATGCTTTAATCCCATGACAGTGTTGCATTGGCGCTTCATCCCAGACAATAACTCCGGTATGTCTCAATACCTCATGGAGGTCAGAGTTTTTTGGAATCCTGCATGTGGATGTTTCATGTACAGGAATAGGCATTCAATCTCAGAGGATGCTACACATAGAGCAACATTATGATTATCTCTTGCTCAAGCAGCAGTGGCAACTGTATTACAGAGATATGTTTTTCCCTTACCCTTACCTTCAGCACTGTGAATAAAGCAAGTAATTCCCCAATTATGATAGATTGACTGTATGATGGTATCAAAAGCATTCCGTTGCTCTTGACTGAGCTACTCCATACTATCTTTAGAGTAATAATAATACAGTAAAGTGATCAAATTTTATTTAGTCAGAAGTCAGTGAACTTTGTGCTGTCTGTCCTTATAACCGTGAGAATTTTCAATGTGGCTGCAATTTTCACTGCACTCGTTACTACTGCACTACCTTCCCTCTGCTAACCGAAAACCACGCGAGCGAAACTAAGCGAAAAAACGTGCTCCCACGTGTGCCGCTCGCGACTTTTGGGACCACCGTCCCCTTCGTCATAGATTATAGATCGTGCGGTACAAGCGTTGTTAGTTCCTTGTCTGTACACGTTCTCAAGGTCTTTTTGTTATTGAACATCTTGTCTTCAGTAGATCCAGCTATATCAAAGTACGAAGTACGACCAGCATCGAACCCGAAACATTGAAAGTACATACTACTACAACCACAAAATCACAACATTTACAACATCACGATGAAGATAAAGCAGCTCGAAGAGGAACCTGATGTCGGTGAGGGTGAGGTGCGCAAGACAAGTTTTCTCCAACTAGGATACCCACTTATGCCATGTTTCCTCAACGAAACTACACTATTAGGAGCCTTCTTTGACACACCGCGATGATGATGCCAGCAGTGATGTATGGGAGGACATCAAAGACCCTCTTTCATCCTCTGAGCGAGGTCCACCCAGTGCCGCAAGTTCTTTACGCTCTAATCCCAGTCGTAGAAGGAGGCCAGGAGCCAAGACAGTCTTCGTTGCAGATACATCTCGGCGAGCACGTCCCATTCAACCCACTAGAAACAAAAAGGTCAAAGAGCCTATTGTTGAACAAGAACAGCTGAATGAAGCGCTGGCAGCTGGAGCCAAATGTACTATGTATTACGTGCGTGATGTTATAGGAACTGCCATTAGGCTTTTGCGAAGACCCCTATCTTGGATACTGTTCCTCTATTTACTCGGTTTGCTCTTCTCTCGTCTCTCGAACACTCTGCGAAACGCGTTTTCACCTCTGTGCATACTACCTGGGATGTCCTCGACTGCTCTCTGTAGGCCGATGGACTACCCTGATGGACATTCAAATGCACGGTGGGCGGACTTCCCTCAAATGATGAACGTGCAGAGCTCGACTTTTGAGCAACTGTTGGATGAGTCTGCCGGTGGATCTGCTTTATCCCTAGAAGTGAAAAAGGCTGAATTGGCGACTGTGGATCTGGCTACCGCAGTTCGCTACAGTGACTTGAAATGCCACGACATACTAGCAGATTCGTTATCGGCATTCGTACAGAATGCAAAGAGGACAGCTCGTGGTCTCACAAGACTGAACTCTAAAGTTGGTGGTGCCGTAGATGAGTACGTTATCTATCAGGCTACCCTTGAATATTGGCTTACGTGGAGCATAACTTTCAACCAGCATAATGGCTATCAATGGCTATGCGTTACGCACGATCCAAGATACACAAGCTAATGCTCCATCACCATACTCTCTCAGAGCACTTATTCCTATTCGCTTTGGTCCAGGGACACAGGAGGTTATCTTAGAAGTATTTACCGATGCGATGGAGACTCTCTCTCGCACTATCGCCCGCCTTATCGTTGAAGCCGAAGTCTCCTTGATCCATCTCAACGAGCTTCAAGAGAGCCTGCACACGATACATGAGATTGTCTCACGGGAAGATGCTTCAATAACCGCCGCGCAGTCCGATCTTCTCGCTGAGCTATGGACGAGGCTTGGGGGGAATAGGCGGGCATTGCGGGGGATGGACGATCGTCTGTCGCTACTGAAGGACTTAGGAAGCTACCGCCAGAAAGCGCTGGCACATGTTGTGGCTGCGCTGCAGACTCTTCATTCGATGAGTGAGGACATGGAGGATTTACGAGAGAGGGTGGCCGCTCCGGAGATCGTTGGGGGCCGAATTCCGCTTGACGTACATATCGGAAGCATCCAGAGTGGGTTGGAGCGCTTGAGGGAAGGGAGAATCAAAGCAAAGGAAAGAGAAGAGAAAACCGTGAGGAGAGTACTTGGTATCGGTTCCGATTGAGTTTTGAGAAACAAGAAGTATTTATAGGCGTGAGTGCTACATCACTTTTAACACACGAATGTCTCTACAACTTGCTATGCGTAAATTCCATCTTTGGTTTATCTGTCATCTACGCTCAGGACCCGTGTTATGGCATTTCCATGAATGAAAGTGCGATTCCCTGGGGTGCAAGCTGTCACTTGCCATGCTCACCAATCTTTCGTTCCGGAGCCAGCGGGACAGTGCTAGTGCTACTCACGCCAATGTCACAGGCCTCATTGCTATTTTTCGCACCAAACAAGCTTTGTAAAAGGTGAAGGATCATATGCTGACCTGCGCAGCAAAATGAGGGTGGACTTTGATTGCGTCACAACGGAGGACTATTTCGTGTGGAGTGGATCGTTCCCTTCGAGACAGCATTGCAGCAACCGTCAAACGATACGGTTCGGTTCGGGGCTAGGTCCCTTGGTCTGGGGTAAGTGAACGGTTACTTTTGATGATACAATACTTTATCTTTGCAATTGCAGCATCCCATCAAAGTCAGCGGTGCCGCGTTTTAGTACGCTCAGCGTAAGCGTTATAAATATGAGTTCAGGAGAGGTCTCAGGAACTTTGCATTTCGAACTCCATACAGCGCCGACGCCGTTAAATGTAAATTGAAGGGACATCAAAACGTCAGGAGGGCTGCAGAGGGCTAGAATAAACCCGACATTACTCCCGATTTTATGTAGTCACGGTGTAAAGTGTTGCCAATCAGGATGATCGTTAGAAAAAATGAGAGGGGCTGGCAGAAATGGGATTCGGGGTGGTCGCTGTGCGAGGAAGAGATTGGAAATGTACAACAGAATGGTAGCGTGACCCTTGCGGTCGAAAAATCAAAGATAGGGTCGCCATTTGATATCTGTGCGGTGTAAAAATTATCTGAGATATGGGGTGTAGATACAAAGTGGAAGTTTGTGAAGAGAGCAGACGATGTTCTACATTGTAGTGTTGTTCAAGCGAATAAGTACTATGAGTATCAGTGCTGCAACAATAGCTTGGACTGAGTTCACGGTGGCGTGGGGTTGGCTCGGTTTGGTTCAGAGTGGCATCTTATTGTTCCTGGATATAAGGAGTAGCACATGGACTCGGTAATCAACAATTAGCGCTACAATTACAGGCAATGCTATTAGATATCCTTAACAAAAGCATACTCAGCCCCTCTGCATGTTTCTCTTTCCCCCCATCTAGCTCTGATTCGTTCTATACTTATTTCTTATCCCTCACTTTTCCAACACAGGTTCACTGGCGCCGGTGCATTGGCCATCACCGTCACGGTACACAGCACCCCAGTCTCATCCGGTACACAACCCGATAGCAATCTACACTTGTCCATGTGCTTATGTTTTTCCATTTTAGTGGTCCTTCTCTCCAGTCTATCGTCGTTCATCGTGGACGAGGCTCGAATTTAAAGCCAAACACCAGTGTGTACCCCGTGCGGAGCTAGCGTCTTGGTCTTGTCTCACCTCGACTCTAACACGTTTAACAAAACGTAAGACAAGTATGTCGCTTCTTCGTCTCTCGTCTCTTCGTACTTATCTTCTTATCGTTGTGCTACCAGTAACTCCCTCAGAACACGACGAGACTCCTCATAACGTCGCGAGTGTTCACGCGCGATGGAATTCCCAGTGAGCTCTCCTATACTTACTATGTGAACAGCTCTCACTGACTCTGAATTCGCACCTTAGACTGGCCCAGGTGCTCTTGGTGGCCCAATTTCTCCAGATGTGAGCCTTATCCACTGTACCACTATATCGTGGACACATCATAACATAATTGTTGTTGCAGGCTTGGAAAAGAGCCGTCTATCGCAGCCCTCCTCGTGTTTTTAATGTTGAGGTATTAACGCCAGAAAAACAAGGTACAATATACCCCCATTCGTCGTTTCCCCGCTCTTACAGTTTCCATAGGTGGTAGCTATAGCTATGGTTTCAGAATATGCCCTATCAAAGAGGATAATGTCTCGCTCTCTTCGTCCGCTGGTTCTACCTCATCAAAGGGTTCTCATATCGAGTACGAAATTTGGAGGCGTTGGGAAGACTGTTTGTGGTTCCAAGAAACGCTAGAGTGCGAATATGCGCGCACTTCGCGTGAAAAACGCACCCGTCTAGCTGCGGGCAAAGGCGTTAAAAAGGACGGCGTTTATATACAAAGCGACCAAGCAGCGTCATTCGAATCGTTACCTCCAGGTCCAGATCCAAACTCCATAGCACTGGACATCCATGACTGCATCCCGAAGCTTACGAAGAAGGGTACACTTTTCCGGGCCAGTCAAGCCACCATTGAACAGCGGCATAGAGAACTTCAGGCCATGGTCAATGTGATATTTCAAGAAGACGTGCCAATGTTAATCAAGGAACTAAGAACGACGCGCACGTTCACTGATTTCTTTGGCTTTTGGAGAAGAGATCACGATCTGGCTATGAAGAGACAAAAAGGCACCCGCGAGAAACCACGCAATTCTGTGTCAAGCAGCGTATTCTCTTCGTATTTCGCAGCATCGTCTCCTGCTCTGTCGGATGTTCCACCAGTGCCGCGCATTCCTACCTCTCCGTTAGCTGACAACCGCGCATCTGTTAATTCAGACTCTTCCTCATCTGAAATGTCTTCGTCGAAAGGCTCGCGCTCCAATTCATCGACTTCGTTATTGACACCCCCTCATCAATCAACTCGGCAGCCAGTCATTGTTCCGCAGGACGTCCCCCTCATGTTCGGATACAATCCACAGTTCTCTGATCTTCATAACAATGACAGACCGACATCCATGCTGGAATCTCTCCCAGAGGATCGTGAGCTTTTGTCTCCCGGCGCAAAAGCTTCAGGGCAAGAAGAGGATGCAAACCGACCTCCCCTGAGGAGACGGAAGAGTTCCGCCGCAAGCGAAATTAACCGGAACTGCCGTATCTTCATAACTGGCCCGAACAACTTGAACGAAACGGACGAGCTTTTAGCCTTAAGTAGTAAGTCCTCTTTTTTTGCAATTGTTCCAGTACATGTACTTACGGCTTTGACAGCTGCGAACCAACCTGTAAGGCACTCTTGGCAGACCACGTCTTCCGCTTCGTCGATACGTCCCTCCGTTTATTTTGCAGACCTTGATGTAGACCTGGCATTACCAAGTCCGTCAGCCCCAGAATTCAAGCACCGACCGAGGGCGTCGATGGCGAGCATGGCGTCCTTCATGACAGATAACTCAGCAGATGCCGTTCTTCCACGTTCCCAGTTTGCAGACCTCCGACGCTCGCTATCCTCAGGGTCTCGTCGCCCCCACCCCGACTCGCTCACCAAGGACGAGCAGTGGGACGAGGACGAGCGATGGAACGAGGACGTTCTCGATGCTTACTTTTATGGCATGGCTTTCGACCAAGCGCGAGCTTCGAGGCCTGAGACCATCGCGATATCGACAGATTCCATACGTCCGCACTCCCCTGCACGCTCTGAGACTCCCATCGGCGAACCGTCATCTTCCACTGCGACATCCAGCTCTGAACACTTCTCCAATCCCGACAACGGCTACGCGTTCTCCCCGAAACGTTCTTCCATCGCCACGTCTATCTCGAGCGATTCTGCGACATCCTACCAGGACGGGACGATCTCGATCAAGGCGATGCACAATAACAGTATTATAGTGTTGCGTACTCCCCGTACTTTGTCTTTTGATGAAGTACGCCAGAAAATCTACGCTAAATTTGTGGGTCAGGAAGGAGCCCCTCTATCTGAATCCTTCGCGGTAGCGCATTTAGTGACGCCTGATAAACCAAAGGCTGTAGCGGGACGCACCCGATCAAACTCCTTGTCTGCTATCGGGAGCGCAGATCAGGCTCAGCTCGATTTCATATCTTCACAGGAAGAATGGGACCAAGTCGTGGCTTCCAACATCAAGAACAAAATATTACTTCGCGTTATAGGCACCAAAGGCTCATAGGAGGCTCGTGCACGAACTGTTTTAACATTATTGCTTTCGTTCCTTTCATCAATTTTTTTTTCGGTTTCATTCTACATTACTGTACGACGCTCTTTATCTTCGTATTCGAGTTGGTGCTGTATGCTTTAGCGTTGTCACTGATGTTGCGATATGTATTGTCGTGTGTTCTTGTAGATTTATTCGTTCTTGGTCTTCACCTGCCCATCTTGCCTTGTATTAGATAGCATTCAATATAACCATCATGACTATACACTGGTACTCTGATTGGGTGTAAGCCAGTTGGATACGCAGAATGACAAAGATAACGGCTATGCATTCACATTTATCCGAGGTGAAGCTGACTCGATAGGTATTTTTGAGGCACCCGCGGGAGGTGCCCCTATTGGTAAAGGTGTATACGACCAATCTGGTATCACGTTCTTCAGTGTGGGCTCTTCTGCTGCAGAAGCTGCAGCATCATCGTCATCATTACCACGATTTGCCTCAGCCTCATCCCATTTCTCTCGTGCCACCTCAACACCCCCCGTCTTGAGCGACCTGGGAAAACATCACACCATATCAGTCATTGATTATCAAGTCAAACATAAACATCTATGTGAACTCACCCAGCTAACGAACCTCCCACCCACGCTAAAGTGGCCGGAGAGAATGAAGGAGCTTTTCCCGCGTTTGCTACGGCTCGAGAAGAAGTGGCTGGAGGCGGTGCGGGATTGTTTAAGATAGCAAAATGGGAAGTGAGTGGTCGAAGGGGAGCATATCGGTCATAAGGGGGTGGAGCTGGTTTGTCCGGGCGGACTGGCTGCCTAGTCGATCCGGGCGGAGGCTCAATGGCCCGTAAAAGCTCAGCATGTAGCCTTGGAATGAAACCGGGCAGCATCGGTGTACCGCCCACGATGAGAATAGAGCATGCCATTGTCTTTCTAAGATCTACCGGAACCTATTGTTTGTATCATCGAAGTGATCAGTGGGAGATTCAATGATTAAACGGGAACGTGACAAACTTTAAGAAGAGCCTCCAAGATAACTTCAGCGACGCTACTTTCGTCGACGTCACCACCTTCAAACAGCACTTCGGCTGCGCGTTCACGGATCCAGCCGGGTATTATAAGTGTTCCTCGGACAGTGCCTGCCTGTTGCGAGATCGGCGGTACGACTCGCATGTGTATATCTGTCGCTGTAGAATGTCGCGTATACATACTAGCCAGAGCTTGCAAGTAATTCTGCCCGCGACCTGTGTCTGCACTAGAGAGCTGAGAATGCGAAACAATCGAAAATTCTGAGGATGCAGCTTGCGAAGAGATGTTACTTTCAGGTCCAACTGATCCACGGGAAAACTCTGATTCAGACATCGTGGTATCGCTTGGTGGGACGTCCAGCTCGATCATATAGTCATCGCCTGATGGCGATGATACTCGCATATCGTTGTCGCTGTCGAGAGCCTGGCTCACAAAGCAACACCTGGTTTTGATTTCCTCCACGACCGCATCAGTTAAAACTTCTTGAGGTACACGAGTAGCACGATTAGCAGCGGGTATATTGGCAGCAGCGCTAAGTGAGGTGGGTGGGAGATACGTGCCAAAGAGAAGTAAGAGCGAGCGTAGGTGAGATGTTAGGCGATCTCCTGCCAAAGGAGTTGTACGAATTTGAGGGAAAAGTGGTCTCGATGCGAAAATCTATTGTCGCGGATTGCGTTGGACTAGAAGTGAGAAAAATAAAAAATATATAGCTTACTGGTAGTGCAGTAGACTCCAGATGCCCACAATCTAGGACGAGTCCTGTTATTCTCCCAACAGCTAGTAGAGATAAAAGGGGATTTGAAGCGAATGATATTGATGGCACCTTTGAGAGGGCAATTAAAGTTGATAATCAAATACAAAGCAAGCTGAACATACTTGCAAATTGTTGAAGAGTATTCGTGCGATCATATGTTTGATGTAAATTGGTAGAAATGGGTGTTCTACCAGAATAACTTTACGCGATTTGGGGTCTGTCAATAGTGAGCTTGCGTGAAACCTGTAAATTTCGGCTGTGGACAAAAGTGCAAGAGACTTACTGATGGAACACCGACCGCAAACATCTCTCTAGATTTATTGCTAGCATATTTTCCCGTTCAGCTCTTTCTATCGGGTCTGTGGCACGGCTGAGATCCCAGAGAGAGGTAGAAGTGTTTGGTTCGCCATAGAATACATCTCTCGGTTTACCTTCGCCACTAAAGCCAACTTTCCATATACGAGATCCTGGATCGATAACGACACGATCCTCTGTACCATAAAGTGAATGTCTCCGTGTTGTTGTGTAATGGGGAGAAGCCTGTAGAACATGCGAGCCGGCTACTCGAGTGGTTGTGGGCGTTGCATAAGGCGTCGATGAGCTGGCGGATGCCTTTCCCCTTGGTGTTGTCATAATAGAGGACATTCATGCAATGCAGATGCGAAAGGAACGTTAACCAGAGCTTGATTGAATTCAAGACTTCCACTGGCGTAGCTTTGAGCAAAAGATAAAAGGGACCAAATGCAGACTGATTTCGTGCTCACGTGACATTCGCGTCACGACTTTTCAGCTGTGACAGTGATACACTTCAGATTTCGTAACTATAACCAGCTAACTCAACCTCTGTAAATGCTACATTCTCCGCCGTTTGTATGTATCTGGACCACTCGGAGCCTTGTGCTTTTCGCAACCATTGTCTGCGCCATCTTCAAAGCAGCACGTCCACTGGAATCTCTGGGGATCCCGTCCAACCTGAGTGTCTTTCTTCAAATATAGTATCCCTTTGGAACGCTTGGGCATATATCCAGTTACAGTTCTTGCATGTCTCAAAACGAGACAGCACTTCGCACACTTCAGTACGCTTCTCCACGACAAGCTCACACATCAATGCTTCCTCAACAACTTTATTCTTGTCTACCCAAGTTGCCAGAATCTCCCGTAGCCTGGCTCCAGAGACGCTAGCAATGGCTTTGCACAACTTTTTTCTTGAAATTCATTGAGAGGGGCTATCTCCCACCCCTCAATGTCTTCCGTATCAGGTTCCGAGTCGCTGTCTGTCGCGCACAATATCGAGCTGCCGAATGCAATGAGAACCAAATCTGCCAGGACCTCCCGTAGCTTGATTTCTGAGACGCTAGCAATGAGTGAGAGTAATTTTTTTCGCGATTTTTTATTGACAGTGGCTGGCTGCCAACCTTCATCGTCTGAATCTTTAGAATCGAATTCAGATCCTGGCGAGCACACTATTTCTTTGCCTTTGCTGGTTTCCATGAGACTCTTAGGCTCTGTGGTGTTTATGTGGTGTGGTACAGGTTACATAGTGTTCAGAACCTCTATGTTCTCATACACCACGGGCATGAAAGGGTTCCAGCCAAGCCGGGAGAGGTATGATTCGTATACAAACAGCATAATTTCAGCCACCTGGCTGGGATACTTCCAATATTATAAATATACACTTTGTGATAGATGAACTAAAATTTTACCAATATTTTGTGAAATAGCTGTGATGGTTCATGCCCAGTTCAGGCTGACATGTTGCTGGTTCTTTATAAACTAGGTTTGTATTGGCTGAGCTGCTGACTTTTCAAAGAACTAGCAATGTGTCAGGCACGAACCATCCCAGCTATTTCTCAAAACATTGGTAAAATTTTAGTTAATCTATCACAAAGTATATATCCCCGAATCTTCCGAAAGGAAGGGAGGGCCTCTGTCGCGTCAATTCGTCCTGCTGTCTATGTTCCAATGTGCAAAAAGTAAACAATGCCAAATAATATGCAGGGATGCAGGGACCAGTTTCTTTCATTTTGCTGGGAAATTTTGTATAGTTTATTATCTCACATAACGTAAAATAAAAAGTTGTTCTTTCAATCTTTCATTCTTTCATTTGTTCATTCATACTCATCTTTGCCTTTCTATTCATCAACCTCAACTTCATCCCTTGTCCCCCTCCCATCCCGTGCCTACTACATATTCGGCTGGCAGATGTTCCTCGAGAAGTCGCCTTGTCGTGTTCCACGTGTTCTCGACGAGGCGCATTGCCCTCCTGAGCTTGTGCCTCACAATATAAATGATTATCCTCATTATCATGATGCTATATATTATCCTGAATACCATTCAAAAATTTTTATGATGTCTGATGATGTCTGTTCGTGGCTTGAAAAGCTGTCTCTGTTCATCAAACCACCTGCCTTCGCTGTCCAGCTGAAATTAATGGCAAATTATCCCTATCTGTTCATTTTTTGGTGGACGCAAATGCTTTCATTGCCGGTCACAAAACAACAGGTCAGAGTGCAGTTGTTGCAATTTCTGAGGTTGTGTCTTCTAAGTACGTGCATTGTACAATTGTCTCGCGGCGACGGCATTACCATTGTCTTGTCGTTGCCAAATATATATACAGTCCATTCAAGTTGGTGATTGAAATTTTTGATTTATCATATATTTGACTCCCTAAAGCAAGTCGGGGACTGGCGCAAAAGCTCCGCTACAATTTATAATATTGGAAGTATCCCAGCCAGGTGGCTGAAATTATGTTGTTTGTGTACGAATCATACCTCTCCCGGCTTGGCTGGAACCCTTTCATGCCCGTGGTGCATAGTCAACAATATGTGATCACGTGATATTTAGTTTCGGTAGCGACATTAAAGTGTTCAAGTTATCACTAACGTCCACTATCTCGAAGTTACAGTCACTGACACTTGCATGCATTGGACATGTCAGACACTGACCTATCAAATACCACTCTGAATGACTCAAAAACACTTCACTCTAAGGGTGCTGAAACACAGAACTCGAAATCGTCCAAGAAACGCCAGCTTGAACCTGAAGCTGACGACTCAGAGTCTAGCGTGGCTCGTAAGGTAACAAAACGTACGATATCATGTCCTTCATGGAATGTTTCAAGCTCACAGCGCGCCATGAACCACAGTCCATCCTTTCTTCTCGAAGCCGGGGCAGACAACATCTGCTCCCTTCCAATGGGTGAAACCGTCTTTAGGACCAAAACGGACGTGTCTACACGGTGTAAACATGTCTCCGGAAAGCCGTCCCAAAATTGCCGCGTTTGATCTGGATGGCACTGTCATTAAATCAAATCACAAGAACAGATCCAAAAACACAGCATTGCAATGGGAGTGGTGGAAAAACAGTGTCCCTTCGAAGCTTCAGGAATTACATCAAGAAGGGTAAGCTATTTGAAGTGAGACTCTAAATCGGTCTCAAACGCGTTTTAAAACGCTATAGATTCTCTATAATCTTCATATCCAATCAGGCTCTAAAGGGAACACAGATCGAGGACTGGAAGAAGAAGATACCTCTCATAGCTGCAGCAGTAATAGCTTTTTATGCGCTTTATAACATGTTACTGATAATATCAGCTTCCTAGTGTTCCATTTCGTATATTTGCTGCCACAGCTAAAGATGGATACCGCAAACCGATGCCTGGAATGTGGTATGAGCTCGAACGGATGTTTAAAGCAGACAATATCGAGATTGGCATGTAAATACATTCCGTCCTGTGAACGCCTTCTCATTTTCATTACAGATAAGGCTTCCTCTTTTTTCGTAGGAGATGCTGCCGGCCGACCTGATGATTTCGCTTCTACTGATCGCAAATGGGCATTAAATATAGACATACCTTTTCACACCCCAGAGGCAAGCGGTTATCACCCTTACTGTCATTAAATGCAGTTTCAAACGATAATTGACTAGGAATACTTCTTGAAATTGCCTACAGCCAAATTCAGTCTTCCTGGTTTCAACGTATCATCTTTATCTCGTCTGTCAAGATTTTTCCCGCATGGCGTGTCCTGACATCGATTGCAGTTCCTCCCTCTACGACAACCCCAAAACCGGTTTCTCTGAACCACCACAGGCCCGAGCTCGTTCTTTTCGTAGGATATCCTTGTCTAGGGAAATCTTCATTTTACCGTCACCATTTCGAACCTGCTGAATATATTCATATCAACCAAGACACACTTGGAACACGGGCCAAGTGTGTAAAGGCGGTCACTGAGACTTTGGATGCTGGTGATAGCTGCGTTGTTGGTGAGTACACAAGACGAAACCTATACCAGCCGCTATAAGAGTTCCAGATAATACAAATAGAGACATCTCTACTCGAAAGCTATATATCGACCTAGCGAAGAAAAAGAAAATCCCTATCAGGTATTCATACCTTTGCCTGACTGAGGCAAGTGCTGATTCATGTGGTTTGATCAGATGCTTTGTTTTTACAGGTTCAATGGAATTAGCTTGGCACAATAATCTTTACCGCGCATATAACTTGTCCCCTGTTACAGCTGCTCGTGAGGTGTGTTCTTTTCAGCCAGCACTTAGTTCACAAAGGCTTACGTCCTGCGGTAGCCTAAACGTGATATCCTTCCCTATCTGGCGTTCTTAGGGTTTCGTGACAACTACGAGGAACCTCAGTTGAGCGAAGGTTTTACAGAAATACAATCTGTAGACTGGACTTTCCGGGGTGACGAGGAGGATAGAAAGAGGTGGAGTATGTGGCTGCAGATCGATGGCAAATAAAGTGCATTTGGTCCCGAGTGGAACGCTGTTCTAATGTTGTTATGGCTTTGCAAATGTATCATAATTAAAACTAAAACGCAGGACGATGGTGGCATAAAAGAGTCAAAGAGCAGAGCTACCATGATGAAACATGGCACTGAAACTGAGGAATTGTTCACTCCTGATTCATCAAGCCACTCAAATCCTTCGTTACTCTGGATGAAAGAATTGTAAGCAGACGTGAAACAAATGGAAGGGGGGGATCAAAGCTCACTCTACAGGCACACCGAAGATATCTACTGCATCGATCCGCGTCTGATCCTCTCCGCCGTGATTTGAAGACACAAAGATCTGAACAACACCACCGAATTGACTGGGCGACTTCAAGGATACAATACAAGGATCGCGTACATGAAGACTGTTCACTGACTGAAAACGGACGAACTTCAGCTGGACTCGTTTCCCTTGGGACACATCCTCTGGTGAAAGCTCGATGATCTGAGCAACTTCAGACTCAGATGCATCATCTACGTCTTCGAAGCCGAGTGATGGTCGATTTACGAGGAGTTTTAGACCTTTGGGAGCTTGGTTTGGAGTACTTGACTGGATGACAATGGAGCGAACGCGGACTGCTTGGTTAAACTGGTTAATGCATGTAGCATATACCACAGATCAGCCTGGTCACATCGATTCAGCAAAGGCACCTATAAGCACGAACATGAATGTTCAACAACAACTGTTCGTCTGCATCGCTGAACAGATACGCCGATGAGTCGACATTGCGAGCTTTAGAAGAGACGATGGACTTGAGGCCGTGGTTTTCGGATTCGTTCAGACAATTGATTTGAGAGTTATCCAGAAATTGTAAGAGGGTTATCTGGAGGAAGATCAGCGATATCCGTCAGTTGAGGTAACGAAGATTCTGACATCTCCGGCTGCAGCTGCCATGACGGGAGTCGTAAAGGTATGAGTGACGCAAGCCAAAAGGCAAAAAGGCAAAATGCGGTGGTCATCCAAGTTGTGGCTCACACAATCAGATCATGGAATCGTCACCTTCAAATTCACTGACAATTGCAAAAGAAAACATTATGATACTGATATATCGCAGTTCACGGTAATACAGGGATACAAAAAACTGGGTTACGTGGGGTCACCAACCAACGTCCAACGCTCCCAACATCGCGAGCTATCACTGACACTAGTTTGATCATTGACACGTTGCTTCCTTCTGGAGCGAGGTACATGAACAGGACTCGGATGACATGCGGCAACCCAAGGCTTCGGGAAAAAGTGTGCTTCAAATTTCAAGGTGATGCTCGGGAGAGCTTGCACATTTAAATGACTGCAGCACCTGAGATTGGTCCTTGCGAAGACTTGTTATGATTCAGAAATACCAGTGACTCGGGAGGACATTTGCAGTCGAGGCAGTTTAGTTCAAGGGCATCCACGGTTACACGGGTTAGATGTTAGACTGTCGCTCTGATTTGAGTGGTTCGAGCCAAGTCCGTATCAGGTTTATTCGTTCCACTCCAGGTAGAGAACTTGAATCATGACAGTGGACCTTTGCTTGCGAAGAATATTACACAACTTGACCAAAAGTTCGACATAAGTAAAGTTAGTAGATCTAAGTAAAAGATACTCACACAAGCACCCGCAATACCATGATCACATCAGATGTTGGACTTGATAGCAATCTCTGACGGTATATTTGAGGAAGACGGGTACTTTAATGTTGTATTTCCTGTTTCACGGGCTACCTTGGGTTTGAAAGGACGGAGGCTAGAAGTAGCCAGGCAAAGGGTCTGGCGAGGCTGGAGCACACTAGATGACGGACGTTAGTGCATGGGCGAGGTACTAAGACGGTCCCGAATAAGGGGCTGGATCTACGAGTCTGGAATTATACCAGAGCGACACGCCACACCACACTAAACACCTTCTCAGCTCTTTCCTCAGCTGCACTTCCTTTTTAACAGCCTACACCTGCGTGTCAGTCAGTTTCTCTGGGCCAGCATAAGCATTACCGGTACCAATCCAAGTCTATCACACTACAACAGAACACTCGCTCACCTAGCTCAAAACATACGGGTAATGCCATCTGTGTCGGATAACTGGAGAAAAGACACCTAATGAGCACCTTCGTGCGTAGTTATGTGGTTGCGTTGAACTTGTGGACCGTCAAAAACTTGCCGGTGTCAATAATAAAGACACAGACCTGGGCTCAGCCGCTCAGATAACCATCGAAGGATGTGTTATCCGTAGGGAGTAATGATGAGATGAACTTTTGGTAGTATGGTAGGGAAACAAAATCGGACGCAAATCATTGGCCTCATCAAAAGCACGTGGTCGGCGTCGATCGCCGTATTTCCTTGCGGCTTTGTCAAGGTCCTGCCTGCTGACCGGCTTGTATCAATTATGAACGAACGGATTGGTAGATACTTGGCAAGAAGCGGTGACCCTGCATAAAGACCTTGGACAATTGAAAAAAAAAAAAGAGGGTACGGTTATCCCTTGAGAGCTTCTTCTTTTTTACCCCTTACCTCCTTCAATGACAGAGATTATTGTGGTAGAAGATGAACATATCAGCACAGCCGAAGTGCAACTTAAACATCGTAATGTGCATCTAGATGGTATACCACCATCTGATACCTTGGCAGATCTATCAGACAATCGTAACCTTCAAAGGCCACGAAGAACACCTCTGCCCAAAATTCAACTGTCTATCCTTTTGTTTATCCAGCTAGCGGAACCAGTTACATGTACCGTCATATACCCGTTCGTAAACCAGCTCGTTCGCCAAACAGGTATCACAGGAGGAGACGAACGCAAAACTGGCTACTTTGCAGGCCTGATAGTACGCCCATGTCGTACAAATATATGCTATGTTTTGTTCGCTGATCATCAAATTGCGCAAATTCTAGGAATCTTTGTTCTATGCGACTGAAGCCGCAACTGTGTTACAATGGGGTCGTATCTCTGATCGCGTTGGTAGAAGGCCCATCCTTCTCGTGGGTCTCTTTGGTCTGATGCTCTCGACCTTGTCATTTGGTGTATCCAAAAGCTACTGGCAACTCATTCTCAGCCGTTGTGCCGAAGGGGCATTGAATGGAAATGTCGGGGTAACGAAAAGTATGATGGCTGAGATCACTGATCCATCGAACTTGGCACAAGGATTCGCATTTCTGCCTATGGTCTGGGCAACTGGTCAAACTCTCGGGTAATTGCATCTACCCACTCTCCCCTTAGTCGCATATATGCTAACTTATATATCAGCCCTATTGTTGGCGGAATGCTATCATTACCTGCCTCAAGATGGCCGGAGGCATTCGCTCGTGTCCCTTTCTTCACAAAGTATCCATATTTCTTGCCTTGTTTAGTAGTTGCCTGTGTTTGTGCAGCTGCTTTCTTATTGGTTTTGGTCGGCCTTGAAGAGGTGAATGCTCACATTTCATCCAAAACTTACCATTGATATTGAAATCGTATATGTTAGACTTTACCTCGAGCTATGATTCGCCAGAAGCGCAATCATGACTCTCAAGGCACAGTTGCGAAAGACCTTGTGGAAAATAATTCTCAGTATTTCCCACCCACATCTGAAGCAAGAACAGGATTTCCCGATTCTACTTTGCCACCCAACGAAATCGTAGCAGACCATTCTGGATTTACAGAAAAAAAGGGGTGTTTTGTCACTGGAGCACCCACTAACAGAACCGCAGACAGCCACAGCCCTCCATCTCTCCGTAGTCTTCTCAACCGTCGTGTACTCGTGCCGATTATGAACTACGCATTTCTTGCCTTTATTGACCAGTGCATGACGGTCCTGCAGCCCCTGATGTACTCAACGTCTATACCTCTTGGTGGATTATCCTTCAGCAGCTTCACTATTGGTGCCGTCATGGGTGTGTGGGGCGTCATCAATGGTTTCGTTCAGATCTTTGCCTTTCCTGTCCTTCTCAGGATTGTTGGACCGCGGAAAATGTATATGACAGCATTTGCGAGCTATCTCGTTTGCATAGGAGCATACCCATTGATGAGCTTTCTGGCAAAACAGGCCGGAAGGGTGGACGCCAAGGTTTGGATTGTCTTAGTCGTTCAGCTTTCTGCCTACGTTATAGCGTACTTAGCATATGGTAAGCCTCTATTTAGCCTCCAATATAATGATGTAAAGATCACCTACTGATTTGCGATCTTGAATTCATCACAGGATGCGTATTCATTTACATCAGCCAGAGTGCACCGAGTAGAGAAGCACTCGGTGCCACGAATGGTATAGCGCAAACAACGGCGTCGACGATGCGTGCACTTGCCCCATCCACTGCTTCATCCTTGTTTTCTCTCTCCCTTGAGCAAAACCTCGCTGGTGGGACGGCGGTGTACTGGATTTTGTGGGCCGTTATCATCGTTGGCTTGTGCTCTGCTACGCAGCTGCCTCCAAGGCTACTAGCAGAAGAGTCTACAGAATCTATTCAGCGAACTGGAGACACCGTCGACAACCCATGACAAGATACAGACCCGTGATACGTTCGACGCTGTACACTAATAAAAAAAGTACTCCAGAAATAAACCACGTTCCTTACAACATGGAGATCAGACGCGTGTGACATGGAACAGATGGCTGGCCTTCGCAATTCACAAGATTCTTTGATTCGAGTTTCATTCGCGAGAACAAAACTTAATCTTCTCGTCAAAGTCACCGCCGTTTCAGAAATGGGCTCGGTTATATGACGTCACAGTTCTTCACACTCTTTGGAATGGGACTGCGGAGAAGGACGAGAATAGTGCTAGTGAGTACGGTACTCCACAAGATCACCCGCCGATGGCGCGACGGCTCAGTGTTTTTGTCAATTTGTTGCCAGTCGCGAACTTCGAAATATCGTTGCGCGTAAGAGCGAACCTAGAATGGAAAGTATTCGGCATATCTCGATCAAGAAACGAGCTTCGTCGTGGTGTCGGTTCCATTTTTGGGCGGCGCTAGGTCCTTTTAGGTAACTTCTAGCAATAACCCTGACTGCGCCGACTCTGACACGGGGATATTGACTTCAAGGTATCCAGTACTCGGAAGCACAGAGGGTCCATATTTAAAATGGGTCGCGCCTTCAACCACTGGAAGTTAGCCCACCACGATCTGGAATGGCGGAGGTTGCAACTATGGTCGAACAAATACCCAGCATCATATTGCAACCCGCCGGTGAGCCCTCTTCCTCCTCCTCAACGCTTTACGAACACAAAACCGAGGGAAGCACTTTGGAAGAATCGGAGACACGGCTACCACCACCATCACCTCCTCAACCTCCGAAACGAACGCCCCTTCCAGTCCTTCAACTATCCATTCTTTTACTTATACAATTAGCAGAGCCAGTTACTTGCACCGTTATATATCCATTCGTGAATCATCTTGTTCGCCAAACTGGTATTACGAAGGGAGATGAAACCAAAACTGGATATTTTGCTGGTCTAATTGTATGTCACTTCCAGCTTACTCTGGTTGTTTTTTGTTATTGACTGTATTGGCGTGCCTCGTAGGAGTCTCTATTCTATGCCACTGAGGCAATCACGGTTTTGCAGTGGGGTCGTGTATCAGACCGCATGGGCAGAAAACCTATCCTCTTGGTCGGCCTATTTGGGTTGACGCTTTCCATCTTATCATTCGGCGTATCCAAAAGCTACTGGACCCTTGTCCTGAGTCGCTGTGCCGAGGGGGCATTGAATGGAAATGTCGGTGTGGCGAAGAGTATGATGGCTGAAATCACCGATCCTTCAAATATGGCACAGGGCTTTGCATTTTTGCCTATGGTCTGGGCAGTCGGTGGAACACTCGGGTAGGTTTTGTTCGCTTTCATTATCACCTTTCACACTAATTCAGAGGTATGCATTTGGAAGCCCAATCATAGGCGGAATGTTGTCTGTACCTGCCGAAAGATGGCCGAATTCGTTTGGTCGCTCCCCATTTTTCGTGAAATACCCATATTTTCTGTCCTGCCTAATCCCTGCCTGTTTGTCCGTCTCGACTTTCGTTCTAACATTAGTTTGCCTTAAAGAGGTCAGTGGCCAGACTTGTTATCGATCTACACACATTGACGTCGAGAAATATTAGACTGTGTCAAACATCGCTAGACGTAAAAAACGGACGATCGACCATGAATCTCCCGACGCTCTTGAAGTCCCTGACATTCCATCACGAACAACATCCCGACGATCCTCGTTCACTCTGACCACCAAACCAGATCCCTTTGGGCCAGCTGAGCTAGATGAGAAAATCGAGTATTCTGCTAGTGAAGAAGCCCCTTCCAATGTTGTTATAGCCAATAAAAAACCAAGTGCACCCCCTCTTCGCTCGCTTCTTGTTCGACGCGTGCTCACGCCTATTCTCAATTATGCATTCATCGCATTCGTTGATCAATGTATGACGGTATTGCAACCTTTGATGTACTCGACGCCTATCGCCCTCGGCGGATTGTCTTTCAGTCCTTTCACGATTGGTATTGTTATGGGCGTGTGGGGTGTCATCAACGGCTGTATACAAATATTTGCCTTCCCTGCTTTACTCAAATACCTTGGTCCACGGAAATTGTATACAGCAGCACTCGCGAGCTACTTTATCTCCATCGGGGCCTACCCATTAATGAGCTTTCTTGCGAAACAAGCTGGAGGGGTGGATGGAAAGGTCTGGGCTGTCTTGGTATTTCAGCTTGCTTCTATCATTGTCGGATTTATGGGATTTGGTCGGTATACTTGTTAAAATTCTACAGTATGATTCTGATATATCTCTCTGTATAGGTTGTATTTTCATATACGTCACCGACGGCGCACCGAGTAGGGAGGCCCTTGGTGCGACGAATGGTATAGCCCAGACGACGGCGTCGACGATGCGTGCACTTGCACCATCGGCTGCTTCGTCACTGTTTTCGCTCTCCCTGCAAAGGAATCTTGCGGGTGGTACGGCGGTTTATTGGATCCTGATGTCCATCATCATCGTCGGTATGTTCTGTGCTTCACAACTCCCTTCACGGCTGCTATCAGATGGACCTTCGGAAGAGAGTCAACGATCCACTGGTGCTAACAGCTCCTAGGTGTTGGATGTTATCAACACTGTCTTTTCGCATTAGATTAAAGCTTATATAATCACACAATATACCCGTGTTTCTTGAATTGAAATTAACTGTTTGCTAATTTCACTCGTTTGAAGAAGGTTAAGACTTGCTACATAATACTGATGTTCCACCATACTATAGTTGTAGAGGAATATGGTTTCAGAGTATGAGAAGACATCCGTATAGTTGTACAGATTTAGAGTCCAAGATCAGAAAAACTGATATATCCTTTCATCGACGAGTTATAGTTCAGCATCCTATTTCATCAAACGGGCGTGATGTAGAGCATGTATGGCTCTTGGTCATCGCCTCTAGCTTTCGCAGCTCGCCTACCTGCCTTCCTATGTCTCCTGGCCTCTCTCCTCTCCGATCTGCGTGCTCGCCTATCTGATCTATACTCCCCTCTAGACATATGACGACCATCGTCTGAATCAGAATCAGAGGAAGAGCTATCGTCACTACCAGTTCGGCGACGAAGCTTTCTGGCCATGCGCTCTTGCTCCGCGCTGCCATGGGGTGCACTGCCTTCTCTGCCGCTGAGGCGTTCAGATGCTTGACAGAGCACAGCTTCCATCCGGCGAGGGCCGAAGAAATACTTCATCATCACAAGAGCTCGTAAGCATTGTAAATGTAGCTGTCAAAACTTGAACTTACATGGTTCCAATGGTCAACTATATCACCAGCAGCGGTACGGTTCTTCGTCTTCATCTTTCTCTCAATGGCGTTAGTCATGAAGATACCGCCTATGCAAAATGAGCAAGAAGCATCGCCTAATAATAAGTGGTACTGACCTATGAGGTTCAAGCCCATGACGGTAGGAATTACATTGGACTTGATACGTTGCATTCCGGTCAACGAACCTGCTTTTTTGACATCGGTCAAAAATCTAAAAAGCAAACAAGCTCAATGATATGAACCACTTTTCCGAGTGCAATATGTAGTCACCTCTTCCAATCCTCCTCCGAAATGTCGTGAGAAGCGAATGGATGCGGTTGCAAGTTGCATGGGGGAGGTAGCTCAGGGAATCCATTACTGATGTTCTTCGAGTTAGAAACGAGACACATGGGCGGGAATGGGTTATAAGGGAGATGCTGAGGGGGAGGACGCTGCCATGAAGGCGGAGGGCCTTTATCGCCAAAGAACGAGCTTAGAGAAAAACCTTTGTCGCCACCAGGAGAGGGCGCGCGGGGTTGAGAAGAGCCGGCTGACATACTATAATATGGATGCAAGCCGCCTTGACTATCAGAAGGACTTTGCTGTCCTCCTTGATAAGCGGGATAGCTACCAGGGCTTTGCTGACCGTATGGAGAGGGCGGTTGGGGGTATTGCCCAGGCTGGCCCGGGCCATAGGCATTTTGTGAGTATCCGCTGTAACCTTGGGGCGGGGGAGCACCATAACCCTGGGGAGGGCCAGGAGGAGGCTGATACCCTTGCTGTGGTTGGCCGTACCCTTGGGGAGGAGGGGGATGAGATCTGACATCGGGACCATCGCGCGAAGCATAACCCTGAGGCTGCTGGGGGTACCCATACTGGCCACCTACTGGCGGCGGGCCTGTAGGAGGAGGATATGCTTGACTGTCTTCAAGCTGATAAGGTGGGGGTTGCTGGGCGTTTTGCCAGTCAGGTTGCTGGTATTGTTGGTATGGATTCTGAGATTTCTCGGGATGCATGGTGAGGGATTTTTGTGTGGGTGATGGTACTATCAAAAAGAGGGCGATGGATTTAATCTGGCTTTTAAACACGATTGCATACTAGGGCGGCCCGTTTTACGGTCTATGCACCGCTTATGGTCATGGCCGTATGGCTTTTGTTGCCTTGCACCGCCTGGGTTGTTTGTATCGCTGATGGCGGTGTCAGTACCTGTACGCTTGCCAGTGCAACTTCGTCATTGTCAATGTAAATGTGGTTAGCAAGTGATTCACTTACTTCATTGATACCGCTACAGCTTGTCTGTTTAATATGCTTATCGCAAGAGCGAGAGGTTACTACAGCGCCAAACGGTGTCAATAACGTGACTTTCAATAGTTTATTTGATACAACCCTGTCACCAAACATGTGAAGTCGCCACTTCGAGTTCGTTTAGAATAAAGATACAGATAAATGCAATTTGTGTATAGCTGCATGCGCCAGTTGGGCTGACTAGTGAGATTCGTGTGTGACAACGAGAAGAGTGCAAGACTACAAGTGGTAACAGATGAAAGACAAAGTAAAATGAATGTGGAAAGCAAATGCTGAACTAAGATGTATATACAACGACAGTGGACATGATGAGCAATAATTTTATGATTTGAAGCATGCATGAGTGAGGTATAAAGACAACAACAATCGTGTGCGAGTTGATCTGCCGGAAAAATGTGACGAAAAAAGTGTGTACAATGAACGAAAAAACATAAGAGCGATCTGTCAAGCATAAGCATAAGATGACCCCAGTAGAAAAAGAACCAACGTACAATGCGGCTACCCCGCATACCTTGACCCTAAGCATTCGTCCCTTCAGGACCTTTACGAACCCAAAGAAATTTTCAAGACCCATGCGAATACCGAAAGGAACATAGATATGAATGATAATGTAAAGATTAAAGAAATGAACGCGGAAACTGTAGGATGAAACCCACTGCCTTCGGAAATCGCGCTCAACGCCTTTCCAATATCCGGGCTTTGTGCGTTCTTTTGGGGTCCATCTACTAACCGGTGGGGCTATATGTCCCAGAGTCAGTAAGGCTGGTACCAAAGTGACCTCAGAAAGACGAGAGAAGGGACTTGTCATGCTGGAACTTCTTTTCGTCACCAGCAAGGTCACAGACAGGAAATCCACTTACAGAAGGCAGCTTGACTTCCCCGTTGGCATCAACTACATCTCCATTCGTTGTTCCATCAGTGACGGGAAACCTTTCTGGGTTCGCGAGTTCTGTTGTATCTGGGGTGTATGTTACATCTGATTCTTCTCCGTTTTGCTTCTGCGGGTCTACGTCGGACTGACTGAATCGGGAAGGTCTACGACCTCTCGGAACTTCATCAATCTCATCAGTGGTGCGGCGCGACTGGGAGCTCATGCTGAACTGATGTCGTTTCTTTGCAAGTCCAGGTGGAATTGGGGGTTCCCGCACGGCACCCTGTCGTAATTTTGGATGAGAAGACGAGAGGTTCGCTTTGATAGGCGGAGGAGCAATGAGAGGGAAAGACTTTGATACAAGCGGTGCCCATGGGGGATTTATAGGGGGAAGAGAGTGAGAATGAGCGACGTGGGAGACCGGAGCAGCGGGAAGAGAGGAGGAGAGAGGGAGGTTCGGTTCAGAAGTAGTGGGACTTTCACCCCTTGGGAAAGGGTACTCGAATGGAGAAGGACCAATGTCAAATGGGGTGCCTACGATCTGAGAAGGAGAATGAAAAGATGGGTCGGATAAAACGGTCTTGAGCTGTGAGATAGAACGATGGGACGCTGATTTACTGCGTCGCGGTTTTGGTGAGAAATGAACCTAACATTACGATATCAGCTCTCCATCAGCGTAGTAATATCAATCTCTTACAGGTGCAGACGATGAGCTCGATACAAAACTTGAGTTAGATTCCGCGGGGCTGGTATCATCGTGTAAGGGTTTCCTCAGCCCATCTACCACACCATCCACCACGTTTCCATGGTCCAACGACATGTGTGAGATACCGTTGGAGAATATGTCCTCCGTCTGCACATCGACCCCAAGTGCAGACCCGTCAGGTAGCGACATGGACGTAGGAAATATGAAGGACAGGAAAAAGGTGGACGAGAGCACATTGCCTCGTCCCGGTTTATAAGCTCAGGCTTCATCCCGAAGCGTGAACCAATAATACTGGTGCTGTGACTTTATCCGTGTGACGCAACCTCTTGGAATTTACGCGAAGTCTCTAGATTCTGTCACACCACGTGATGTGTCGGAACCTCTATCATGTATTCGACACGTACTTGTGGTACGACGTATCGCTGACCATATGTCCAGGTCGGTTTGTATCATAAATATATGTGACGATAAGGGTAAAGAACAAATCCTGGGGATATTGAATCTCCAGGTACACAATCTAGGTAAGTTCGTTTGAAAATCGCAATTTTTCGATATCGATCATGGAGCAGCCACAACAATATCTATAGGAGTGCTTGCTATCAGACGCCTAAACAGTGCCGCCGGTCTCGCAATACTACAACAACACATTCACGGACCCGCGAAACATTATGGACCCAGCCCAGGCTTTCTTTTTCGAGCTTTGCAGCCCGCCCGACGGAATCAAAATAACCAAGTTGACCGGTCTGGAGAGAATCTGAGTTTGTCTAAATGATGCTGCAGTCAGCCCCTCACCTTTTTATACATGCCTCTCGAAGCTTGATTCACTTCATCTCCTTCTCCCCGGAAGTCTACCCCAGACCTTTACTCGTCGTCAACAATGGCAGCATCCAACGCTCGACAATCTTCATCTGGATTCTTCCATGTTATGTGGATCTTTGTCGTCAGGCTCTTCCTCTCCTTCACAGGTACTTTTCGTTCCAAGCCTTCTTCTGAACTGCCTTCCCCGGTTACGGCGCGATCCTCTCCCAGAGCTGGGGGTAGTTTCAAGCAGTCCTCCGGGCCGAAGGGCAAGGCCGTCACGAGAGGCTCCAGTCTTCCTCGTAACAGTCGGGACAAGAACATTAAGGTCAAGGCAAGAGCGGTTGCAAAACAAAGAGCGGCCAGTCTCGCCACAGCTCCTCGTAACGCACTGTCCCCATTGTCCACGGCCCCTTCTCTCGTTAACAGGAACGTCATGAGCGATGCCGAACTCGGTCAATCCAATACCGTCCCAGCTTCCGATCATATACCCAGACACCCGTCTTTCCAGTCCAGGGTAGCTTCTTCTTCCACTGGCCTGCACGGAATCAATATCAACACCGACCATCTTGGTCTAATCCAGCCTCCCAATTTTTCTCCTATATCTACCTTGTCTAGCCCAGTTGACTCGTTGCCTGTGACGCCGTACTTCGGATACCAGCCCACGTTTGTCGATGTCGTGGAATTTACCAGTGATGGCGGTATCACCTCACCGTACCTTCGCAGCTTAGGTTCACACCGTGGATTCCCAGTTACCCCCATAGCCATATCGAAGACAGAATATTTTGACCGCCTCCCGTCACCTTGGAGCCCCATAGAAGAGACGATTGCACCTAAATTCGATAAGCCGGCTGGCATGGCAGTCTGTAACACAGTCTGGACTAGCTCTCCAAAGTCAAGGGACGACGACGACGTTGTGGTTCAGTCAGTACATGACGTTAGTGGCCCTTTTAACGTCAAGGGAGGTTCGCACTTTGCACCCTACTTCGATGATGGCTCCTCTGAATGCACATATTCCGATATTTTCGATTTTTCTATCTATGCCTACTACCCAGATGGTGAGGCCGACAGCGAGGACATCAGCGTGGCCACAAGCGAAAGCGGCGAAATCTCTTCTCAGCCGCAAGTCCTTAACAAACTGGATGTTCACTTGAAGCCCTCCAACGTCAATAAATATAGTCGGGACGTCTACGACTCGAGCAACGACGGAGCTAATGTCGATAAAGAGACCTCCGAAGATATCTACAGTCCGACAGAGGCCGAGTGGTTCTCACCTTCTGCCTTTGTCAACACGCCTAAGATCCTGCTTACACCCCCAGCCGCTTCTCAGAACCGAAAGAGCTCGACCGATTCATTTCAATTTTCTTCTTCTTTTTCCTCTTCTAATATTCAGTTCGAGTCTGCAATTTCTTCTCCTCCTGTTACTCCCACAAAAGGCACCGATACCCAGCGTTCGCCAAGCGAGGATGCTCAAGTTAGCAGTGACCGTTCTGCCCGCAGCATGAGATGTACATCCCTCCCTTGCTTCCCGACGTTTCCCTCCACGCCGTCCTTACCAACTTTCAATTCTGTCTCTACGCTGCCCCATGAACCCATAGGTGAAAATAGAAAATCCAAAGCGCTCGACGACATCATATCCATATTGGATGACTACAAGTTTTCCTTTGGGGATAATCGAGTTGACGCTCGAGTTGACGCTGTTTTAAATGAAGAAATGTTAACTGAAGGATCCATGGCCTGCGAGGTAGAGGTTGTATGATCATTGGCGATGATTTGTGCAGGTGATAGTTGTTTGGACGTGCCAATTCTTTTCTAATCGCAGAGGACATTAATCGACCTGTATTCAATGTTGCACATTTTTCTTGGCCCTTATTTCTTTACGTTTTCGACATATCATGGATTCAACCTGCACTTATTTATTATGATCTTGCACTTATCTATTTTCCCATTAAATGACAACACGAATGCTTATTCTTTTACACTGCTGAGATTGGAGACTGCCATAAAAAGTCCCGGCCTTCCTGATCTGACACCCGAGGCTCGAGGTTGTGCTCATTCAACATCTCTTAACACTGTGCGCCTAAAAAGAAGTGAAAATCAACAGGCAAATCAACTGATTTTGTGATGAAAATTGCACGTTTATGTAGGAAAAATCACATGTATGCAGTGAAAATAACTAGATACACGGTCCTGAAAACATGTTATTATCAACCTTTTTATGGCCGAATTCAACTGGTGCATTTTGAATACTTAATCTCGTTGAACTCAACTATTCATGCAGTGAATTTCTGAGTGATTCTTAACAGTGGTATCTCAAGTGAATTTAAGCTGGGTTTAAAGGTGCTTTTCCACTTACTAATATAGGTATTTATCAATGTATCGACCTGTTGATTTTAACATACTTCCCAGCTGATTATCACCATATTTCTATCAGATCACATGGCCTTCTAACTGAATACAAAATGTTACCACATATGTCAGACCTGCCTTTACCAGCCGAAGTGACAAGGACTACTATGAATGTCAGCACGAGTTGTAGGTAACCACTAGCCGCCATTGATACCTGGAAAGGACTCATGGACAACCAATACCTATTCAATTTATAAGTATTCCTAGCAGGGGGGTTTCAGCCATAACCCGGCAAGATGACAGGCCGTGTAAGCTTACAGCGTCAGGGTTTTCCCTCTTCAATGTGTCCTTTCCCACTAACTGTGATGTGTTATCAATAATAAATCTAAGTGAAACTCAGCTGCTGCCCGAGAGGCTATAGAAACGACTGAGGTATTCCTTGTAGAAATTATATTATGTAAGCAAACTTTGGAGCTTCGCCCAAAGATTTACTCTGTGATTATAACCGGCTTTTTGTGGCCACCATTGTTCTTTCACATGATATTTATATATATTTGTTATATAAGAAGCATGTATTTACGTTGTTACAACATTTGTTTGCCAAAAGAGTCCTTCTCCCACACCTGTTCCTGTAACAACCAAGAGTTAGTTACTCTGGCGCACACAAGAACACACTATAAAGAAGATGTTGAGGGAGTGGTTACCCCTTAAGCTGCAGAGAGTTTGTTGGTATACAACAGGAGGACTCGCTGAGGAGTCTCCTGGATCTATTGGGGTATATATACTACTACAGGTTTGTTTGTACATGTGTACTATACAGTTGATGAAGGCAGTGGCTGATGATGTCATAGGGTCTAGCCCGTATGGCCAGCTCCACTGCGTGAGAGAGTTAAGTCTAAAAGTAAAAGAAAGGCAACGCGGCGCGAGAAAGGGAAATGCCGCGTGGCACTTTAAAGTATAAAGTTAAAGCGGAGAATAAAAAGGAAAGGAGATGTCCGGAAATTGTGTTATCGTAACAGTTCCCGTGCCCTGAGGGACCAAATATCCAACATTCCTATACTAAACCCCCTACTACTTATAGTTGGAGGTGCTACTTGCTACAGTATAATGACTCCTAGGAGTACAATGGTGACTCCATGGAGAACAATGGCTGCTTTAGCAGAGACCGGGTTTATCCGGTTTTGTCACTCCTACTTGAGTGCAACTGTAGTCCCATAGCTTTAGAGAATTTCCAGTGTTTCTCATGAGTGAGGGGTTTAGTGAGAATATCGGCAACCATATCTCCTGTAGGAACATATCTGATTACTGCCTCTCCTTTTGATACTAAGTCATCTTGGATAAAATGATATTTCCGTTGAATATGTTTTGTGTGAGCACAGAACTGTGGATCTCGTGTAAGAATGATAGCTGCTTGATTGTCACAGTGCAATGTTGTAGGTCCATTTTGAGCATGTCCAATTTCTTTCAAAAAATGTCCGAAGCCATGCAAGGTGTTGTCCAGCATTGCTCAATCCAATGTACTCTGACTCTGTGGAGGATAAAGCTACCATGCTTTGTCTTTTGCTTGTCCAGGAGATTGCTCCTTGGATGGTCATAAAAACAAACCCTGATGTTGATCGAGACATGTCTGGGTCTTCAGACCAATCTGCATCCAAATATCCATAGAAATCCATGTCCATGGAGACATCTGTGCCATTATATTGTAGTTCCATGTCCCTGGTTGCTTTCAGATATCAGAGGACACATTTTGCAGCTTCCCAGTGATGGCTCCTTGGAGCTGAGCTATGCCTGCTTAGTATTCCAACAACGTAGGCAATGTCTGGGCGGGTTCCGAGCATGGCATACATGAGGGAGCCTACAATTGAGAGGTATGACACTTGACACCCTTCAATATGCATCTCGTGTTGCACAATATCTTCCCCTGGAGCATTTGCAAGGAGTTTTGATCCATGGGCCATTGGTGTCCATACTGGTTTGCAGTTCTTCATTCCAGTACGCTCCAGGACTGTGTCAATGTATTGGCGTTGCAATATGGATATTGTTTTGTTTGAATGATCACGTTGGATTTCTATTCCAAGGATGTATTTTGCTTCTCCAAGGTCCCGCATTTTGAATATGGATTCAAGTTTGGCTTTTGTGATATCCATAAATTTCCGGGATGAAGCTCCTAGGAGGAGGTCATCTACATAGACAACAACAAAGCATATTAGTTTGTTGTCCCGGAATACATAGAGACATGTTTCTGCATTTAGTCTTGTGAAACCAAGCTCCTGGAGCTTGTGATCAAAGGTTTTGTTCCATGTACGACCAGCTTGTATTAATCTGTAGATAGATTTCTTCAACCTCCAGCAGTATCCAGGTTGGATAGGAATACCCCCTGGAGGAAGCATGTACAGTTCTTCTTCAAGTTCTCCATTGAGATAAGCTGTGGATACATTCATTTGATCAAGTTCTTGGTCGTACTTTGCTGCCAGGGCTAGAATAATTTGGATCAACTCTAAGTTTGCAACCGGAGCAAAAACCTCCTGGTAATCAATCCCCTCCCTTTGAGTAAAACCTTGTGCAACAATCCGGAGTTTGTATCTCTCAATGTTTCCATTTTGATCAAACTTGATCCGGAACACAGGTTTTGATGTGATAGGTTTCACCTCCTTCAAAAGTGGGACAGTGTCATATACTGCATTGGTATTGAGACTTAGGAGTTCCTCCTCCAAGGCGAACTTCCATAATTCTTCATCCGGATGTGATAAGGCTTCCTTTAGTGTCCTTGGAAGGTCCGTGTTAGATGGACCGGTACTTGCTATTCCAGCAAAGAATGTCTCCTCTGTATCAGATTTTTCTTCATGAACCTCAGGAGTGTTAGGTTTCTCCATGGAGTTGTCATGCTGCTCTTTTCGAGACTGTTTCTCATCTAGAGTCCTTTGATAATCTTGGTTTTTGTCTGCAGGACAAGTCTGGCGACTGTTTCTGCATACTCCTAGGACTTCAGCAGGCATGACTGCTCTTTTAGGAACTTGTGCAGGTACTCCAGGGAGTAGACACATTTGTGTGTGTGTTGCCCCATTCACTCCTGAAGGTGTTGAGTGCCTCCTCGGAGGTGTTGATAACTCCTTGGAGGCGTTGTATGCCTTCCAGAAGTTGATCCAATGGACAGGCTGTCTAGCTGTATTCGGACTTTTTCCACATCAGCTGGCTGTATGTTGAGGGGCTGTCTTCCAACTGACTGTGACTCTGGTTTCTGTTCTGAAGATGGCCAGTGTTCGGGTCTTGGTTGTAGAGACTGTTGTGGAGGGTGTCTTAGCTGATCAGGTGCTCCCACTGCTCTTGGAACGTCTCCACGGAGGTATTGCCCCACTGCTCTTGGAACATCTCCTTGGAGATGTGGTTCCATTTGCAATTCATTTGGATCTCGGATCCGAGGGTCAGGATCATCCTCCTCCAATGTATTTTGGTCTGGATAATGAGCATTCTCTGGAATGAGTCCCTCCCACTGATCTGTGCTAGGGTCTGTGTTCCAGGGAGCAGTGTCGTCCTTTTGTACCTTTCCGGATTCATTGAATATGACATGCCGACTGGAAAACACAGTTCATTTTTCAGTGTCTAGGAGTTTGTAGGCTTGCTTTCCATGTGTGTGGAAACGCGGACACCATTACCTGATCAAATGGTGCCATTATCCTCATTCTAAAAACTCTTGGGAACTGGAAGAACACTTGACCAATGCTGTGGAGATACTGAAAGCCTATAAGAAGGACCACAAACTATGTTGAAGAGACAACCACCTCCACTACCACCAGTCCCTTGTCTCTCAACACAAACATGTCTACTTCCCACTTTACTGGCTTTCCTATCACCACCTACTCTATACCCAGCGAAGTCAACATGCTAGCTAATGAACAAATGTCTTTTGCTCATGGGCAACAACACAACCAAGCTGATGTCTCTGACACCATAGAACTGATGTCAGCTAAAAACACCTATTTATTTCACGGAACGGAAAGATGTTACCCCAATGCATACCACGCTCTTTCTTCCATGCATACCTTCCTTGCCATAGACCTCATAGCTGATGAACTCTTCAAAGCCATAGACTCAGTATGTTTGTTGGAAAGCAAGCATTCGCTGCTCAGCAGTCAGGACTCGAGTATCTGTCAGGCACTCTGGATGTAAAAGTTAGTTTTGGAATCTTTGGAACAACACTTGAGGATGAACTCCTTGAGTGGGCAGATAGATGTGGCAAAGGCATATTTGGAATTAGGCGGGAGGATCTTGCTAACAGAGGCATGACACAGATAGAGCAAGACGGTTGTACAAGTACTCCTCCACCCAATTTGTCCCACCGGTCCCTATTGTACCCCGATCTGTGAGGAATCGATTTTTCTTATCGCATTCCCGTCATGTCGTGGTTAGCAGACTCGATCCCCGTCACTCCTCTTGCCCTTGGACTAGAGATTACAGCAGGTGTCTTATTACTTTTATCATTTTTCTTCTTATTCTCTCTTCACACTCACGTTCTATCGTACCTACAATGAGGTAGACTTGTTGTCGACCCTCGAGAAGATATCCAGATGACATAGCCACAATCCAGTGCTATGTCTGGGAATACTTCGGAGGAATATTGATAAGCGAAGAAGGTTGTGAGTCAGCGCCTCTTCATGGGCTTACTGATACAGCCAATCGCACACCCCTTACCAATACATTTTCTCATACGATTAATAAGTACGATAGATCGGACCACTTTCTCCTTTTTTCTTATTGGTTAGCTAGCTGGTCAGACCATTTTCTCAACACTTCCCTTTCTCGGTCTGACCATTGCCGTTCACTATATAAAGAAGTACATACTTGATGTATTGTTCTCTAGTTCAATATTAGTTTGGATTTGCGCTTATACCGATACTCTTCATCCTCATACCCTGATTCACCGCCTTCCAGCAAGGACTTGACCAGGCATTGGGCTTTGTTATATAGCTTCGTATTTGTTGCCTGACACGATCAACCAGTGTTACCCCAGAGCCCACTTACCACATCATCACCCAACAACCTCCGCCCACCCAATCAACGGAAAGATACATTCCCACCGTCCCAACCAGCCTGATCTCACAAGAGTCCCCTCCAGTCCCCGTTCCACTGGGTCAAACCCAAAACCCCCAATATCCCAGTCGCCTCCACCTCGACCAGTACCAAATGGCCTAACCCATTGCTAATGAGGAGTCCAATGTGGCCAACAAGAAGTGATACAGTTGTGGACAGGCAAACTTGACAATTTTGGTACAGAGAGCCAGTGAATTTTTGTTCACAAACTGACACCAGGTCTGAACTCAGGGGGTGAAAATACACCAAAAAACAGTCCTAAGAAGACTTTCCCACGAGGTTTTGGAGTGGCCAATTTTTTGACCGATAGAATGACAAATATAGGTACAACAGTCTAGTTGAGGACCACTTCAATCAACATCATAGCCCTCTGCAATACCTGTCGGTGTTGCTTCTGCTTAACTGCCCATTCTGCGGCCCTCTCAGTAAGTCCCAGTCTGTATGCAGCCATAAAGTGCCAGGAACGGTTGATAAAATGACAAATGACATCAGTTGGACATGCATCCAGCTGATCCTGTGCAGACTGTTTCGCTTCTGCAAATGTCTTCTTCTGAACTTCGCAGTACCGATATTTGCACCACCCCCAATACTGTAATAAAACTTGTTAGTTAGTGTTGATCACTTAGAATGGAAATTTGCAACAAGACCATTTCAATTGGGTTGAGTTCACAATGGAACTTTGGAAGAAAGATGCATTCATGCCCTGCCCCCTTGATGAGAGTCTCGAGCATTGATGGTTGATTAATGAAATCATCTTGCTTGCTCAAGAGGCGAGCCATGCAGCAATCTTCATTTTCCCATGGGCATACAGGGCTGCACTTTGCTCGCAGCTTTTGAACATTGAATCTGTGCTCCTCAAGGATATGTTGAAGTCCTTTGGGTTGACCATTAGGTAGGGTCATCTTCTGGACCTTCCCGCGATGCTCAATAGTGGAATTTGATTCTGGGATAACAGTGTCCCGCTGCTTACCACCATTTGATTTATTCATCTCGGAAGCTTTCAATGCACCTGGTGGCAATGATGCATGAGCAGAAGACTGATCAAAAATGAACAAAGAGACACAATCAGGGTGCATGGTCTCGGAAATCTGAATTGCTTGCTTGACCTGCTTTAACAACTGTTCGGTATCCCACCAAGCATCACCATTGGCCGATTGCTTGCTTGACCTGCTTTAACAACTGTTTGGTATCCCACCAAGCATCACCATTGGCCGATTGCTTGCTTGACCTGCTTTAACAACTGTTCGGTATCCCACCAAGCATCACCATTGGCCCCTGGATATATAATTTCTCTGGCTTCTTCAACAATGTCACCATTGTCATTATGTAGCACCAGATGTCCATCCTTTGAATTGATAAATCCTGATACATGAATGATGCGGCCCTTTCCCTTCCGCTGCAGCATTTGTTGGCCCAGTAACAGACTAGACATGTTCATCATCAATCAAGCACAATCTCAAAATGTAGTTGGCACATAGAAGTCAATACTCACTAAGCATGGCTTTTGAAGTCATTTCCATGGAAGCAACACTCGTCGTGCCAGTTGGCAATCACCTCCTTCTCCCCAGGTAACAGGTTGGGTTCTACCCGACACAGCTCTGGGCCTTCAAAATGCACCATACGAGACTCAAATGCAGCCATAGCAGGTAAAAAAACCTCTTGTCAATATTTCTTCACATCCTTACGTTTATGTCCATCCATGTAAACACCCTTCCGCAATCTTGTCAGTTGCCACCCCAATTTGAGCAACCATTGCCGGGCAGTTCTTTTACACAATGGCTTAGCAAGCGTAATATTTAGCGATGGAAGGATTGTATTGTTGAGAGCATACTGAAAGCAATGTGGGGTGATTTGACCCGCTTCCTGTGTAACAACCAAGATTTACTCTGGCGCACACAGGAACACACTATAGAGAAAGATGATGAGGGAGTGGTTACCCCTTAGAATGCAGAGAGTTAGTTGGTATACAACAGGAGGACTCGCTGAGGAGTCTCCTGGATCTATTGGGGTATATATACTATTACAGGGTTATTTGTACATGTGTACTATACAGTTGATAGAGATAGTGGCTGTTGATGTCATGGGGCCTAGCCCGCATGGCCAGCTCCACTGTGTGAGAGAGTTGTGTCTAAAATGAGAAGAAAGGCAACACGGTGTGAGAAAGGGAAATGCCGTGTGGCACCATGTGTGAAGACTATCGTACAATGGTTAAAGCGGAGAATAAAAGTAAAGGGAAAGTCCGAAAATTGTGTTATCGTAACATCCTGTGACTTGAGCCATTGTTGAGCAGCAAGTTGAAGTTGTTCATCTTTGAGGAGGCTGAGGGCATTTGCTCTCCCTCCACACTTTTCAATGGGAAGCTGCTCAAATACTTGATAATAGCGTGCGAGTGCACGAACATTCCGTGCAAAATGAGCACCTTGACCTTCATGCCACTGTCGTGCAATCTCCAAGCTTGCATCAATTCGGTCAAGTCCCTTCAGATGAAGTGTAGCAAAATTTCGGATCAACAAAAGCTGGTTGACATGTGACAAGGGTAATGTTTTTTCTTTCTTCGAGAGAACATGTTTGATCTGCTCTCTCAGCTCGGTCCACCCTCTAACCTTGACTCCACCCTGCTCATATCCTTCAAGTCCGTCCTCCCAGGCTGCCTTAACTTCCCTATCCAGTCCAAGAATGGCCATCCCTCCATTGGGATCATTTCTGACATCTGAAGAATTGTCATTGCACGCTGCCATGTCCTGCAGGTCAGGAGCAGCATTGTTCCTCGTGGTCAGGCTGAATTCAAGTTTTTGAGGGCTCGGATGGGGAGAACATGGGGCCCAGGAGGCAGGAGGAAGCATGAGGCCCTGGACTGGGAGTTGGAGAACGCTCGGGGGACCTGGACATAAGGGGACTGCTGGTGGGGTTTGGTATGGTATTAGCAATGTTCCTCTGTGAACGGGTGAAACTGAGGCTGGTGGGTGATGTTTGGTTGATTAGGAGTTGTCTGTATCGGTGTTGGGTGTGTGCTGACTTGCTGCCCACATCAGGACCTTTTTTGTATTTTTTGGGCCGACCAGAGGAGTTCTTCCGCAGTGTGGCATGTCGGGCTTCCCTTGGAGGCAACCAAGCCTCATCAGAGGGATCATCACTGATACTGATTGCAAGACCAATGAGCTGGGTGCAGGCTTTGTTGTCATCAGCGGGTGTAAAAGGTTCGTTGTCAATGATGATTTCTGCATCAGATTCCTCATCTGACTGGTCCCTACTCGCAACAAACTTCATGCTGTCAAAAGCAGGATGCAGGTCCAGCTGCCATCCGTTTCTGGGCTCAACAAACAATCTTGCGCCCCAGCCATTTCTGGGCTCAGTGCACGAGATTGTGCTCTTGCTTGTTTGGCTGGTTGCTCATTGGTACTGTGATTGGACTCAGACTCGGAAATTGACTGCATTTGGGCTGTTCTGAAGCTGGTATTAGGCCAATTGCATAGGCTTGTGGTGTTCCGTATTGCAGGTCACTTTGGGGGGCATCCGCGAGGCATTCTCGCTCAGAATGGTCAGTCACACCTTGGATTCAAGACAAGATTTTCTCATTTTGCTGCTTGTGTACTAGCACAATTTGAAAATTTCTGACAGCACGATCAAGCTGTGATTACCAATTCATGCATATTCTGATTTTCTTGGGATTTTTGGGAATTGTTTTGGGAGGCCAAATATTTTGGATTAGGATTTTAAATACTTATCTAGGTCAGAATTGGCTCATGCAGATCTTATCATTAGGTCCTAAATACACTATTTTCACACATTTTGGTTGACAAGAATGTTGTGCTAATGAGTGATAATTCAATGAGTTGTTTTGTCAAGTTTGTCTGTCTGCAACTGTACTCCAGATCCCCGCCGGCAGAATTCCATCAAAGTGTCAATCTCATACGTCAAAGAGTCTGAAAGACAGTCCGCCTGGCGCAACACACAGGCTGAGGCTGGCTCTCCCTCTAATCCAATCAATGTAGATGATGCTGACATGATCAACCAGTTATATGCGGGAACATACAAGTTGGGAGATGACGATCCCCCCACTCCCCAATCCAACACCTCGTCCAACACCAGACAAAAATACCACAAAGGTGTTCGTGACAACGCTCCTTACTGTCAAAACTGCGGTTGGAGCGATCATCACACATATTACTGTGAAGCCTACTACTGCCCCAACTGCGGCTGTCATGCACCGGGACATAGTTTCAACTGGTGTCCTATTTGTATGGAAAACAAAAATAGGATTCTAATGGAGGGATTGCATGGAGATGTCAGCTATGACAACAGTTACAACATGGATGGCGAAGGTACCGAATTTTGGTGAAATTCGAAGCAAGTAAGGGGGTAATGTTACAATTTCTATCCTCTTTTACGGACTACTCATTTTCTTTTACTCATCGGTTATACCATTAGACCAATGACTCATTTCCTTCATGTATATTTCCATTTTCTTCACAGTCACATTACTTTGTATAGTACTTAGTCCTCAACAGACAGACCAGCCCTAGATTGAACCTAACTCCTATCACCGATTCTATCTCCTATAAATATGTTTGTAACAGTAGTAGTATTCTTCAAAACAATTCTACGCAGTTTACGCTTACAAAGCTAGACTCCTAAGATCAGACTTCCACTTGGAAGGAAACCAACTCTCATTGGAAGAACTCTATTCAGAACTACATTCTCGAACTTGTCTTCAGATAAGTCTCTTTGAAACCTCAATGAACCCTCAGACTTTGTTAAGCACTTCGTGCGTAACATTAACACTGGGGGCCGTGTATGTTTGTTCAATTCTCTCTAGTACCTTGCCCTGAAGAGCTCACCTGCAGGGTTGGAGCACACACTTTGTTTCTGCAGCTAGCAAAAGCTCAACACCGACTGGCACCAAAGTCTTATCTTTCGAAAGATGTCCACTTAACCCTGTGGTCTGGGTTTGCACAAAGTGCAAGAGTAAGAAGAGCGAGTCCTAATGTAACAACCAAAGTTTTTATACTCTGGCACACAACAAGAACAAGCAAAGAGTGGTGAGTGGAGGAGAGGATAAACTCCCTTAAGGTAGGATCAAGTTTGTTGTGGGTAAACAACAGGAGGACTCGCTGAGGTGTCTCCTGGATCTATTGGGTATTTATACTACTACAGTTTGTTTGTACATGTGTACTGTACAGTTGATGAAGGCAGTGACTGATGATGTCATAGGGCACAGCCCATGTGACCAGCTCCACTGCATGAGAAACTTGTATCTAAAAATAAAAAGTGGAGTTTGAACAAAATGGAAAGTGCCACATGGCACAGTGTGTGAAAATAAAGAAAGAAAGTTAAAGCGGAGAGTGAAAGTTAAAGGTCCGAAAATTGTGTATCGTAACACTGGAGGGATGGTGGGTCTCTGAGACCTATTTCTCATGACATGAAAACCCTGTCTGAAAGACCCTGAGAGCCTCCTCAAAGTTCTGCTTAAGGTGACCTCTCGTGGAAATATTTATCGCACTTTTGATTGACAAAACCGGATAAACCCGGTCTCTGCTAAAGCAGCCATTGTTCTCCTAGGAGTCATTATACTGTAGCGAGTAGCACCTCCCACTATAAGCAGTAGGGGGTTTAGTATAGGAATATCTCAGTTGTTTCTATAGCCTCTCGGGCAGCGGCTGAGGTATGTTACATTACATTTATTAGAGACCACCTTAAACTAACATCTATTGTAGTTTCACTTAGGTAAATAATAAAGTCGTTTCTATAGCCTCTCGGGCAGCGGCTGAGTTTCACTTAGATTTATTAGGTTATGAGCCCTGGTGGCACAAAAGCTACGCAGGAAATAATTCTTATTTGAAACGGCAACCCCGGAACCATGACCACAGCACACGATACATCTGCATGTCCAGTTCTCACTCGACCCAACAATTTTCAGATATGAAAACTCCAGATCATCTTAAAGCTACGTTGGGAAAAAGTTCTCCAGGTTGTTACTGGAGAGGAGCTTAAGCCCTCACCAGGAAAACCTACCTCCTCGGAGGATCCTGAAATCACCTGGATACTTAAGGATGAGAAGGCACATGGAATCATCCAGGACCACATCTCTGATGCCCTCCTAATGAGGATTGGAGACCTCACCAGCTCCAAGGAGTTATTTGATAAACTTGTCTCACTCTATCAGACGTCCAACATTGCCTCGGCCTTCTATTCATTCCAGCAACTCACCAAATTGTCCTGGGATGGGACATCACCTATCCAGGACCACATTGCGGAAATCCGCACAATTGATTCACACCTCTCCGGAATGAAACTAGGAGTTGATACCAAACTTATGGCCTTTGCTCTTCTCCAATCTCTCCCATGCACTCCTGAATGGCAAATATTTCAGTCATCGGTAATCAACATGATTGAAGAAAATAAACTTACCTTTGATGCAGTTGAGATCCGGATCACTGCGAAAGTTGCACGACAATCAGGAAAGGCCCCTGAAGGTTCCAAATCAGCACTCAAGTCTGAGAAGAAGTGGTGTGACTTCCACAAAGCCAAATCACACAACACCTCGGAGTGTTGAACACTTCAGTCAGCTGGAAAAGGTCAAAAGAAGAAGAGAAAGGAAAGACACAAGGATAAAGGAAAAGAGAAGGAAAAGGCAAATACGGCGGAGCAATAATCTGGATCTGACTCTGAGGAGGAACAGAGTCATATTGCATTGGAACATGTACATATTTCCAAGTCCCTTGCTAAACGCATTCAAGCTTACCTTGTGTTGGAACCCAATAAGACCAAAACAACAATCATCATTGACTCCAGAGCAATATCCCACATGGTCCCTCACCGCTCCTAGTTTGAGCCAGGAACATACCATGTTCTGAATCCTCCGAGGACAATCAGTTTTGGGGATGAATCCTCTGTAAATGCCATTGGCATTGGAACAGTAATCCTACAAGCAACTGTTGGCAAAAAGGACTACAATATTGCACTGTCAAATGTCTAACTTGTGCCAAACTTCACTTTAGCACTCGTCTCTGTCCACAAATTGTCTAAAACGGGGTTATCAACACTTTTTCCAGCAGGGTCAAACACTTGTGAAGTCCGGAAAAAGGAGGAACTTATCCTCACTGCCTTACACAAGCGAGGACTTTATCACATCCAAGCAAAACCCAAAATCAACCCGGAGTCAGCTTTTGCAGCAGTAGATGTAAATTTATTGCACAGGAGAATGGGACACATTGGAATGGACTGCTTGCAACAAATGGTTACAAAAGGACAGCTCCAGGACATAGACACCCTTACCGGAACCCCGGAGTTTTGTGAACCTTGTGCTTTAGGAAAGATAAAGGAATTACCTTTCAAGTCCACTGGAGGAAACCGAGCCAAGTGCCCCATACAAAGTGTGCACACAGATGTTGGAGGACCAATCAAACCAACCTCTAGGGAGGGTTTTCGGTACTGGATTATCATTGTAGATGATTTCTCCAAATTTCCATGGATATATTTCCTAAAACATAAAGTGAAGCATTGGAACGATACAAGCAATGGAAAGAAGATGTCCGAACATTCTTCCGAATGCATTTGGGAGAAGAAAACTTCACTCCACTATACACAGAATTCCTCCGGAGCGATGGGGGAGGAGAATATACTGGAAATACATTCAAAAATCAACTCCGAGGAGATGGTGTCATCCAAGAAACTACAGCTGCAGATACTCCAGAACAAAATGGCATTGCAGAATGCATGAATCAGACATTGGCTACATTAGCAACCACTATGCTCCATGATTCCAAGCTCCCAAAGTCATTATGGGTAGATGCCATGCAAACAGCTGCATATATCACAGCACACAGCCCAGCATCAGGACTCCATGGAAAGACCCCATATGAAATACTGTTTAAAAGGAGAGTTGATCCAACTTTATTTCGCCCTTTTGGATGCGAAGCATATGCCTTGATTCCAAAAGACAAGGCAAGGGAAGTTTTACTCCAAGGGGGGCAAAGCCATAATGATTGGCTAGGGTTTGTGTCTAAGAATACTCTCTACTTTGTATTCTTCTTCTTCGTTGATAAGGTCAGGTGGTGGTCAGGTAAAGTTTGGGCTGTGGGTGTTGGTCTCGGTACACGGGGTTAGGAGGGATACATGGAAAATATTGTGTATCTTCCAATGGGGAGGCAGGGATAGTTGGTAGTTTACCGGGGAAATCTTTCTTGGACACAAAAGGGTCCAATGTGTTCCATGTTGAACTTCTTGTATTCGGTAGCTTTCTCTTGTAGGTTGGTGTTTTCTAGCCACACCTTTTGTCCTTCTGAGAATTTGATGAACTTTCCGTTAGTTCGTTTCATCATCTTGCTTCTCGCTAGTTCGTGTGCTTTCAGGGTGTTCTCCCTTGCCCTAAGTAGTTCGGATAATCGTTTTTCTACTAACGGGATATTTGTGGATCAGTATCTAGTCAGGATTCCTCAGGGTTCCTATTTCATGAGGAGGTAGAACAACAATTGATTATTTGTGGAGTGTGGTCATTGGTTGTGGCAGAATTCAGCAGTCGTAAGGTACTTTGCCCAGCTATGCAGCTGGTTTTGGCAGAAGATGCGGAGGTAGATCTCCAGTTCTTGATTGGACCATTCTGTCTGTCCATCTGTTTGTGGATGATACGCTGTGGAGAGTGCAGTTTCAATGTTTAGGAGTTTGTGGAGTTCTTTAGATACTTTGGAGGCAAACTATGGTCCTCTGTCGGATATGAGTCTATCGTGTAATCCAAATCGTTTGAAGACAGAGTCATGGAAGATTTGTGCGGTTCCGAGTGCGTCAATGGTTTTATGACAAGGTGAGAGAATTACCCCCTTACTAAGTCCTTGGTCTACCACAACCATTATATTGTTGTATCCTAGTGATTCTGGTAAGTTTGTTATGAAGTCCACGGAGAGATACTTCATTGGTTCCATGGTCTTTGGTGTTTTGATTTGGGATTAATGGTACCGTAGTTGGATGCGTGTTCACTGTGAGGCAACAATAAACTATAACAAAAACAACATCTGTCTCCAATTGCACTTGCAGGGAGTAAGAGGTATGATGAGTCTGAGATTGACAGATGCTAGTGAATATAGCAAGTAGAGGATATGGGAGTAGACTCAGAGGTTTCTGATGAGAGGTAAGATGGATAATTCAAGTAATATAAAGCTAAGGACTATACATGAATAGGTAAGGCTCTATATAGCTAACCGTCTATCCCTCAGACCAAAAGAGGAATAAAAGGAAAGTGGTCTGAGGGGAGAATCAACCAATAAGAAAAAGGGACAACTATTGTACGACTTTGAAGATTAATCAGCAGGTGAGAAAGTGTACTAATAATAGGTGTTGTCACGTATGTCCAGGAACCATATCCTCATGATGAGGTACAATCCTGGCTAAAGTGTCTATTGGTATCTCCAGGCACTAATGGGGCTTGGAGCTGGTTGGTGAGATGCTTACCACCAGTCCTTACCCATTGTGCTGGCTGGCTGGGCGTGATACCCAGTCTCTGATCTGTGATATAAAGTGGTAACAATGATTGAGAAAGCCTGTGAGGGCTATGAGAAGCAGAATAGCAAAAGATACCTCCAGCCCTAAAGCCAGAGGTGTAACAGGAAAAGTGTCCAAGAACCAATACATAGAGTGAGAAGATAAGAAAATGAATGGTCCTTACATTCACTTTAGCCTGTTGGCAAGTTGCGCATCCCTTCACATATTCTTCTACTTGTTTCATCATCCCTGGCCACCAATAGGACTTCTTGATCAGTTGGTAAATTTTTAGCCTTCCCGGGTGCCCCGCAGTTAGGGAGTCATGGTGATCTTTGATGATCTTTTGTTGTTCATCTGCTTTGTCAATTAGTAGTTTATTCTGATAGAAGAACTGTCCTTCCTCTTTGCTCCAACCTTCCTTATTTGTTCTTCCTGGATAGTTGTTGTTTGTGAGCATGGCTTGTTCTATTGTGTTTTTTATTGTTCGTGTGTAATACAAGAACGCGGAGGCTGGTATCATTGGTGTGTCGTTGTCATCTTCTTTGTTGTCGGCATATAAGTCGGGCCTTCTTGAGAGTGCATCGGGTACCGCCATGTGGGTTCCTGGTACATGCTCCAAGGTGTAATTTTATTGTGACAGTTCCAGCTGCCATCTTCTTTGTCTTGGTGTGAGTTTACTGGCTTCTTGCCAGTATGTCAGATTTTTGTGATCCGTCAGGATTTGGATCATGTGGGGGCTTCCTAAAAGCAGGTGTTTCCACTCCTTCAGAGCTCTCATTACTGCTAATAGTTCCTTGTTGTAGATTTGGTAGTTCTTTCTGTGGGGGATAGAGTTTTTGAGAAATATGTGCACGGGTGCCATTGTCCTTGGTCATCTGGTTGCATTAATATAGCTCCAGTAGCATGTTTGCTAGCGTCTGCTGCTATTTTTGATGTTTTGAGGAGTTGAGGATTTGTGTTATAGGGGATTTGAGGAATTTTTGGCCCATCAACTTGAAGGCGTTATCTTCAAATTGCGTCCAGTTCCACTTTTTGTCTTTCTCTAGTAAGGTGTTCAGGGGTCTGGCTAGGTCGGAATAATAACCAATGAACTTTTTATAGAAGTTTCCTTAACCTAGGAACTTCCGTACTCCTTTGGTGTCTTTCAGGGTTGGCCAATCGCGTATTCCAGCGAGTTTAGCCAGGTCCATAGAAACTTGGTTTGGGAAACAATCATTCCCAAATATTTGATGGTTTCCGCTTCGAAGGTGCACTTTTCTAGTTTGAGGAATAGGTCATTATTGTGTAGCCTCTGTAGAACTTGTTTTGTTTGGATTCGGAGTCTTTCGATGTTGGTGCCAAAGATGAGGATGTTGTCCATGTATATGATCATCCATCCTTCGTCGATGTGGTCTTTGAATTCCCTCCACATTCTCATGATATTCTGGACCCTGTCTTCTTCTACCACTGTTTTGGTGTCATCTTCTGTTTCGGTTTGATGTACCTTTCTTTTGGAAGTTTTTTGTTACGCACAAAGTGCTTAACAAAGTCTGAGGGTTCGTCGAGGTTTGTAAAGAGACTTATCCGAAGACAAGTTCGAGAACATAGTTCTGAGTGGAGTTCTTCCAACGAGAGTTGGTCTTCTTCTGAGTAGAAGTCTGATCTTAGGAGTCTAGCTTTGTAAGTGTAAACTGCGTAGAATTGTATTAGAGAATACTACTGCTGTTATATAATATTTATAATGGAAAGGAATTGGTGATAGGAGTTAGGTCCTATCTAGGGCAGGTCCGTCCATTGAGGACTAAGTACTATAATAGGTACTGGGAATGCGAGAGGAACGGAAGTGTATGTGAAGGAAATGAGTCATTGGTCCGATGGTATAACCGATGAGTAAAAAGAAATGAGTAGTCCTTAAATGTCAAATAAAGATCGTAACATTTTTCCCTTATTCCAACAATTCCTTCCTATGTGCCCCTTCTCATTGCATATGAAGTGCCTCCCTTATTTCCTTTGGGTTTCTTCTTCATCTTTGGTCAGTCTTTTTGCGCTGGTGGATGGTCCACCTTTGCAATTTTTGTCGTTCTGTCTTTCCTTGTTTCTGGTACCCCAATTCCCTTCGGAGATGGCGTTGGCACTGATCCAGTTGGCATCTAAGTTTGCCACTGTGTTCATCCAATCTTCAATGGTAACCAGCTCCTTTCCAGTGAGGGCTCCACAGAGGAGGGGGGGTCAGATTGCTTTTTGATAAACCATGATCATTGCTTCATTGTTGATGCCGCTCTTTCCGGCGTCTAGCATAAACCTTGAGTTAAATGCCACTGCATTTTCTCCTGGTTCCATTTTCATTTTCATCAAGGCGGCTGAGGCCGTTCCTTTGATGTTTGCCGTTCTGAAACTAGCTGTGAAGGTTTTCATGAAGTCTGCCCACGTGAGGTAGGCATTTTTCTCTTTGTATTTGGTCATCTTGGCTTTGCTCCATGAGGTGGCGGTTCCATCCTCCATGTAGCTAAGAGCCACATACACCTTTTTCTTGTCTGAGGTGTAAATGGTGTCGTTGATATCAAAGTGTAAATTGATGGATGATATCCATCTTTGGGCCTTATCTGGGGTCCCATCGAAGTCATCAATCTTTCCAATCATTGTGTGTTTGGATGCTGCAGCAATAGACATTGTTACGATAACACAATTTTCGGACCTTTCCTTCATTTTCATTCTCCGCTTTAACCTTGTATACTTTAGCTTTCACACATGGTGCCACGTGGCACTTCCCCTTTTGTTCAAACTTCTCTTTCCCGTGCCACATTGCCTTCTTTTTATTTTAGATACAACTCTCTCACACAGTGGAGCTGGTCATGCAGGCTAGGCCCCATAACATCATCAGCCACTGACTTTATCAACTGTACAGTACATAAGTACAAACACTCTGTATTAGTATATATACCCCAATAGATCCAGGAGACTCCTTAGTGAGTCCTCCTGTTGTATACCAACAAACTCTCTGCAGCTTAAGGGGTAACCACTCCCTCATCACTACCTTTATAGTGTGTTCTTGTGTGCGCCAGAGTAACTAACTCTTGGTTGTTACAGACATGGTGTTTGTTGGTGGAACAGGAGATGAATTGGGTGTTGTGGGAAGTATCTGTGGTGTGGGAAGGGGTATTGGTTCTCCTTGTGCTGCGTATTCTTCAAAGTCGTTTTCATTGTAGATGTCTGCTGCAACTACTAGGGAGGTGGTGCTGCTGTCCTCCCTTGTCTGGATGATACTGGGGGTGTTTTTGTCTTAGTTTAAGAGTCGTCTGAGCTTCTTCCTGCTCTCTGAGATCTGGTCATTGGTCGTTGCGATGTCTTGTCGACTTTTTCTTCCCAAACCTAAATAGGTGGGACTTCTGGTGGAATACAATTCTTTTGTTACGCACAAAGTGCTTAACAAAGTCTGAGTAGGCAACTGTGTTAGATCATATAGATGGTGGTTTCACTTTGTGCTTCCACATATTCGATGTAGGGTTTAGTGAAGAGGAATACAATGTCTCTCTGAAAGATGTTGTTATGGACATATATTTGCCTCCTCACAAACTCCTTGATGATCTCGGAAAGCCTATCTGTTGTATGGTCCAATGCTTTGCACAAGAAATTCCTCTGACTCACCTACGCAATCACCGGAACCACTGCAAGAGTTCTGCAATCAAGATTTCTCCTCTGAATCCCATCACCTGAACCTCAGCCCCAAATCTTGCTTCATCAGTGATACCACCCCCTGTTCAGGAAAGGAGTTCTTGCTACCGTATTCTAGCCACCACCAGTAGCTTCTTCCCATGTCATACTTTGTCTTCAGCTGTGATAACACCAAATAGAAACTGTTGGCATAAAGCATGTACCTTGCCTGACATGGATCCTATTTCTCCCATCCAACCAGCCATCACTATTTCATCTCTCCTTGATAACTCAGAAGACCTGGTTGCAAATGCAAATAAGGAGGTTCAAGGTGCTCTTGACAGTTTGGTAGAAACTGGAGCACTGCAGAGAGTGAATAAAATGATTCTCAAGGGATTTCTCAACCCTGTAGATGAAGCAAGATAGCCCAAGCTATGTCCTGAGAGTTATGGGTTATTTCAGGTTCAACTGTAGTTCTGTGTGTTGTAATCAGTCATTTTGTTATCTAATCACAGGTTTAGCGCTAGCTTTATATTATCGCAATATTATGGCAAGATGATCTGTGGACACACAGACACACAACCCTTGATATTTATTTGACAAGGTTCTGCCCGATTTGTCCCCATGATGATCTTACAAAATGGGCTAGCACCGTGACTTTCGCCTAATCCAAGACGTGCCACTCAGAGAGAGCTAATAATTAGTGGTATTAATACTAGAAGGAGCGCTCCCAGAGCTCTGAGCCGAGAAAAGATGAGTGGAGTTCAGGGTATTTTAATAACGTCAACCAACGCGTTTTGCCTCTCCGATCCTCACATCGACACCGGCGAAGTCCGAGCAAAAAGCTACTCAAATTATGTGCCTAAATATTGGTATCAAAGGTACGTATTGCCCGGTTGCTTGGGTTGCGATCGCACTACATAATGTTTTTTTTTGGTTTCTTTCGACCTTGGCCAGAGAAGCGAGCACAAATGTGTTCAAATGTCTCCATCGATCAGTCACGTTGTCCACCAGACCAGAACAGGCTAGCTGGATATGTCCTGCACTCCAAAAGTGCTTGGTGCAATGTTTTCATTAATTAATTGAGCATTCAAACGTTGTCCACTGGAGTCTATAAAGTGTTTCGACCTAGCAATCATTGACCCTGTGGGAAACATATAAATCGACTCTTGGGGTGTTGCACTAGCCTTCCATACCCCCTTGTCCTCAATGGCTCCCATGGATCAGCAATTATTTATGCCTTATTCGACTACTTTCGTCTTGAGTGCTGTCTTTGCCATCGCCTTCGTCGTTATATTGCGCTTGAAGAGGAGGAATCCGTTAGGTCTGCCCTATCCTCCAGGTCCTAGACTCCTTCCATTTGTTGGAAACGCTTTTGATATCAATCCTACTGAACCTTACCTCACCTATGCCGACTGGGGTAGACAATATGGTGCGTAGGCCTTGTGCACCCTCATACAGTGTCTTACGCATGCTCTATAAGGCGGTATCGTTTATTCGAGTCTTCTTGGTCAAGATTTCATCATCATCAACTCTGAAAAAGTGGCAAGAGAGCTCGTGGATCAACGTTCAACGAACTATTCCGACCGACCAATAATTGCTACTAACAAACTGTACGATGTTTTTCAAAATAATGGTTATGGCTTCTAACAAGCAGCTTATTTGTCAGGTTCGGCATGGATTTTAATACAGGTCTCCTCCCATATGGCGATGAATGGAGACTGCATCGAAAGCTGTTTCACCGATCTTTTCGATCGGAGGCTGCTGCAACATATCATGAGCTACACTTACGCAAAGCTCACCAACTCGTCTTGGATTTACTAAATGAACCTTTTGAAGTCGAAAGACATGTCAAAATGTAACTTTTCATCTCTTTCAAAGCATGTTCGGAGCTTATGCGAGGGTAGATTTTCCGCCTCTGTCATCCTTGCAGCTACATATGGCTACGAAGTCAAACCGCACAATGATCCTGTAGTTGTAGCTCTAGAAGAGCTTGTAGATATACTCGCACAAGTCATGTCTCCGGAACAAGCAGCGCTACTCACTGCGTTTCCTTTTCGTGAGTCTCTACTTTCTATGACTATGAATGCGATGTTGATTGCTATGTCTGACAGTTGAACATTTTCCTGCATGGTTCCCTGGTGCAAGTTTCAAACGGAGTGCTCCACATTGCCAGGACTTGGTGGTTCAGGTCAAGGACGTACCTTTTGATTTCACTAAAAAGAACGTTGTGCGTTTTCAGTGTAGCAGTTTTCAGCTTTATTCTATCAGTTGCTAAAGCAAATAATAGGTTGACGGGACGGCTGCGACATCGATGGTTTCCTTTTTATTAAGCCAAGGCGGTGGTGACGAATCCAGTGGTCATGAGCAATCCATAAGGGACGCTGCGGCTACTGTCTTCATCGGTAAAGCATTTTGTTCAGAGTAATCCTTACGTTATTAAAGTTATATGCCCAGCTGGTTTTGAGACCGTCTGTGACAATACTTTGTTTGATATACCCCACTAACCAATATCTGACTGCAGACTTTTTCCACATTGCATACATTCGTTCTTGCCATGCTGCTTCACCCTGAGGTTCAGGCGCGCGCTCAAGCAGAAATAGATTCCGTTACAGGTGGAACAAGATTTCCTGAGTTCGAAGATAGAACATTCTTGCCATATGTCGATGCCGTTTTCCGGGAGACGATGAGATGGCATGTAGTTGCGCCCTTGAGTAAGTGAGCCAACTCCCAAGATATAATGTTGGTCAACGATATCCAGGTCTTCCACACGCGACTACGGAGAGCGATACCTACAATGGATATTTCATACCGAAAGGTTCGTACTCCAGTGCATCCAATTTTCTTCGTGAATACTCAGTTGTCGGCCGCAGGCGCGATCGTTGTTACCAACATCTGGTAGGTGGACATCATAGTATGATTTTGCTATCTATTCATTGTTTTGACAAAGGGCGATGAGCCAAGATGAAAATCGCTATGAAGACCCTAAGCTCTTCCTTCCCGAAAGGCATCTTACAAAGGACGGGAAGCTTGTTGACGAGCCTATAACTGGGACACCTCCGTTTGGGTTTGGTAGGCGAATATGTCCAGGCCGATTCGTCGCCGAAGATTCCGTGTGGGTAGCCATAGTATCTGTATTGGCCGCTCTTCGAATCGCGAACGCAAGGGACTCAGAGGGAAGGGAAATTCCAGCCACCGAGAGCTTCACGACTGGAGTTGCTGTGTAAGTCTACTGTGCGCTCGTGTCCAAATTTGGGATGACATCTGTTATTAGTCGCCCGCAACCATTTCTATGTTCAACTACAATTCGATCCGCCAAAATTCAGAAACAAATGGAGGAGTCTAGGAGGGCGTGTATCAGGCAAGATTGTTGATGTCATCGATACCAATCGTTTCACCTGAATTTTGTTACAGTCGCCGTCGGGCCGCAGACTCGGAATTTGACATATTCGAATCCTCTCACCACCGCTTCCCTACTTGAAAGAGCCGCCATATCACGCACGAGCTCCCTGGTTTATTGAAGAAGCCGATTTGAATGACGAATGCATCAAAATATACACGTGTTAATACTAGTCGATAATATGTATACCATATCGAATACATCCAACATCATCATGAGACATAATCAGAGCGCTGGCACATCATTCGTCGATACTGTTTTTCCGCACGTAAAGATCTATGTCTCCAACTAGTAACTAGTATGAGTCTGTCGCCTGCTGGTTTCAAGTTTTTGCTGCCAGGTGTGGCAGGGTGTCAGAGTCAAGAGTAAGGTGGATAGAGTTTCCGAGATCCGATTACTGTAGTAGAAAGCCGATATGGCGGCTTATAGGCTTCGTGCCGTGAGGACCATTTTGCAAAGCCAATTTACTCTTTGTTCTTGACCGCCATGTTCTCCTCGTTATTTTCGTAAGTCGTACCTACAGACTCTAACTTGCTTTTCTCAATCCAGCATAGCACCACCGCACCTGTTGACCCCAATGCTCCCACATTCCATCCCATCTCGTCAGCGGTTTCGCCGTCGGATCTTTATGGAGAGCTTGAACAGAAGGACACAGAGTGGTTGTGTTCTGGAGGATTCGTGACGGAGACGCAGGTTTTCTATAACATCTTAGAGGACGGCACCTCCACTATGTTTCAAGTGATTCATTCGTCAATCGGGTCAGTTTACACAGTTTGATTGGTGCATTCGCAAAGGCTGACAATATAAACGATAAGGTTGTGGTACCCAACTATCCAATTCACCTGTAAGATCCATAATCCCAACACTGGAGAAACGATCTGGCGCTCTATCAATGTCAGCAACTTCGTAACGCCGCCCCCTGGGCTCGACAAACGCTCCAGCAAGGCGGATCAGTTCTCCATCACGCACAAGCTTTCTTCTGACCCAGCATATGCCGAGTTATACACTGTCCGTGCAAATCTATCTGACGATCTGCAAATATCTTTCGACTTCGTCCGTCCCACCGCTGTACCTGGTTTCAAGGTTGGTAAAGGTCCCAAGGGTGGGTATTCATACTATGGCCCCGATCTGCAGAAGCCAGAAGGATATGTTATACATCGCTTCTGGCCACGCACAGCGGCGAACGGTCACATCATCCACAAGGGCCAGGCTATCTCTGCCAAAGGCCCCGGTATGTTCGTGCATGCTATCCAGGGAATGCGACCAAATCTTGTAGCCTCTCGCTGGAATTTTGTCAACTTCCAAAGCAATGAGCACGGCGGAGTGTCTGCTATATTGATGGACCTCACTACACCCGATGCATACGGCCCGCATGGCGCTGGGTCAGGTGGGGTGGTTGTCAGCATTGGCTCGCTCGTGCTCGGCGGGAAACTTGCAGTTGTGACTGCAGAGACGAAATTGCCGAATGAGCAGCAGTCAGAGCAGGCACCTGTAAAGTCACGATCGACACATCTCAATCCTGCGTTCGATCCGGACACTGGATACGAGCAACCGACGGGGCTGAAGTTCCGTTGGGCGGGTCCGTCGATTGTAGCAGGTGCACAGGGTGCCGTCGACGCCACTGTGCAGGTTGATGTTGGAGGCCCAGCTGCTCCTAAAGGACTGATCGAGAAAATCGATGTTTTGGCAGAAATCCCGTATGTGATCAAGACGATGGTAAATTACGTTGCTGGCACGAAGCCCTATATCTATCAAGTGGGTGGTTCTGTCTTCATATATCATTGTTTTGACTGATTATGTTTTCCAGTGGATCAACAAGGCGAAGCTAGTTGTTCGCGGTCCTGATTCCCTTATTCCTGGTCTTTCTGGAGGACTTGAGGTGGAAGGCGTCTTCTACAACGAGGCGACGTTTATCTCCTAAACACTTTTACTATTCCAATCTCGAGTTAAATCCACATCTCTACATATATTCACAGATCCTGCAGTATCATCCTACTACTACAGTGTACACAATTAGACATGGAAGCCATCCTAATTTTGCATTTCATCACGGCTGCTACCATTTCGTTTAGAGCGGTCCCCGCATCATTGCATGAGAAATATGGATAGACAATGACTCTGGCGGACCCGCAGCTGAAGTACGCGTAATGCACAGCAACGGCAGACGCCGTGCGCGTATGCATAGACCGGCGTCTATATAGCAGATAGTATGGCGTATCTAAGTAAATTCTCCACATAATTTTGGCCAGTCATCGAGCAGCGGTTCCGCACGGACCCTCCTAGTCATAACGCGCACACAGGTCATCCACTGACAATGTGCAATGTTTCGCCCATTTCTACACAGCCCATCTTTGCGTGTCGCCGCCAGGTCTTCTTTCTCCCAATTAAATGCCACTCCAGTTCGCTATTCCGCCATAGGACCTCTAACGCATCGCAGTCTGCATTTTCGCCACCGTTCATCAAAAAATGCAACCGGTCTTCTTCTGTTGCAGGCTGAGCCTTCCATGAGCAGGAAGTGGAGTGTTGGTGTGTGGGGAGTGTCGCATTTTCATTCCTCACCAACCAACCGTGGAGGACCTTTGGTTCCACTCATATTAGGTGCTCTCAAGGTACTGCGGCCAATTTCCCAATTTCCCTTCAGTGTTTTATGTACTGAATCATCTTCAGGCTTCTACCACATTGGAAGTTGCAAGAACTACAGCACGAATAGCGCTTACTTTTCTCCCCATCCTTTTTATCAAGAATTGGAGATCCAAGAAGTACCTCACTTACCACGCAAAGATTCACGGAAAACCTGTATCCGAAGAAAAAAAGACCGATATGCTGAAACGAATACGAAACCGTACCATATTATTTCATATACTCCTATTTACTCCTATCACACTCTTTTGGCTCGCAATTGTAGCTAGTATGGAGCGAACACCGCTCACCGGAAGGTTCGCTTGCGTACCATCAATTAGCCACAGCCCACTAACGCTAAGTTCCCCAGATGGCGCCTGATCATCCTTTCGCCTGAAGAAGAAGACGAAATAGCTGCCCAGCTTGCTGGACCCAGATGGTACCAAGCCATCCTTGACATTCTTTCCGTGGAGGGCCCTCCGAGGTTGGTCCCTCCCACCGACTGGCGCCACGAATGGGTACGTGACACCCTTCGTCGACTGGAAGGCGGAGTCCCCATCCTACAACGAGAAAGAGACCTTGCGCCAGAATGGCTTGAACGTGGTCCTAACGACGTGCCACTTCCACCACCGGCAGAATATCCCCTCCGTCCTCGACCTCGCGCAGCAGAATACGTCAGACGGTTTTGTGAGATGACCTGTGGAAGAACTGTCCCACCGCCTGCGCATGCGATTCCGGGACCCCCATACTCGCTCGTTATCGTAGATAAGCCCGATGCATGTAATGCCTTTTCATATGGCTTCGGGCCTGATGGTGGTGGCGGCGTGGTGGTGTATTCTGGATTTCTTGACCAAGTGTTGTCAAAAACCACTCCTTCTGAACAGATGAACCCGTCGTTATCGGAAGAAACATCGTGGTGGAAATACCTCTTTGGAGGTTTCTCTATCTCGCCTCCCGACCCGCCACATCCTGTACCCACAGCGGAGCAAACGTCAGAGCTCGCCATCCTTCTCTCGCACGAACTGGCACATTTGATATTATCGCACCATCTTGAGACATTATCTTCTGGTACAATTATGGTTCCGGCTATGATGTCGATGGTCGCAGATGTTGTCCGTACACTGTTGTTTCCCTTTACAATGCTGTTTGGGCCTTTTGTAAATGATGCAGTCGCGCAGTTGGGGAAGGCGGGTTCTGGAGAACTTACCAAGATTGGAGAGTACTGCACCAGCACGTCGCAAGAAATAGAAGCGGATGTAGTGTCTGCAAGGTTAGCTTTTCTATCAACACTCATCTTTATTGATCTTACTGTACTCCTATCAACAGACTTCTCGCTCATGCCGGGTTCGACGCGCGTCAAGCCGTGAGCTTCTGGGAGAATCGACAGAATACGCCTAAAACGGCCGAGTGTTCTTCAAGCACACAGTCTGACGATCCTGCTTCTGAGTGGATTCTTGCAAGGCGTATCATGGGTTCCGGACATCCAGTGAATGAACTCCGCGTGGAAAAGTTGAAGGATGAGCTTGTTCGGTGGGAGTCAGAAAAGCGGGTTGCCCAGCGAAGGATGGGTGAAGAAGCTAGACAGAGACCAAGTCTGGGTATTTTTTAAATATATTCGGTGGTTGTGAATTTTGATTTATAGGTGAACACATTCATTTTTGCTTTAATTTGTTATATTAGTAGGACATGTCATGTTGTATTTATACCGTCGCTTGCAAATCACTACTTACGCCTCATTCCTTAAAAATGCGATTTGGATGACATGTCAGCGACTACACGAGCCAAGTATAAAGCACATAAGTGGGTTCGGTGACCGCTGACCAGATAAGTGCTGACCAATTTCCGACTGGTATGATTTATGGCCGTTCCGGTTTTTTTTTAGCAGCTGCTGCTGAGTCTAATCGCAAAGAAATCCATAGCCAAAATCATATATGGTACAGTATACTAGTATCTAAGAATCGACTTCTAACAAGGGCTGCTGCTCCGAATTTAACGCGGTATTCGCTTGATACCTTCGAACAAGTCTGGCAGTCATCGCACCATCCGGCAACTGCTCCACCTCCTCTACTATCTTGTATCCCCCGAGTCTAGGCAAGAAGACAATCCAGAGCCAGTAGTAAACACCGCAGAGCTGTAAAGATGTCAGTCATCGAACTGAGAGGGTCGCTGATAGGGGAACTCACGGCCAGAATGCCAAGGCCAACGACGCAATATCTATATCCTCCAGTGTAAGCAATTATGAATGACACAGGAGGTCAAAGTTCCTTACGTTGCATACCAGAACGACACATCTCCATGACCAGACTCTGGTGGAACCCTATGAAAGATTTTGATATTCAGATCACGAGATGGCAACATGCAGCATACCACTTACCAAGGCATGACTAGGAGCAAGATTGCAGCTCCAAGATAGAGCAATACGTAGATATTATGTGCTTGGTATATCGAGGCAGGTATCCCTGCCAGAGCACGTCTCTTTCGCATCAGCCACAGTCCTACGGCCGTTGCGACGTGGAACACCTAACAAGAATTTTAAGTAAAGTCTATATAAGAAAAATAGGGCAAACGAACCAAGCTTGGATAAGAGGCGAGGTCAAGCAGGAAATTAAACGCATCTTTAGCCGGTAAAGCTACAATGACGAACACAGTAAGGAAATATTTCAAGCTGACTGGACCTAAAGGTGTTCCGAAGGGTCTCGTTGACGCAAAAAAAGTGGGATACGGGAGAAGGCCTTGTCTGGCAACCTCGCGAAGGATCCGTGCCTGGCCGACTGTCTGTTTGAAAGCGAAAGCGTTGTTCAAAACTTATCATTGCATTACACCACTGACAACTTACCACGGCGATCTGAAAACGAACATTGGACGGCGTTTAGACAACATTGCTTCAAAGACGTCGTGACTCACAATATTGCCTACGCAGCTCAATGCTACCATGAACGGTAGGATCTTTGCACCGAAGCCATCTCCATAGACGTTCCGAACGAATAGGGCTGCGATAAGCTGGCCAGATTCTTTGATCTCCTCCTTAGGAACAGCTGCCACATACGCCACATTTGTGAAGACAAACAGTGTCGTTACCATGAGGAGCGAGATGAAACCCGCTCTACGGACTGTTTTGACGGGATCGGGACTCTTAATTTCGTTGAGGACGTTGAACGCGTTATGCCAGCCAAAATACGAAAAGTTGGTTTTTACAAGAGCAGTTGCGAGGGAGTTGACGTTTGAGGTACTGCCCTCAAAGATGTTGTGAAAGTTGGCCAATGGGTCCTTAATTCTAGTAGCGCCGACAAGGACGAGGAAACCTGTCACAACGAGACTAGGGCAAGATGAGGTACCTGTCAAGAATCAAAATAAAACAGATATACAATACAAGTGAAAGGACTTTGAGGCCAGTCAAAAGGTTCACGGCCCTTAGCGACCATTTCGTGGACAGTCCTACGACTGAAGTTTATCAGTAGAATCAAAAATTTCCTTCATTTGAGTAAATGATAATATTTACTTGCGATGCAGACAGTACAAACTGTAAAAGCCAGCGCCGTTTGATTTGAAGGGGTGATAGGGAGGTCGAATATCGTAAGAACGTACTGGGCGAATATTATTGAATTAGTGGCACTATAACTATAGAAAAAGGTTTAGCCTTTTGTATATCTCATGGGATACTCGTGACGAACGAAAGCAGGACAGATGTTACTGCGAAAGCGACAGGGACGAGAAACTTCGGGCGAGGGTATGCCTGTTCTAGGAATACCACCTCCGCTCCCGATCGATTAGGGAACATACTTGCGAACTCGCTGTATATCATCAAACCCCCTGAACATATGTATGTCAGAGGCAACGGCATCAGACGGATATCTTGGCACATACCAAGAGCAAATATAGGTGCTATGATCCAAAACAGAAAGAGTAGGCCGATAGAACCTACTGATTTCAATATAACGCCGGGCACGGAATATATACCTGAACCGAGCAACTGTCCGAGGTTTAACATGACCGACGAAAGAAGAGTGACCTCATGACCTAGGGGATTAATCTAGAATAGCAAGGTAAGCGTGTTAATACAATAATACCAAGTTGTGAACAGCCTTTAGACCTTTTCGATTGGTGCCCCTCCTGTCAATGGAACGGTTTCATCGTCTACTAGACTCGAGTCTGAGCTGAGGGCTTGTTCATCGTCGCGTTCTGAGACAGTCATCGTGGTGTACAACAGAGTGATATCCATTACCCTTTAACTTTGTAATACACACGTTCTGGTGCCATGGCATAATCCTATTGCGCCATTTTACTTATCTTGGTGAGTAACCATCGAAGCTTGAGGCGCGGAGCATGCCAGTGAGGCCGCCGATCCAACTTTACCCCGGGATAAACTAAACTTTGTCCTCTATGAGTACCCAGAGAAATACCGACAGCAACAGGTAGAGAAATAGTCACATCATGCAACTTGAATGCATGCATTGGCTGGAAATTTCTGGAAGATATACATGTTAAAAGTGGAATGTCACAGTGGGTGGAATATGTCCGGCCGGGATTTGTGAATAATTGAAACTCAGCGGCTATGGTCTCGTGGTATCTGCAGATGTGGACCGTGAGACCGCTTGGACCGTAGGCTTTCCTCAATATCGTCCAGTGCGTTGTCGGCATCGCACACCACAGCGATGGGACGCATAAGAACCAAGTCGAAGAGAACGATACCGACAGTCACCAATGCTCCGGCATCAACCCCTTTGACAGCGACGACACAAGTACCATCTATCCAATCATTGCTCTCAAAAGCACAGGAACTGATTGTGCAATGCGATTATGACCTTGCAAGAAAATTCATCCAGAGAGTATTGGTACGAGACGGGGATGGGGCGGCTGGTGCAAGCAAAACAGACAGGTCACAGGCTCGGGAGATGCTAGGAGTGGTACTATTGGAACTTGGGGAAGTTGATAAAGCGCGAGAGGTATGTAAAAATTAACCGTATATCGAAATACTCATCAGTGTCTTTTGTCGCTACATTGTCGTCAAAAGGCCAGATTAGTTATGCTAAAACACTCAGGGTTGACACGATCTTATTTTAGACTTTTCTTGCATTGTTTCCTCCACATCCCGATGCCCCTTCAATACCTCCACCGTCAGCTCACTTATATCTCGCCCAACTGAGTGAAGAAGATCCTCATGGCGCTCTCAATCACTATCAAGCTGCAGTAGAAATACTGCAGGTGCAACTTAAAGGCAAAGAACCTGCACGAAATGCAGATCGTAGTGCGGACGATGATGAATCAGAGATACGAAGTAATATCGTTCGTGCGTATGCTGGGATGGTGGAGATCTGGATGGATCCAACGTATGATCTCTGGTATGTTTCGTTTATCGTTTTATTTGTAGAAGTACATTCTATTGCTGAAATCTGGTGTTTTTTTAGCTTCGATCCCAGCGCCGAGAAAACTTGCGAGAACCTATTGGAGCTTGCCCTACAGGCAGATCCGGGTAACCCGGAGGCTTTGCAGACCCTTGCCTCTGTTCGTATGTCGCAGGAGCGCCCTGATGATGCCAAGGCGTGTATTGAGCAGGCATGGCTTAAATGGAAAGACCTTGAACTCGGTGCGTTCACCGTTCGGTACTTGATGAAATCCTCATCTGATTATATTACAACCTTCCACAGATGATCCACTCATGCCACCTCTACCTTCTCGTCTTGCAACTGCCAAGCTCTTCCTTGAACTATCACTTTTCACACCTGCATTACTTGTCCTACAAGGTGTGCTCGCAACCGACGACCAAGAGGTCGAAGCATGGTATCTAGAAGGGTGGGCATTTTTCCTCATGGCTGAGCAAGCGCGGGAGACAGGTCAATCTATCGAAGGGCTGAGTTGGGAGGAACTTGCGAAGGACTCCAGAGACTGCTTGGAATCATGTCGCAATGTAAGTTTCTATCTTTGTATTCACGGTGAGGAGGGAAGCTGACATGAATAAAATTGTTAAGTTACACATGAGTCAAGAGCACCCAGATAGTCAGCTTCTGGAGCACGCGATGGAATTGATTGGAAATTTGGACAAGCTTGGGATCCAGCCCTCTCTCCCTGGTGAAGCTGAGGAAGAAGATGAAGGCTGGGAAGATGACAGCGAGGACGGTGATAGGGATGGAGACGTTGAAATGGCTTAGTTGCTATCTAGAGGTTTCAACACTAAAAATGCTGAACTCCGAGTCTCAAATGCAATTGGCATGCATGCTATATAGACACCCCAAATGCTCTGGGCTTCGCTGTATAAACAATATCAAAAGTACTTTACACCACCATCAATGTCGTTACCGTTTCTGCCTTTCTTGACATGTGGGCATCCCGAGAAATGCGACGTCCTGAAAAGGTAGAAATTAATTGAAAACATCAACAAGAAGGCCTCCATTCTTTACGCGATGTCGTAGGTCCAATATCGACACCCCCAAGCTTTCTGCCACCACCATGGCCCGTCTCCGACGCGATACCCTTCCTGTACCCACCCACCAGCGCCAGCTATACCATTCTTCCTCAGCCCCCACCCTCCATCCATCCAATGCACACGCTCACCGCCCAAAGCCACTCCGCATTCTCTGTACTGGCACGCTCTTCCTAGCGCATACCCTCACCGTCCCCTCGCACCCCGCACCAGGTAGCGCGACGCGTGCGCAGGCAGTCGAAACCGTACGTGGAGGGTCTGCGGGAAAAGTGCTTGGACTGTTGGCTCAGTTTGGGCAGATGGGCCAGGGAGGTCAAGGGGCGAATGCGGTTGGTACGACGGGCCATGGGACTGCACACGCGCATCATGCAGACATCGAGCCGATGTTGGTGGCAAGTTTAGGCGGAAATGATGAAGGGAAGAGGTTAAGGGATGAGCTGGAGCACGATGGTGTAAGTACGCGTTACTGCAAGATCTGGGAAGGCAAGGGAATTCCGTGTGCATGGGTCATGAAAGCTGGTAAGTAACGGGTACCATTGTTACTATAGTTTTCTTGAAATTTATCTTCTTACACGTTGACGGCGCTCAAAGCCCTTTTTGACACTCATCCTTACGATTGACCGCAAACTTACTTGTATTGTTGCAACGTTGGCAGTGGACACGCATACAAGTACGGTGGTTAACCACAATCCACTTCCCGACATCTCGCACGAGGATTTCATAGCCATCCTGGGACCCGTCCTCGCACCCGAAAACTACGTCCATTCGTATAACTCGCCTGGACCCGCTCCTGCTCTGTCAGCACCGATCAGTCCAACCTCGCTGCCACCCACCCCACCTGTCGCGCGTAGCTCTTTTTCAGGCTTACGATCCCACAATGGTATGCCGTCCCCCAACCTGCACTCTCCTGCGCCATTTGATTGGCTGCACTTCGAGGGGCGTAGCGTGAAGACGACGCTGAATAACATCCTTGGCCTCGATGGACTCGCTCGAGAACGCAAATGGCGCGCTCACAGTGTATTCAGTGTTGACATTGGGCGAAGAGCACGGCAAGGTGTCGAAGCTGTGGGTTCTATCTTCTAAGCATTGATAAAATCAGTAATCAGTTGATTGATTATTCCCTCACAGCTTATTCCTCATGCAGATGTAATTTTTTTGACACAACAGTACGCACAAGCGCATTCCCCTAACTATGCCTCCACCCCAAGAGCCTTCCTACTCTCACTTTCACACTTGGCACCTCCACATGCCCTTCTTATTGCACACTGGGGTACAGAGGGTGCCGCTCTCCTCAGCATGCCCACACGTGAATACTTCCAGAGCTCGGGTTGGGTCGAGGAGCGGTACGCTCAGAAAATCATCGCTAATGGCACAAAAGCACCTGTAGGGATTGGGAGAGGTCCAGGGCTACCCGATGGCGTAGAAAGCGTACGGAGTGGAAGTGATTTTTGGGCGGACGGTGGTCGTGGTCGAACGCCCGAGTCAAGCGGGTACAATGCCAGCACAGGAGGACATAATTCAAATTTCAGCATGAGCACTTCGAGTGCGATGGCATTTTCGGACTTGAGCTCCCGGATGCGATCGAAATCCAGAGTAGGACGGCGCATACCTGAGGATGGGGAGTATGACGACGATAGGTCCTCGCAGATGACGGAAACGGGCCCTCGCAATCAGAGCGGCGATGATTCAGCTGTTGAGGACTTCGACGAAGAAGGTGCACAGGACGCTTTTGTTGCTGGCATGATTTATGCTCTCAGTCGACGTTTGTTACCTGGTCCTCCGTACACGCCATCCTCGATGTCTACAGATGGAAACCTTGACGCGGATAGAGATAGGGGCCGTTGGAAATTGGATGAATGTCTGAGGTTTGTTCTCCCATCTACATTTTATGTAGCTTCCCTAATCACTGGTCCACTAGATTTGCAACGGAGTTGTCTGGTCGCAAGGCGCGCAGACGAGGGTGGGAGGGTCTTGCAGATGAGATGCGGAGAGCCGGGTGGTTTGATTGATAACGTTCTGGGCTTGGAAAAAAAAGTATAGAATAGCTCTCCATTTACTTCCAAGGTTATTTCGCTGATTAGGGTTTCAGGGCTTTTCTTGGTTTGTTATAACTATTCAGGTATTAAGCGACAGCAAGCAGCTGTTGTGGATAATGTGTACAATGTTTTAGACACGTTCTCGTGTGTGCGTGTGTATATGTAACGAAAACTGGACTTGAAGGTACGGAACTCTCATTGGGTATAGTATTACGAGCAACTGTGCCCAGCCTCTCCCTATCCCCCGCTTACCACTGCGACCAAGCATTAGTTGCCAGTGATTCCCCATCCCTGACATGATTGCCATCGTTACTCATCCAGTCGAACCTGATGCTACGGGTGTCAGAGTCACATCTGGGCAAGGGTAAAGCTCCACGGTCCAAACCATGGCACTCGAGCAAGCCACATGCTTTTATGACACTATTGACCTCGTTCACTCTCTTGGCAGCCTTCTTCTCAGCGCGGGTATAGTACTCGACCTCCAAAAGAGCTCTTTGCCTTTTGAGTTGTATCAGATTTTTCTCCGCCTGACGCTCAGCTTGGATAGCACAGGTGATTTTTGCCACAGACTCGATGTCACCCGCTTCACCGGCCAGTGAAAGTGGCGATATACCATCATTTTTACTCTAAAATCATGGTCCGGTGAGTTTCTTGTCGATCTGAGTCGTAATAAAATGGCCCTCACCAGAACAAGGGGCTGTGGTAATATGATTGGAAAGAACGATGGCTGCTGTGTCAGTGGTAGTGGTATATCTCCTGGTGGCAGGCGAGGTGTGCCCAACGGCCAATCAGGTGATGGGGTGTCAGAAGAAAGACGAGTAAGAGGAGGTGTAACTGAAGTAAGTTCTGAAGCTGGATCTATATCATGGCCCATTCGCCACCTCAAAAATCTCTGTACCTTTTCTAGTGAATTTTCATTAGGCAGATCCAAAGAGAAATTGGGACGATCAGGGATCTAGTGGGAGAAGTTGGCATCCTGGTTGTCAGAGAATATTGTAAGAGCGCTGACTGCAGTGACAACCGCAGGACTGGCATTCAAAGTCATGTTTAGTTTCAAGTTTGGGTTGTGGTTCGAGGTGCAAAATCTTTCTAGGCTGGAGGGAAGTGAAGTGAACCGTAAATGGAGCCAACTCAACTTAGTGGTCTAACTGTGTGAGAGGTTACAGATACAAACGCTCACGGTGCTTCTAGGTGACCTACTTGGAGCATTTTTGCAAGTTCCTATCCTCTTTTCGCGTACTTCCGATCTGACCAGACTCTACTTTAGGTGAGCTTCTTACCACGATAATTCAATGCGATACTAATTATCAGAATCGACAATTTTGCTATCCCGTCTCGTTGAAGAGTGTTAGAACAGATAGGTCGTTTGATGGGAAATCCCCCTCCCTCACTTAGGCTTGCCATGAACACGATTTGGATTCAAGCGTAAACTATCACAAAAGCTGGTGTGTTCTGAGCAACGTTGTATGTTACCAATTCATCATAGTTTAAGCCAGGCAAAAGCCCAGGTTGGCCAATTACCTATCATGGTGGGTCAATGACTGATCTTCCAAAGAAGAAAATGGAATAATGATCTACGTACCGAATTAAAACCTCTAGGTGCGCGAGTTCTCTGTTGTTGTGCAGTCCTCACTTTACATGCACGACCAACAGCGACTTTGCAAAGTAATATAGCTCTAACACCTGGAGCAGGTTTCGCCATGCCAAGCACTCGCGCTCCCGTGTAATCATCGGATCTGTTAGATAGCAAGATCACTTGGTGAGTTCTTTGCCACCACCGATCGAGAGCACTCACTTGGAGCTTGTCGAACTAAAGTACATCCCGAAACCGAACCTGAACGACAATCCCAAGTGGAGCAACTTCAAGTCAACAACATTGAATACCGGGCATAGAATGTTACAAGCTCACAACTCGCGTCTTCCTGGTGTTGGCTTGGGCTTACGGAATCCAGTGTTGATAATACTGCAAATGATGCATCGTCGGCTGGACTCGCAATGTCCATCCCTACGGAGGTTTGGCTGCAAGAACTGGCAATTGCCGATCGCCGTACCATGCCATCTCCTTCTCTCGTTACCCTTCGGCAGTCTTCTACGGGAGAACTTTCCTCTTTTTTCGAGTCGCGATCTAACAAACAAGAGTAAACTGTTAGGAATCTATACGCAAATACAAAGTCAAGCGCGGCCTCACTTGAACTTGTTATATCTCAACCGTAAGTGATAGGGGGGCTTGACCTGAACGACTCGGACGATGCGAGTGAACCTAGGTTTCTGAGTTGGTGGATGTCTCCAGCTCCTGACGAACTGATTGACCACTGGCCGACCACACAAGCTGAAATAAGCGAACGTCCTCCCATTTTTAAAAAAGATGATCCATACCACTATTGTAGCGTCGACCACCAGGGGGGCATATTCTGAAACCGCCTCTGCCTCTCATAGTGTACGAAAAAATATTATTATGCTAGGTAACAGTGAAAAATGTTGGCTTAGTAGCTAAAGGTTGACCAAGTAAGGGGGATGACATCTTAAAGACCCTAGTCACAACAACGTCTTATGTGAGGGAACAATTTCAGAAGTGCTGAGCGAAGATACACGGCCATCACGCATGTTAGTCAGACTGTTCATATCAGTAACTGTAGCATATCAGCTGTATCTGGCTTTATCAATTAACCTGGAAGAAACGGACAAATGTCAACGTCAAGGGACACATGCTCGACGCATGTTCAGAACTTCCCTTCATCCTATCTAAAGGTGACATGATGATCGATACCCTGATCCAGATTTCTGGGACTGTCTGTTATCTGGAAACGCCGGTCAGTTCCGTGATCATCAGGTGCTTTCCGGCGCTAAAATTCCTTGATCTTCAGTTTCTGTATGTCACCAATCATTAACATACCGCTGGCAGTACATGTACACTGCCGCGACACACGGCAGCGATCAGATACAATGAACCGTCGATTAAAGGGGCACGGAAAATGAAAGCCCCGAGTTATCTCTGGGTTGTAGGTAACATCATGAAGAGGATTAAACGGAATTTCACTGGTTACTCTTTGCGAAATAAGCTCAACACTGCACATGCCAAAAACGGAAGTCACAGGCCTACTAAGGCTTTAAAGACTTCACTCGTTGCTATAACCCGAACGCTGGCTTCTGATATAAGCTATTATGCTCCTGGACTTCCAAAAGGTCTCATGAGTTCGCCCAAGCGTGTTCTCTGATAATCTTTTACACCGACTCTATGCAGCTTCAAGGGTCATCATGTTCACTAATGATCTACCGATGATGATCTTACATTCATGCCGTCTTGCCAAGACGGAGAATCGACTCCTGTATTCAGATATTATTGAAGATAAGCCATAGAAAAATACAAGGGGAAAACGACTGATCATAGACCTTGCCATGCATCTTTAGGAATAGATGATCACATAGGCTGGCGTATTCTGAGCAATATCGTATGTAACTAGCTCATCGTAGTTCAAATTAGGAGTAACCCCAGGCACCCCAAGAATCTACAAAAATCAATGTAAGAAATTAACTAGTCGTATTTTGTGAAGAAGTAAAGGTACATACCGAATTAAACCCCTTGGGTGCACGTGTTCTACGTGGGTGTGACCGCCTTGCTTTGCATCCACGTCCGACGGCAACTTTACATAGTAATAATGCTCTGACACCTTTGGCTGGTTTTGCCATGCCATTCTGTCTCACTCCAGTGTAGTCGTCAGATCTGGTCAATGATGATTTCACTTCAGAACGTTTTACGCATTAATCATCAGCACATACTTACTTTGAGCTGGTAGAACTGAAGTACATTCCAAAACCGAACCTGATACATTATGGTAAGCGCGTGCATGAAAAAATAGAAAAGGTTGGATCGAGGAATTAGGTGTACTCACTTCTCAGGTCTGCCAGGTTTGGGCCTTGGTTTGCGGAAACCTGTATTGATGATACTGCAAATAACACATTTCTGGCTGGGCTCGCAGTGGCCGTCTTTGGCAAGATTGTTCTTCAAAAATTTGCAATTGCGACAGTAAGTGCCATGCCACCTCCTGCGTTCGTTACCACGCTGCAAACCTCTTCGGCTGAATTTACCTCTTTTCTCAAGTCGAGACCTAGTCAAATAGAACTGCCTGTGAGATCACTGTGTAGAGATTTGTGTGATGTACGACTTCACTTGAATTTGTTGTATCTTAGTCGTAAATGATAGGGAGGCTTTACTTGAACGACTCTTATGACCTTGTTGTACCTTGATTTTTTGGATCTGGGATGCCTCCATGACTTTGCAAACTGATTCACCACTACGCATAAACGGGAGTTCAAATGAGATATTGGTCTCATCAACAAATAGGCATTGAAGACATACCGCTCTTGTATCGCCTGCCGTATGGAGGGCATATTCGGTATCCACCTCGACCTTTCATAATAATATGTTGATAGATGGCTGTAGTTCTTTGCACAAGAATGAGATCAACGCAGACCCAAGGTAGCTGACTGGAAGCTTCACTCGTTGCGTTATAATATAATAGGCGAGTATGGGAGAAGATATCCTACTGGGTAAATTGCACGGCCATCAGCCATATGTTGAACCCGAGTACCTTGACATTTAAATTCATCAGCATGGAATTCAGAACAAAAACAAATGGGGTGTGTCAATCTTACAGACACATGTTCAGCTCGTGTTCGGGATCTTCCTCTTCCTTTCACGTTGACATCGGCCAGAATAGTCCTGAATCAACAAAACATCCGTTCCTGAAAAAGAAATACCATCAGTGATGCGGTACGGACACCCACCAGCGCTAGGTCGGACACCCCGGTTTAGATCTTATGAAATATCTGTATAAACTGCATTCCGTAATGTGACAAGCAATGAACTTTAATGGAGCCTGGGGCATAGAAGCCATAGCTGGATATCTGTGATATCCACGCGACATCGTTGTGGAAAGGCCATTCGTGGAAAGATAAAACGTATTGGTGTAAACCCCTATCATCTTCACTAACCAATTACCTTGTAAATATATTCGTGGCAACGTCACATACAGATTTGTGGATCACGTTTGTAGCCAGTAAAGGTCCTGCAGTAGCAGAGTACTCATTGATACACCACCACATAAGAGGGCAAGCACGATGCGATGTCGTATGTTACGAGCTCATCATAATTTAGACCCCGAAAGACTTTCGGATCTCCTATGACCTATATATCGAAGCCATTAGCACTTTCCTTGCATGTCTGATAATGAAAAGTGTACTCGCCGAATCGTATCCCCTTGGTGCATGTACAATGGTTTTATAATAGCGCTTCACTTTAAGCGCTCTGCCAACCGCAACAGCACAGAGTATGAGGGCCCTAACACCTTTCGCAGGTTTCGCCTGACCATTCACTCGTGGTCCTGTATAATCATCGGATCTATGTATCCACGTCATGGAGAGGTCTCATATTATGACATGTATACGCACTTAGACGAAGTTGCGCTGAAATATATTCCAAAACCCCATCTGCCATAGTGAATATATCAGAAAATCGTGATTATCTTGAATTTGAAAGCGCAACCCACTTTTCGTCACTAGGCGTTCGAGGTTTAGGCTTACGAAGACCAGTGTTGATAATACTGCAAATGACACAAGCTTGAGTGGGTTGGGTACGACCTTTCGGGGGTAGCTTTTGCCGTAGGAATTGACAATTACGGCAGAGCGTGCCATGCCACCTCCTGCGTTCATTCCCGGGTCTCATTTTCCTGCGAGTAAACTTCCCTCTCTTTTCAAGGTTGGTTCTGCAAAGCGCATAAAACAAAAGCTGGGTTTAGTCTATAGACCACACAAATCTTGATAATTTACTCAACCGATATTTTTTGTACCGTAAACGCAAGTTACTTGGAGGCGTGACCTTGACGATCCTTACGATGGATTTGTATCTAGGCTTCGCAGATGTAGGATGTTTCCACTGTCTGGAGAATTGGGTTGCGACTTGTTTTAACGATGTGATAAGTTGGTTTTTCAATTGCTTTCAAGGAAGAAGTCGTACCGCTCTTGTAACGTCTACCACCAGGGCGACACACTTCGTACGTGCTTGACATTGCAAGAGTGTAGGTGTGTTATTGGTCGTGAACTAGTAACTGCTGTTTGGCTAAAGCAAAAGTTGAGGACGATGCAAAGGGCTTTGTACAGGCTTAAGACTTTCATGCCACATCCCAGTCAGGAGAATTGTAATGAGGCTTCAGGGCCATCATACAGGTGGACAATCTCAGTCGTTGGAGACGAGCCCAGAAGCAACGACCATACTAACATAGAGAACAATCTGATAGGAAACCGATTAGTTGGGAGACCAAGTTACTAAAAGTAAAGGATATTACTGACACATGTTATACTCGTGGCCATGAGCCACCAGCGCCAGTGTGTATTGGAGTTTGTACAATCTAGGACGATCAGAAGACTCGGGATATCGGTCACATTAGGTTTTTGAAGTTAAATAGCCACGTGTTCATCGACGCAAACCGAGTTTGTAACTTTTATGCCTTGAAACTGGAGGAATCTGTTAACTTGTAATGCCAGTGATAATAACTTGTTTTCTAAAGTAAGGACTGAGTAGTATACACTTGACCATGACAGTCAGTAAAGTCACAAGCGGCAAAACCCGACGGCCATCTCCGATTCTTTGCCAAAATCATTGACGTTCTGAATTACTGAGGGCTGTTCTAAATGTTATCACATATTATTGTCTGCCATGTTGTTTTCTTCCATTCTTCATTTGCGACACTTCCAAGCTGTCAATCTGCCAAAGGAAGTCTCCCGGGACGTGTTTGTCCTTTCGCTGGCACGGCAGAGTTTTTCAGCGCCTATCCTTGTCAGGGGTTGATAAGTACATATTAGCGCGACTGCGATCCGATAACTCGTTCCAATCATAAGCTTCCGATAAACCAAGCAGTCTTATTCTTACGATCCATCGCAGGGAAAGAGCGGGGAAAGTGTGGGACCGAGGTCACAACACGGGGCTGATAATATCTGAATACCCACCGGCGTCGCACAACTTTGCCTTTTCTTGGTATCGATGGCTTTTCCGAAATATCAACAAACTAACCGTCGTCTTGGTTCATCGATGTGATATTTGGTAATGACCATGCCATTCTTACGTCCAGTGACAGTCTTCTCAGCTACTGCCACTTTCGCATCATCAAGGCCCATCTGACCGCAAGCGCCTAAATACAGTAAGTCAGCACAGGCCATATCCTATGACACGGAAATGACTAGCAAAATCTCAATTGAAACAACACGCGGCCTTTTTCCTGGTTGGGAATGTAGTGCCTCAATACTCAAACGGATCTGATGCCTTCATTCGAAAGCTCCCTCTATAAAACCACGCGTTGACTTCAGGCTGTACTGTTACAAGGCTTATCACTCAGTCGTTCTAATCCTTTCACGACCGTCATCATCAATCATGGTTCAAATGTGTTCGGTAGACTTTACCCCGTATTCACTTCTTTTTTGTTGTCGCTGATTCAAAGTATCTGCATAGTACTGCGGGGTAAAACCCAGATATGTAGAAGCGGGTGGACGAGTGCATGCATATTGCGGCAGAACTTGTGCTAACAACGCAGAAAGCAATCCTGGTGGTGTCCATGATCGACCGAGTCAGGGACACAAGTCGGGCTCAAGCAACAACAACAACCGGCCTCGAGGTCTAGGGGACATAATTGCAACAGAAATAGCACAGAAAAACAAACAAGCCCCTGCTGTCAGCTACAAACTTGTTTCATCCTATAAGAATAACCCTATCTGGAGGGTAAGTCTCGCGCCTTTCCATTCAATTCCTTTACCAGTGTATTATCACAGATCGAAGACACAAGAGGCAAGAGCGAGATATCGGTCGTTCGCGATTATCAGAATGAACAGTGAGTTGACACTAACTCTATCAGTGCTTGCTTGGGTAACTTATCGAACTTGATAGTATCCGTGTGGTATTCTCTTTGAATGACGCAGAGTCTATGGGCCCGGACTTGCCAGATGAAGATGAAGTGGGAGATACATCCGAAGTAGATGACGAAGACCAAAGCCTTGAGGACGAAGGTGAAGCCATGCAATGCACTATCCTAGTTTCAAAAGTTGGTACCTTGCGTCCTGTCTCAGATCGGAATCCACAACTGATATCTCATTACAAAGCCACACAAAGGGACTCTTTTAATAAAAGCTGTAGCTTTGGGTGGCCATTTTCTCATAGACAATGTGTCACATAGCGATGACACTGACCTTGCCACCAAGAACAGCGCTGAAGCTGATTACCAGAGGCAAAACATCTATATCGCACCGCAGGTACTTTTCATCCTTCGACACTTGTTCTCCTTCTGATCGTGCACATCGCACTTGTAGTTCGATGATCTTTCTGAGAGCTTGCAGAATGGTTTCACCAGCTTCCTCGAAGAGAGGGGAATAAACGACGAGTTATCCGAGTTTGTTGGCGAATACGTGAAGCATAAAGAAAACGATGTACGCCTTTTCCTCCTGTATCATCTGTCAAACACTTGTTCATCTAGTATATCCTTGTTACCAGGAACACACGAACTGGCTGCAAGGCCTCCAATCTTTCTTCTCACCTTAAGCAATTTCCTGTATAATTACATGCATAGCTTTATGATAGTCGACATTGCTCGCTAAAGAGACGTCGGACTCGAGGTCGACAAACGAAATCACGGCGAATGAGGAAGATGGAATTCTAGATAAATATACAGATGATATGAAAGTGTAAGGTGTGATTGTCAAGTCATATTTCGTATGTGGAGTTGGGAGTAAGCAGTTAGTAATGCATTTTGGTAAATAGTACATCTATTGATCCATCTATTCCGCCGAGCACTGTATACCTATAGATCTCGAGTGGGTGTTATAGTGACACCTCAAGCTTAAATCATGAATGATATCTGTAGACAACTGATGATCATTAGTTCTTTTGAGTTTCGGTTTCGAGTTCATGAGACTCGGATCCAAAAACCATATGCCATAACTCGGGACCATCTCGAATTAAGGCCTGATGTTTTTTTTTGTTAAGAATAAAAGTTCAGCCATTTGATCCAACCTTTTCGAAATAAAAGAACATACAATGACGACTTCAACTGCAATAAGCGCGATGATAACAAGTTCCATACGGTGTCCGGAAGACTGAAGATAAAAATATAAAAAGTTAGACGGTAAGCCTTATAGGTCTCAAAACCGTTTAAGACTGACTTCAGTTAATAACTGTCGCAATGTCGATTGCACCTGGGATGATATTCGACAATTAGCCTGCAACGACCGCATTTCCAGAGGTACAACCCACCTCAGCCGCATAGGTGATTTTATCGTTGACTGAACTAGTTCTGGTTTTTACTTCCAGTGCGTTGATTATGGACTTGAAGTAACCTGCCAGAAATGTTCAGTTAGTTTCACCTGGAGCACATCGTTGTAAGCGTTACCTTCCAACTCCGGCTCAGCCCAGTAAAAATCAGGTGTATCCGAGAAGTTCTCGCGGTTCAAATTTAATCCTTGCCTAAACTTCATCAGTGCGCCAAGCTTCTTAATCAAAGCTGTCCTTGCAAGCCCAGGTTTGCCCGTCTTCTCGAGAGAATGCGGAAGGAGCGCGACGGAAGAAAGATAATCATCGAGGGAGACTTCAAGAGCTGAGAGGGCAGTAGACCTCGATAAGGCTTGCGAGAAAGCATATCGCGCAAGGAGCGTTTCTTGAGGGAAGACAGGTACATTGGTTGGGATAGTCGGAGCGTTATCAGTTGATTCGAGGGGAGCGACGCGACCCAGTATTATAAGATCGCCCTGTAACCTTGTCTTTCTGCGCAGAAACCAAGTCAGATATCATATCACTGATGAATCAAATTCACAACCCAACTCTGTAGGGTCTGTCACAAATTCCAGCTCTTCTGTTTCCGCTTCTTTCAGAGGACCGAGTTCTGCGCCCTCGCTCCTTGTAATGACTTCTTTCGCGAATTTCCTGGCATCCTCCTCTCCTAATCCCCAGCAGACAAAACTCCCATTTGCAAACAAGAAAATCTCGCCCTCCCGCTCCCCGTCCCCCCAGCGAGGTACCCACCAAGCTTCGTGCAGCGCGTGTGAACCTGCTGGAAGGTTTGGACGTAGACGCGAGAAAAGATAACGTTCAGCCGTGGCGAGGGTAAATACTGGCTGAATTGAACCACGAGTCGGTGTAGGGTTTGACCTGATTGGCAAGGAGGCAGAAGCTGACCGGCGGAGCGGAGTACTGGCTTTTGGTTTGGACTTTGGCGTATCTGATATCGATGAAGAGTCCGATGCAGTTGACATTAGCCGTATTCTGTACATCATAGAACTCGATGATACGGGTCTTGCAGTGCCCACAGAAATGGATCTTTTGACCGAAAACTGTAGCAGACTGAGCATCTGTACAAACATCGTCACTTTCGGTGTAACAATAGACCATGAAGACTGAGTATCTTACCTTCAGGTAAGTGAGGTTAGCTTCGAGGAAGAAATGATAGGTGTGTTTTGTAAAGCCACAAAATCCAAGTTCAAGTTCGCAGACAAATAAATATATCTCACGGCCAAACGGTCAAGTTGATCGTGACGAGGCTCTCCGGCGCCACGTGCATTCTATCCCTTAAACTCAGGCGCAACTCAGGCGCATACATTGCGTGTACTCAGTACTCAGGCTCAAACTCCTTTATATGACCACTGACAAAGTCTGAAATGGAGCGATATATTCAAGAACACCATGACTCTCACTCTGCTGGAATAATGGGAGGCACATCATCTTCACCCTGCCGTGATCCATGTCGAAAGAAATGGGACCATACTTTTTCTTGAAACAAACGACCCTGCCTGCGAAAGCTGTAGCGGCAAAAGGGACTCGGCGTCAGGTTGTTGACAAGGGCGGCAATGTGTGGGATTCTGGTAGCAGACAAACTCCATGATACTTCACAACTTTGAAACAAGTCGAGAAATGGTATATTCAACATTCTCGATGACATTCACTGGGTCCTTATGCTTCTAAATTATCCTCCGTACTGTGTTGGAACGTCCGGATGCGATTACCATCAAGCATACCCAGTGTGGTGCGCATCCTTCCATGGTGGTTGTGAGTTCATATGTGGTGGCAGGTAGGCGTAGCACTCACTTCTCTATATCACTGCAAAAAACAAACGTTATACATCATCTTCGTATCCTTGGACAGCTCGCCGTGACCGTTTTGGGACTGTTGAAAATCCCCATACTCTAGAATGAGTAAATGCACCTCCATCGCACAAACAAACGTACCAGGATATGAGGTGGGCACTGGTTCTCCAGGAGCCCAACCGAAGTAGCGCCTTCGGATTGGAGGAACGCTGAGTGCGAGGACTGGTCCAGTAACTCCCAGAACGCAAGAGTAGAATATGACGGGTTGTTCGTGTGCTAAATGTTGCTTTATGCGATCAAATCAGACTCCAAGCACTGTTTTTCAAAAAGTTTGTAGTGTACACACTAGATAGCGATAACCTCTTCGGAAAGGGGAAACGATGGAGGCCATCTTGTCTTTTGTTGGACAGTACAAGTTTCTGGTACAACCAATGTCACCGAGTGTCGCCGAGCGGAGATTTGTGTTTATTTGCTTGTGTATGGCAACAGCCTCTAAACCAAACAACCATGTCCAGCATTTCCTTATTTCCTTGACCATAACTCATCTCGTCCTCCCAAGTCTTTTCGCCATGCAGAAGTATGAGTATTTTCTTGGAATCACCGGGTCTTTACTATGTCACGCGATTACTAGGGTGCTATACCTGACGCTGCCTATATCATATCTCTAGGTCTACATTCAGCGCTATCGACTTATCATGCTATTCTCAGGCTTTGGAGTTGACCCCGTGCTGTTAATCTCATTCATCAAATATCTTGTTCTTTATCCCTGAGACTGGGCCATATCTGACTGCTGACGGACGACTTGAGGACAGAAATTGCACTCGATACGTGACAACGAATGTGATAGGCGTATGATGGGAATAAGCTTTACCATGACTCACAACAGGACTTTGTCGCCGTCCGGAGTATAGGTCTGTCCAGCCTCGTTATGCAGACCTATCGACGGAATATATTCGTTCCGTAAGGTTTCTCGAGCGCGCTACCACTCGGCTTAAGTTCACCGTAGGTACGTAGTCGACCTTCGCGATGAGCGAACGATGATGCGGATATAGATGCCCGAATTTCTAATTTCAACGATGTCCCCGGACTGTGATCGCCGTTGAGGAGCAGCTCCTTCAAGTTGCGACTGGGCTCTAAAAGCAAGTCGAAGAGGACAGTGTTTTATATATTCATAACTCGTTATAGCTACGATTATGGCTCCGATACCCCTTTCTCCTATGAGACTCTGGGTATGATCCAGACTAACAAAAAGCGCTGGCCTGACGCTGTGCTCGCTTAAGTATTCCTCGTCGATCGAAAAACTAGACAAACCTGTGATGGCGTCAAATTCGTTTGATTGATCCAGTGTCTTCGTTCTCTCGTCATGAGACCTCATGGTACGCGGTCATACCACAACACCGCCCTCCAGAAATCATATATAATTCGATGCACCAGCACCTTTGCTTCTCATCAACCTCAGCTACATCCTTACGTTCACTTTTAGTTGTCTATCCTCTACCTCACTTTCGTCAATCTATCCTCAGATTAATAACATGCAGTTGACACTCTCTTCTATCTTGTTGTCTATTGCCGCTTTCTCCACCGCTGCAAGCGTTCCCATTACCCCAACGATGTGCGCTGAAGCTAGTCGATTTGGAAATCCAATCTACTCGCCCAGCACGGTTGCTCCAGGAGCTGTAAGTGTACTTCATTTCTTTAGGTCGATATTATACTGAATATCACAACTAGTCTATGCAAATCCAAACGGACTTCACTTGCTCCTTCTACTTCGGTATCCACCCTACTTACACCGACTACTACATTGAGGTTCCTACCAACAACAGTGGATACGAGCCAAACATTCTTCTTGCTCGCCGCCAACCCAATGTTACCGCGTCCTCGCCCATCGACAAGTTTACCGTCACAGTGAGTTTGCTCCTGACTTTCTCGCAGCTCCGATCTAAAGCAGGCTCCGTCGTAGATTCCTGACGCGACCTATACCTCTGGTGCAAACTACGCTGTGGTTTTGGACGTTACGTACCCAATCAACGGGACAAATGGCACGCCCGTATATGTTGTTGGTGGTGTCGAGGGTGGGATCACTATTACTTAAATACGGTGGTATGGCTGGTATCTGCACATTAGCTGATTGATTTGTGGTACCTCTCTTAATGACTTGCGTCGGGTAGACTCTATGGACTTCGGTTATTATTTGGTTAATATAATACATTATTGGTTGAATGTGGTCGTGCTTGCTAATTCCAATATTCAATATCTATGGTTCACCTCTGTTCAAAATGTTGATACTGATTATTACGGTGAGTAAAACGCTGACTGTAGGATTTCTGTGTCCATACCTCTAAACTAACATAGTGAAACTGAACGTTACGAAACGAGTTTGCTAGTCCGGTGAAGGTAGGCTTTCGTGGAGGATACTGAGGGGATGGGACTCTAATTGGTAGTGGGAACCGTCTAAAAATGAGATCGTGAGCCAGTAAGGGTAAGGTAAAATCAGCCACGTGAGAGACGTACCTTGGTTGTTAATCCGTGGTATGAAGCATAATAAAGGTCGCGCAATATCTATCTTATGTATTCTCTGATGACCAGCGATCGTCATGCCTATTATTGATGGTACTCTGCTCCAAATTGTGTGCATCCGTTCAACGCGGTTTTGTCTTTCGTCTATAGAACTAAACTCTAAAGCTCAAGAGAGCGAGCAAGCATCAATGGTGTCAATCCGTTGTCGTCTTTCAAATCGACTCGAATGTCATTGTGCGCAAGAAGAAGGCTCACAATCGCCTTCCACGACCTGGCAGAGTCGCAGTCGACATCCGTATAAGTGCTGTCGTACATGCTAGTATTCTCCTCTGTGCCGGTACTCGCAGAAATCGAGCTCCGAGTCGACAAATCCAATACATCGATACCTAAGATCGCGCAGTACAGCGGCGTTTGTCTCTTCATGTTCTTCAGATTTGGTCTGATATTATAGTGCGAGAGAAGTAAGGATGCTACAGCCTCATGTCCAGAATGCACCGCATAATGCAGGGGTGAGTCACCATTCTTGTCTTGCAGGTTCACGTCAACCTCTTCTCTAGTGAAAAGAGGTTCACGCCCATTTTTCGCCGCTTTGAACAGAAGGATCCGACCATGTTCATGTCTCCAATTGTCGTCTCTTGCCAGCAACAGCTTGACGACCTCGTTTCCATCCTCGGCCGCGTAGGAGAGTGGTGTCCGGCCCTCTTCATCTTTGAAGTTGACCTCCACGCCATCTCTTCCCAGCAAGAGCTCGACGATCTCCGTGTTTCCTTGCTCGGCTGCGTAGGACAGTGGCGTCCGGCCCTTGTTATCCCTCAGGTCTGCCTCCACATCATCCCTTCCCAGTAAGAGCTTGACGATCTCCTCGTTTCTATACTCGGCTGCGAACGAGAGTGGTGTCCGACTACATTCATCTTTCGAGTCAGCCTCCATGTCATCTCTTCCCAGCAAGAGTCTGACGATCTCCTCGTTTCCACCCTTCGCTGCGTACGAGAGTACTGTCCTGCCCTTTTTATCTTTTGAGTTGGCCTCCACATCATCCATTGCCAGCAAGAGCTTGACAATCTCCGTCTTTCCATTCTGGGCTGCAAACGAGAGTGGTGTCCGGCCGGAGTCATCTTTCGAGTTGGCCTCCACATCATCCCTTGCCAGCAAGAGCTTGATGATCTCCTCGTTTCCATACTCGACTGCGAATGAGAGTGGTGTGCGGCCCTCTTTCGAGTTGACACCCACATCATCTCTTCCCAGCAAGAGCTTGACGATCTCCTTCTTTCCATTCTCGGCTGCAAACAAGAGTGGTGTCTGGCCGAGGTCATCTTGCGAGTCGGCCTCCACGTCATCTCTTTCCAGCAAGAGCTTGACAATCTCCTTGTTTCCACCCTTCGCCGCGTAGGAAAGTGGTGTCCGGCCGAATTCATCTTTCGAGTTGGCCTCCACATCATCCCTTGCCAGCAAGAGCTTGACGGTGTCCTCGTTTCCATACTCGGCTGCGAACGAGAGTGGTGTCCGGCCAAACCCATCTTTCAAGTCGGCCTCCATGACATCTCTTCCCAGCAACAGCCTGACGATCTCCTTGTCTCTACCCATCGCTGCGTAGGAGAGTGGTCTTCGGCCGAGGTCATCTTGCGAGTCGGCCTCCACATCATCTCTTTCCAGCAAGAGCTTGACAATCTCCTTGTTTCTACCCTTCGCTGCGTAGGAGAGTGGTGTCCGACCGAATTCATCTTTGGGGTCGGCCTCCACCAAGAGCTTGACGATCTCCGTCTTTCCATTGTGGGCTGCAAACAAGAGTGGTGTCCGGCCGAATTTATCTTTCGCGTTGGCCTCCACATCACCACTTCCCAGCAACAGCCTGACGATCTCCTCGTTTCCACCCTTCGCTGCGTACGAGAGTACCGTCTTGCCCTCTTTATCTTTCGAGTTGGCCTCCACATCATCCATTACCAGCAAGAGCTTGACGATCTCCGCCCCCCCATTCTGGGCTGCGTAGGAGAGTGGTGTCCGGCCGAAGTCATCTTTTGAGTTGGCCTCCACATCATCCCTTGCCAGCAAGAGCTTGATAATCTCCTCGTTTCCATAATCGACTGCAAATGAGAGTGGTGTGCGGCCATCTTCATCTTTCGAGTCGGCCTCCACGTCATCTCTTCCCAGCAAGAGTCTGACGATCTCCTCGTTTCCACCCTTCGCTGCGTACGAGAGTACTGTCCTGCCCCTTTTATCTTTCGAGTTGGCCTCCACATCACCTCTTCCCAGCAACAGCCTGAAGATCTCCTCGTTTCCACTTTCCGCTGCGAAGGAGAGTGGCGTCCGGCCCTTTTCATCTTTCGAGTCGACCTCCACATCACCTCTTCCCAGCAACAGCCTGACGATCTCCTCGTTTTCACCCTCCGCTGAAAACGAGAGTGGTGTGCGGCCCTCTTCACTGTACACGAGCAACAGCTTCGGCTCCATGATACATATATGCGCCTTTTTTGGCCTGGCTCGAACCATTGAATATGAACCTCGAAATAGAGCTGTTGTAGACCAACGAGACTACCGGGGTCGAACAGCTCTGCACACCGCAGCATCCACAAATCATGCAAAGGTGGTGAACCTACTACTCGATCGAGGCTATGACGTCAATTCAAGAGACAAAAAAGGCACGACGCCACTCTCCTACGCAGCGAAGGCTGGAAACGAGGAGGTCGTCAGGCTGTTGCTGGGAAGAGGTGATGTGGAGGTCGACTCGAAAGATGAAAAGGGCCGGACACCACTCTCCTTCGCAGCGGAAAGTGGAAACGAGGAGATCGTCAGGCTTTTGCTGGGAAGAGTTGACGTGGAGGCCGACTCGAAAGATGGCACATTGCGCAGTTTTTCGATGTTCTTTTCGCAATGAAGAAACTCGTGTATTATGGCCTTATTCATCTCTTCAACAGGACCACTTGCATGATTTCCCCAGTTGAACACAGCGTAATGGCTTAACTTTTCACTCCATGGCCAGTCATCGTGACCATAATCGTAATCGTCGCCATCGTCATTGCCATCAGAACCATCAGCAGGTAGCGATAACAACAAAGCTTTGAGGCAGATATTGGTAAGTTCAGAGTGAGGATTTGAGCACAGCCATTCCTTATATTCGCTGAAGTAATCTTGCGCAGTGTAGTCTAATGGAGCAGTGATCAGATATAGCCGCCATTGGAACTATGAACAGCTCACGAATCAGGCGGGCCACAGAACGCTCTTTATCGACCTTAACTAAACCGATACAGGCCCCCAATATGGTGTCTATACCCACAAGATTATCACTATCGATTCCTGTACTCCCACGGGAAAGCGTCACAGCCTCTTGAAGTGCCCTACCGCTCAGTGGTTCGTGGGCGTAAGTAATACACATGATAGCCGTCAAAGCAAGTTCTCGGCGTTTCTCGTTTAGTTTGTGGATCCGGCTCATTGTTCCATCGTAGGCACTATTCAACCCTTGGGATAGATTTTTAAGAGCGTCCCGGACCTCTTTACAAGTGACCATGTTTTCCAACGACCCTACATGCAAACGACATAGGAGAAACCTTATCCAATACTGATATATAACTTCTTCAAGAAATGATTAAAGAACCACTCACATGCCATCTGCATATTTCGTAACACCTTCGACAATTTCTTCTTTTAAAGGGGGATCTTCAACGATGAGCCCCGCCAGCGTCTGCTCTAGTAGGAAACAACCTTCGATATACTGACGTATGTCTTTTTCATTTGCACGAAGGCGCATACACGGGAAATCACGAAGAGCATCCCCTATCGATTTGATGTCACGTGAGGTCACCAGAAGATGACATTCAAGAGACTGGAGCCTTTTGAGGAGTTTATAACGATTGGCGCCGGTTTCTGTAATTTCATCCAAAGCGTCGGTAACAACAAAGACTTGCGAAAAATGTTTTATTTCCGATACTAGTGTCTTATGAACATCTTCCGGGGTTGGACGGGAGTCCGTTTGCTGGTGAAATTCATATCTCGTAGCGACATTCTTGAAGGTAGTAGAGGAACATTCAACAAGTTGTTTTAAGAGACTTGCAACAAGGTCATCAACCTTTGGTTGCTCTTTGTAGTTGCAATAAATGAAGGCCACAGCAACATCGGTGTCCTTGTGCTTTTCGGTGAGGAAATTGATAATATGTGACCTAAAAACGAACAAATTTGATCAGAGTGAGTACTTGACTCCCATTAAAACACTTGCGCAAGAACAGTTTTTCCGGCACCAGCTGTCATAACCAGAATCAGATACATGGAATTATGTGGTGATCAAAGAATGAGTACTTACGTATCCCAGGGCACCACAAGGTTTTAAATTTCGTATCGCATCTTATCCACTCCTTGAATTTTTCATCATCGAGTACCCAGTCTCCGGTTCCCTCTTGTTTACTTCCGTAAACGTCACTCTGTGTCCGTCGGAAATTCAAAGGAGTTAACCAGGCAGCTAGTTTCTTCCGCTCTTCGACTAAAACATAAGAATATATTAATGTCGCTGAAGAACATGCGATAAAATGACTCGTACCATTATCCCTGCTGTAAGTGTTAATTGTCGTATGGTCGCCGTTGACATTGACTTGCTGGCCATGAACTTCGCTGAACGTGCTATGACGCGCATCGACGGACGAAGCTTGAGCCATCGTACCCTGGACGTCCACGTCGTGAGACATCGAGAAAATGAAAAGGCCCTGTATAAGACGATACTGCAATGGTTACGAATGTAGATCAAATGGCAGTCGTGATGAGCGAGGAAGAGAGAGAAACGATCGTAGACAGGCGCCTGCGGTCTTATCGAAAACTCTCAGGCGGAACAACCATGTGTTCATTGACACTGATACCGTACCCTAACTAATACACCCTTGAACCTTCTATCATTGGCCTTTACTTTACTGTAACGAAAGAATTTGATGAGGACAGCGCTAGAGGTAAATGCCCTTTATTTATAATATCATGGTTTAACTCACTAGGTGGATATAGCGAAATGCAGAAGCAGTCAAGGACAGCCCGGCTACTACAGGTATACCCAAGCTATTCGATAAGTTATCATGGTATTCGAGCGACTGTACCGATGAAAGATTGGTTAGTTCCAATTCGACATGTTCTGGGAGGCGAACCAATGACAAGGATTTCTTGATCCTGGGAATTTCAAAGGAGGTATTCTGAGGGCTCTGTGTGCAAGGGATCGTTGCGAGGTGATTAGGTAGCGTGGCCGAGTTGGTCTAAGGCGTTGGATTTAAGTATCTTATGAATCCCAATGGGCGCAAGTCCGCGCGAGTTCGAACCTCGCCGCTACCATACGTTTTTCATTTTGTTTTTATTTCTACTAGTGAGCGCCAAGATGCCTGTATTATCACTGTTCTGGAAATACATGCTACTGCGTTGCCACCACCATATGGTTTGTTGTGTGTATATTTTTTCAAGAAGCGCCAATCGTAGTCGTACAAGCCTAACTTCTGACAATTACAGACGTCTCGTTAGACATCCTTATTGGTTGCCCCGTCGAAGCAGCTTCTAACAAGCTCTTCTCTTTCAGCGGATCGGGATTTGATGCTGCAAGGGAATGCAAGGAGGTGGCTTGTAGCAATAGATAAAGCTTCGAGTCAGCGTTGGACACGACACGATTCCAGGAGATGGTGAACTTACCGAGCTACTCCTGTGACGAATACGGGCTCGATCTCGACTTTCTGTCCCTCCGAATCAACTGCTTTCTCGAATCGAAACAAGGCTAGCATGGACGCCAGTGCTATCCAAACCGACGCATCACCGATGTATCGGCCTGGGCAGATGCGGCGCCCAAATCCAAAGGCAGGTGCCCCAGAATCTGTAGCAAGTTTTCCGTCCTCAGTGAGGTGTCTTTCAGGGTGAAAACGATATGGATCTGGGTATCTATCCTCATCGTAGGCCATTGCCCTATTACAGAGTTGTTTCAGCACTGAATTCATACAAGCGAAGACTGGATATACCATTGATTTGTTGTTATAATAGCCCCTGTAAATTCGTTAAAATAAGAGTGTATATTATTGCAATACACAGACCTTTTGGAATGAGATAACCATTGAAAACATCTTCATGCGCAGCCACTGTTGGAACACCTATTTGCCGAATGACCAATCAATGCCCTTCAACAGTGCGCTAAACTCAATAAAGCACTTACTCAACGGCACCGCAGTGTGCCACCTGAAGAGTTCGCGAAAAAGAGCCTCCACGTAGGGCAATGACGGCCTGTCGTTGGAATCAGGAAGCCTTCCTTCTCCTATAACGGTATCAATCTCCATTTGGGCCCGCTCCTGGACGTCTGGGTGAAGCACCATTGCCAATACAAAGATGGATAGAGTAGATTCTGTCTAAACTTCAATTAATTCATCAACTTCTGAGCTTTGATAAATATGGCAACAAACAGTCCCTGTCCCAGCTTCAACAAACGCTTGTCAGAAATACAATCCTTAAAAGAGGTAATTAAGAAAAAAGTTACCTAAGAATGACGAGGCAGCGCAGTCTTTCATCGCTTGCAATGTCTTCTGATCAGGTGCTTGGGCCAGTATCTGTGAGACCAAGGACTCGGCAGACGTCGTGCTCTGAAGCGTGGTTAGTTACCACCGGTCTAGAACGGGAGAAGGGTCTACCATATTCTTCTTTGCATGTTCTATAGGAGCATCAAATACTTCGGGTGCAAGTTTTTGACATACAAGAGCGTTTCGTTTAAAAGCCGCTCCTGGGAACCACGCAGGGATATTTCGGACTTAGGAGCTAGTAAGTAGCCATAGGCTAACCTAACATCATTTGAGCACTTACGAAAGGGGAAAGTGCCAAGGAGAGCAGCTCGTTCAGGGGTCAATCCCTCCGCGGCTAAGTGAATCACCTTCTGTATATTGGCGACTACTGGATCATTGCGGTGTGTAATCTCGTAGCCATACACGATTGACATGATGATAGACGCTCCATACCTAAAATGCATATGGATTAGAATCATTGACGGATAAACATGCAAAGAAAGGCTGCATTATTCGCACGTTTGGAGATGCATCATAAAGTTATCCGGAGATTCGAGTAGGCTCAACAAAAGAATGTGCGCTTTCTGAAATTGCACTGCGCGATATACAACCACGGACTCGGGACGAAAAGTTTGATGGTATATTTTGCGGTGTGATTTCCATCGGTCGCTATAGGGCAACAGCGCTGTGTTGAAATCCAGTCCAAAGCTGTAGAAAATATAACCAATTAGCTATTGGTCAATATAGGAAATGATGCTACGTACAGATGATTTGTAGCAACGCTTGGACGATCAGAGTATGACTTCGAACGTTTTTCCAATAACTCTCTTGCAACTGTTTCTGAATTAATGACAATATGATCTTTTCCAAGAACACGAAAATGAACGATGTCGCCTATGGGTGTGTTAGAATGCGTGGCATATGCTGGAATAATTACATACCGTATTTCTTAGCCCAGCGTGTATATGCGAGCCACGGTTCGGAGACGTCGATATCAAATAGGCTACCAACAACTGGGAGGAGGCGTGGACCAGGAGGTAGAGGCGCCTTTGGTCCACCCGATAATCCCTTCCAGATATATCTGGTGAGCCAAAATGTACCGGTGGAGACTACACAGAAAGCAATAAGAGAAATAGGATGGGTGGAGTAGTAGGCCATCGCAAAGGAGGTGAATGATGTCGAACAAACAGCCTGGCTCACTTTATATCCTCAAAATCGAACCTACCCGGAAAGGCATGAGAATTATGTGCTAACCCATGGCAACTGAAAATGGAGGTACAGAAGGACTCCATGTATGAGCCCGCCACTGTGCAGAGTTCGTGGATTTTTCAAACCAGTGGCGTTACTAAAGAAGACAAGACTGCATTATACATCATTAAATATCGATGACCATTGAAAATGGAGAGGTACACACAAACTAGCGGATACGTTTATCCTAACGAACAAGATCGTCATATCGACGATGACTTGCGTCTTGTATCAGCGTAGACTGTTTTAAGTAAATATATTTAGTTAACGTGCCGAATACATATTTACACCTGGACATCATATACTTGAGTATAGCACACGACACAGGCGAGAGCAGTTTCAGGTTAGTACTAGCTTCCAGCTACATAGCAGGGCTTACCTTGAATGAGATGCTGCTACTAATATTTCTCGAAATGGACCAAGGGGTCTCATTCCGTCGAGAATGGTAGTTACTTATTCGAGAAAAACAAGGCTCCTCTGACCACACGATTACTGTAAAATCCTGTGCTTTGGGGAGTTTCTGAAGGTACTAACGTTCATCGTGTTCACTATTTGTGGTGTAGATTGAACAGAAGCTTTGATTCAGCGTTATTGCTGTTACTAGACTGCGATATACTGTTTCCGCGATGGTAATATTCTGAGTCCAGGTTTTTGGAATACTGTTTGATTGAAGAGATCTCATCTTGTCTTTCCGAGTCTTAGTTGAAACATTGGGAGGTTGGGAGAGCCATGAGAAAGTCATCAATTGGCCATGCAAGCGTCACAGTGAAACTTCAAGCTTGGGCGCCGGGTGCAAGTCAAGCAAGTAGTGATTCTCCTCGCTTACCAATCGTAAATTTCCACGTGCGCTGTGGCGTTCACTTGCAACAGCCTGAGCCTCCCCTCACCTTCTTGTCGGTCTTCAGTGTCCCAGTTTGTCTCCCAATCTTCTTCGTAAAAATGTCGTTGGAAGAAAGTATCAGCTTGGAGGAAACGAACAAGATCCGTATATCTCTTGGGCTTAAACCACTCACTGACGATAGCAACCCAACCGACGACAAGGAGAAAGAGGCAGAAGAAAACTATGCGAAGCAACGGGAAAGGGAAACAAAAGAGAGAGAATCAAAGTAAATTGATGGTCTGTCTTGTGACTGTGTATCTCTCTAATTTATATTTTGATCTTTCACAGGAAAGTCTATGACCGTATAGCCAAGTGAGTATCATTCTTACCATTTGTCTTACGGTCACTTCCATCTTTTTTCTTGGGCATTTAGACCCATGTACAACACGAGAAGGAGCGCATTTGCTCATTTACTGTTTTAAATAGGGTGAGAAATAGACGAGAGCTCAATGCCTCCCTCAAGGGTACAACTCTTGGTGACCCCGATGGCGATACAGAGGATACACTGAAATGGATCAAGAAAGCGAAAAAGAGGGAGAGAGAGCTGGCCAAAAAGCGGCAGGAAGAGTTGGAAAATATGGATAAAGCTTTCCAGGCGGATTACTCTGAAAGTAAGCTCGGTGGTGCTCATATCTTTCCATAAAGATTGACTTACCTGTCGTTGCAGAGGATCTCGTTGGGCTCAAGGTCAGCCACGACTTGGAAGAGTTAGAAGAAGGGGATGCGCGTATACTCACGTTGAAAGATAGCCGCATTCTTGATAATGAAGGTTCGTCCCTCTGTCTCCTCAATATTCCTTGTGGTAGTAATAGGATATCCACACACACAGAGGACGAGTTACAGAATGTAGAGCTAGCAGAAGAAGAGCGAACTCGCAAGAACAAAGAGCTCAAAATCAAGAAACGTGATTACACTGGTTATGATGACGAAGAATTCGGAGAAGGTAAACAGGGATTGAAGCGTGCCATACTGGCCAAATACGATGAGGACCTCGAAGGGGCTCGGGAGTCGGTGCGACCATCTGCTTTCAAAAGATTTTGCACAAGACGCTGACAATCATCCAGGGTTTCCGTTTGGGCAGTTCTGTATCCTCTTCAAAAGTAGCAAGAGCCGAAATCGAGCAAAACCTCGCCTCGGTTAACACATCCTTGTTGTCCATAGATTATGCTAGTAAGTTGTTCGCAACTCATGGATAGGTTTTTTCGTTGACAAAACATGGAACAGAAAATCTGGAAACGGCTGATTATCTTCAGGAAGGAGATATCGGCTTCAAGAAACCAAAGGTACGACTTATCTGTACCCTAACCTTTCCCATCTTCATTTCTCTTCACAGACTAAGAAGAAGCGTTCATCACGTCGCGCGCCAATTGACAGCGAACTGGGTCTTGCTAATGGTGAAAACCAAATGGATGTTGATGAAAAGCCTATCGTACCTCGTCCTCGTAACCTAGATACAAACTTCGTAGATGATGATGAGCTACAAGCCGCTCTCGCTCGTTCCCGACGAGCAAAGATTCATAGACCAAAGAAACTGTCTCCAGAAGAGATAGCTCGTAAAGGTTTGGCTTTCGACGTCGAATTTAGAGTTGGCACTGATGTTATACGTATAGTTGCGGATCAACGTGCGCGCGAAGCTTCTATCAATGCTGATGATATTATTAAGATAGAAGATGGGGACGAGGAAACAGGTGGAGCTGGTCTCACTTTCGACGATACCTCAGAGTTCGTTCGAGCCATTTCTTACAATCCAAATGCCATCAAAGCTGAGCCTGTGGAACCCACGGCTGTCAAGGCATCTCCGAAGCCTCGATCCGAGTCTAGAGATGTGGAGATGGATAATATAGATGAACCTGTGGAGGAACTTGAAGCTGGGGAGGTTTCCGTCAAGGAAGAAGAAGATGAGGAGGCTATCCTGAACGCAATTGAAGATGCAATCAAAGCTACAGAAGCAGCGGAGGTCGCAGCAGCTGAGGGTCGAGATGACGTAGGAACATCAACGGAACAAAATTTCGGTTCTGGAATGGCAGCAACGTTGAACATTCTGCGGCAGCAAGGAATTTTATCGCAACCATCAGCGGACGGTACGGATAGGGAACAAGTACAGCTACAGAGGGATTTGTGGTTAGCAGAACACCGCCGAAGACATGCACAACGAGAAATTGATCGTCTACAAGCTCGTGGGGCTAACAAGGATCAGGCCACGCGCGAGTACGAAAATCGGCTTCGCGAACAGCAAGAAGCTCGTGCAAACTTGGAGATGTTCAAGAACTATAAGCCTGATGTCAATATTGTTTACTATGATGAATTTGGTCGTGCTCTCACGCCAAAGGAGGCCTGGAAAGCACTATCACACAAATTCCACGGTAAAGGATCAGGGAGGATGAAGACGGAGAAGAGATTAAAGAAAGTCGCTGAGGAAAAGAAGAAAGAAGCTATGGCTAGCGGAGATACACCTCTCAGTATGAGCAAAGCCTTCCAAATTCGCCAAGAGAAGACGGGACAAGCCCATTTCGTCTTATCTGTAGGTAACAGAGGGTACGTTTTGTCGCCCATCTTTCTAGTGTTTATTTAATTCATAATTCTTGTTCAGTGCTGTTCCACAAGCCACAGAATTCCTTGACCCACAGCCTCTATCAAAGGGCAAGACAGAAAAGACGAAGAGCAAGAAGAAAGAGGCTGCAAGATCTTCTACGTCTCAAGTTCTTGAAGGTGGCTTCATTACCCTTCCTGCACCACAGATCAATGGCACTGGCCCTAGCTCAGCACTTTCTGGATTCTCGTCTGTAGTCCCTACGAATGGGTCTGGTTCACCTATGCCTACAGCGAAGCCTGGCTTCTCGAGGATTTCGTCAGCTGTAGATACACCTTCGCATTCACAGAATGGTACCCCTGTACCAGGTGATCGTACGAAGGTGGCGTTTGGATTCGGGACTAAAAGGAAGGCTGGAGAGGAGCTCAAGGACTCACTGCCTCCGAAAAGGCGATGATGGTTGACTTTTTTTTTTGTATCCATATGTTGTTTTCAGGTAACATAATGTGTAAAGTTTATATGAAATTGGCGCTACTTTTAGCTGAGCATGTTTGTCTCTGCGCCTCTACTTTGGCCCATTGTCAAGACTGAGAACAAGCTTGGCTATCACAGTACTTAAACACACCGCTACATGTGTATAGAGGGGCCAAACGAAGTTCTTGGCATCTTCGCGTATGGCAACGCATGTTACAGGGCAAAGTATCAAGAACTTGCGAAGTTAAATATTGGCTAGTGCACGACTCGCGTTATCGTTCGAAGGTCAGGGAAAATTCCTCGTGTCCTAGCAATTTGCATTGAACACGTCGAGTACAACTAGACATGTTCAAATGATGAGCGCGTTGCAATGCAGTATAAGATGACAGAATTCAATTTAATCGGTGGGGTAATCAGCCTATATGATTGCTGTATCATACATAATTTGTAGCACAATTTTTTGAATATCGTACACTGTCTACCAACGGTAGCCCATCACACTCCGGCTTTGACAGCGGATCTGACATCGTCTTTGATATGTCCCACCAGAAGAACGTCATAAGGGGTAAGTACGCCTCGCTTCGTATCGATATCGATGATCTGCTTTCCAGGAGCGAAAATATTGGTCGTAGCGAAGAAGTCTAAACCGAAGTCCCCACTGAAAGTCGGAAGCTCCCAGCTATTGAATGCGCCGATGACTTGACCAGGCTCTGGCCATCCCTCATCACCTTCCTTCCGAGTGGTCTTACGATAATCACCATTTGACATGCTGATGTTTGCACGTATTTCGGTTTGATCAGTTTGCATGAGGGGAATAGTTTTATCCACGACGATCTTGCAGAAGACATCACCAAAATGCTGTCCAGTGACGTCTGCCCATGAAACTCGTTCCTCTCCGAAAGTCATAGACCAGTGTGCGTCCCCCTACTCTGTTGTGGTGAACTGCAGCGAAGTTTTAGAAAGGTGCCAGTCTATGGAAGAAAACTACCCGCCGAGAATTTGCTGCTTCATGAACGCAACAAGGTCGTCATTCAGGGCGATGGTGAATGAGAACCCTGTCTGAGTATCGTTTTCGTTGACATACTCAAACTCCTTGCCGCTTGACTCTCGAGTGTTATGGATTGCAGTATTCAGAAACTTGGAGAAATTGTTGCGACGAATGATGATACTGATACTCGCATCGTAACCATCCGGAATAGGATACGAGTTTTGGTTGGTTTTTGGGAAGTGAAAAGCGCGCTGCTGGTTACCAACAGGATAATCTGAGTCCTTCGTTTTGATATACACGCTAAGACAGCCCACTGTCTTTGTGCTGGAAGCGTAGATGGAAAACGACATCGACTCTGGCGTCAAGTATTGTGTGTCCACAGAAGGAGTCTGCTCCACAACTGCCAGAGAATATGTGATGGCGTTGATGTTCTTAGGGTCCATCATCCAGTCTGCAAGCTTTTCTCGCAAGCCAATAGAAATTTGGTCGCCAGACGGGTCATCTCCAGAACCAGTGTAGTCAATTCGATACTGAGACGAGCCTTCGTTGTTAAACTGGAATACAACGTGCAGTTTGGCGTCAGGATTATCATCAAAACTGATGACCTGATCTGAATTCTATGAAAATACATCGCTATTAGTCTCGGAGAAGATAAATAACCTATGAGGCAAAAATACGGTAGGGTCTGTGCCTGCTGTATCTCCTTCGACAGCTTTCACCGCTACCAAAGGCACAGTGGCCACGAGAACATATGAATTCTCAGGAATAGGTATGATAGGCATTTCTTCTCCGGTGTTTGGATTCTTTCCCTGAACTTGATGCGTGCCAGAGAGGGACATGGTAAGGGATGATTTACCATCAAGCGTAAAACTGAGTGACGGTGACCCAAGCTTCACGTCCCAATCGATGTAAAACGGTTGTTCGAATTGATCTAAGCTCGTAGTTGTGACTTTCACATTGGTTGTAGTAGAGTCAGTTATCCAGAGAGTGTGTAAGATGCCGTTGAGCTTCTCCACAGAGATACTGACGACGACATCCCAGAGATCAGTTGTGGAACCGGTCCGCACACCATCAACGAGGTCATCGATGGTAGGATAATGATCAAGGGGGTCGCTGCTCATGCTGGAAAGTCGTTCAGAGGTTAAGAGATATGAGGGCGAATAAGAGAGGTGAGGACAAAGTAAAGGGCAGACGTTCATCCCGTTTTATAGGCAGGCCACAGTAATTTTATTTTTTTGCAGTGTTTGCCCCCGAAGAAAATCGTACGTGTGGTGCATGTGCCAGTGTGCATATGGAGAATTCGTAGGAGACGATGGCGGCGAACTCCACGGCAGATAATCATAAAGATCACCTTCTTTGATGGCGACTAAGCGTTGACATAGGAGTACTGCAGCATGTATCGGCAAAAGAAATGAAGAAGTCACCAAACGATGGATTAGGTATGCTGAAGCTTACTATGATTTGCTGTCACGACTCAGGGAATTTGGCTACCGTCAGAAAACCAATCACAAACGTTTCCTTTCACGCTTTCATCAAACGGCGCTGAACCGAGTAAGAGAAGACTTCGACGGCGAAAAGGTGGACCAGGGGGGGCGGTGGAACCGTCAGATTAATAGCTTGTCAGCAATCGTTGGTACCAGTTAAACGGGTTGGGAAATGCACGACGTTTATGATAATTGGGAATTCAACTCGATGTTGGGTGAGATTGGCAAACACACGGAGAACAAACGTAGTAAGACATACCAGGACGTATCACCAGTATCGGTGGTAGTCATCATAAAGTATACATATGACGATACAAACTGTATAGTGATATGTTACTGTCCTTCTAGAATAAGGTGCGAATGAGTGGACAAACTACCTATAGCATGCGAAGTGACCGAACCCCCGGACTTGCTGATCGACAGCCCATGCACACCGGAGAGGCAAGAGTGCGACTAAGGCAGCGAAAGCCATAAACCTGGATACGCTACAAGAAATCTCCCGGACCTGCCAGTGTAGGATCCAGGTCTCCATTTCGAAAACCGATGGCACTTTTTTTCGGCGGGATTTTAGCTTCGCTGTATATTTTCACGTAACATGTAACGGTGAGCAGTTGGGTCCATATCTGCCCAGGAGGACCATGGCTAAGAAGGATTTAACAAGAACGACATTTGTGAAGTGAGGGTCCGGATTTTGATTTGTGTGTAAGCACTACAGTGACATTTTTGTATTAAAATGCAATTCATGATGTGACATGCTTACTGGTACTTACATTACATGCAAGGTAATAGGCCAATCAATCACTGTAAAATTGATGTCAAGTATTTTCGTCAGTCGGATCTCTTCTGGAGTACGGCTATGAACTTCGAAGCTTAAAATCGTTCCAAATTGACAATGGAATTACTGGTACGCAACGTTTCTGTTACCTAAAGCCGGGTCGGCATCAAAAGGTTACCGGTGATTTCCTCTTTAGTAAGCAAATATGCCTTGGCTTACGGGCTCTTGAAACCCGAAGTCCGGTTTTAATCGCCTTCAAATACTTGCAAGAAAGATCAGAAGTTTGTTATCGAAACCATAGAAATTCAGGCATATTCATATTCAGCTCCCCATTGCATCTCCAGGAATGTCGCCACAGACCTATACCCAAATTGTCCTACGTGAGCGACCAGTCGGCGATATCTTACCAGACACTTTCACCATCGAATCGAAACCGTTCGATGCAAAGCTCGATCCTGGGTCTGAACAGGCCCTCGTGCAGATCACATATCTCTCTCTGGACCCTGCGATGCGTGGTTGGCTGAGAGACACGAGAAGCTATATGCCCCCGGTACAGATCGGCGAAGTGATGCGGGCGGGAGGCTTGGGTGTCGTGGTCAAGGCGGGCGAAGGGAGCAAGTTCAGCGTTGGAGACCTTGTTTCGGGGACTTTGGGTGAGTATCTCAAGCATTCTGTGCATTTCGGCCTGTTAATTAATGCGAGTCGTTAGGTTGGACAGAGTATGCCGTTTTGCCAGACAAAAAGCTAACCAAGATCATGTACGTAAATGATCTCTATACACTTGATACGTTCTCATTCATCTCAGACCACCGCCTGGGACCACCGCCTTGGACTTCCTGAACACCCTTGGAATGCCAGGTTCGTTCTTCAGAATCCCACGTCGCGCATCCGCTGATGCTTCGACCCCCTCTCAGGAATGACAGCATATTTCGTGAGGCATAATCACGCATCCTTCTTTATCAAACTCACAACATATTCTAGGGACTGCACGATGTTGGTCAAATCAAAGCTGGCGAAACTCTCGTGGTTTCGGGTGCAGCAGGAGCAGTAGGTTCCCTCACTTGCCAGCTTGGCAAGGCAGTAGGCGCACGCGTCATCGCGATCGCTGGCTCGACCGAGAAATGCGCTTGGCTCGAACAAGAACTCGGTGTAGATAAAGCAATCAACTATAAGAGTCCGACCTTCAAAGAAGATTTCAAAAACGCCGTTGGGTATTTGGACGTGTTCTTCGATAACGTCGGTGGTGATATACTCGACTTTGCGCTGACGAGATTGAAGAAGGGCGCCAGAATTGCGCTCTGTGGTATGTTGCTGTTTTTAAAAGCAGAATTGTAGTGTCTTATCTATTTTAATTTGGGAATAGGCGCTATCTCAGAGTATAGTAAGCATACAAACAATCCTGACGCGCTGTGGTCCATCTAATTCTTCCCCAAGATTCAACGAAACCGAAGGGTCTTACGTCGTATCTGACGCTAATCGCCCAGCGCGCTAAAATTCAAGGTTTCATTGTGTACGTTTTTTTTTGCATGTTCTCCAGACTTCAATTAATTCGCTGAGATCGTATCACGTCCTTCACGTAATTCAGCTTTGATTACGAATCAGAATACCCTCGTGCCATCGCTGAGATGGCGAAAGCACTTGCTAATGGGTCCATAAAACGAAAGTTCCATATCGTCGAAGGGCTTGAGAACGCACCAAAAGCATTACCTATGTTATTCTCTGGTGGAAACACCGGAAAGCTGTACGTCCTACAGTTCTTGCTCGTGACTCTCGTGACCATTCGTCTGTACTGACGATATCTCCTCCTCAGTGTTGTCAAAGTTTCTGACGCCGAGCATCAAGCCAAACTATAGTTCATCTATGAGATACGTTATCTTGATATCCGCTCATTTCTTGGAATCGCCCCCAATCTCCCAAAGACAAGCAGTATGTAGGATAATAACTGTATTAGCTGTTGATAGGTATGAGCACATTTGCGTATTAACCAACTAAGGTATCCTCTCCATCAATTCCTTTAACAATCAGCATCGTATCTCAGACAAATAGGATAGGACCTCTCCTTGAACGAACTCGTGGCAAACCCTCCCAAAAACATTGAGCGGATTGTAATCAAACACGGGTGCCTGTGACTTCAAGCACCTGCGTGGCATCTTTCTCAAGATGTTCGTCCATATCATATTGCGAGGATGAGAAGTTGCCAGGTTGAAGACCACCTAAATAGCCTGGAGGTGCAAGGTCATTATCGTCGACATATTTTTTATGTGCGCTGAGATACTGTATATGCACAGGCGTCAACGCTGTGTGGGAAGATGGGAGAAGCCCGTCAGTAGTCTGGCATTTGCAAGGGAATGATGAGTGGGTGATACGCACTTCGAGAGGAAGAGCCCAAGAATGTCTCGTACACCAGAGCAGCAAGTATCGTCGCAGGGATATTGGTAAGAGCGGTGATAGCAGCATAACGACCTCCAGTGGCTCGTGTCCCCCAGATGGTCATCGCCATGAGACGAGCACCGATATCACGGCACGAGTTGGCAGCAACTGGAAGAATGAAAGTCGTCAGTGAGTGCTTGTTCGTCAGTGAGATTCGTGAAAATGGCATACGAGAGGTTGGCGAGTAACCCCAGACGGCGATACCGCTATAACATAACATTGCAATTGTGGATCAGAACGTTAGTAGAGTTCCGAGAGTGACATACTAAGTAAACCCTATGATCCATGGAGCGAAGGCGGGAGGTGCGAGGTGGTTTGTGGGGTCGAGGCATCCCCATATAACGAGACCGATAGCGAAATCCTAGAGGTATAGTCAGGTCAATATGCTATTAGCTAATCACAGCACACTCACGGTAACAAATTCATTGAGCAGTACTCGGTGAAGATTAGTCGTAGGAGAAACATAAAGTGCAAAGACTCCGGCGGGACCATTAGGTGAGAACATAACAGTATCGTACAGCCCCTTTGCTGACAAAACTTCCTCTGCCACCTACATCACTAGTGAATCAGATGTTTCTGTCAAATTTACTGAGAGACATACGTCAAGCAAGTCCTTCCATTGGACGTATATCACGAGGCATGCGATGTATGCTCCAAGAATCTGAGCAATGATGTACCTATGTGGCGGGTGCTGTTAGCACTCCGGCCTCGCGCTATGTGAGGCCTCGTGACCCCTTCCAAACGCACCTCCACGTTTTCCGCAAAGGGAAACCTTTGAAAATGGCAAATGCGAGAGTCACAGCTGGGTTGAAATGGCCGCCGGATGTCGCCCCGCAGATCGTCACTGCAAGGACGATACCGATGGAATATGCGAATCCGACCGTGTGCAAAGCTAAAGGATCGAAGGTGAGCACCAAATCGCCAGGGGGTGCCTTGACATGCTCAAATTTGAATTTGTACGTACAACCAAGTCCAGTTTGACCAGTGAGCGTCCCGACCACGAAGGAAGCTGTAGCGCCGACACCTGAGAACGTTCGTTTTAGCAGCCTACTTCTTTTAAAGAGTTCGATTCAAGTATCGGGACTGACCAGCGTACACGTAGAAGAAGACACCGAGCTGGTTAGACAATGTGAGTAGGGGAACGGGAGATGGGAGGGAAAGGCAACATTACCATCTCTCCCACCGATTCTGCGAGCCAATGGGCCTCTCTGTGTTTATACCTCTCCCAAGTAGTCATAAAGCGTGGTCTAGACTCTATGTCGCGCAGGTACACCGTAGGGGAAGACATATCGGTGGTGAAACTCGGCGAAGACGTTTGCAAGCTAGGGAGAGGGGGCGAAGAGAAAAGACGGTGCTCCAGAGAGAGCAGGGATAGGATGGCCAAGTTTTAAAGTCTCGGAAGGGGGGTCCCGTGCAATGGAGTCAGCATCAAGACTTCTGAGAATGAGATTTAAAGGGACGACGCCGCTGCCATCCGATCAGGGCTCCATGCATGCAACCGTGGCCTGGGGAATCCCTGATATGGTCGGCACCTGTCAGGCCAATATGGGGTATGTAGGACAGTACCCTGATGCCAATAATGTTACAGAAATCAATGTGTAAATGACAAGACTGATGTAGTACGTGAAGGCTTGGAATATCTGGTCCTGGTAACAGGACGCGTCGTTGGGCGCCAAGGGGTCATTGGTCGTCGTTACTGACGCTGTATGGAGTGCTAAACGGACGAGAGAGGTATAGATTTGCAGAGTGAACAGGTGGCATACGTGAAAGTTGTCTACAATTATGGAAAGCCCCATGACCGTCCTGGCGCGGCGCTCAATTGCAGCCGCTGGATGCTTTCAGTCCGAGCTTAAGGAAGCAATAATCAGACTGCAGCCGTCAGATGCCAACGCCCATTATTTCACGGGAGACTCATGTTACTTTTCTGTGAGGTTCGGTGGGAATGGCGACATAGGAGGATTTGAGGTTCGCTGTGGTCGTCGCAGCGAGTTCGTTCCATATCTCTTTTTCACTCTTTTCGCCCTCCTGAACCGCCACTGTCGCAAAGCCCATCCAGCGCTGGCACGAGTTCGCGACTCTGGGTTATATCTAGGTTTACTTGGACAATTGACGTTGACATGATTTGCCTTTCACTAAAGCGCGCGTGCACGAGTCAGCACGACAGCAGACTTGCCTCGTCTTGTGGACCGCGACGCGAACATAACTAGGGTGGAAGGTCTGCACGAACATGCGCGTGAAGCGTGTTTTTTTTTTTTCAACGCTAGCATAGCATACGAAGAACCAACGAATTTGACGGACGGACGTGGCGGCTGGATATAGCAGTGAGTTGCCATTTAACGCTGGCTGATACAAACGGTAATGTGCTTATCATTTCCTGCGCTCGGTGACTGGTCTGATTCGTCGCTGTTATCTCAGTTTTAACTCCCTCGCCTTCTTCTACGAAGCATGATGTACCCGTAGCGGAACATACGAGGATAGCTGGTTATCGGATAGTGAACATAAGGTAGCGAAGTCTCTTTCGAAGCTTACTTCGAACTGGAAGGAGCGAGTTGAGTACGCGTATTAGGTTGGCGAGTTGGTTTTCTCGATAGACTGCCTCGCATACGACAGAGCCACGTACGTCACGGGTATGCTTACCCCCAAATCCCATTTCTCTCCTTACCTACTTACCTTTTCTTTCTACAGGTATATGCTGACGAGATGCTTCTATTTTCTGCTAATATGTCGTCTAACATACTCCGTCTTTACGAATTTTACGGAGTTACACACGTTTGGGAAAGAAATATCCATTTTTGAGCTGGGCATCACCTTTACCTCCGTACTCAGGCCTCGGAGTGCGTTCTTCCTCGTCTCTTTTTCGTGATATAACAGACCATGGGTTATCGTCATCTTCTCTAAACGGCTACGCATCGCTCAGCATGATTGCTTTCGTTGTACTCAGTGCCACAGCTTGTTGATTGCTGCGTCATATATCGCCAGGACGGCATATGATTACCTCAAAGTCCCGTTTATCTCCCCACCCACTTATCTGTTCTGTCTGTACTGACGAAACACTTCTATCTTCTGCTGTCATGTCATCTGCCGTACGGGTTCTTTACGAATTCCATGACGTTACACAAGTTTAGGAAAAAGTCATCCTCTTTCGAATTGCGCATCATTTTTTACCTCCGTACTCAGGCCTCGGAGTACGTCTCTCATCTCGTTTTCGTGATATAAAAGACCAAGGCTTATCGTGCTCTTCTCTAAACAGCCACGATTCCTCAAGATGATTGCTCTAGCTGAACACAGTGCCTCATGAACAGCTTGTCTCGCTCGCTGCGTCACATATCTCCGGGGATCTACTGCGGCATACTCCCGCCTCGTCTATTCGGAGGCACGAAAACAAAAGTGCCTTGCATGTTCATGTTCAATGTTTCACAACCCAGATACCCGTGACGCTGTAGACATCATGCGCCATCCATGCAACAATCCTGTGTGCCATCTCCTTTGCCCTTCGCACTTCCGTTTCGACGCCCCAGGAGAAGATAAGCCCTCCAGTCCCCGCACATAGCCCGGTCGTCTTATTTCGTCGAGCTCTGGGAGATACGCCCCATAGATTTTCAGTTGTTTCGCCACCCCACATGTGGTCCTGCTATGCAGCGTCTGGGAGACACGACATCCGTGGTTGTTTGATCCCTGCTCCGTGCTCCGAGCACATAGAGGGCCGAGTTGCATTTTCAGGCGTTCAGGACCTGATTTGATGCGTTGGATGCGTCCTGCGCACCGGGTCTTGAAGTCGCCGAGGTGCTATGTCCTCGGGTCAAACGATTCTGGCCTTGGGGACCGTCGAGTCATGGCTTGGATTTTCTTTAAACTGGACGGTGCTGCTCACAACCTTGTATATCCTCCCTTGTTTCTTGCTGTGTGCCGCAAAACCAGGGTCCCGTGATTTCACGATATGGGCGTTAGGCACGTTCGTCTGTGTGTAGCGCCCAGTGTCGTTCTCGGTATTCGGTATTCGACATTCACCTCCTGATCCGTCGTTCTCGCAAGCTGGTGAGTTGTATGAGGGGAGGGGGACGTTTCGTGCTGTTTTTGCTGTGCCCCCTGCTGTGCTGCTTTTCTGCTTGCCTTCGTGCTCTTTTTCCTGCATACGATCGGTCTTGGACGGTGAATGGGTGAGATATGGGGTATATGAAGAGGCTGTAACGCATGACGTTGGACATTTCCGTGGTTGTCGAAAGTGTCGATATAGCGGCTGCGCCTGATCTTAGATTGAGATGAAGCACTGTGATATGGTTTGCTATTGAAACTTCATCTCTCGACTCTTACATTTGTTCTAATTTTCGTAGGTTGCCAGAAGATGATAATGTGTGGTATGTGCTACTTGTCATCTGACGGTGCAAATAAGTTAACCTGACTTGGTTGTAAGAGACCCCTTTGCCCCTGTCCCGATCACCGTTCGTTCGTTTCATGTTGAGGGAGTCATATGCAGGCTAATTATATCGGAGGCCATGTTTGATGGATATGGCAATGGTTGAGGTGCGCTGGATTTGGGAATGCGGTAGCCCGTTTCACAGGGGGCTGTACATTCTGTTGCTTTGGTACAGCTGGGATATGCGACGAGACAAGACAAGCGCCACGACGAGACTACTACGAGAGTGACACTACAAATATGGCTCCCTTGGCCGCCACGATGAGGGCTAGGGAGTGAAAAGAGGACAATGAAGACCAAAGATGGTATGCGCAGTTGCCTCGTTGTCAAGAAGATGGGTCTCGTGGTGTATCAATAAATAAAGGAATTGATGGGACTGCCTCCTGTGTTTCGAAGAGCGTGTTAGTTTGTGACGACTACATTGTGGTTTTAACAGCTTGATTGCGAGCAAGTGGGATGTTGTTTGTCGTTGGGGTGGCTCGTGTGCTGGGACCCCGGGTACAGCGTAGGGATTGAAACTCCGGGGAGAGCAGGAGAGTAGTAGCTGTAGTGCTGTAGTGCTTGTGCTGTAGCGAAATATAGAGGGATGGGGCTGTCAGGGGTCGCGTGTGTGGCAGAAGTTCCCGCGGGTACGGGTTGTGGTGTTCGGTGAAGAGCGAGATAGAGAGAACGAGTCTTCCCCGCTGTGTCCATTTCCTTCAGACGTCTTTTCTTCCTGACTCTCATCCTCAGACGCCAGCCAGCCCGGCCTTTCCTTTGTCTTTTGCTTTTATATCTCAAAACAGCGAGCAAAAAGTCTTGCTCTCTTACGCCCCGTAGTCGCGTCGTCCTCGCTATCTCTTCATTTCTTCTCTTTTCTCTCTTCCTTTCCTCTTCTTTTCTCTGCTATCTGCTTGTCTCTCTAGCTTTCTCTCATGGCGACAACTGCTCGTCAACCAAAGGCTCCGAGGAAAGGCGGTCAGGATTCTGCTGGCCGGTGCGTTTCCCCCTCCTCTGTACTTTCTCCTCCTCATCTCTCTTCTCTCAGTCGTCCCCCTGCTTGGGGTAGCCCTCGTGCTCCCACTTTCTCTCCAGGAAACACACCCGCTCGTCTCCCAAGCGCTCCCCCTCCCCCACCAAACCAAGGCGCATTCCCCCCTTTAAGTGGTCAGTCAAATGGCGCCCATAACCCACAAGACAGAATCCTACATGCTCTCTCAGGCCTCACCGTGAGTTTCCTCCTTGTACTCGCTTCACCCGTCATCTGTCGTTAAGACCTTCCCACAGGGCACCACCATAACCCTGACGACCAAAACATCACAGCGCTACGAAGGTGTCATTGCCTCTACAAGTGGCGAAGGCGACACCACTGGTGTCTCCCTGAAAGACGTCAAAGAACTCACAAAGCCAGGAGCACCGCTCAAAGATTCACTATTCGTCGCATCTACCAACATTGATACCTGGCAGTCTGGTCCAGCCGATGCCAAAGTACCCAATGGGGATTGTGAGCATCTTTCCACTCGTTGTCTCGCATCCTCTTTACGAGGATGCAGTTCATCATGCTGATTTGATCGATGCTGTACTTTTAGCATTCAGGACGGATACGGATATCAGTGCAAAGACCAAGGCAGGTCGGGAACGAGAGCTACAGGCGTGGCAACCAGGTGATGATACTCCAGGTTCACCGCCTGCTACGACGGCACAGTACGAGGGACTTGATGAGACTACTTTCGGGGCCGGAGCAGGCGCTAACTCGTCATGGAATCAGTTTGATGTCAACGAAAAGTTGTTCGGCCTCAAGACTGATTTTGATGAAAATCTATACACGACCAAACTTGATCGTACGGCAGCTGATTATAAAGAAAGAGAACGGAAAGCTTTGCTTATTGCGAATCAAATCATCAGTGTAAGTCTCCTTGTGTTTGGCAATTTTACCATTCATGTACATGTCGTTCTAACACCCTGTTGAAGGGTACTACAAACAATTCTCACATAGCCGAGGAAAGAAATATGAACGTCGACGACAGTGGTGTGAACGAGGAGGACAAGTACGTTCATATAAATTTCACTTATTGCCCTTTAATTTATGAATCGTAGGTACGGTGCTGTGGTTCGTGGAACCAACGCCTACGTACCTCCAGGTGCGCGAAAGCATGGTCAGCAAAGCAGCGTTGGTTCATCTGGCGCTTCAGGTGCCTCTGCGTCCAAGCCTGACATTCCTAAGGTGTCAATTAACGCACCAGATGGTGCAGTTCTTGCTCAGAAAGAAACCCCACCTCCTTCTGTCAAATCGCCTTCACCTGCTCCCTCGTCATCAAGTTCTAACAAGGTAAAGTTATCATTGACTTTTGACAGGATTGCTTTAAACGGGCATATTGACTTTGCACGCCCTCGTTATTTTATATACGCTTTCTTCCTTATCAGCCCCCTGCGGATCCTCTCCCAGCTTTCCGTGACTTTGTAACAAACGAGAAGCAACGCTTGACGCAAAAGAAGCAGGCACTGGTCAAGAGCGAAATGGACAAACGGAAGGCTGAGTTGCTGAAGTTTAGTCAAACATTCAAGGTTTGCGCACATTCAACCCTGACACCTCTCCCACGACTGCATCACTGATCAACTGATGTTTGCACAGCTTAACAAACCTATCCCTGATGATCTTGTCCCTATCCTTGCAAAGGATGAAGATAAGCAGCGACAAATCCGGGAAAGAGCTACGAAGGATGCTTCCTCTTCACAGGCGCGCTCTATCGGTATTACAACCCTCACCCCGTCTCCTAGTGCATCGCGTATGCCTCAGGTTGTGGCTTCACCTTCCGTCAAGGTTATACCAGACGCGAGTCGCAAAGCCGCCCAGGCGCCGAACGTTGTGCCAAAGGCTCCCACGCCCGCCCCACAAGCAGTAAAAGCCCCTGCCCCCAAACCGTCGGAGGCTTCGTCAAAAACGTCGTCTGGCAAGACAACCATCAGCATGTTTATTCAGCCTATACCGCCGTTCAAGGGCAGCAAATCGCGTTCATCGGTAACTTCTGGGACGTCGACTGCTCAGGCCAATGGGACTTCTGGTGGTACTCCGCCGGTTCCTACTTCACCTACTACAGCTGCTGCAAACCGCTTGAATGCCAATGCCTCCTCGTTCAGGCCTACCCCTAAGGCGTCTGCTCCCACTCCTGTAATCGTCCACCGCTTTGTGGGAATGTTGTCTGTATTGATTTATTCCGTGTAGGGTCCCACTTCTCCAATTCCCAGCTCTACTTCAGCGTCGGCTTCACCAAAGCCTAAACCCGCTGATACGGTATGCGCAGCAGTAGCTGATAATTATATAGTGCTAACTAATTTTGTGCAGACGCCAGCTGTACCCAACCCCTTCTTCGGCACAAAGGCAATCAAAAGAGGACCGGTGCACGTCAAAGACGATTTCAACCCATTCAAGCACAACAAGGTTGTCGAAGCATCCGCAGTAGGCAAGTCTATTCTTCCTTTTCATTCCTAGTTTGTCTTTCATGATGACGAGCAGCTTTAACAGCCGCAATGTGGCCATACAATGGCAAGCGTTACAGTAACATGTTCCCGCCTCTGCAACACCAAGCTCAGCAGCAACCAACGCACATGCCTCCCCCAGGCCCGCCCCCGATGCAGCATAACCCATATGAGGAGACTGGCGATCCACGCTATGTCTATGCTTATGCGCCATACTATCCTGGACAGGTTTGCTACTTTGGTAAATTTATTGAGTTTTTATCTGATAGTGTGACGGTAAAACTTTAGCCTATGATGCCTGGAATGGCCCCTCCTCCCCCTGGAGCTTATGTATCCGGACCTTTCATGCAACCGATGCCTTATCCCCCTGCGATGCCACCTCACACCAATGGTCAAGGTGGGCGTGTTCCAAAACGTGATCTCATCTGATTCGCTCATGTTTTTGCACCGTTACAGCCATGTATGCGCCATCACCCATGCCTCAGATGCGTAAGTCGTTGTACTGTGACTTGAAGCGAGTTTTGAGCTAAATTTGTTTTAACGACGTAAGCATACATGCAACCACCCCCACCTGGCTCATATCCTGCGCCCCCCAACGGTGCAGGGCCACGACCGTCTATGCCGCCGACGCCTATCCCGGCTCATGCTCACCCATACTATCACCAGTCACCTCAAAGTACGTTGATGCTGCTGTGCATTTGTTATGTTGTGCTAATGATATCTGCTTTATAGTGCAACACGCTGTGCCATATCCTATGATGATGCCGCCACCGGGAGGACCCAACGGGCCGCCACATCCATATGACAACTCCGTACCCCCTGTACAAATGGGCGGTGTGGGCCATGTGTAGTGCACGGATCCCGTGGTCACATGCGCCCCGTTCTCAACGAGGAGAGAGAGATGGTTATGCTTTGTTGTTTGTGCCAGAATCCAGGCTGTTCCCCTGATATCTTTGTGTACCTACCATCATTAGCTCATTGTTGTTGTTGTTATTGTTGTGGATTCGGGACGCAACGGAAATCATAACCAGACATCCACCCCTCTATGACTATTATACAATGAAGTGAGATACAAAGGAGTGTACGTTCTGGCAAGTCTACCCCCTGTCATCGCGTAAATAGCGAAACCTCGATCTTCTTCAATAGACCCTTCAGTGAGTTGGTGCTACGGTTACAGTTGCTCTGTAACCATATCTCCATCTCTTCCCTTATTTCCCCCAGCTCTGCGCAAATCGGCAATTGCTCATCTGGCCGTACGAGACAGGGGTTTAGCAAGATATCAAACAAGGCTGTCCACAGCTCATTCTGCCAGTACCGCTTGAGAGGGGTTGCAATCTTGTACCTCGGACTCGATTCAGGCGAAGACGATGGAACCAAGGTTACCGAGGCGCTTTCGATATATTTACCGTAGAGCATGCAGTAAATGATACCCGCTAGCCCAAAATAATCGGTTTGATAAGTCCACGGTCGGTTCTCCCGTATCTCCAGGCAGTCCCTTGCATCCGTCGGCCAATCAGCGATGAACAACTGCTTGGAGGGGAACAAACTGGTATCGATCGCTCGGCCAAAATCTATCACTTTGATCCCCTTGTACTTCCATCCACCTTCTCCTGATGGTTGGTAGATACCAGATAAAGTGGATGCACCTCCAGGAAGGTCCTCTAGGCGGAGGAGACAGTTGTCGATCTTGAGGTCTCCGTGAATAAAACCAGCACTGTGCATCCCTTCCAGAAAGCGGAGAAGTTCGATGGTGAAAAACATAACGAGCAGCTCATCAAGACAAGCCCCTTGCTGTGAGATTCCGGCTGAACCAGCACGGTTGACAATATCTAGTAGCGTGCCTTGCGGACACAAGTCAAGTAGCAAGTAACTCTCATCTCTGAAAGCATAGAGGGTATGGGGAAGGACAATAGAACGGCGTAGATGCTCAGGCAACGTTTGATGGATCCTTCGTAACGCATGGAATTCCCAGAGATTTCGTGGTCTCACAATCTTGAGAGCAATCATCGCTCCCTCATCGTCTTCATCTTCGTCGTCGTCGTCGTCGTCATCATCATCTACCGCCTTTATGCTTAAATCTCGCGCGGCGAAAACGGCTCCGAAACCGCCTTCGCCCAGCTTTTCCACCACCTTGAATTTCTTGTCTTGCAGCACAATCGTAAACCCATCCATTAAATCATCATCCATCCCTCTGGCGCTCGATCCACTTCCTCTTCTCCCCTTCTTCTGCGCAAACTTTTGAAGCCCATCCAACATCTTCGCCTCTTGAAACCGTAGGTCACGAAAACCATTATCCTGAGGAAGCATGGAAAGCAAGATGGACATAATGGCAGGGTCAAAGGGGTTGCATGGGTTTGGTGGTCTAAAGGATGAAGCAGCAGCCAAAGTATCCGAGAAGCTCAAAGTGCCTGTCCTCTCCTCAATCGCTTCTAGCTCACCGACGGGTCCTTCTGGCAGTTGGAGGGAAGCGCCTGGCCTATCGAAAGACGCAAATGATGAATCGGACTCAGCATCATATGCGTTTCCTCCTTCACGCTCATTTTCTTCCCGCAGCTCAGCAGCCAAACGTTCAGCTATTTGAACCGCATCGCTTTCTTTTGGAGTCGGGAAGCCTCTCGTACTGCTGGTAAACTCAAACGTCCGTTCTGTAATAGGTGTCATAACGTTGATTCGCCCAAACCGCCCGCCTAATGGCTCACGATAGGATTGCAGCTCTCCTTCTTCTTCGAATTGCTCACTCTGACTATCTCCCTGATCCTCACTGGACGAAATGGGGGGTTCCTCTCCTTCTTCGATAAACTCTTCCTCGTACTGTTCGTCGCTTTCTGATGTTCCTTGACCAACAGACGCATTGTCAGCGCTATCACTCGACACATCTCTCGGTATTTCGAATGCTGGTTTTTGTCCCAGGGGAGCCCGATTGGTGGACTTGCCTAAGCTTTCACCCTCGTTATCTACGAAAGGCTTGAACGCTCTGGGTTTCGGGGTGAAAACAGCTCCGGCACCTCTTGGATTTTCATCGACATTCTCGTCACCCGTTTGAGTAGGGGGACGACTAAATACCTTAAAAGGCGTTTTGTTGTCAACGAAGGGTATGAAGACGGAAGGAGGTGCAAGGACATCTGCTTCCTTTGGAGCTTGGAATACAGCAAAATTTTCGCTTGCTGGCGGACTTGTCTTCGAGTCTTCGTCCATTGATGGTCTTGTAAGAGGTTCCTTTTGTGAAACAGGCGTGAACACCCTAGAGAATACATTGCCTCCATTGGGATTTCCCTCTTCTGATAACGGCTTCAACATGTTTGACGGTTTAAGTGCATCTGCATTGGGAGGTGTGCTTTCGTCGGCAGAGGGTTTTCCCCGAAGCGCAGAAGTAGGAAGCGCTGAGTCCTTTACAGACAGACCTCGCCGGCTAACTTCGGGAGTAACGAATGTCTGTTTAGGCTGTTCAACATCCACGAACGGTTTGAACTGAGGAATATATTAAGCTATATACTAGGGACGTGCTCATGCAAGTGTACGTACCTTGGGAATAGAAGTTGCCGGATTTTCCTTTCGATTAGCATTCTCGTCGACAAACGGCTTAAAGGCAACTATGAAAGCAGGATATTATGCTCATTATTGGAACAATGATACACTCTAGTGCTCACCAGGGGTTTTCGCATTTTCATTATTATCCGTATGAGCCGGTGGTGGTTGTCGTATCATAGGCGTAACAGGTTCAATCTTCCTTACGGGTGCATGCTTGCTACCAGGCATCATACGCTTCACGGTCTTGTCAGGTGAGTTATACATTCCAAACACATCCGCAAGTGCTTCTTTTGTGTTGATGGTGACAGTAGGCTCCGCACCACCCACTAAACTCCTTCTTCTTCCCGTACTCATATTCTGCGTAGACCTGCCGCCATCATCATTGAAGTTGACGCGAATGGCGGATGCAGACGCGTTTCGCATTTCAGAAGGTGGTGGAGGTCCCCATTTCTTTCCAAGGAGCCCAATTGAACGAGCACGAACCTCAGCAGCGCTATATTCAACGCCTTCTGCGGTGAATAACAAGGATAAATTGAATCGCAGCTTCTCGGGTCTTTTTCCAGGGACGGGCGGTGCCAACATCGGTGCATATCGATCATGCCCTGGGCTTATAGATATAGATGGAGGTGCTGCTGAGGACGAGGCGTTAGTATTAGGAGATATTGTTGAGGCAGAAGAGCTATGGTTCTTGAATGGATCACGACGAAGAGCGTCTATTTCGGAGGAACCACTAGGACGAAATGGTGCCGCAACAGGAAGTTTAGATGACGAAGGCCGTGCTTTGAACTCTTGATATCGTCTCTTCAATCTTTCTATAGGACGAGCATGCCTAGATATTCCAGCTTTAAAAATCTTCTCTGCTTCAGAATGTCTGATGAGCAATAGAATGATACGTGCCACATAGAATTGGGAATTACGTTAGCTACTAAAACTTTATGCAAACGTGTGAAGACGAACCGTCCCTCTTTTTCCAGAGCCAATGCATACTCCTCATACAGCAACGCATATATGCTTCCTATGCCATTCGCGACGAGAAACGCGTAGACTCTCGCAGGTTTCTCCACTTGCTTCGCATAACATGACCATTGCTTCAAATATCGAAGATCCCCTTTGTACCTTGGATCGTCTCTGAATTTCCGTGTTGCTTCATCCAACAGCTCTACTAATCCAGATGCAGGATCTTGCTCGCCGTAATGCTGTAGTGTGTACTTGATATAATCATCATACGCTGCTAGTGGGTCTTCATCCTCCTCCAACGCTGTTACTATAGATTGACGGAATTTCTGGTGCTCCATGGAAGATCCTTGTGCACGTCCCGGGGCCATGTAGCTGATTTTCAAAGACTCTTGAGTTCTGCCTACCTTCGACTCAAACTGGAAGCGAAGTTCGATATCTGTTGATATGTGTTTACCTGCGCGACGCGCTGAGATCACGTGTGTCAAAGTCACACCTGGTCACTGTCTGGGAGTGACTCGATGATTCAAGTTAAACGACTGGAAGTGCCAGTGTACACAGCCCGAGAGTCCAAGCATCGAATTAATATATGCCGAAAGCTGCCGATCGGACCAGCATGTCAAGGTCTGAAAGCTCTCGACACAAGCCAGGTGCAATAAAGTTCAGTAACATCTGATTAGTATTAGGACTTCGATTCAGTGATGTTTGTCAAAATATTTAGTAGATAATTCTTAGAAATATCTGTATTTCGGTAGCCAGGGGTTACAAACAGGTTGGAGTGAGTATGTTACCATATCATATCTGTTTTGCTAAAGCTATATTCATATTGATGGTTGCATTTCAATCAAGTTAACGTCTGAGTCTTTGAAATTTTAAGGCCTGAAGTAAAAGGTAACAAATGCTGTAACATTTATGAAGAGAACCACTTTGATGTTACATTGCAATTGAAGTACATAAAAGAATAACAGAAAGTACAACACCCTTGAACTGATCTCCAATAAACTAGTTTACATGTGCGAAAAGCGGATGAGAATACATAGTAGAAATCAAAAACTGAAATCTAATCCATAAGTGGGCAGCACTGTGTCTACAAGTAGAATTTGGTACAGGACAACCATGATCAATTTCATCGTCAAAATTGTTGTCATTGTCAGCAGCATTGTATCCATTATCCTCCCATTGTGCCAAGACAGAATCATCATCAACAGACATCTTCATGTTACGCTGCCCTATACCAGACATCCACTCTACAATAAAGCGACCTTCAAGAGGAATCCGGCTGTCCCAGGCAGGCCAGTCACCCTGTGGGAATGTAGGGTAGGCAGATACAAACGCAATCAAAAATACATCTAAGCCCCAGTTCCAGATATAGGGGCTTTGTTTCAAACCAAAATCAATCAGCCAAGATTGAATGCATAGTATCAATTTCATCCAAGAACTATATTCAGTGAAATCACAAGGAGGGAGAGAGGGGCAAGAAGGAAATGGGAATATCTGGAGGTGGCGATTGCCTAGCAATAATAGGTGCAGGGGAAGCATTTGAGTTAGCTTCATCCTAGAAACCAAAAATTGTTAAAATAGTGCTTACAACAAATATGAGCACTCACAACAATGTCACTTGTGAATGATATATCTTGACATTGAAGATCACTGGGAGAATGTTGGTCATTCTCAGAGAGAGAACTCTAGGAAATGGTTAGATATTGATGAATGATGGGTGTAGATATCTAATCACCAGTTTTGAAACCTCAGAGTATCCAGCATCTATTAGAACATGCATTTCATGGGGTGAATGTTCGGTGGAGGGGGCTCCAGAGCTTTCTTGAATTATGGGCAAGGCAAATACAGCATATTTCTCGGGAAGATGCACAGACATATACACTGGCTAGAGAATGCTATTGGTAAGTAAAAGGGTGAGAAATCAGAAAAACGGCCTCACAATGTTTTGAGTTGCAAGTGCAAGGGGGAGATCTCCTACAACAGATATCTTCAAATTTACAGAACGGTAATGATGCTGATTATTGCGATTCAGAGAGTGAGATGGGTTTGTGTAAACAACTGAAGTTGTCAATGACATTGTGACTGATGAAAAGTGGAAGAAAGCTTGCTGTGGCGCAGCTCGAGAGTGGTGCTGTCTCTTGGTGTCCTGTACTTCCCAGTGCCCAGTCCTGAGGCCCACACTTCACCCTGATGATCAGCATTTACTCAACATTGTGGCCAGTATGGCGGAGCAAGGCCATGCATACAACAATGCATTCTACACGAGGCCTATGCGATAAATGAGCATGAATACAAGACTGCGTACTACTCAATTTCTTACCCTTCATGCCCAAAGTTGCAGTATCACGGTCAGGGGAGTCCAAATCCACAAGCAAGTTCTTTTTACAATGGCGTAAAACTGATAAAAATGACCTGCAACAGTTTATGAGCACTTGCTGGGCACAAAATGTGTTCGCTGTCTAGTATGCCCCCATGCCTCCGATCTCAAGTCAATGAAGGAGAGCCACATACTTCAACACGAACAATCACAAAAACACCAGGATAGTCTGAAAAGCTACCTTGATCAGCAAAGCTTTGACGGAAATCCAATATCTACTCCAAATATTTTCAACCTAGATTCATTCAACATATTCCTTCAGCCAGACGCACTTAGATCACAGATCAGTGATGCAGCTTCTGGCCACGTTGAATCTACGGGACTGTCTATTACAAATCATGACATGGTTGAACGTGAACAACGTGTATTGGTTCAGTCGCCAGAAGATACTCCTATGGTTATGTTGGATGGTTGTGGCACAGGTGATACACCTGTTCCTTTGGTTGACCTCTGGCCATATGAGCATGATAGTCACATTTTGGAAAGTAACGAGACCACTGTGGACCTATTTGAAGAGACCATACAAGCCTCACAAGATCAGGATGAGCTCCCCACTATACGGGGTGTAACCAATAAAGAGCTTGAAGACTTTGACATAGGAGGCCAGTATATCAACAAGGATGAATCAGATGGTATGCACCCTTTTCAAGAGGCTCAGGATATTAAACTTACCCATCATCTAGACGACTATCTCCAAATTCCTATAATTCGTCACATACAGCATAGGGTTTCAACCAAATCCCCAACTTATCCTTGACTGTCCATGCAGGTATTATCATTTTAACTCATCAATTCACTGCTTCTTACACAAATACAGATGTATCTCACTGACCTATTGTTCAGCTCTCCCAGATTGCAATTTTCTGAATCAGAGAAGTCTGCAGTTTTGAAATGGGCAACAGAGATGGGGGCGAGGAAAGTTCCATCACTTGCAGCTCTGAAAAAATGCCGGAAGGAGATCTCTGAGGTCATTGGCAATCCCACAAAGAAGGTGATATTATCATCTGGCACCGTATTCTACATAAACAATGTTGCCAGTGCCATTATGAAAGTGAGCATCTTCTGAACTTGCATAAAAATACACATGGTTTATTATGTTCTATCTTTTTTTTTATTTAGGATTTTTCCAATCCGGTCACCCGTTTAAATATGCAAGATTATCCTGAAGAGGGAGGTGATGGGATGAGTCAAATCTTTCATGGACGTAAAATGCTGCTTGATGTGCCTCCAGACCGGGTCTCACAGAATGTCCGCCTGAGTGGCAAGTTATTTTATATACATGAACTCCTGCAGTGTGCCTCTGGTGCATACTTTATCCCTGAACGGTTTTACTATGCGTATCCCCCATTGGACGGTGGGAACAGCCCCACAAAAGAGCTCTATGCTTTAGGTTATGACGTGACTGAAACAACAGTAAGTTCAAGTTGTTCCTGCACAGTGCATTGTGATGGAATAACTTGCTTTTGTAGTCAGGATTTCTCGTCAGGGACACCAGAGTGACAATTCCAATCTCTCACTTCCAGAGTTCTTATGAGGACATCCGTAAGAGAAACTTGATTCAATTTTCAGGTCAGTCAGACATCATTCAACACGAGACGCTGTGGATACATGCTAATTGGTAATGCAGATTGTTCAAGTATATGGACATCTAGAATGCCCAACCAATTTTGTACTGAAGCCCCTGGCAAGATGGTCTACAGTATACCTTTGATAGTGTTTATGGACGACGTATCAGGCAACATTTCAAAAGCTTGGAACAAACACTATGTCATATATATGTCAAATGCTAGCATGCCCCGTGAAATGCTCCAAAAGGAGTTTAATGTTTATTTTGTCACTTCTTCCCCACACACCAGCCCTATGGAGCTCATGAAAGTGATGAAAGATTCAATTGAGTTCGTTACATCACTTTTTTTACAGACATTATATACTAATCATCTTAGTCAACCAGAGATGCTGTGTTGACTGGAATACCAGTATAACGACTGAGTTGCACTACTGGAAGAAACCAGGCAACTCAACGTCAATCTCTAGCAAGTAGTTGAACAAGTGTATAAAGACGAAATCAAAAGCTAAGGTATGTACATCGTTGAGTGTCTACTTATATATGTAAGAACTCATGTCAGTCATGAGGCGCTGACTGATAGACATGAGGATGTATCGTGTTTAGCTTGGTAAGATGATTCGTAAGTGATCATGTGATCTGGGGTCACATGATGAGATAAGAAGATAAGAAGATAAGATAAGGAAGACTATATGATAAGATAAGGAGAAATGAGTGTTTCTACGTCAGAGTTGGAAATGAAAGGTGAAGTGTTAGGTGTAAAAGAAGAGGATCGTGACATTACCCCCCCTTTAGGACTTTCGTCCCGAAAGGTTGGATCAAGTTTGCCATTTTCCCAGTTAAATATCCTATGCTTGTGGGAAAATTCTGTAAAGTTTTCGAACGGTTGATAATGAAGTAAGAAATTGATTCGGCGTGGAGCGGATGGGAAGTGATCATGGAAGTCTTTGACTAGTTCTGGCGAATTTTTGACATTTCGCTCAGGTTCCCATGTTCGTTCTTCCTTTCCATATCCTCTCCAATGTACCAAATATTCTAACCTGCCACGTTTCAATCGTGAGTCAAGTATCTGTTCTACTTCGTATTCTCTTTGTCCGTCAACTTCAGCGGGGGGTGGAGGTTTTGGTTTCTTTTGACCAGGAAAAGTTGGTTCTTTATAGGGGTGGAGGATTTTTTCATTGAATACTGGATATACGTTTTTCCATTTTCCGGGTAGTTTTAGTTTGTAAGCGGCCGGTCCGGTTTTCTTTTCGACTACAAATGGTCCATGTCGTTTGTCATCCAGTTTCTTTGATGGTCGATCAGTTGTGATGTGTTCGGCTTCTACATAAACCTTGTCTCCTGGTTTATATTCAAGACTTTCCTTTTTCGTTTTGTCATATGATCTCTTCATAATCTCGGCTGCCTTTACCAGAGATTTTTCAGCTTCTCCCCTCGTTTCTTTCATCCTTTCTACAAACTCTTCCGCACTCTCACTCTTCACTCCTTTCCTGGTTCCTTCTACTATTTTTGGGTGTTGCCCATTATTTAAATAAAAAGGACTGAAGCCGGTAGCTGAATGTTCTTTATTGTTATAGGAAAACTCTGCTAATGGTAACCAGTCTGCCCAATCGTCTTGTTTATGGTTAACAAAGATTCGGAGATATTGTTCTATCTCTTGATTAATCCTCTCTGTTTGACCATCGGTTTGTGGATGATAAGCAGTTGACGGGTTTCCCTTTATGTCTAGCATTGTGTAGAGATCCTTCATAAAATTAGAGACAAATTGAACTCCTCGATCTGAGATGATTTTATCGGGTAATCCATGAAGTTTAAATATATTGTCTCTGAATAGTCTCGCTACTCCTTCTGAGTTCAATTCAGCATGTGTCGGCATAATTCTGATCATTTTTGAAAAGCGATCAACAACTACCATGATAGTGTTGTAACCCCTTGATTCTGGTAATGGTCCTATGAGATCCGTTGATATGATTTGCCAGGGGCGGCTTGGAATCTCATTCGGATGTAACGGTGCGGCCTTTTTTTGATGATCTGTTTTTGTTCTTTGACAGGTTTCGCATCCGGTTACGTATTCTTGGACGTCTTTGTCCATATATGGCCACCAGTACCATCGGGTAATCAATTCCTTTGTCTTATACCGGCCTGGGTGGCCAGTCATTGGGGAATCATGATTGTCTCTGATGATCGTTTCTCTGAGTTTTCGGTCTTTTGGGACATACATGCGACCTTTGAAGTAGATGAGTCCTTCATCAGTCCACCAGCCGTCTTGGCGGTTGTCTATCTTGTCCTTGACCTTTTGAACGAGTTCGTCAACGTTGTTCATCCTTTTATGAATCCATCTTGTGATCTCTATATTTTTGGCATCGTCAATTGCTATCTGTTGCCTTTTTTCGTGTGATAGAGTCATATTGATAGAGAACAGTTCTGGTTTCAATAAGGTAACATTTTCGTTATCATTCTTTCCCTCATCGTGGTCTGATCGTCTGGATAATAGATCGGCTTTGATGTGAGTGGCGCCTGGCTTGTGATGTAATGTGAAGTGATAATTGGCCAGTTCGCTAACCCATCTTGCTTGCCGTCTATTGAGCTTCTGAGGCTGTTTAAAATATGTTAGGTTCTGATGATCTGTCCAGATCTCGAACTCTTTTGCGGCGTCCATTAGGTAATGGCGCCATTCCTCTAAAGCTGTCATAATGGCCAATAGTTCTTTATCATATATCTCGTAGTTTCTTTCAGTTGGGTTGAGAGATTTAGATAGATAAGCTATTGGCTTCCAGACCTCATTCTGTTCTTGAGAGAGTACTGCTCCTAGAGCATAGTCGCTACTATCCGCTTCTACTCGGTATTGACCGTCATTGGTCGGGAGTGCTAATACGGGGGTTGTGCTTATCCTTCTTTTTATCTCTTCGAAGGCTTCCTTTTGTTCTTTTCCCCATATGAACTCTTCTTTACCGGTCAGTTTAGTAAGCGGTTTCGCTATTGATCCGAATCCTTCGATAAACCTTCTATAGAAGTTAACGAATCCTAAAAAGGCTTGCACATGTTTCTTTGTTTTGCATTCCGGCCAGTCTAGGATTCCCTTCACCTTAATCGGATCCATGCGGATTTCGTTTTCCGAGATGATTAATCCCAGATATTCTGTTTCTGTTTCCTCGAAATCGCATTTTTCCGGTTTTAGGTATAGATGGTGTTTTCGTAAGATTTGAAGTACACGTTGCGTCATTGCTCGGTGTTCCTCTATCGTCTTCGTGAAGATCATAATATCGTCCAGATAGATCACTACTTTTCCTTCATCAATTAGATCTCTGAATATAGAATTCATCATAGTTTGGAATGTAGCTTGTGAATTCGTTAATCCAAAGAACATTACTAACGGTTCGAACAAGCCGCGATTGGTTCTAAACGCAGCTTTGTGTTCGTCTCCTTCCTTGATCCGAATGTTATTATATCCCCATCTTATGTCAAGTTTTGTGAAATACTTGGCGCCTCTGAGCTTGTCTACAAGTTCATTAATCAGAGGTAATGGATATCGGTTTTTGATGGTGATTTCATTTAATTTTCGGTAATCTTGTACAGGTCGGAGTTTGCCGTCTTTCTTTTTGATGAAAAAGAATGGTGAAGCGATCGGAGATTTGCTGGGTCTGATGCGTCCTGAGTCCAAGTTCTCTTTTAGGAATGCATCTAACTGTTCCTGTTCTCCTAGTGCTAATGGATAAACTTTACAGTCTATCGTGTGATCGCCTGGTATCAGTTCGATTGCATGGTCCCACTGTCTTCTTTCAGGGAGGGCGTCAAATTCTTTTTTGTCAAAGACATCTTTGAATTCATGAAGGTATTTTGGTACAATGCCTTCGAATCCACCTGTTTTCTGGTCTTTTCCTGCTGCTTCGGCAAGCTGTTGTGCAGTTGTGCCGTGAGCGCGGATATGGTGCATGACGTCAGGAATAGATGTGTCTTCAATGTTTAAGAAGTTAAATTGGATAATTTTATCCCCCTCTTCAAGATTGACCTCAGGGCAATACATTTCTAGATCTTCTTCAGGATCAAAGAATCTTACCATCATGTTGCAGTCTGATGGACATCTGTTGAAGTCTAAATTTGACATGTTCCAGTCTACCGTAGGATTGTGTTTCTTTAACCATTCATGGCCTAGGAACATCCTGCCAGTTCCAAGATTGGTAACGGCTAGCTGGAGTCTTTCGGCATGGTCATTAATTTCCACCAATATTTCTACGAATTCTTTAATACTGCCGTCTCGGTTTAGAGTGCCGTCAGCATTGTATACTGGAATTGGTCTAGGGATTCTGTGCCTTTCATATCCCTGTTCTTCAACAAATTTGTTATCTATACAACTTCCGGTACAGCCACTGTCTAGTAATGCTTCAATCGTCGTTGATTGATGGGATGCAAGGTTTGTTAGTCTGCAGGTGATGTTCATCTGGTTTCCCTGAGTGCCTCTAATGAATTGCTTAGGCTTTTTCAGTTCTTCCAGTGCTAATACCGTTTTGTGAATTGGTAAAGCATTTAATTCTTTTATCAAGTCTGCGTTGACTTCCAATCCTCTTTTTCTGTGGGTCCAACTACTGAGAATACCAATAGATCTTTCTTCCTTTTGGTCTCGTAGTCTTTCCGCTATCCAGGCAGCTGTCCATGGTGTTTTTTGATTCTTTTTATCTAGGTTTTTATCAGAGGTGTTCCTGACCTCTTTAGAGCTGATCGAAGCATCAGTTTCGGTTACGCTACCCAATTGAGTCGTAACATTCTGTGCTTCAGTTGTCTCCTTTGTAGTTGCTGCGCTTTTCGTGGTCCTTTCCCCTTTAGGTACCTCGTGCGCCGCATCCTTTGCTGCGCCTTTCTCTTTCGAGTGCGCCGCTTCCTGTGCTGCGCCTTTCTCTTTCGAGTGCACCGCATCTTTTTTGGGAATCTTTTCAACCCGTTTCCCTTTCAGGTTCTCCTCTTTACTAGATTGTTCCTTACGTTTTAAGTCTTGTGCATCTTTGAATAAGGCAATATCATTTTCATCGTTACTGGTACATGTGGCATCAAGATCTTCAACGGTTAAGGAAGCATATCTATTTACAAAGTCCTTTGGCACAGTCTGGTGAGGAGTCACAGCTGGCCTTCTTAAAAACCCTGGAGTAAATTAGCTCGTTCTTCTTCCGGCATTGCTTCTAACATTGCTCGGAGGTCGAATTTGGGTTTCTGTGGTATTTGTCCATTTAGATGGTCTCTGGCTCTATGGCCCTTCTCTCCGCATTTGAAGCAGCGTCCTTCATTTCGGAACTTCTGCTTGTCCAATTCCATCTCTTTTCCGGCTCCGGTGTATAGTGTACCCGTGCCGTCTTTCTTTGCTTCCACCGTCTCGGTCTTCCTCTCCGAAGCACCCTTCTCTTGGTATCTTCCATTGGGTCCCCGGTTCCCTGTACCGGAGCTGCCGCTGGTTGATCCTCTCAACATCCGCTCGTTTTCTACTTGGTCTCGCCACAATTGGTCGTTTGTGACGATCCTTGTTTTCCACTCCGTATACGTTGTGGGAACGTTTCCACTATAAATGATCTGCTTTATGAGCGGACCATTTATATTATTCCTGACTAGCGTTATCAGGAATTGTTTGTTCCGTTTGGTATCGTAGCCGGCCCGTCTTCTTAACTCTTCGAATTTTACAAAGAACTCCTGGGCCGTTAGGGTTCCTTGTTTTTTGTATATGATTTCATATCTCGCTCTTTCTTCTTCGTGTGTGTCTGAGAAATGGTCTTTGAGAGTCCTCTCAAAGTGAGCCCAGCTCTCTAAGAGGGTGATCTCTCCTGCATCCGACCTTTCTTCTGCGATCTTCCTCCTCTCTACCCACTCTGTTCTTAGGGCCGCTGCTGCCCCTATATTCATGTAGGATAAGGCGAAGCTTATCCGGTTCCTTTCTCTGGAGAAGTATGCCGAGTTGGCATTGAAATGGAGTTCTAATGACTCCGAGAAGCTTCGAAACTTTTTTTTGTCTCCGTCATAAGGTTCCGGCTTTGCTAATGCCGTCTTCCTAAACTCTGCTTCTTGTGCGCGTGGCAGGCCCATCCCTGAAGGCTGCCTCCTTTCGCTCTCTGCGAGCCTTCTGCGCAAGTCTCTTACTTCTTCGTCTTTCAATGAGAATCTCTCTTCCCATAATTCGTTGTTGTCTGCGATCGCGTTGTTGACCGCCGCCAAGATGATGTTCTGCAGGTTCTGCATTTGCTGCTGGTTGGTTGCCGGCGATGGTGCGCGCGGCTGAATATGCGGTAATGCGTCCCGCAAATCTGACATGTCGGTGCTCTCGGCCATGTCTGGGTTCTCTCGATATGTGTCGTAAGACATTCAGGGATGATGTAGGGGATGGTGATAGGAATGATAAGGTGGGAGTGATTCGTTCTTGTTTTATGGTCGGCCCGGGATAGGGCAGAATCGGGATCTGATAGGAGTATGGTGCAAAGGGCATTCAAAAAAGGTTCCCCAGATGACAAATCTGGATCAACACTTCTTTAATGAAGATCCCTTTCTCTGTCTAATTCTTTCTGCTTATGGGTTCCTCTTCTGTCCCCACTAAGCGTGTACGTAAACTATCTAATATAGTACCAGTGTTCTAATTGTATCGTAATCGAGGTCCGAACGGTTGTCTCGATGATGGCCCGCGTTAACCGCTGTCAGCCCTCTTCCTACTGGCGGAGGCAAGTGCCCGGCCCGGTAAGAAGTATAAAGAAGTTTTATGTAACTAATAGAACCTTAGCGACTCCACGTCACTAAGTTCTCTAAGTACGGGATTGTGGGGGCGGATGATAGGAGATAGAGGGATGGTTTCGAAAGATGAGTTTGATGGTGATGATTGGATGAATGTGATTATAGTGGATGGGCGAGTGATAGGTGATGTGATTTGAGAGAGGGGTGTGGTGAGGCGAATGTATAGTTTGAGTAGAACGAAGAATAGGATGATGATAACGGGGGTTAGGATGATGATGAGGATAGCCTTTGTTTCTGTCATCAACTAGGTGCTCTTTACTAGCTTTTGATTATATAACGACTGAGTTGCACTACTGGAAGAAACCAGGCAACTCAACGTCAATCTCTAGCAAGTAGTTGAACAAGTGTATAAAGACGAAATCAAAAGCTAAGGTATGTACATCGTTGAGTGTCTACTTATATATGTAAGAACTCATGTCAGTCATGAGGCGCTGACTGATAGACATGAGGATGTATCGTGTTTAGCTTGGTAAGATGATTCGTAAGTGATCATGTGATCTGGGGTCACATGATGAGATAAGAAGATAAGAAGATAAGATAAGGAAGACTATATGATAAGATAAGGAGAAATGAGTGTTTCTACGTCAGAGTTGGAAATGAAAGGTGAAGTGTTAGGTGTAAAAGAAGAGGATCGTGACAACCAGCTTATGACTGTAAAAACAATGAAGAAGTTGTTCTGCGCCCCCTTGGCCTCTTTTTTGCAGGCAATAACCCAATGCAGGCTGAGGAGTGTAGCCAAGCTGACCTTACCTGCAACTTATTCTGCAGAACTTGTAAAGTTGGTGGTACAAAGCAGTTCAAGATGTCTGACGAGGGATTTGAGTCTCTTTTCAAAGTGCGTATTCCCATTCACAACTTACAATATAGCTAATTGTTCACAGGAAGGAGAATATCAAACTCCTGATGACACAGCTCAAGAAATACAACATCAGCTACGTGAAGCTTTGAAGCCTGGTGGAGCAACAAAGGCAAAACAGGCTACAACTCTATCTGGGGAAAAACCTCCGAAAACACGAAGAAGGGACACCTATACCCAAAGAGCAGATAGTTTTGAAGAAGCTTGAGGAGGAGCTAGACAAGCAGCTGAAAAATACACCTATTAACCTTTGATTGGCATGCCAGGTGTGTATCCTCAGTTGGAAATTTATCTGGCTCACCTGACTTAATTTAGTGGTTAACATACATGCTGATGCACCAACAGAGATCTTGCATATTATTTTGCTCAGAGTCATCAAGTACTATTGGGGGCAAACAATTTTTTTACTGGAAAGGAATAAGAAGACAACAACCTTTCAGGCTTGGCTGGCTTCAATAAAGAAGGACGGGTTAAATGACTTGAATCTAAATGCTGATTATGTCTGCCGCTACAAGGGAGGTTTGATAGGAAAACACTTCAAAAGCCTGGCTCAAGTCATGCCATTCTTAATATATGATTTAGTCCCAAAGGCCGTGCTGGAGAGCTGGAATGTTATAGGATCCTTGGTTGTTTTGCTCTGGCACACCGGAATACAACATACTGAGAGATACTTAGTAAGTACTTGCACCGCTTGATTTGACTTACTAATGTGTAGTCTGTTGTAACTAGGCTGATCTTTCACGTACTATAGAAGACTTTCTCAACCTCACAGCACAATGTTCTCCGAGCATTCTCATATCTAAGCCCAAGTTTCATTTTTTAGTACATCTGGTCTTTTACATCCGCCGTTTTAGCCCAGCAATCATTTTCTCCACCAAACACTTTGAGTCCTTCAATCACGTTTTCTGCTTATCTTGTATTTTCAGCAATCAACAGGCACCTAGTCAAGATACATGCATTACATTTGCTGCTCAAGATATCATCAAACATATTGCCACCAGTAGTTTCTGGTATGACACTGCGACACAGAAATGGAGGAAGGCGGGTTCAGATATAGAAAATTACATGAAAAAACATCCTGAACAGCAGGGACTTCTCGGACTTCATGTGTAAGGACCATTTATTATTTTCTCTATGTTTTGGTTTTCGCACACTTTCCCCGTTACACCTCTGGCCCTAGGGCTGGAGGTATCATTTGCTGTTCTACTTCTCATAGCCCTCACAGGCTTTCTCAACCATCGTTACCACTTTATATCGCAGATCAGAGACTGGGTATCACTCCCAGCCAGCCAGCACAATGGGTAAGGACTGGTGTCAAGATCGTACCTCATCATGAGGATACAGTTCCTGAACACACGTGACAACACTTATTATTAGTACACTTTCCCACCTGCTGATTAATCGTCAAAGTCGTATGATAGTTATCCTTTTTTCTTATTGGTTGATTTCCCCCTCAGACCACTTCCCTTTTATTCTTCTTTCGGTCTGAGGGATAGACGGTTAGCTATAAAAACCCTACATACTCATGTATTGTTCTTTAGCTTTCTATTACTTGAATTACCCGCTTTACTCCTCATCAGAAACCTCTGAGTCTACTCTCATATCCTCTACTTGCTATATTAACTAGCATCTGTCGGTCTTCAAGACTCACTGTACCTCTTACTCCCTGCAAGTGCAGTCGGAGACGGTGTCGATGATGAGAACTGTTGTTAGAAAACCACACACAAAAACAAACTAACACACAATCCTCCCAGACTCCACGGAACTTGTTTATGGGTTTTGCCTCCTAGAACAGTGGTGCTCTGGTTGTTCGTGGGGTGGTATGTATGACAATCCTTCAAAGTAAAACCCAGAGATGTATGGATGTGGGTTTTGAGGAGGAGGGATAGTTGAATTTATAGAAGATAGGGGCTTAGTGACCAGTATAGATGAGCACTACCTTGCTAATCGTAGCACAAGGTAGGTTTGAGAACGACAATATGATGAGGTTCCCAGTGATAGCAGGCTCCTGACGCACAAACTGTAGTGCTCAGAAGGACTCTAATTGAAAGGGATGACAATCACTTTCAAAAGTGACGAGTGACGATGACAGCAGTTAACAGTAGTAACAGTGGGAAGTGTTGTGACCACACTGGATCACAAGTAGCAGAGTAGTGAACTTGAGATTTAGAGAAGAAGTCTGGATTGGATTTCTTGCTTTTTTTTTTCACAAGGTAAAATACAGGGGTTTATATAGTAAAAGAAAGGGAGGCTATGCACAGTATAGCTGTGCAAAAAGAATGAGAAAGAACATGAAGGAAGGAATGTATGCTGACAAATCCTGTGTAGGTAGTACAGGATATGTTACAATTAACGTACCTGTACCTACTTACACTTACTTTTTTCACACTTTTACTTTTATTTTTCAAAGTCACATGACCAGTCATGTGATCATTTACTTTACTTTACATTTTCGACTTTTCATAGTCACATGACTTGGTCATGTGACACAACACCTGACCAATGTCTAGACTCATCATGTGACCGGTCACATGTTAAACATCGGACTTTAAACTTTATTTACAACTGTACAGTACCTCATGTATGTTAGTATATATACAGGAGCAATACATGGGGAAGGACTCAGCGAGTCCTCCTGTTGTCTAGCACAACTAACTCACTGCAGCCTAAGGGGTAACCACCCATCATCTTCTTTATAGTGTGTTCCTGTGTGCGCTGGAGTAAATAACTCTTGGTTGTTACAGGATAAGATCGTCAAAATAAGGAAAAGAAAGAGATAGAACAATGAATGCTGTGTAAGTAATGTTACAGGTTTGTACAGCCATAAAGTAAAGTCCAATAGCAGAAAGAGAGCAAGAAAATCATGATGTCATGGGAAGATGCAGTAAAAAAGGGCAAAGCAAAAAAAAAAAAATATCAGTATCAACACAGTTCCTTTATTGTCAGTCAGGCATTCTGAAAAAAATATGTGTCCATAAAAATGATTCAAAAATCAAAAATAATTGCACCGTAAATGAATGTTCCGCTGAAAAAAAGAAACTGGAGCCACCAGTCCACCACCTAGTCCAAATCCGACAGTTCCATGGCCTTACCAATGGTCAAATAAGGGAGGGAGAGGAGTAGTTCCAATATGGAACAAGTGAGTCCCAGGCAGTGTGTGGTAGCTGTAGCTGTAGCGAAGACGATGGACGAAAGATAAGTGTACCCAAGTGAATGGGACAGCGATGTACATGGGCGACGCAAGGGGATGAACCTTCTCCAGCTCAAAAACTACCCACCCATGCTCCAACCAGGTGAGACGAGTGACCAATGTTTTGATGGTATATGATGGAAGATCAATGTCATGAAGATGGACCTTTTGCCCAATTTGGACCGGCCACCGGGGCTTTGCTGATATCAGCAGCGGCACATGGTGGTCGACAGATTGGCGACGGAAACGGATAGAAAGTGGTGACATCAGATATGGTGAGGGAGCAAAGAAGATGAGGAGGAGGAGGGTGGAGGTGACAAGGAGGTGAACCAGAATAGGGATCCAGAAGCAACCATTGGGTGAGAATAAAAAAGAGAGTAAGGGTCCCATGGTGGGACTGAGTAAAGAAAAAAAAAGGTAAGGGAGGGCGACAAAAGCGAGGGCGCAATGTGTAGCCAGTGGCGACACAAAAATTTGCCGAAATGCCGAAATGCCGAAAGTACCAAATGGAAAAGCAAAGGTGAACGCGACTGGATTGCCTAACAGAGGTGGTGCTGATCAGCCACAAATTCAAAAAGGCAATATTAATTACTATTCCATGTGGCACTGTGCCTGTGTGGCGCAAAGGCGAGTCTTTTTGAATATTCGCTTCATTCTTGACATCTGTCCGTGCTACCAATCAACTTTGGTGCATGACACCGGATGGTGCCCTTGATGATCCAGAGATCAAAGGCCGCCTGATTTCACTCATCAAAAAGGCCCTGACTCTCATGCGTTTGAAGATCAAAGACAAGGTATGTTATTTTTCCTTCATGAAGACCAAGAACTCACTGTCTACTAGCTTCTGCTATCTGTTGTGGAAAAGATGCCAATTTCCGAGCTATATACACTCATAGCTCCGAGGGGTTTTGACATTAGTTTAGACCATTGGAAATGTGCTTGTTTCCTGGTAAGTAAGCTCACACATTCACTACTACCTACTAACTACTTTACAAGCGTAAAACATTGCTGGATTTTAGGGCCTTACTCCAAAGCAATGGCCTCCCAGATGGACCGCCCTCTAGCTCTGGCATTACCGAGGTAGGACCTTCTGCTGGTGTTGGTGAGCTGCAGGAAGATGCTGTGGGTGAGGGCACAGCGTCAGAAGGACATACTGCTTCTGACCAGTTTTCCAATTCCGGTTTGACCGCCGCCATCGCTGCAGGTGTAGTATCACAACACAATGGGATCCGCACCCGTGTACAGTGATTCTGGACCTTCTGGGCATGCAACCAATCAGTATGCTTTCCAAGTACACCTTGGTAGCTTAGTTGGTAAAGCACCAGACCATGAAAGCTGGAGTCCCAGGTTCAAGCCCTGGCCAATGCATGTTTTCTCATACTATAAACAAATGTCATAATTTGTCATGTAGTAGCCATTCCCGCCATTCCCGAACACGGTTGGTCATACAATGTGTTCTGGCATTACATTGACGTTCATTTGGAGAGGGCGAGGACTGTGTGTCGAGTTCAAGCTGGACCTTCGGCAGCTGCACAGGCTATGTGGTGGATGACCCTAAGCAGCAATGTGTATGCCGAAGATTTGATGACCTTCCCGGACAACTCTGGTACTTCAGTTACTACAGTCGCACACAGCTGGCAGCTCACAATCGAGCAAAAGTTAACACCATAACCGTATCATTAGCTACTTTCAATCACATTTCTGTACTTGTACTTGTCCTTTCCAAGTTTCCTTTTGTTGCTGTTGTTTGTCATTAAAATATGTTTTGAAATTGAACAATGTATCAGTGTCTAGAACTTTGCAATGGATTGTTGGTGTTGTTATAGCTGATGTCTTTGAGTCATATGCTATATATTATGTCTAAGCTGATAAAATACATGCGAGTGATATCTACCGGACAACTTGATACAATATTCTCTGGAAATCACCGCTAGCTGTCCCTACAACCTCCTTCGTATCTATGTAATACATTGGCTACACATTCGCTGTAAATATCGCCAAGGCCTCACTTCGTAACAACTCAGAACAAGCTGCCGAATCAGCTTCGCACAAGAATTTGGAGAGCACAGCCTTACGTTAGAACCTAAATCGTCACAAATATATCTTGCGGGTTGGGCCGTGTAGGATACGACCGTGACTGTCTTCTTCCCAAATGGTATGAATAAGGCAGACAAGATGTACTCGCTGAGGAAACTGTTTTGTGATGAGAGTCGAGCGCATTTATCGATGGAGGCATGACTGTCCCTCCAGCAGGCTCCAGTCTTTTCACGATGCGCTGATGGAAGTACTAACAAGTTGAAATCACCCACGTTTCTCAGCCTCACACCCCTACTCACCTGCTCATCTCCATCTTTTTAGGGTCTACATTCAGTACTGTCATAAGGCTTAGAAGGTTGTTCTCAGGCTTTGAAGTGAGTTGAGTCGTACCGTTACTCTCATTCATCAAAAAATATTTGACATATTCCTAAGACGGGGCCGGCCATCTTACTTCTTGAGATAGATGTCGCGCTCAATATGCGACGACGAGTATAATTGGATACTAGAATAAGAAGCTTCGCGATTACAGGCAACAGGGCTTTGTTGCCCTCCGGAGTATAGGTTCCTCGAGCGTTCAATTCATTCGGCTTAGATTCACCGTAGGTAGTAGTCCTCAACAACCGGACGCGCACGGTAATGAAAATATTGATGCCAAACCTTCAAGTTCTATTTCCAGTGATGTGATGTTCCCGTTCTTCTAGTCTCAATCAGACAAAACCATTGATATGACAGAGTGCCGTCACTATATACTACCGTTGGGTTGGGCAACTGTTGGTACGTAACGGTGTATGTACGGAAGTTAAACTGATTAGGGTCTGTAGTTGATGGACTGCCATCGCCGCTGACGGTACAGCTCTGTGCAAGTTGAAGGGAGGCTTGTGCATGTCCACTGCAGTTAGGTTTGTGACTCTGATATTCTTCAATGCTTGCTCAATTCTAACTTGCCATCTTGAGACTTTAGGTAGGATCCAGGCTGGCGGGGGCCGCTGGCTTAACACATACACATATTCCTTTGGTGCTGTATACGTAGTATGTGCACTGCAATATTCACTTATTCTGCCGAAGGTGAGTGTCGACCGAGAGACAAAGATAATCCGATGATGGCGTCAGATTTTTTGGTAAGTGTCTTCGTTCTCTCGTCATGTCACATGTCTTAGACGTCTCATACCGCGACACCGCCTTCCACAAATCATATATAAGTCGCTGCACCAGCACCTTTGTTTCTCATCAGCCTCAGTTCTTACATCCCCAGTTCTTACATCCTCACGCTCACTTCTAGTTTGCTATCCTCGACCTCGTTTTATATCCTCAGACTAATAAAATGCAGTTGACACTCTCTTCTATCTTGTTGTCCCTTGCCGCTTTTTCCACCGCGGCAAGCATTCCTATTGCCCGAACGACGTGCGCTGAAGCTTATCGATTCGGTGGAGTCCCATCCTTATCGCCAAGCACAGTTGCTCCAGGAGCTGTAAGTGTACTTCTTTTCTTCAGGTCGGTATTATGCTCAATGTCACGACTAGTCTGTGGAAATCCAAACGGACTTCACTTGCGCTTTCTACTTCGGCATCACACCTACCTACACCGACTACTACATCGAGGTTCTTAGCAACAACAGCGGATACGAGCCGAACATCCTTCTTGCTCGCCGCCAACCCAATATCACCGCGTCCTCGCCCATCGATAAGTTTACCGTCACAGTGAGTTTGCTCCTGATTTTGTCGCAGTTTCGATTTAATGCAGGCTTCCTTGTAGATCCCTGACGCGACCTACACCTCTGGTGCAAACTACACTGTGGTTATGGACGTTACGTACCCGATCAATGGGACAAATGGCACGCCCGTATATGTTGTTGGTGGTCTCGAGAGCGCAATTACTATTACTTAAATGCGGTAGTATCTGCACATTAGCTAGTTAATTGGTATCTTCTCGTACTAGTGACTTACCTCGCGTAGACTCTGTGGACTCTGTTTATAACTTGGTTATAATATGTTATTGACTCAATGTGGTCGTGATGGAGTGTGATAATGCTGCGAAGTCCCTAGTCCTGTCGTATCTTTCGTTCCGGTTATAACATCAACAATGGTCTTCAGTGGTCCCCATGACCGAAGAAGAAAAATATACGGTGTCGTAAGAGTAAAAAACACAAAGCTCTGGTTGTAACGAAATATCATAGGTTCATGATGAAGAGCATGATAGTAAAAAACCCCTTCGACGCTATTGGTCTTTTGCGAACCAGATCCTCGGCCTCTGCGCTTCGATGTACGATGGAATACATGATAGAACACCGATGGCTAAATTATAAGGGTGTGCCTTTGAGTAATTATGTCGTGAAGTCTATGATAAGGTTACATACATAAATTCAGTGGTAAAAATAACCTCAACGTCACGGCCCTTTGCATCTTTAATGTTACTCCTTTCCAAGATTCCTTTTGAGTGGACTGATTTATCGCAAAACGGAAAATCATAGTGGCACCAGCTGTCGCATCCTACCTGATGAGACTCGATAAAGAGGTCATACTACTAGTAGCAAACAAAAGCTCACATGCGCCGTAATAAAGAGTGTTGGCATAGTATTATCGCGCAGGTCCTCCTGCTAGAGTGGGGTCTTTCAGTAAAGAACGACATGATCAAGTTTGCGTGGTATGATCTTCTCGCAGGAGATGGGCAGCGCGCGATAGAGTGGATCGACTGTATATCGCATGGATATATTGCTGTTCTTCACACAGTGTTGATCGCATCGATGTCGTAGCTTTGCACCGTATAACCTACTGCATCTAAAGCGAAACGTTGTACAGGATCAGTCCAGCCGACTTTATGTTCCTTGTAATTTATTGAAGGTGTTTGATCACCGACAGCGACGTGAACTTGAAAGAGTTTCCTAACAGGAGCGGTGAACGAGTGGTGAATGCGTCACGGATGATTGTGGAGAGCTTCTTGAATATATTGCCGGTGTGTACGGAAAATATCATTTTTTCCCAAAAGCGAATGAAGAGTAAATACCAAGGGGGGCGAGGGGGGGGGAAATATTTGTGGAGTTGTGAGGTTTCCATTCACTTGAAATGTAAACTGGGGGGATGGAGATAAACGACGTGGCCGATTCAACTCGAAGAGCAAATGATTACCTTAGAATTCAAGAACATGAAACGCCCATGGACCAAACGCGCACACCAAGATTATCATGATACCTACATAATGTTTATTGGGTTGATGTAGGGGCGGGATCTTTATGTGGATATTGTGGGCCCTTGACGAAGATAGCTCAGGACAATAGTAATGGTACAGAAGGTAGCGAAGGTCCAGTGGTACAGCGAGGTGATTGTACAGCGCATAGTATTGTGTGTGGACAAGTAGACCCCCACAAGGGCCACGGGGAAAGCTTGAAGATCTGCATCATAGTACTGTTGATGCCAACTGTCTTCACGATGCAAGTAAGTCAACCGCTGGCATTATACTGCATTAGAATTGAATATGGAAGCTTCCTAGGAACAGGCCGCCTAAAATAGTTTGTCAACTTTATGCTAAATATTATCCTTGGCTAACTGCATGAGCACCCCCCCTTCAATACTGGTCTCCCAAAGCTCCACTTTGGCTCGCTCGACCTCCGCGACAAGCTGCCTTCGACGCTCCCTTGCGCGACGGATAGTGTCTTCCTTATTGCCGACGTTCCTCGGGGCTGCGCGACCAGGCCCAACGGAAGTGCGCTTCTGGGTCAATGGCACCTGCGCTTGGGAATTTCGACCGAACGAACTATGCAAAGGTTGCGGATGGTTAGGCTGATAAGTAGACAAAACTGGACAATATGGCATGGGTGTAGCACTAGACGGTGTGGATGTCGCCGCAAATTGCAGTAATGTAGTTGCAGCAGTGAGAGGATCTGTTCGCACCAAAACCGATACGAAATCAACATTACAAACACGACAATGACGACTGTTCTCAGACATACCTTGTTCACCGTTATATACACCAGGTTCCGCAAGTGAATCATCTCTGCTGGGCGTCGGAGGATCGGCGAGAGAGCTGATAGATGCCAGCGGGGAGAATGCAAGGTCCGGTGTGGGAGATGTAGCACTGGATGAAGTAGACATCGACTGCCGTGAATGCAATTGTGAAAGCTGGCTGCTTTCATGAATGGAGATGGCTAATAAGGTCGGATCGATGTCATGATCTTGAATCGAAGGCGCATCACAGATAGGAACCTCTGCAGATATACCCGAGGCTGTACCCGTAGCAGGATGTGAAGACGATTCCATCTGTGAATCTAAGTTCGTATGTTGCAGAAGAGATTGGGACTGAAACGATTCTAATGCAGCGGCTGCCTCCGGCAAATCCGATTTGGTCAGATCCAACGCTTCAACTCCGTTGTTCATAGTACTCCTTTCAACAGGAACAGTCGTTCCTTGTTCAGTTGTTTCCGGGGGAGGCGGGTATGCCTGCAGCATAGTCAACCACCTTTCAAATGCAGGTTGATCAAAACCCGGTGTCGAAGATCCTGGAATAGGTGTTGTACACCCCTCACTTGAACCTGAAGGAGTACTGGAACCCGACGCGCGACTGGTATTCTCTGCGACTCCCGTCTGTGATCCAGATATTAATGACGCTATAAGCTGGTCAAAGGGGGTCGACGGCTGTTGCGTCCCGGAGTTTGTCGCGTTGTTAGTGGCCTCGGTTAACAATGACTTCCCGCCTCCCTCGGTCTGATCTATCGATGTAACTGCTTGTTCCTGCTTCCCCATCATCTCTAATAAACCCTTTGTCCCTTCATCTGACCCATCCATAGCCACTGACGGTCCTTTACCCCCCAATACCGTCTGCTCTTCCTCCCTCCTTCCTGACTTTAGCTGCTGAAAATAACTTTTCAGAGCAGCGTTCTGTGCTGCACCCTTTATCAGCGTGATTAGTTGGGTGAGAAGCTGCCGACCACGCTCACGCTCCCAGTTCGCACGATATGCAGCTGGACCTTCACCTGATTGGGAATGGATAGGGGACATCCCAATCAGCGGCGCCCGCGGGTACATTCGATAATTTGCGCCTTTTCAACAAAGATGGCCCATCGTTGGAACTTCTGTACAGGAATGGATAATACGATGGATAGTAAGCTGTTGGGTAATAATATGCTGGTGGTGGTGGTGGCGGAGGGGGTGGTGGTGGAAGAGCGGTCCCGGGGGCTACAAGCTTGATTAAGGATTCTAATACCGGGAATATATTTTTTTGCCTCATTAGAGATGCGATGATATCATCACTGCTTGGCGTAGGCAGCTGGGCGGGATCAACAACAGGTACACGAGGTTTTTTGCCTAAAGGAGGCGGATTCAACTCGTCTTCAACGACGATTGGATTCGATGGGGTAGAGCCTCGGGAAGGGCGATGAACGGAGAGGTTTGCAGGACGAATACCGCCAACTAGACCCGCAACGCCAAGCAAGGCTTGCTGGTTCCGCAGAAAATTTTGTGGAGGAGGGCCATTAGGATTAGGTAGTACAATAGGGGGTGGTGGAGGTCTGGGGGTGGATGATTTTTCTCTGGCTCGTTTCCTCTTCTGAGTAGCCGTCGATGGCAACGATAGATGGGTCTGGAGAGAAGAAGACGTTTGCAATGATGGAGAAGATGAGCTCGGGATCACAAGGGCTGGCTGGGAGTTACTGGAACGATAGTATTGCATATTACCAGACCAGGATGATTGCGGAGCATAGACATTTGAATAAGTTTGTGTTTGAGGAGGCACGCGAGGTTGTATGTTGGCCAAACCCTGGCGATGCGACTGAGAAAGCTCTGGAGTGCTTGAACCATTCAATGGTAAAGCTGGTACATTGACTGGAAGTTCAGAACAGGACATATGGGAACCAGGAAGTGCAATGGTCCCCACATTTTTTTGGGTATTCCCCATGCATATGCTACTCGCATTTCCTTCATATCCCACTGGTGCTCCAGTGCACCCTGGTAGAGCAAGGCGTAAGGGTGACCTACCTCTGGCTGGGGAGGGAGGAGGCGACCCAAACAGAGAATCTTGGTCGTCCTCGCTAATATTAGCAAGTCCCTCCATTATCGATTATCTGAGGAGATGAGAACAAGTTCTAAAACGCTTTTTGACTGGCAAAACATGCTGCAAAAGGCTGCTGCCAAGCACAACCAAATAGTCCTACGGAGACTGCCGACGACTTTAATTACTAAATTTTCAGTTGTGACCTAACCGAGGAATTTGCATCCGCGATCAAGTCCACGATATGCTTTCTTTCTTTCGAACTGTGAGGAAACCGAATTCTATGGGCCTTTCCCCCATGTTCCTGCGACAGAGATATTTGAGTCTGTAAGCTTTGGAAAGCTTCAACTGAGTCATTAGGCAGATCCATCATGATCAAAGAGCTCGTTGACCACTCGTAAGCTTTCAATTGTTTCCATGGGGTTGCCTCAGTACGCTTTCTGTTATTAAGCCTGTGTCATTGGGCTGACTCTAAAAACCTCAGCGATATATGAAGCCGTAGGCATCCCTTTGCACATAGTCCCATTCACCGTCCGCGGAGAGAAAAAACCAGCTCTTGTGGCATAATCTAGAACAAAAGAAGCGCTCTCGATACTCGATGCAGCCTATCTTCAGCTGAGTATGCTGATCGAACGAATGATGTTATGAGCTTCGAAACACTTATTTTAGGTTAGCACCAAATGTTGACAGAATACGCAAAAGCGCTCAACAAGGTCTGGACCTTCGAGTTTCCAGTTGGATGTACGCTTGATGCCGAAACTGTCAATAAACGGGACCTTTTTGCCTGTCATTCGTTGGGGTCATCCAAGGCGTCTGGCTGCCAAGAGTCTAGAGCAGACTTCACCTGCCAACCCCTAATATTGCCCATGCACCGCTTCTCCTGTAACTTTCATTAGTTTTGGTATCGAGGGCATAGGTGCCATGTCTGGGCAGAGTGAATAACCGACTTCTCGAAAGTGCATCAAACATTACCGCATTTGTATGCCTTCCTTGCGAACATTGGATGAAGATTCCCTTATGGCGAGCAAGCTATCTCCCTGTGGCAATTTATTATGCTCACGATTTGGCGTTCTTTCACAGCCTGAGTGAAGTCTAGATGGTCTAGATGTTGATGGAGTCCATGACTCAAAGCTGCGGGGTAATGCACCCAGATTAAATATCTGGTGGTAAGAACCGGGGATGCGAGCGTTCCAGACATTGGAGCTATCTTGAACGTTGCTTAAGTTTTGCCCTAAATCATCCCGTCACAATTTCTCAACAGCTATCTCCCATGCTGACGTCTCTTGGTGAATCATTGGCACTGAGACAGCTGTCTGCAGAGCATGTGAAAGAAACAGATGACTACAGAAAGCTATCGCTAAACATTGTGAGTTGATCACTTGCTCATTAGCTGTCCGCTGCGTAACCACGCGTCGTCCAACAGCTGGTTGCCTTTCTCGCGTTCGTTGTCACCAACAGTTACTGTCGTCTCGCAGTATTGTCTAACACAGTCTAACATTAGCCTTCATTCGATATCCGGCTCGCATGTGCTGTCAGGGCTTACTCTTGCTCTCGTCTTATACACGGTCAGCCTACACATGGCATGCAGGAACCTCACTGGCGCTTGCGAGGTATCTCGGTTCTTCTTTACTGAGAATAATAGTTCTTATCGAGCTTTAACAGCAACTTGACCCGCACATATTCTCGTTCCTCAACGCCATTCCGGGTTTGGGAATTTCAGTCATAACGTGTATTGAATTATTTCGTGTGATGAGCTCTCCCACAGCCGCAGTATTTGTGATATTGGCCTGCTTTGTACCACCGTTGACTCTGGTTGCTCACCGCTTCTGTGCTGGAGCAAGGCAAAATAACGCGGGCCCACGTTCACTCACTACCGACATGGAAGTCGGTATGAGAAGTAGTACGTGCAGCGATCGGATGAGCGTTAACATTCCAAAACAAGTGAGTTTAAAAGTACTGTCATTTCGACCGATAAATTGTTTTGCTCATCGATGGTACGCAAAGAAACCATCGGGTTCTTAGAGACTCAACCTTTTATTTGCGATCTTCAAAGTCATGTCAACGGTGTGTTACTAGTACGTTTCAACCCTGATAGTGAGCTAGTGTATGACACTGAACCAGATTATCTTCCCTTCTAGTTTAAATGTATATTCTTGTTTAGTAGCAGTAGGGACGTCTGGTGCAGAAGATCGAGGCAGTGCATGTTTGTTTATGGATGACGTTTCTTCTGATATTGTATGTCAAGAGAATCTGAGTGCTCGCATATTCAATGCAACGCGATTTGATATGGGAGGGACGTGATCGATACATGCACGGGCCACGAGGTTGAAGCTGAGACGAGTTCAAAGGCGTTCATAACTCAGCCTCATTCGCCACCTATTCTTTGAAAGATTCATGCTTATTCATGCTTAAGGAACACTGGTGAGCATCCTCCTCTTAAGTTATCAGATGCGATATAGAGTCAAATTTTAGGATAACAGAATATAATGTACAACAGGGTAAAATAGGAAAATACCTTCCGAACATCGAGTAGTATGAAGCAAAATAATATCCAAGCACCAATCCTCCCAGAATCACATATCCCATTCATCCCATATACCACCTACGTTTGCAACTGCATTTGCTGTTGAAGGCGCTTGTAAAGAATTGAATTCGGTCGTCTCCACAAGCTCTAGAATCTTATCACTTATCCCTTCTTTGTCGTTCTTCTCTCCTTTCATACCCACAAGCAGGTTATCATCCGTCCTATCCTCGCTAAGGCTATTGTGCTGCAACAGTCTTATATCACTTCCCTCGATCACTTGCACAAGTCGTCCCTTTGATATATTCCGAACTTCGATAAAGTCAGAGGAAAACAAGAGAACATGATCCCCGCGTTGAGCAAACGTAGTTACACTGGTCTCCCAGCGGACGAAGCCACTTGAACGACAAGGTACTCCGTGTTTGGTGATATAACAACCCATCGCTAATGGAGAAACACTATCAGAAGCTATACTCGGCCATACTATAAGTACGTACTGTCATAGATTACTAGCAATTCCGAGGCCCCAGATCGCACGAGACCCAGAGGCTTTGCGGCTTCACAGCGGCTCTTCAAATCTGTCATGGCCTTGCTATTGTGAGCATCGCTAAAATCAGGTACTAAAACGATCCCCGACTTCGTTGGGCTAAGATAAAAGATGTTCAGATGACAACGACATGAGAACTACGAATACACACACCTTGTAGAATTAACTATGATGATACCCTTTTCCGTACTGATGGCTACCATTTTTGTCAGTGGAGTGACATTGTATGCATCTTTTGGGACATATAGGGGCTGATAGCATGGCTTTTAGTAATATGATCTCACGTAAAATAGGATCACATACTCCACCAAAGGGTCGAAAAGACAGCGAGCCATTGTCATTGGCCCGCCGGGGCGCTGCAGACAAAGTTCCCGGGTTGATAGCCTCTTCGATGTGCACAGTGACTTGTAAAAATGTTTTAACAGCGTATATAACTGATTCCAAGATTCCAATCATCACTTCGGTTGTAGAGGTACTCCCTTAACAAGACGACTTACTAGTTGTACGTGTCCCGAGACGTCCAGCCTTGCAGAACAACACGTTGCCGTCATGACCAGCAATCTTCTCCAGCGATGCATCTAGACTACCCGGCGGAGTTTGCTTCAATGCGACCCGCACCAGAAGATCGAGAGAATATGCGACTAGGTATGTATCGTGGTGGACGACCAATTTATTATATTCCTGCAGAGCAATTAATGCTGATGGACTGGTGAGCGAAAGGACTTTGCGATATCCTGTTGAGAGATGGTCAAATGGGGAGACAGGGCACTTTGACGAGCTAAACATACCGCCTTCTCCCCTTGGACCAACGTAAATCCCGGTTGCGCATCCCACAGCCAAAAATGACCTACCGCCACTGGCCACTATCGAATGCGACTTGATAAATAGGGACACTGTCGTCAGAGGACCACTCACCAAAAGAAACTGCACTGGTCACTGCCCCAGTGACTTTAGTACCAGTCAAAAAAGTGCGACCTCCTATCGAGCGAAAGAATCCATCGTCCAGGGGCTGAGGTGCAAACCACTGCACGCGCAAGCTGCATTAGTCGAGAGGTATAGCTTACCATGCGTGGAGTCTCACCTTATTTCCATCCCGTCTTGCGTTATGCACTCCCATGGCGTCCACCATTGCGTCCCGCCATTTCTTTCTCACAGCCTCACTCACTGCGTAGAGTGTATATCTCCGACTCCCTTTCGATGCTGCATGGAACACCGTAAATGGATAAACGGGTTTTGATTGTGCACGGAAACTATCTAGGAGCCCGCCTTCTTCTGAACGTTCTTTGCGATTCTCTAGTGGTGCGTCGAATGAACCTAACCGGAGGAATTCAAGTGGGAGAGGCTATTTTTTGGTCGTCGTGAGCTGCTTGTGTAGTAATAGAATGTACTCACTCGTGACACCACGTATCGCTTTGTCATGCTTCCCACTTTCTTTTCTTGCAGTAAAAGCACTGAAACAAACAGCCGTCAAAGAGCCCACATGACGGATATTGAACACTCGCTCACGATAATTATCAAACAACACAACTAGGAGGTCATTCCATCCATGCCAGTCCATTTCCGACTTTGAGCGGCGAGCTAGAGGGCCCGAGTAGACCAGCGATCGACTTTCGTCGTACCGATCTATATCCTGCAATTACATCAGCCATTGACCTCTCGAAGGGAAAAGGGTGCGAACTATAATCTCCCCATTCATGTATACTAAGCTTTCGCAGATGTTCCAGAACTTGACTTTATTTTCCGCCGCAGCAATACCAGGCTGTGTGCTCTTAATAAAGTCACTTAGGATAGACATGATTACCGGTAGATCTTCGAAATCAGGATGTTCTGTGTCTGTGAGTTTATGAATGTGCTCGAGCACTAGACTAAGGCGAGGAAGACGTGTTACTGGCCGCGATAGAAATGTGATGAGGTCGCGCTTGCGGATCCGCGGGTCGTGTGAACACTGCTGGATGAACTCTTGGTATTTCTGGTTACTTTTAAGTTCTGCTCGGTGTCCCTCCTCGGCAAGGGGATAGTGCTTGATGTATGATTCATACTCATTCCGAAATTGGAATGAGGCTGTACAGAAGGAAATGACATTAGCATCGAAGTGGTGGAGAATTAAATGCTGCATACTCTCAAGGATAATGTCTGTAACGCTTTGAACTAAGGGGTGCTGATCTCGCTGACGCGCAAAGAGAGAGCCGAGCATCCGTTGGTGATGCGATAGGATCTGGTCCAGGTTCCAGAATACTTCCCTAACAAATCCTTGAAGACGCTCTTGAGGTATCACAGGAGGTGATGCGCTTTGGAGCGGCTCAGTAAACACCTATAATTCAAATAAAGGGTCAGGATAAAAAATGTTAAGAAATCTAGTGTTACCTCTCTGACAAGTTCCATGTCTGAAACATAGTCTCTTTCTGATTTGAATACCTCGAATAGAACAGACTGTCTTTCGACCTCGTGTTTGCCCAATGCTTCGCGCGCTTCTTCGGGAACAAGACGATACCATTCTTCATCACTCTCAGCAAGTTCACCTGCTTGGAAATGACGGAGGCCTTCTTCTGATTGAAGACTGAGGCGAGGTGAACATTTTGATAATAGTAGTAAGTGGGTATAACAATAACATACGTTACTTGCGAGAGCTCTTGTGATAGTTCATTCAATTTGACATCTGACTACAGAGTAGATGAATAACAGCCCTTAATGAGAAATGCACCAAATTTGTACATCATCAACCTGAGGTGGAAAGTATATCGAAGACGTCGAGCTGGGAGATGTCGGTGAATACGGAGGAATAGAAGGCGGGCTATGGCCGACATCGGATTTGCTGGACCGGTGTCCTGGATACACATGATGGTCAGGATGTAAACTCTTTCTCTGCGATGCTGCACGATGAATCTCAGGTTCTGGGAAAGCCATTGTTGCCATCGAAGGCTCATATGCGCTTATCGCCCGATGCAGGTTTGATGATCGTGGTGGTGAATCGATCACTCCCGCATATGGTTGTCTGGCTGTTGGAGTTTGTGCATCCCAAGGGTTTGCTAGATGCGAGCTTGAGCTCGAATTTCCTGAGTTCGAAGCATTGGCAGAATTTGAATATGGAGTATATGGCCATGGGTTTGTATTGAGAGGCGGGCGCTCATCTGATGGAATGGCGACGTGAGGATGAGGTCTTTGTCGATGGCGATGTGAATTTGAGTGGCCGTTCATGTCCAAGTCTGCAAATGCGGACTCCCGATGCATTTGGTAATGACGAAACACGGCGCTTATCATCGGCGCTTACGTGTTATCGCATCCGTTATCTCGCGCTGCATTGTAATCTAAACCGCAATACCGTTGAATACGCTTAGGTCTGCAAGTTCATAATTTATCTGTCATATTCCAATTCTACACTAAAAAAATTATCTATCATAGACACAAGGTGATATGAAAATCCTTGCCACTGATCAATAGCCCACATCATAACCAGCTCAGCCCGTCGTCTGCCCAGTTTTCACAGTTCGTCGGCAACTTCTGTTGTGAAAACAAGACACGCGCCGTCGTCGCCAGCACTAACAACAACAGATCCTTCTAACCCCAAAGCAGCCCCCAACACGGGTCCATGATGGCCACCATGTTCTTTGACTAGTGTCCCAGTCCGCGCATCCCAGGTGCGCAAAGTGCTGTCAGCAGACCCTGATACAACGAGGTAACTTTTAGGTGAGGGATGGGCTAATAAAGACGTGACCGAATCCTGTCGTCATCAAGTACATCAGAAAGCGAATTAATATTAATTTTATGACAAAAGATGAGGCTAACCTGGTGATCCAGGGTAGCACGTAGTCTCATGGTTGAGAGATCCCATATACATGCTTTACCGTCAGTGCCGCCAGTGACTACCACTCCTGGGCCGCTACCTACTCCAGTCAGATCGACGAATTGTACGGCCTCGATACTCTCTCCTTCAGAGTGACCACCCAGAGCACCGACAACTTCGCCCTTGCTGAGACTCACTACCCTGACACTACCTGTTGTACCTCCTACAACTGCAAGAGTCGACGACTGATTGACCGCAAGAGAAGTGATACCTTCAGTATCAAATCGCGCGTCTTCCGGCGTGAGCTTGAATATTGGAGTAGGTGATCGAGGATCCCAGAAGATTAAAGTTCCATCTGCGCAAGCAGTCACAATGCGTTTTCCTGTAAAACCATGTTAAAATACATGTCGCATGGGTATGAAGTGAAGGAGTACCGTCTGGAGTAAACTCGCCGCATTGTACTGCTCCCGTGTGTCCCGCGAATACTTGCATGGTATTTCCGGAGGGCACTAACAGAAGCATGGTTCAGCATAGTACACGTACCAAATTCAACACTTACACTGCCAGAGCCATACCGTAGTATCGTTTGATCCTGCGAGTAGTACGGCGCCCCTAGGATGCCATCGTATCCACTTTCCGGGATTATTCGTAAGAAACATAATGAAGAAACTCCGAGATAACTTACCATGACTTCATCCGGACCTTGCAGTTCTGTCAAGAACTCCCAGAGCCTGTAGTTTTCCCTACCGACCCTTCTCCAGATCCTAACTCTCCCGTCCATGCCACCCGTGGCAACCATCTCGCCGTCCGCACTGAACGCAGTGCTGGTTACGCTATCCGTGTGTCCCGTTAATTTCACGAACACTTCCCCATCAGTGATATCCCATATGTATCCCACATCGTCTTCCCCCCCAGATGCCGCGAGAGGTTCGGTAGGATGGCAAGATACAGCAAAGACAGATCCATTGTGATTTGGAAAGTGCTGCACGGAGTTGTCTTTTACTTCCACATTATCAGAGGATCGCAGGTCTCCAAGCCCATCAGCTCCCTCATCTTCCTCGTCCTCCTCGTCCATCGGATGATCGCCATCATCTGGGACTTCTGCTAAAACATCCCCAGAATCGATGAAGAGCTCATTAGCCTCGTCTTCGTCGATGTAATCGCCATCATCGTCTACACGTTGGGAGACCATGCTTGTATGTTTTTAGGTGTCGTGAGTTAGTCTCCAATAGCAGACCTAATACGTGTATATATGACAGTCGATATAATACCTTGTATAGTCGTGAGTGTCTCTTGTGTAAAAATTGTGGTCCGTAGACCTGCTAATTTGTATGTGTTGCTGAGCAATCGCTGAGTAACCTGCTGACAATATCCAGGAAAGCGGCTGCTTATTTATTTACATCCAGGTCCTCAGGCTGTCCATTCGACAGAAAAATATACCTGTCTATAGTCATAACACATTAACGTTGCATCAACACTCACAGTTCTAAAGGTTCAGCATACGACTTGCACGCAAAATAATCATTAATTACTTTCTAGGCTGTAAGAATATGGCAGAATAAAACGTAACAAGGCTTTGCAATGTGCACTGCAAGGCTCGGGATGGTGCGCTGACTAATCATCGCATTTGGCACCGCGGGTTGCTGAATAGCAGTTGGAACAGCTCCACGTCATTCAAAACCTTTCTTTCCTTTTGTCCACCATGAAATTCTCATTTTCGCTCATTGCAGCGGCTTTATTCGCTGGCGCGAGCGCCTCAAATGTTATTGACCTAGTTCCGGATAACTTTGACAGCGTGATTGGACAGGGAAAACCTGGTTTGGTCGAATTGTAAGTGTTACCACTGTTTTTGGTTGGTATGGCCGAACTCATTCCGTGCTCTCTACAGTTTTGCACCTTGGTGGTATGTTGCAGTTTTGTTACATTTATCATTCGAAACATAACGTCTTCTCCGCTCAACAGTGGTCACTGCAAGGTCAGTTGAAATGAACAACATGCTCGCATGACACATTGTAACTCGCTTTCGCTCCACAGAACCTCGCACCGATTTATGAACAACTTGCCGATGCATATGCACATGCAAAGGACAAAGTGGTCATTGCCAAAGTTGATGCTGACGGGGCTGGGCGTGATTTAGGACAGAAATATGGAGTCAAAGGATATCCCAGTATGTTAATGCGTTTGTTTACATAAACTAAAGCGCTGACATGTATCATCATCAGCTCTTAAATGGTTTGATGGCAAGGGCAATGTAGAGCCTTACGAAAATGCCCGAGATCTTGACGCTCTATCCGCTTTGTGAGTCTATCAAAGTGCCCACCGAGAGGTGTCACATTGTTATCTTCTTTGTCATTTTAATGTCTTTGTTTTCGTTTAAATCAGCGTATCGCAAAAAGCTGGTGTCAAGTCGAACATCAAACCTCCTCCCCCTCCGGAGACTCTTATTCTGGACGCATCTACTTTTGATGAAGTGGCATTGGTATGCACGCCACTCCTAGGGTTACATTCTGATCAGTCCTAACTTTAATTATCATAGGACGAGTCAAAGGATGTACTCGTGACGTTCACGGTAAGAAGGTTGTTGTCAACCGTCTCCTTGTGCTAACGATAACGGTATGAACAGGCACCATGGTGTGGACACTGCAAAAGTTTGAAGCCCATATATGAACTCGGTATGTTCTATATATGCCTTTTATCAGCGACACTTGACCACAGGGCGTAGTTGCTAAGGATTTCAAGGCTGAAGATAACGTACGAGCGTCTTCTATCATCCGCTGATTATGCAACTCACGCAAATAGCTTTGTTTGCAGTGTGTTGTTGCCAACATTGACGCCGACGCCGCCGAAAACAAGCCTATTGCTTCCCGTTACGATGTTGCTTCTTACCCCACCATCAAATTCTTTCCCAAGGGAGGCAAAGCAGTTGAAAGTTATGAAGGTGGACGGACCGAGCAGGCGTTTGTTACTTTCCTCAACGAGCGTTGTGGGACTCAGCGTGCAATTGGTGGTGGTCTTTCTGACGAGGTAGGTGGTGTGCCAAGCATTTTAGTTGCGGTGGTCTAAATCTTACGCCAGGCTGGCCGATTCCCTGAGCTCGACTCGCTTGCACAAAAGTTCTTGGTGGCTACTAGCAGTGCGCGGGACTCTATCTACAAGGAAGCTTTGGCGCTGTCTGGATCTGTCGGATCTACCGCTAGCCAATACACCCGCGTGATGGAAAAAATCATTGATGGTAGCGAGGAATATATCACGAAAGAGTCGAAACGGTGAATGAAATCTCCATAGTGTGACTGAATCAAGGCTGACTTTTGTCTTGTCAGTCTCGCATCCATTCTTAGCAAGCGCTCACTTGCATCAACTAAGCTAGATGAGATCAAGGTCAAGGCTAATATTCTCAAGGCATTTGTTGTAGAAAAGTTCGACGAGGCAGAAGAGAAAGTGTTTGGGAAGGCATCGGCTGAGCTGTGATTGTCTTTTTGCCGGTTGCACACTTATTACAGGACGCGTGATGACGCTGTTTCACCACGGTCATCAAGACTGCATTTGTTTCTTGTTTACAACTAATAATACAGACGTCCACTTCTCTTCAGGCCCGTTCCGAGCGTTTGGTTCTGTGAAATTCGACGAGCCGCTCGGGTTTTCAGCGTCCATAGAAGAGTAAGTGCATGTGTTTGACGCCTGTCCAGCGCTCAAAGTTGGATATCACATTTAACGCTGCCCTATACCCACAAAAAGCGTTTGGGAACGGACCCACCGGTAATACACGACTGTTCTTTTCCTTATCCTGCTCATCTCATCGGAACTTGCGGAGTGCCACCTGCTAGGTCACGCACTGAAGCTTGGTCTTTTAACAGATGACTCCAGTTACAGATAACATCAGCCCGTCTGATTCAGATTCTGCGCTCTCCTCAATTCCTTCAGACACGACGTATAGCTATTGGGAATCTGATCCGTCCGATACCAGTGAATTTTCTGACTCGCCAATCTACAGCGATCCCACGACCATGTTCGACCTTCTTCGTCCTCTACGCACAGTTCGTTTTTCTTCCAAGCTGAACCGATGGACACAAACTTCGAATTGCGGGAAGGGTATCAGGACACCATTACCCTCATCCATCACCATTATCAGCTGGAATGTTGATTTCTCGAGTTACAATCATACAGAGCGGCTTTTAGCGGCAATGGCTCATATTCAATACGACGTCCTACACTGCAAAACGATCAACGATCGCCCAAAACCCTGCTGCATTCTTCTGCAGGAGGTTAATCGCGAAGTGTTCCCTGTCATTCTTACACATGAATGGATTCAGAGATGCTTTATCGTGACACCCACATCTTATGATCAATGGCCTTCCCATTCCTCCTATGGCAACGTCACCCTTGTCTCGAGGAGTATACCAGTCAGCGGCTCATGGTCAATCGATTTTAGCAACTCGACCATGAGTCGTAATGCTCTTATCACAGACCTTAAGCTTAGCTTGCCATCACACACCGCCAATGTCGTAACGGTGAGGGTAGCAAACACTCATCTCGAGTCTTTGCCCATGGGGGCTAGAGCTAGGCCCGAGCAGTTGCAGCTCATTGCAGACGCATTACAAGAAGAGGGTATTCATGGAGGAGTGGTCTGTGGAGATATGAATAACATTGGGCCATCCGATTTGACGATAACGGATGATGCCGGGCTGGCCGATGCATGGATTGGAGAGGAAGATGATGAAGATGGTTATACCTGGGGTTATCAGCCTCGTTGCGAATATCCGCCAGGAAGATTGGACAAAATTCTATTCACGCCGTGTTCTGGTGTCATAGTGGAGCAACCGGAGAAAGTGGGAGTGAACCAAAAAGTTGCACAGGGCGAATGGGTCAGTGACCACTTTGGTCTCATGACCACCGTTCGTGTCGTATGAGAGAAACGTGGTCTCAGTCTCCAGGGGGTCTTGTTCGGATGCCCTCCCGACTTTGACCCACAACACAGTTGAGTACGTTTGTTTGATGACGTTGAGCACGTTGAGTACTCTTATGAGCTTCTTGACTGCGCGTTCTCGGGCTTCTGGTGTTATACATAATCGTTCTAGCGGAGTTATGGCTAGTTATGGTGCCTCGAATCAAATTATGATGTATTTTTGAACCCCTTACCATGTTGATCTGTCCCATGCGGATTCCGGCATGTGGTCGAGCAGCAATGGTGAGACTGAGACATAACCACAATTCCCGCCATTCGCAGCGGTAAGAAAAAAAATTCAGATTTAAAGCAGTATTCGGTCTCCGGACCAGGCCATTGAATGGAACTGAGTGTAAGAGGAGTGGAGCTGAACTCAAGATGCAGAATTAACAAAAAGCGGAGAAAATGAATTGTGGCGCGACTGACCGGGTATTTGGTCATCTGCGTAAACAAATTTGGTCGGAGACATAAATACAAGAGAATCCATCAGCAACCGCTTTTTTCACTTCAGTTGCAACTCTTTCCCTCTGAGCTCCCTTGCATTTGTAGTTCTCCTCTTCCCACCAACAATGAAGTCTGTCTTTATTTCCCTCGTCTCTGTTGCGCTTCTCGTCGCTGGAGCAGTCGCCCAGTCGTTCACCATCAACACCCCGTGAGTAGCCGTTGTCCAACGTTGTCTGTCGTAACCCCTTATCTTGCCTTGGTTACAGTGCCAATGTTGTGGAGTGTCAGCCTACCCTTCTTCAATGGTCTGGTGGAACTGGTTCGTCTCCGTATCCCTAGCGTTGTCATTTTCTAACTAATGGCTGACCGCAGGTCCTTATTACTTGGTTCGTGGATCTAACTATCTTTTCAAGTACTGACGTGTGTAGAGACTTACTGCTGTTACCGAATGTAGAGGTATTTGATTTCGTTCATATCAGTCTACTATCTGGCGGTTTGACCTTGATTGCGTTTAGTATCCTCCCTGGATCGTCTCCTGGCTCCGCTGCCCTTGAGGACCTTGGCCAGCAATCTGGAACTTCTGTGACATGGACTTGCAACATTGCAGCTGGTATGTTATTATTCATTAATTTTCTTGGGTTGCGTCACTTAACATATCCTGTAGGCACCTCAATTGGCCTCACACTACGTGACAGTACCGGTGCTACTGCCCAGTCCGCGCCATTCACAGTTAACCCTGGATGTACATACCATTCCCCTGTATCTTTATTATTTTTCACTTATTCTCTTTGCAGCATCCTCCTGCCTCAACTCTACTTCCAGTATTCCCTCTAGCTCTGCTACTGTAGCGTCGTCGAGCTCATCCGTCGTCTCTTCTTCTTCTTCAGCCGCTGCTGGATCTTCCGCATCGTCCCCAGTAAACTCTGCAAGTTCAACTGGCTCGGGCAGCGCAGCTACCACTGCGTCCTCGTAAGCACGATTTTGTTTTGCCATCTGACGTCATGCTTATGTCGTACAATTTGAACCAGTACTTCTGGTGGCGCTACCACGGGAACTTCCTCCGCTGCACCTACCACCACAAGCACGAATGCTGCACCTGCAAAGGCTGCGCAGTTTGGTGTTGCTGGTGTATTGGGTGCTGCTGCCGCAGCTCTTCTGCTTTAGAGGAGTGGTCAAAAGGTGGTTTGCCAAACCTTGACAAGTCTTTGTTATTTCTTTTGGACTTGATGCAGACTTTTACATGGGTGTTTGTTTATAGGCCCTCGCCATTCTCTTGTCTCTTCTGTTTTACAATTAGTTGCGTCATATATAACATCTAATAGGCGCTGCATTAACAGTTGTTCCGACCTGTTATACTCTTGCTGCGGATGTACTCATCTGAGCATTTACTTCGCGCTATTTACTTTTTCTCGTTTCTTAACATATCGCAGACATTCGGATTTTTGGGAGACCATAGTGTACGCTGGCCAACGTGTCTTACGATCCGAATGACATTCAGTTCTCTACCTAGAATTTGATTACTGTGTTTGATCATATTTGCAATTTTATGGTGTATAGAGTGGTATTGATTATTTGACTGATAAATTGTTCAAGCTTGCGTTGAGCTGTGCCAGTTGGGCGTCTGTATCTGACGGAATTTATTATGTTACTTACGTATACCATTAACAGCAACTCAGTCTCTCGGAATGAAGTCGTTGAAGTAATTCAGGTTGAAGTGCCTGTTATTGGAAGGCTACGAAAAAAACCTAATTTTCCGGAGTTGTATGTCATTATTCATCGAGTGCGTTGACGTTGATTTAGTTGCATTTCTACTTCTCTTAAATGTGACCGCAGAACTCGAGGGGGTCCTTGCCAGTGTGGGTTACTTTAAAACGACCATCCTGGTCCATGAGGTCGAGACATGTCACTGGAGATTTGAACCTTGCTCCCTTTTCTCTTTTCTTTCACGTTTAACACCACGCCTAGCTAGAAAGACTGGACTATCTCGGAGCTCTGTAGGCTCCGATTGCACCTTCAGGCTATTTCTCCATTCGAAGGGATGCTCTCAGATGACCTGTCTTTATAATTCCTGCCGGTCTTCTCATATGTCAACGGGCCTGATTCATACCAGCAAGCAGATACCTACAACTTGAAGGTCTTGCTTTTTCGAGAAAGAAGAATCCTCTAAAGGGCCCCCCCACATATGCGAGCGGAATTCCACTTCATCCAAATGCGATTATAAACTTACTTCCACGCTATCACCCAGCTACCAAACAATACAGCTCCTTGGCAGTTTATTGATACAAGACTCCGCTTGCCAATGTACCCAATGTTTCGACGAATCTCTATCGATACACCCTTCCGACAGCGCACAGTCGACAGGAGACCCTGGTACAATCGATCACCATGAAATTGGCGGGGCCGCCGCTTGCCTTCGACGAAGAAACTTCGGACCTTTTGTATGATCGCTTCTCACTTGAGGGTTCAATACAAACTGCACTTGTAAAGTGTTCTCATAGGTACCGGATTTTCCTCGTTCTCACCAGCACGTCCATCCTGTCAAAAATATATAGCAACATAATTTTAACTTTACTTACCCCGCATCTGACCTGATGTGGTCCTGGGGTTGATCTCGAAGCTAAATGTCCGCCCACGCCAAGTATGAGGGATGCATGTTATAAACCGCTGTGCACAGAAGTTTTCCCGTCGCGGCTCTAACACCTTTGCATCCCTTGATACCCCTCACTGACCAGGCCTTTTTGCTCATGGCTGTCCCGGAGTGGACCCTCGCAGACTTCATTCACCGGGGATATTGGTGGCACAATCGTGGTATGTACCACTCGTCATTGTGCGTCGGTCCAAGGCTAATTGACAACTGAAATTGCAGGCATCTTACTTTTAAACATATGCCTGCTATTGCCTCTGTTGTCGGCTGCCGTGAATGGTCTCGATTCCTCTATGCTTAATGGTACGTAACTTTGTCGAGATCATGCATTCATGGCATTGAGATACCAAACAGGCTTGCAAATTCTTCCTGGATGGCAGAATTACTTCCACTGGCCACAGGGCGAAACGTTAGGTAGGTTGAATATCTGTTTTCATTAGGACCTGATCCTCATCTACATTCCAGGTCTCATCAATTCAGCCCAAGGCATTGGCGCTCTAGTTGTCAGTAAATTTACATTAGCATTTCGCACAAGTTTATTTGTGACCTCACCTTTGATCAGGGAATCCCATTCTCTCCTTTTTTGTCCGACGCCTTTGGTCGACGAGCAACCTTGTTCGTCGGATCTATCATAATGCTCGCCGGTGTTGCGACCCAATCTGCTGCACAAAATGTTGCAATGTTCATTGGTGCCAGAGTCATTCGTATGTGTACTTTTAGAAATTCCTCTTGAATCCCACGCGTGACCTGAATTGTCCGCATAGTTGGCGTAGGCCTCGCGTTTTCTCTTAATGCCGCGCCATTGCTCATTAGTGAGCTTTCGTATCCAACTCAGGTGAAAGGCACCGAAATTTGATCGTGCGAACTGTTCTTATACGAGCTTTTAGCGCGGTAAAGCCAGCTCTCTATTCAACACACTGTGGTATATCGGCAGTATTGTTTGTGCGTACCTATCATATATCGCTTCTGACAGGCACCAAAGAATCACTCACAGCTGCCTGGATATGTCTTGGAGCCTACGATAGAGCAGGAGCTTCACCTTGGTCATGGAGAGTCCCTGCCCTTGTTCAAGCCCTGGCGCCTATGTTACAGGCCTGTTTAGTCTGGTAAGTAACTCCGGCATAAGTTTCGTATGGTATGTTCACCTCAAGTCTCGCTGGAAGGTTTATTCCAGAAAGTCCTCGTTTCCTCGTGTCCAAAGGTCTAGTGAGTGGTCCCTATTCATATCACCATGTCAGTATTGTGGTTAAATGTTCTATCTGAACTCTGTTACTCAGGAATCCCAAGCTGCTCGTATTTTAGCTCGCTATCACGCGAACAACGGGGATGACCGTGATCCGCTCGTCCAATTCGAGATGGCACAGATTCGGCACGCTCTAAAATTGGAAAAGGAAATTAACAAGGGTACTTCCTATTGGACACTCTTCGCGACACCAGGAAACAGAAGGCGTATGGTGACAATCATCGGCATTGCCATGTTTTCGCAGTGGAGGTGAGCTCATAAACTAATGGCACTAGCAATGGGGAGCGTTACTCAACCACTGTGTAGTGGTAACGGTCTCGTGTCCTATTATATTAACATAGTCTTGGATGGTGTTGGTATAACAAGTACGCGCACCAAAGAGGCGATAAACGGTGGCCTGCAGGTAAGCCATTGAAGTCTTCTGGCGGGGCGAGTTTGAATTGGGCACACCATTAGGTCTTCAATTTGATTAGTGCACTCTCAGGCGCTATGCTCGTAGATAAAATAGGCCGAAGGAAGGTTTTCATTATCTCGAACATTGGCATGCTGGTCGGTCAGTAACGCATTTACCTCCTTAATGTTGATCATCGTCTGATGGATAGTGTCTAGACTTTTCAATGTGGACACTTACAACCGCTCTTTTTAATACGTCTGGTAATAGTGCGGCAGCCAAAGGTATTTGTTCTCATTCCATGATCATGAGCAGGATACGAAGACTCGGTTTTCAGCCACCGTTCCGCTCATTTTTATATATTACTTCTTCTACGACTTCGCCTACACGCCAATGCTGGTGGCATATACCTTGGAAATTCTGCCATACAATATTCGTGCTAGGGGGTATGCGGTTATGGTAGGCCCATTCTCAATCTACTGCTCTGCTGACCGAGCTCACCACGCGAGTTTCTAGAATTTCACTGTGTATCTGACAATCGCTTTTAATCAGTTTGTGAATCCATGGGCTTTGAATGCTATAGGATGGAAATATGTAAGATATGGTCCTGACTATATTCAAATGTACTGATTGCACATTTTCATATAGTACCTAGTGTACTGCGGATGGCTCATTTTGGAGCTAGTATTCGTTTTTGTTTACATCATTGAAACGAGAGGTAAAATGTCTTGTTGCTGTTTTCAGAAATGGCGTTTTGACGTTGATGAATCCAGGTCGTACACTTGAAGAAACTGCTGTTCTATTTGATGGTGACAAAGCCCCTCAAGACCTGGCTGACAGGGGTGGAGAAGCAGCTACATTGACAATGAGCAGGCCACAAATTGCCGGACCATCACGCCCAGAAAAGGACGCATCAGACGAATACCTCGAGCTGCAGGAAGGCAGCGGAGTACGTAACTACTCGAGGACGCAATCACAAACAGACTCACAGTCAGAGGAATCCGCAATCGCTATTACTGTTGCAGTATAAAAAAGCCACGACCCCCATACGATCTGTATTTTTATGCATTATTTAGGTGTACATGTTTGTTTTATATTCATGTTCCTTAAGACACGTTTAAGGACCGTACTGTACACTTGGCTAGTTAACTTCCACGACAACGCCCACATCTTTAATAAATATTTGGACCTCATTCATAAAGCACGGGAACAAACCCCAACCATCAACATCAATCTCTACTTCTTGCTTCTGAGATCCCGTTTCCAGATAGCTGAAATATGTTGCACCTCCATGTTCCTATAATCATTGTTTGACAGCTTATTTGACAGGCATAACAAGCATATTATGTTCAAACTTACCAATCCAACGTTCATACGAATATATTGTACCAAATTTTCCAAGCTACTTCACACATTAAGAGATATGCCTGAGTAAGCTGCTATAAATGGTGACACAAGGGTATCCAGTGACATACCTTCTGGTCGCATTGCTTACAACCACAGCGCATCCCGGATATAAGGAATTTCCTGCTCGCACGAATCCAATGCAGTTGCTATTTTCGACGTAGTCCCTCGTTGGACCATAGGCGAAAATTTTCCGAGCTATCAGCAGTTGCTGCAGCTGTCTTGAGACTGTCTCGTTGTAGCACTCCTGATTGGGATATAGATCTCCGTAGAAAACGCACCTGTGAATTGGATTTAAGTTAACAATTAACCAGGGCGATATCGTTACCACTTACGGATACCCATCTTTTCGTAACAAGATCAATGCATATGCCTGAAGTTTAAAGTTTGTGTCCACCTAATCGAGGTCAAGTGGGAAATTTGGTCATAACGGTGCGAATTTTTTGATGGCTTACCCAACTTTCCAGCGACTGTCCAACCTGCTATAGCCAATGAACGTGTGAGTATCAAGGTGAGCGTGACTAACGATACTCACTGTGCTAAAAAGTACGAAGCAATCAGCACGAAACTGCATGGTAATGCGGTAGTTTTACTAACTCGTGGTTGTCGACGAATGTAACAGCATCCCCGGGTCTAACGTTCACGAGAGTGTTGTCAAATATGGTCCTCAGGTCATAGCCAGAACCTGCTTTGCTTGCTCGAAAAAAATTCTCGTGCAGTGGGACGTCAAAAAAGGCCGTCTTGTAGACATAAGCAAGTGCAACAACCATCATTCATATAATATAGAGACTGACTTGACCCTGGAATGCCTGAACATAAGGCAAAATCAGCTGCAAACTATCCTACGTTAACACCGTCGACTGATACCGAGCGTCGAATTTACACTCACTTTGCGGACCAATATTCTGCCACTGAAAAAAGCCTTCTTCTATCTGGATGTTCGCGACTTCTTTTGATCTAAGCGGTTCCGTTTGATAAAGAGTTGGGAGAACAACTACGATTTCTCACAAATTCAAGAAGGAATCGTCTGTCCATGTGTTTGATTGCATCCAGTCGAAATCCGCTACCGCCGGTGGTCTTAGGACAAAAATTGAACGACGATACATGGACGCCACGCCATTTGATACGCACGTCTAGAATCCACGATCCCCATGAGAATAGATCCTGCCGAACTCGTGGGTGTCGATGATCAATCTGCAATGCCACGAGAAAAAAGAAGATTAGAATAGCCTTCAAACATGATGGAGTGCACGACAGACATCAACTCCAAGCAAGTAATCATAGTTCCCAAGTTCTTTATCTACCCACTTCGACCATCCCCTGTGCCCATTACCTGTGATGCGAAACACGCCATTGGTTCGTGATTGGTGATCCCAGTCCAACCCTATGAATATATGAGACGAAGTATCAGAACAATGGAATGTATCTCGAACCAGTGAAGTGTTCCTGTGTCCACACGAAACTGCTATGCTAGGTGAGATGTATCTATGTTGCTAGTTTGAGATGTAATAGTGTCAACTTTACCTTTCCTTTTCTTCCGGGGAAGTCGAAGACGGTCCATCCCTGTGAGTGAAGTATGCCAAGCTGTCAGTTACACATGGCAAAACATATGGCAGAACTCACTTGAATTTGCCTTTCTTTCCCAAGGTCCTTAAGCCTGTTCGTCGGGTCAACGGGGACGGCGGAGAAAGCTTCGCACCTATCAGCGCCGAGTTTGTGCTTATGAATCCATGAGTCTTGCGAAGGATAGTATCAGGTCAAAAAGGTACATTTAACACGGCATCAATAACGACTCCAATTCCATGTTGCCTTGCCACAGCACAGGCCTGAAGCAATTCATCCTTGGTTCCCCACCTAGTCGCAATGGTGTCCTTCTGGTCGAATTCACCTATATCCCACTACAAAACGTGATGAGTTAAACGTGTGTGTTAAACCACCTCTGAGCGAGAATTTGTACGTACTAGGTCATAAGCATCGTAACCTTGTCCGCCCTTGATAAAACTAGAACATTAAAGGAGATGAGCGTAGAGGAGAATTACACCCCTACCTTCTTCATTGCTTTGTTTGGAGGGGGCAGCCATATCTGCGTAAAACCCAATTCTGCCAACCGAGGAATCTCTTGCTCAAAGTGTTTCCACCAGCTCATATTTTCATGCTTCGATTCCCAAGTGAAAAATTGGAGCTAAGTCGAACGCATCCTTTAAGCACCACTTCTGTAAACCTCCCCAACGAGAACAAACCGCACCATCATAGGATTTTGCGCACTACCATCAGGACCAAGCTGCATCCCAGATAAGGCTGGAGGTGGCCATACCCCCAACTTGCGGTAGAGTTTGTCCTTGATATCGCTGATGGTCCTAAACATAAAGCTCGAGCTGAAAATTAATATTTGGAAAAATAGAAGGTTGAACTAATTCTTAAAGGCTTAAGCGCTTGAGTCTGAGTGCATATCACGCAATAGAAAACGTTCCAGTCAACAATATAGATGCATTTCTCCAACATGCATTTTCCGAGTCGCAGGCAGGCTCTGAACCCTGTTCACCTCAAGCGCTAGTAGTGGGTTTGGGAAAGAGCCTGGTAAGAAAGGACCCGAGCCCTCTATTTTGATCAACAAGCACGCTCGACAAATTTAAACTCCGATGGTTCATATATAAGGTCGACTTTTATTTTTCTGGTTACCGTTTACCTGACCATCGTACACATCCCTGTCCTCTGTTGGCGTTCCGCTTATCATTGGGATACTGGATGTGATTTCAGTTTCTGGAAGTTATGGTCTATAGTGACAACGCCTCTTTAATCGCTCTAATCACGAATATCTACGCTGAGAGGAGTTTCATGATGCGGCAACATCTTACCCTGTCGTCTCCAGTTCTGTAGGTTTGGGGCATTTGGTTATGTACGGGAGTCATTTAGAGCTACTAGTATGTTTTGCAGTCCTAAGTACGTATACAACATTGCCCTCATTATATCCATTGTCTGTTCCGAAAATATGTATCTTTACCAACGTGAAAAATGTAGACACTGGGTCTCTCGAAATTAAATCCACGATCGCAATCATTCATCACCATTATAAGCAATCATGGTAAAAGGTCATGAGTACTGTCTAGCGTAAACATATAATGCGCTTTATTTATCACGACGAAAACACGGACCAGAGAAGACCAACTAGCGAGGTCGACTGAAACTTGACCCTGCACTAACTCTCCCAAAGCGCCTGGGTACTGTATCTGTATCCTTCACTGGCGACAGTTCAGTGGGTATGTTCAAGCCGCTATCACCCTAGACAAGGCGCAGTATGAAGTTGAGACTACCAACAAGAGACCAGGAACGTACCTGGGCCATCTGATTCCAACTAAATGCGGGAGGCTGCGCCGCTGGAAATATGTTAATCTTCCGTTTCTTCTTTTTGGGTACTGAATCCTCCTCTTTCGCACTGTCATCCTCCTCTTGAACGGTGGGCAAGGCCTTGACCCCACCACTCGTAATCCTCTTTGATTTCCCTTTCTCAGGGGGGTCGCCCCTTCCCACCTCAGGGGTAGCCTTTTTACCGCGCTGTTTATTCGTTTTGTCCTCCTGATCATCTTCTGCAGCCACTTTCTTTGGCCGACCACGTTTCCTTTTGGCTGCAGTGTCTTCAGTTTCAACAGACGACACCGGCTGCTTGTTTTTGGACTTGGTCGAAGGTTCGATTATTTCCACGTCGCTGTCAGCTTCCCTCGCAGCACGACCGCGAGATTCTGGTTTCTGTATTTCTTCCAGGGCTGGAGAAACATGTTTTCGACGACTCGGTGGACTCGGTTTTCGCTTGCTACGTTGCTTAGTACCTGTTTCGTTAGATGATGCCGATGATCTGATGACCTCTTTCTCCACTTCGTCTTCTGAGGGTATTCGGTCAACCGAGGCATACCGTTGCACAGGTGATGCCTTTATAAGAGGCTTAATTAGCTGGTGTTTTAAACATAGCGCATGAGGTTATTACCTTGGACGATGACGGCTTTGGGTTCGATCGAATAGCCTCTAACTGTGATTCTAGCCTTTCTACCTGTTTATTGGCTTTCGCCAGCTGTTTGTGGGTATCTTCAACATGCTTCTCGTTGACTTCAGCTGCAGCTTGCTGGTCCTCTGCCTCCTTCTACGTTTATCGGTGTTGGAAATTTTAAGATTGGGCAGATTTTGATCGAAGTGACATACCTTCCATGCCTCTAACGTCTCCCTCAGTTTGTCTACTTTCCTTCTCTCCTTCTCAAAAGCAGCCACTTGCCCTTGTAATTTTTCTTCCGCGTCACCCACTTTACGCTCTATATCCTTTGTACGAATCTCCAGATCAATCTTTTGTTTGCGCACATTATCCAACTCAGCTTCGCCTCTATTTTCCAAACTTTGCCACTTGTCTACTTGGCGCTGAAGCTCCGAGTTGCTGCGTTTGAGGTCGTCATTAGCCTGCTTGAGTTCATCAACTCGCGTTAACAATGTGTCTCGCTGGAGGGTAATACGCTCCAGCTTTGACGAGGAAGAAGCAGATTTTGAGGCAGAGTCTGCATGTTCTTCGCGTAAATGTCGCAACCTATCCTAGGGAATATGTGAGGACATGATCAAAGTCAACACTTTAAGATGAATACCTCGGCATCTTCTTTATCCTTACGAGCAGCCGTCAGTTCAGCAGCCATGTCCTTCACTTCCGTCGCAACAATGGTGTATTTCTTCTGCAGGTCTGTCATAGCCTTCTGGTGCTGTTCATTCAGGACTCGAACTTCGTATTCCTCGTCAGCTCTCCGAGCTTCAAGCTCATCTTCCAACTCCAGGACTTGACTTTCCAAGTCGGCTTCTCTGGCTTGGAACATCGTGATTTTATAGTCCCTCTGTAGCCTTGCAAGCCTCTCTTCTCTTAGCACGCCCCTCTCCTTCAGCACGATGATCCTCTCTTCATCTAAAGCTGCACTTGTCCTCAGATGTGCAATCCGATGACAAGCCTGTAAAGTCTCGCATCCCTCACGCCACTCTTTCCGCTCGTCCTTCCACTTGGTTTGCACGACTTGGATAGCGTCTTTAGCACGCGCCTCCTCTAGCGAAAGCTCATCCTTGAGCTTCTTGATCGTATGCTCGAGCGTCCGGTTTTTCTGCACCAAGTCGTCAATGTGAGCCTGCTGCGAGTTGACCATAGCATCGTAAGGTGCAGATGGCATCGTCGTACGGAGTGGTGTTGGTGCCTTGAGCGGGACCTTCGATGGCGTTGGTCCTCTCTTCTGCGACATCATTGTTCTACGTGGTAGACAAACGTGTGCGAGTGAGTATTCGCCTTCTATATATTATGGCACGTGGAAGTCTGAGCAGGTGGGAGTACTGCAATTGTCAACTTGAAATGAACAGCTTATCGATGAAACATGAGACACACAAGTTGCAATATAGCTTCAAAATCACATATCCATTCTGTTTGTCAAGGAACTTGAATACGATACGAAGCTAACCGATGCCTGTCATATGTATATAGAACCCTAACCTTACACTCTAGTGTTTATATGGGTCTACATACAACCTCATACAACTCAACAATTATACAGTTCCAATGGAAGAAGCCAAGGTTTTTAGATGGTATCGTAAGATGAGTCTAATAATAATCGTCCTTGTTTAGTGTAGAACATTTACAACAATTGAACCCAGTGGTTTCATGGACTTAAAACTTATGTTTTGAGACCATGTATGCCGTAATTTAGAGAACCAAGTGTAAACCCTAACCCCGACAGAGATTTCGATCTCTCATGTCGCCTAGAACCGGAAAACCAGTGGGCAGCATAAAAGTCAAAGTCCCTCGGCACAATGCCCATCGAATAGGAGAAAAACTAAATGTGCACATAAAGAACGTCGCTAAAAGCCAGGGAAACCGTGTGGATATCTATCAACCCAACTTCGAGGGTTCCAGCAACGCTTTAGCTCTTGCCATCGTAAGTGATTGCATGTTCAAGTTCCTGAGGAGGGAAGGACATTTTGAATCTGATTTTCTTAGCAGGAAAGCGCATCCGAATGGAATTCTTTGCTTCAAACCGCACGTGCAGAACGGGGACCTCAATGGGATGTCGGAACCCAACAGTATGTCCACACAAGCTATGACCCTCTCACTCATGTGTAACCCACCACTTAGGTTCCTAGTAGACGTAGGCTCTGACCTGTACTATGATCCAAGCCCTCTTCTAGAATACCAAAAGCAACAACGGGCAGAAGAAGAAGCCGCAGCCGCAGCGTCTGGACGTGGTTCAATGCAGCCACCAGAATATCTCCCTGGCGCGCATGACAATCACCCCTCCCCTCGCATGATGCGAAGCCATTCTTCCAACTACCAGCAGTATGGCCATGGTGCTCCTATGTCACCCAATGTGGCCCATGCCTCACCGAGACATCCTGGTCAGATGGGCGGGTTTTCCGGTGCGTTCAATGCTATACCCCCTAGCCAGTTTTATGGGCCAGGCGAGACTGCCTCTCCGGCAAGGATGGGGCTGAATCGAGAAGGGATGAGTATGTCGCCTGATATCAGGCGGAGAGTGACTAGAGGTATGGTAGAAGACGGGTATATGGGGCTACATGGACCTTGAGGCTTTGACGTTTGTTTACTTTCCGTATGTAATCCGTGCAATATATTCCCGCTTGCCCTCATTTACTTTCCTTCATAGTTCGCGATTTTTCTTGTTTTTCTGTAGATTATCTGACAGACGGAAATCTTATCTCCATGTAGAGCAACCTGTACTTTCTGGTGCGCATACTGAGTGGACTGTTTATCACTGTGTCAGAGAAATAGCAGGCTGAAATAAAAGAGAAGATAGCGCAATTATGACATCGCTGTCTACTATTCATGGAACGTGGAGCAAGATACATGCCAACATCCTTCTGGCTATCTCCCTGTCCTCCCGCTCAAAATGTTCTAGCAAGAGCCTTGTCAATCAACTCTCTCACTCCGTTCTGCCAAGTCTCCCATGTGACCGATAAAATCGTAGTATCTCTCCCATGCCCTCGCGAGATATCATCTGAACCCGGAAGATTCCCCTCTTTACCTTCAGGAAGCACCCACGTCCACTTCATCGACCCTTCGTACGTGAACCCCATCCTTGCTGCAGCTTTCAACGAAGGAGCATTGCCCGGATGACAGCACCAATTCACTCGCCTCAATCCCAGCCCTGGACGCGATGTTTCAGGCTTCTCAAGACTGTGTCGCAACATCGCGCCCACCACATGAGTCGTAACATGTGTTCGCTGGAAAGCAGGCAGGATCATCACCGCACCTATCTCCACGACAAGGTTCTGCGGTGAATGGCTGAGGAACGCTACCCCACCGGCCAACGTTCCGCCAAAGTCGGGATGCGCGTCGTCTGGCTTGGTCTTGTCGATAATCGCGAAGAGGACAGAGTAGGGGTTCTGACGAATGGAATTGTCTATGAACACTAACGCATCTTCCGGCTTCTCCATGTTGAATGGCAGATAGCGGTAGAAATATTCTGGGTCTGGTATACCGGCGAAGAATGTTTCGGCGTGTTTGGCGGGGATGAAGGGGGTCAGCTTGATGCGATCAGTCTCGAGTGTCTCCTCGATGAGGGGGAATGCGATGTTAATATCGTATGGGTCTGGACCGTAAGGACCGTATGCTGGCTTTACGGGTTTCGTTGGGGTGTAGGTATTGATGTAAGACATCGCTATCGGTGACTGAGCTCAAGGTGGACCAACCACTGAAATATGTAGCATAGATTGTACTAGATACAGGTTTCTTTTATCGCTTTTCGTGGTTGGGGAAGTTACGCGCTGTCATTCGAGTCAGTTTCGGAAACGGCACACCGCTGTTCCGCTTTTGCATGAACATGTGAGCGCCAAGTTACCTGTAGTTGACTTGCAGGGTACCCTAGCCTATAGCACCCTGATGGATTAGCAAGGGCCAGTTCGATCTTTCTTCTCAGACCTCTGACGTCCTTTATCTAACAACTCAGTCCAATCTACTCATGCTGTTGTTGTATACAATTTAAATACATCCAGGTTCCCCAAATACACGTAACGTTCTGCAAGTAAAGCAACTGTTGAAGTTGCGGTTATGTATCATGATCCGAAATTTTTTGATCGAATGGCTCTGTGCATCAAGCGATACTAAACGCTTAGACTTGGCAAAGGAGTTCCCCATGCAGGAGAGCGAACCATCCATCTTCCTTGCCACTCCACTCTTGCCAAACTTTCGAATACTTCTCGAGGTCTGCTTCGGTAGCGAAACCGCCATTGACGGCGTGCTTGGCAAACGAAGAGCTTACGACACGTTCGGCCCAAAGGCCACCCCACCATGCGCGTTCCTTCGGGGTGGCGTAGCACCAAGTACCAGCGGTACATGTGATACTACTCCGATCATAGCCAGCTTCCAATGCCCAGGAAAGAACTCTACGACCAGCATTAGGCTCGCCACCCAACGAACGCGCAACCTTCTCATACAGCGTAAAGAAATCTCCCATCCCTTCGACTTCCGGGTACCACGTCATTGCCTTGAAGTCAGTTTCGCGGGCAGCTACGAGGCCACCTGGCTTCGTAACACGGCGCATCTCGCGCAAGGCTTTGACAGGATGAGGAATGTGCTGGAGGACTTGGTGGGCGTGTACGACGTCAAATGTGTCATCTGGGTAGTCGAGTGCATGGATATCGCCCACTGCGAAATCGACGTTGCTTACACCAAACTCAGCAGCTGTTTCTCGTGCTTTGTTGAGGATATCGGGAACAGGTTCGATGCCGGTGACATGACCTTGTGGGACCAACCTCGCTAGGTCAGCAGTGATAGTACCAGGTCCACATCCAATGTCAAGGATTTTCATGTCTGGTTTGAGGGAACCTTGGAGGTACGCAGCAGAGTTAGCTACGGTGCGCCAAGAGTGAGCGCGGAGAGCGGATTCGTGATGACCATGGACATAAGTTTGGTTGTCGGTCATTCTGTCACGATATTATACTGCAGAAGTGTAGCAGTCAGTAGAAAGTAATAATAACAAATTCAAGGACTGTCTGAAAGATACTAACAAGCTAAACGATTCAAGGTTTGTTTGGAGTGGTCGATTCTGTTATTATAAGGGTGAAAGATCGTGAGTATATGATTCGGTTCTTTCTTTCAATTGATTCAATCTGACTGGACTGGACAATGTGGCCGAGTTAATCCGATGCCCAAGTTAGAGAAGAGTTTGTCACCAACGTTGACCAAAATCTCGAGCTCAAGCTCAAGATAAGTTCAACCTGAGTCTAGACTATCATATACAGACGGTCATGTGCATTGAATATTATAAGGTCAGAACTTACAGTCCACTTCAAGCCATATTTTCCCAGCATTTCCAAATATGGCTCGAAACGGATATCTCGTCGGTGGCGCAGGAGCGTTGATTTCTTTGGAGCGATGACGACTGTCAAGTAAAAGCTGAAAATACAAATCATAACAATTTCGCCGAACAAGTCAATCAGACTGACCTGAAACGGCGAAAAACACCACAGGTGTACACCAACTTCTACCGAATGACTCAATGCGCCATACAAATGACCGGCTTACTGACATCATCAATTGGCTTTTCGAAGTCTGGAGCTCCCAGTTACCCCTTTCTAATCAAAGCATGCTGAGACCTAGGACTGACGACATGCGAATCCACTTCTAGGGTTTCGATAGGGGACATATCTCAGCCCACTCGCCGTATATAAGGTCTCTACCTTTTGCGTAGTAAAAATCAATTCAGTCCCCACATCCAACACATTTTATATCTAACCCACTTCACAAACTTTATAATGTGGTTCACTCACGATTCAAACGAAGCCCAAGCACACCAAGAGGTATGCTGATGACACTGGTAATCCATATTGCTCGGGCCTAACCTCTGCCCTCAAGGTGACTGGTGGCGGACACAAAGCCAAGATCTCTCACGAGCTCATCGCCGCAGCTGCCTCCTATGAGGCTGCCAAAGCCTACGAACATCATGTGAAGGCCAACGGTAAACCTGCCAACCATCAGAAAGCTATCGAACTTGTGTAAGCATAATGACTGGTTATGTGGGATGAGTTTCTTAACTTTCTTCTTATAGAGCTGCACTCACTGGTGGTTTCATCGACCGCTTAGCTGAAACAAAAGGCATGGATGAAGTTGACAAGGAACGTGCGAAGCACGATGGTCAGTGAAGCGTTTGTATGGACTCTACATATGCTAACTTGTTTTTCAGCTAACAAGAGGGCAGAAAGCGCACTGTCCAAGTCTGGCGAATTTTAAGCGGACATATAATATCAATTTGTAGCAAATCGGATTGTATCGTAAAGTACTTGTCTTGTATAGTTTCTAGATCGCCAACGAACGGTTTTGACTTCTTCGCAAAAGCAACGTATTGATGAGAATTTTCTGAATCGAACCTTGATGATAGATAGTGAGAATACTCTTGTATAATTGAACTGGCTTGAATATTGATATACTTAAATTTCAATGCCATAACCATCCAAAATACATGTCGCATACAGTTGCCTAAATCACAGGTAGGCCACACTCTGCATCGAGAGATCCTTTGTTACGACACAGCGATCTTTGTCTCGTCCAGTAGGCGTTACAAATGCTTTCATCAACGACTCTTGGCCTTCGTCAATCCTGATGACCAAATTGCCATTAAAAACACGCTGGATTCGCATGAAATGTACACACCATTTCGCCCCATGTCCCTCTCGTTCCAAAATAACCTTGACCGTCGTCCAAGAAAATCGAACTACTGACGGAAAACCAAATGTAGGGTCGATGGAATTTTTGAGCCAAGCCTGTGTTTTGGGATCTGCCCGACGCTAGTAAGCCCAAATATTTCATGTCACCGACAAAACCTACCCGAAGGGTAGCCACTGCCAAATTCAGTTGTCCATGTTGATGAAGAATTGACGACCTTGTTACCTTTGCTTTCCTCAAAGATCCATCCTTCCAAGCATGCATCTCGAGTTACTTTTGCAGCTACACTTGCAGCTCCCACAATCTTGAACTTTGAATCGGCTTTTGTCGTTACGGTGAAGTTGATTCCAGGGAATACTGATGACAAGTAGGCTTCGTAAGTTGTTGTGGTCCCCAAAGCATCTACATAGACCTGAATTCAAGTTAAGCGGAGGGCGGCGACGACGACTGCTTACACCTACTTCAGAAAGTTGGATGCCTCGCTGAATAACTTCGCGTATCAGCAGTATAGTGGCATCTTGGGACTGGCGGTTCAGATTTGTTGGTGGCACGCGTAACATGCCACTCGATATTGCCTGAGGACTGAAACAAACATGTATTAGGTGACCGTCCGTTCACAAATGCAGGACATAGCACCTACCTAATCACTCTTACGGACCAGCCAAGGTTTTTCGGATCTGAACCCAATATACTCAGAAGTAACGATCGCTTCTCCGCTGTGAGTGTTTTTGAATCTGAAGCACACACATCGAAGATTCTATCATCAGCGTCACAAACGATATAGCACAAGTGCATAGTTTAGAGGGAAACGCATACCTGCGAATCCAAGCTCTTCCAAATCTGCCTGGTAGGATGCAGGGCAATATGCGACGCCATATACGAGTGGACCCAATACAGGGCCTCTGCCTGCTTCATCGACGCCCAAGATGTATGGACCTGGTGCTGTTGGTGTTGGGCAATGATACGTGTATGAGTTGGTGAGGGGTGTTGAAGGTCCTGGTATAGAAGGAACATTCGAGCCACTTCGTTCAGGTTCTGGGGTAGGCATTTGCTGATAAGTGTACTGGAGTTACGGTTATGATACTTCAATTCAATACCAAAATAAGGACATGGTTGTACGAATCGCGATCATATCGGCTTCGTACGCGTTGTTGACACATATTTGGAGTAGGTACGACACACGATGGAACAAACACAAAAAGAAAATATGGTCTTACCGTCTTTGCCCGCTGAGCGCTTTCACCAATCAGAAGGACGACCAAGAATGTGCCACTCAATTGGAAGCGGTACTCAGAAAGGGCGGCTATATGCTGTACATTATTTTCCCCATCAACGCGATACCCAAATACGGAGCACCGATAACACAAGCGGACGCCTCCCCAATGGTGATGTCAGTCTGCTTGACGGTCAAGTAGGCCAAGTAAGTACTAACGCATTAGCACCACTCGTAATCACGATCCTTAAGTCTAGCCATATATCGTATATGTGACAGACATTATCATCTCTTTGAGGTCGGCTGCTGGACTTAAAAAGCAGCTTTCGAAACCGCTATTTGCCCTAGTTTTCTCAGGCTGAATCTCCTTGGTTCTCTCTCAGGTTCTCGTTCGTTGGCTTCGACCCCTTATAGCAACTTACATATGGTAAGTAATGGCTTGTCCTCAAAGTTACACGATCGTCCGTGTCGTTTCTACAGTCATGTTGGTGGTGACACTTGTTTTGTAAGAAAAAATCTGCCCCTCTACCTCCGGGACCCAAGCCTCTTCCTATTGTAGGCAATGCCTTCGACATTAACATTGAGGAACCATGGTTGACATATACAGAATGGGGCAAGAAGCACGGTACGTGAATGCACTCTTCTATCGTTTCATAATAATATCAGCTTTGTTTGTCAGGTGGAATCGTCTACTCTCGTGTACTTGGAATTGATTTCATTATCATTAATAATGAAAAAATCGCGAGGGACCTGGTGGACAAACGCTCTAAGAATTACTCGGATCGACCAGTCATATCTACTAACAAACTGTGCGACACCCAGCTACTATATGACTTATGCGTTGCTGATATCTGCTAATAGGTTTGGAGTGGATTTTAACTCGGCCCTTCTCCCGTATGGTGACAAATGGCGACTACATCGACGGATCTTCCATCAAGCTTTTCGAGTTGATACCGCTGCAGTCTATCGTGATATGCATCTACGCAAAGTTCAGGATCTTTTGGTCAGCTTACTCGATGCTCCAGAAGAATTTGAATCTCACCTGAAAAGGTGTGTTCGTGTCTCAATGTGGTTAACTATTAAGCACATTTAAACCCATGCAAGCTTTGCAGCATCCATTATAATGAAAGCTACATATGGATATGATACTGCCCCGCGTCATGATCTCTTCGTTGATCGTGTGGAGGAGCTCATTAACATTATCACAGTCTATATATCACCCGAGCGAGCAGCCATACTTGGTGCTTTACCCTTTTGTGAGTTCAAAAGCCATCAGCATTTTCGACTCCCGCACTCATATAACGACTCAAGTACAACGAACTCCTTCGTGGGTACCAGGAGCTGGCTTTATGCGAACTGCTCAACGTTGTCGAGAGTTGGCTATTGAAGTGAAAGATGCACCTTTTGAGTATGTTAGGAAGGCTATGGTTTGTTTTTCTTTGTCGATGATTTGGGACATTTGATGTGGACTAAATTATGTCTAGGCTGCCGGTACAGCTGTACAATCCATGGTTTCTGACTCCCTTAATCGAATTGAAGGAGATGTCAATTCTGGTGAGGAAGAGCTCGCATTAAAGGAAGCCGCTGCCACTGCGTTTATTGGTAAGTTATTGATCTTGTCACCATTTTTTTTCTTCTTACTTTGATTTTTCTTGGCAGGTGGTGCTGAGACCGTGAGCTTTATTTACAGCATCTAGCTTTCTCCTTGAAGCCGCTGAATTCGATTTAAAGACTTCCTCTGTGATTTTGACATTCATGCTTGCCATGGTTCTCAATCCTGATATCCAGAAACGCGCACAAGCAGACATTGATACTGTCGTTGGTCAAGGACGGCTACCTACTTACGATGACCGACCACTGTTACCCTATATAGAAGCCATTTATCGGGAGACGCTGAGATGGCATGCTGTGACTCCACTCAGTAAGTACTATACTCGGATGTATAATCTTCCCAGTATTTTCTCATGGACACTTCACTAGGCCTACCCCATGCTGTCACGGATGATGATATCTTTGAAGGGCACTTCATTCCTAAGGGTATGAAATCACCATACGCGTCCATGTTTCGAATTTTGAACATTATTAACAGGTGCTATCTTGATCTTGAATGTCTGGTATGTGCAATCTGATGGACTATGTCGTCTTGCTCACTGATTACTGCACCTTAGGTCTATGACTCAAGATGAGAGCATCTATCCAAATCCAGAGCAATTTAAGCCAGAGAGATTTCTCACTGTTGATGGGAAACCTACACCGGATTGGATAAGTCCTGCATTTGGATTTGGTCGGCGCATATGCCCAGGTCGATTCCTCGCCGAGTCTTCAGTCTGGACTGCCATTGTGTCAATACTGGCTACTTTTGACATCACAAAGACCAAAGACTCCGAAGGCCAGGAGGTGGAGGTCAAGCCAGAGTTTACGACAGGGTTGGCTATGTATGTGGCATCTTTTTTATACGTTTACACACAGCTGATATGTGAATACCTATTTTTTGCAGTCATCCACGCCCATTCGCTTGTTCTATCACCCCACGTTCTGTGGATAAAGATAAGCTAGTTCGCGCAGCTAACAAGAACGACTGAACGGTATAGTACCCGAAACGAAGGATAATGTACATGCGAAACCTTTTATGTTCCGTAACAATAATACGATCCTGTATACCACGCAGATTTTGCGAATGACCCTGAGTACGATTAGGAGTAAAACCCATAAATGGTGCAAGCCCAGTGAATCAGGGAAAGATCTACGGTTGGACTTGGCGCGTGAGCCATAGAAGGCTCTCAATCCGGACACAGCCGGGCATCGCACGACACGTGCATGAAGCTTTGCAATGCCATCACTGACTCTGACTCGCGAAATCTTGCGAAGACTTGATTTCGTATAGAAGTTTCGTATAGAAGTCGCACCATGGCCGGGCAAGGCCTATCAAGCTGGATCATTGGGGTGACTGACATATGTTTGTTATCAGTCTCGTGCTTGATATAGTCTCGGACAGTGGGGCGTTCCGATGATACAGTGAGTCCTTGGATGTCGCATTCAGACTCAATCCAGGAAATATTCCATGAAAATTTTGCTGAAACCTTCTTTTCCCATCCTCACTGTCACTCAGGACAAAACAATATCCCGTGCTTACCTCTTATCCACCATATTAGGACACCCTACTATACATAGCCATAATTCATGACGCGTATGACGGTTTCAGAGGGAGATACAGATACTTTTTGCAATGTGTATGGCAGTCGTTATGCGGTCGTGATGTAGTGTCGTAAAAGGATTCTCTTTTATATGGTGAGATCCTTGGGGAGGACATTCCGTTCTTCCGCCATGGATTTACACTCTGCTTCTATCTTTCTTCTCTCCGTTGTCGCTCTCGATCTTGCGAGACGTCTTCTTGCCAAATGTGTGTCGGAAAAGTCTACTCTACCCTACCCTCCTGGCCCAAAGCCCATTCCATTCGTCGGAAACATCTTTGGGATCAATGCAGCTGCACCTTGGGTCACTTACCAGGAGTGGGGCAGAAAATACGGTACGCTGTTCCTTGGCCACGCCTTTTCTAATGCTCACCTACTTAAAAGGCGATATCGTATATTCTCGCCTTCTCAACCAAAGCATTATCATTCTTAACTCAGAAAAGAGTGCAAAAGCGCTTCTAGACCAGCGATCGTATAATTATTCCGACAGGCCATACATGGCTACCACTGACTTGTTCGTAATTTGCATCATTTTCAGATATCAAATTATTCTTTTTTTTGACGTCGAGACTGTCTTTCACACAGCATAGGATGGACCTTCAATTCAGTAATGATCCGCTATAGTAACAGGTGGCGGGTGCATAGACGGATCTTCCACCAAGCTTTCCGACCCGATGCAGCCATCAACTATCGCCCGATACAAATGTCCAAAGTTCACCAGTTATTACAAAACTTACTGGAATCACCTGGCGATTACGACCGCCACCTACAAACGTGAGTAACACCATGCTTATACACAAGTTTTCTGTCATCTTACGGAAGGTCAATCAAAGGCTATCTGCATCCATCATTATGGCTCTTGCTTACGGCTATCAGTCTGCGCCCCGTAATGATCCTCTTGTGGAAGTAGTGGAAACTGCCCTCAGTTTAGCTATCAGTGAATTGACGTCAGAAAAAGCTGCCCTTCTCGGCGCATTTCCAATCCGTATGTCCTTTTTCTCCCAATCTCTATGTATCTATCCTGACGCGCATATATGCAGTCAAGCAGATTCCGCCTTGGTTCCCTGGAGCTGGCTTCAAGCGAAATGCCCTCAAATGCCGGAAATCGTTTGCGGAGATTCTCGAAACGCCCTATCGGTTTACAAAGAAGAGCATGGTAAGAGTCAGTATCTTTGGTTAGGGTCTTCTTTCTTACTTGGATTGTAGGCTTCTGGCACAGCCACACCATCCATGGTTTTTGACCTTCTGAATAGGATGAAGGATAATCCTGATCCTTCACTCGAGCAGGCACTGAAGGAGGCGTCTGCTACTGCATTCATAGGTAATACTATCCTAACATACATGATCAAAACCGTTACTGACTGTCATGATCACAGCCGCGGCAGAAACAGTAAGTCGCACAAAGCTTTTGTTCGATGTATTCACCCATTACGTGTCTTAGTCATTTTCAGTTCTCACCATCTTTTTGCTCGCAATGGTTTTGCATCCGAGTGTCCAGGAACGCGCTCAAGCGGAGATAGATTCGGTCGTGAGTGAGGGGAGACTTCCTGACTTTGATGATAGAAGCTCTATGCCCTACGTCGAAGCAGTCCTTCGCGAAACCTTGAGATGGTATCCTGCCGTACCCTTAGGTAAGAGTGTTTTAGCTATATCCAACCGATGGTACTACGTCGGTTCTGGTTCTTGACAGGTGTTCCTCATGCTGCTACAAAGAGCGATGAGTATGAGGGATATTTTATACCTGAAGGTTCGTCATATTATTTCCCATAGTTAGCACGTCTCAACTTTCTCCAGGAGCCACAGTGGCAGTCAACATATGGTTCGTGTTTTCGGTGCTACTTTAAACTTCAGGTTCTATATATCATCAATAGGGCCATTGCACGTGACGAGAACACTTATCCCGAACCATCTCTATTCAAGCCTGAGCGGTTCCTCACAGCAGATGGGAAGCTTACAGATGATACTGCTGGCTACGCGTTTGGATTTGGAAGGCGAATCTGCGTAGGTCGATATGTCGCTGATGCATCACTCTGGGCAACTATGGTCTCGATGTTGGCGCTCTTCAAACTTTCCAAGGCGAAAGACGAATATGGAAACGAGATTGATTTCAAGCCAGAATGGACAACTGGAGTCACTATGTATGTTCCTTTCGGCCATGTCACACAGCCTTACTCACCATCTTGTCCATAGCCATCCAGTGAAATTCCCTTGTTGCATCCAGCCGAGAGTTGCTGGAATGAACACAGAGAAACTGGCTCAGATGATCCCTCTATAATCAACTCCCGTCGTATATCGACTTAATCGGTCCGTGATATTCTCCATGCCATGGATGTATAAATAATTTCTATGTATAACAAAATCGAAGGATGTTTCATTGATTTTCGAGATGGTTTCTGGCGTGAAAATAGATGAGAAGACTGGTGGTAACGAGAATGACGATGAGAAAAGATGTCAGGTAAGAGACATCGGCTTTGATAATACAAAAGAGGGACAATAGGCCAATAAGCCGAGTAAATTGGGGGATATGGTACAGCAAGATAATATGTACAAGCACCACTTATGATCGATGCACCCTCGGGGCGGATATAAGCCCCATAAGGCCGAACACCAGGGCATATAGGCCTGACGCTGATGTCGAATAATTGATGAGATCGTAATGTGGTAAAGACAATGGCAGGCAAGACGCACCTCCAATTATTCCTTTAAGGTATCCGAGCCCAGACCAACCGCCAAGGGTGAAGGAGAGCAGCGACCATCCCGTTAGTATGGAAGCTGTAAGGATGGGGATGACAGAGGAAAGAATCCCAGATTCACGCCAAGAACGATACTGCGGGCGGTGGGATAAGAAATTGTGGGGATGTGCAGATAAGGGATGAAGGGAGACGTACGTTGGTTTCAATCCCACGTATCCATGGTACAAGGAGGACATAGAGAAAGAGGACGACCACGAGTCCTCCCAGCGTCAACGAGCCTAGTGCAAACGTGCTAGAAAATCAGATCGAGGCCCAGTGAGCAAGTCATGCATTCTCCCCGATGCTATGCGCCATCGTGTCGTGAAGAACAAATGCTTACCTTCCCCACCCATCTGAGCCATTGTTTGTGAGGAGGCTAAGGAATACATGGTATGTGTCGAGATAATAGGTGATTGCAGTTCCTGGAATGACAAATTTGAGCTGTCGTAGCGTGTGCGTTGAAAGCGAGCGCTGTGTCGGATTTTGTCTCGGAGTTGACATTTTCGTTATATATTTCAATAATCAGAAGGTAAAAAATACAAAACGGAGTAAAACGGAGACCAAACGTGGGCGAGGTTGGAGGGAGGTCAAATGAGAATCACATGCTATTCGGTTGTGCTGTACGTCCCGCATCGGGAATACTATGCAGCGCTTATAGTAATCTGACCTGACACTGCTAGTGAGCGAGATAAATACACAACTTAACATAAGACATATAATCGAAAAAAAAGGCGGGGAAAATTACAATAAATCATGAAGATCCCACTGCAACTACAACTACAATCATAATTTGAAACATGCCCGAAAAGTTGATAATAATTCTACTACCATGCACCAGGCAAGTCAGGAAGCCCTGTCAACGCAGCATTGCAGGACTCGCGGACTCGCCGCTTGCTAGCAGCATCACCTGACTGACGATAATACTGATAAACTTCATGCAACTGGAGGGAAGATGCAGCAACAGTGTCTGATGGGGATAATATCAGTAAATCGTGGGGTCGTAAAATAAAACAAAAAGATACCGTGATGAGATTCTACTTCTCTCAAAAGCTATAAGAAATTGAGTGATGATTAAAAATCGTGTTTAAGACAAGACACAATACACATACCCCTTTCAAGCGCTCGACCTCTTGCTGTGAGCCGTATCCACCATATCCCCCCTGATAGCCACCGTATCCACTCTGTCCAAAAAGCCCTGGTGCTCCATTCCCGCCTAGAGCTGAAATTCGAGCTTCGATCTCACGTTTTCGCGTCCCCCACGCCTCTTTAAGCGCATCAAATGCATTAAACAGCTGCTTCCACGAGTACGAATCCCACGCCTCAAGTTCTGTTTTGTGCGTACGGATAAAGTCGCGAGGGTGTGCATTGCCTGATGACGAAGGCGTGCGTGCATGGGAAGGCGCCGCCCCCTGTGCTTGCCCTTGTCCAAGAGAAGAATACGGATCAAACTCGGACAAGTAACCCGTGTTTTGTTGCTGTTGTCCTTGGTTATATCCCGTGTTCGGATAACCAGTGAACTGCTGCGACTGTTGGTTTGGGTATGCAGGCTGATATCCTTGCTGATACCCTCCATATTGCTGTGGTTGTTGATATTGCTGCTGCTGCGAGGAATCAACTTGCGAAACAAGATGTTGTCCAAATGAACTCGAGGGTTGGAACGGGCGACCAGTAGGCTGTGGCGCTAGTGATCTGCGAAGAGTCACAAATAACGCAGATATGATTTCAAAATTTAGAGACACATATCACTTATAAGAGCGATCTTACACAGGAGAACCGGCATACTGAGGACCATACGTCGACGAAGATGCGTATTGAGTCTGCAACTGTGGCTGGCCTTGGTACGGTGTCTGGTATTGGTTCTGGTTCTGATACTGTGGGTTCTGATACTGCGCCTGGTTCTGATACGGTTGCTGATACTGGGGTTGGCCTTGATGGCCATTACCATATGACGCTTGACCTTGGTATTGCGGTTGAGGAGGTGGGGAGGATATGGAGCCAGTGATATCGGGAAAGCGGGTGTGAGGGTTGGATGGGTCTTCTATGAAAGGATTGTTGGAAAGCTCCAATTGTCCAGGACTGGTGGCACCAAGCCCGTTGGAATACATTTCGAGTCAAAAGTGAAGAGATTCGTTTGAGACGTTTTTCTGTGAGTTATACAATGCGCCACGGGAGGACAGAAAAAGAACAATACAAAAGCACAGCAGGCTGTGGGATGGTTATCGGAAACGGAGTCGATGGCTGAGCAGAACGAGCGCCCGCTCCGCAGTGCAGAGTATAGCTGATTACGTACCATTCAGTCCATTTTTGGAAGGAAACTAGGATCGATAAGTGTGGACATAAGACTGTGTTGCAGCCATCTGGCTTGTCAGGTCTGGAAATAGAAACAGGTCAGCTGCACATTGTACATATGGCGGTGAAGGACGGAGGTGATGAGAGGCACTGGCACAATCCCCCAGAATGGTTGATTTCTCGGCTAAGTACATGAGGTGCATGACATGCGGTACCGACATTTTTCGAGGCTGATCGCAGCGCATTCATACGTGACCACGAGCTCGAGGCTATACGTGATCAGAAGACTCGTATTCTAGTGGTAGGTCCACGCCTGGTTCACACTGAAATCATTGATCTCAATCATTGATCTCATTTCACAAAAGATACACCTTTCAACATATTTCAACTAGTACTACAACAATGGGAATTCATAACATGCATGATTCACTACAATTCATACTCCTGTTACCTACGTAGCTATAAGCTAATATACATTCAGATAACCTACAATAGATGCCATTTAATTACAACAAAGCCCGGGGAAAGATTATGCCTGTTCGATGGACCGCGCAAATTTCCTATTTCTCTTCTGCATTCGACTGAGCCTGCCAAGTTTACCGTCTCTGCAGCCCCTGTTAATCTTCTTCGCCTTCTTACCACCAGTGCTGCATGATGCACTCTCCGCATCAGCATATCGTTTATTCAATTCTTTCCCGAACCAGTGCGATCCCCAGCTCTCAACTTCTTCAACTTCCTCTGGGACCTGTTCAATATCCGGATCACAAAGCTGACCGCATGTTAACTTTACCTTCTTGTCCATATCCCCCATTACCAAACCATTGGGATACCCAATCGTCGGTTTCTACTTCTTCTAGCATCTGCTCAATATCCTCATCATGTTAAACCCATCACATGCTAAATTTACCTTTGTGTGCAAAGCCCTCCTTACCGAACCACTGAGATCTCCAACCATCCACTCCCAGTCCTTCCGCAATCTCTTTTGCCTTTCCCTTCGCAAACCCGGCGTGTTGCACGATCCATTGAGCGCCCTTCTCTTTCATTTCCCTAGCACGCTTCTGCGCCCGCTCATGTCGTCGATACAATGTCTCCTTTGCACTCTTCAAACCATCAGAGCCCTTCTCAGCATAGATAGCGGACCGTTGAATCAAAGCAGTGGTCTGCGAAAACATGAAGTTTGCCTGATGAGAAATGACACGCATCAACTCATCGAGGGCGTCCAAGATGTCTTGGACATCGTCCCGAACGACTGCAAGCAACGGTGGAATGTAAAGATTTACAGCATGGGACAGCGAGGTGGGAAGAGTGAGGCCTAGACCAAAGCTGAAAGATGCTGTGGAAAGCTCGGACGATGAAGACAGTGTAGGCACTGAGGCAGCAGATTGTCGGGCAATTTGACTGGCCTGTGGGATGAGAGATAGTGCATTAGAACTTGTGTCAAAAGTTAAGCCAGAAGGGATCGGTCGGAGGATGATGTCTGTAGAAGATTTGAACCGCTCTCCCCACGACGATGGCGGACGCCCGCATCCACACTCGGTGATTGGTCCTGTGCAGTATTTCGAGTTCGATGAAGTCGGAACAGGATTAAACACAGAGAGAGCGAAATCTTTAAGAGAAGAAGAAATGACCGCAGACGTAAGTTCAGTCTTGGGTGGTATGACCGTGTGAGAATGGTTGACCGCTGGACGAAGTAAACCCCAAATCGACGAAGAGGCGCTATATGTCGTGGATGGCACAGGAGTGGGTGCCATAGCAGGTCCTGACGAGGGCATAGTCGAACTGACTACAACCCCCAGCACCAGTGAAACGATGGTGAGCCTGTAAAGTGAATAATCGATTAAGATCAGTCGAACCGAAGGGGAGAGAAAAGAGGAATATTACAAAGTTATGACTGGAGCATGGTTCAGTTCCCTTAAACCCTTGTTCGTTCGCTTCCCTCGTGTCAAAAGCCGCTCAAAAGCCCGGCAGACTTGAGACGGTGGGAGCCGATTGATGATTTCTTCTTCAACTACGGAGGAGTGAGTGCCTTCCATGATAGGGAAGATCTTACTTTGTGGGATGTTAAGAACATCCCACATCTGTTGAGCAGAGCCACGCAAGGTATCTTCCGACCCTAAAGAGTCTAAGACAGAAAGGGAGGGCACGAGGATTGGTAGATAAAAAGTATGCGTGGACAAAGAAATAGGGGAGCACGGCATATAAACGATGGCCAAAGACGGTTGGTCTGTGAAAAGCTTGGAAAAGGACTACCGATGCAGTTAGTTCCCTAAAGTTAAAGTAAAGTAAACGTACGTCTTCTTTATCATTGACGCTCTCCCGAGTCCTGTCGACGACAGTTATGATGTTAGGAAAAGGCATGTTGCGACCTGCCTTTTCCTTGACAGAAAACTGTCGAATTGATCCGTCGAAATCTTCAAGAGAGAGAGCGATAGTTACACCAGCGCCAAGCGCTAATTTCTCCAAAATCTTGTCGGCCATAGACCATTTATTTGCAGATGAAAATCCGTATAAAGAAATGTTCAAGTCAGACGTGATAAACGGAGTAGAAACATCGGGGATGTGCTCGGCGAGAGCAGGGACCTCGGGCGTAAGGGACGAACCCGGATCCACAGGCTGCGGAAGCGCCATCGCGATGTCACCATCTGCCACTGAAGATGTTGTCTCCGAAGGTGACGGTATGTCCTCGTAAGAAGTATTGGCGAGCTCGTCTAAAGAGCTCTTGATAGGGTCCGGGAAGGACAAGCGTAAATCACGAGATGAAGTGTGTATGGTGGATGAGTGAAGAGAGCTGGATCGAGATGAGCTCAGGGTACTGATCATGCTCTGATCCAAACCCTCTTTAACCCGTTGCTCTTCAAGAGGATCCCTCTCAAAAAATTCGGAATTAGTGGAGCTGGTATCAGCTGTATGCGGCAAGGTGGGAGAGACAGGCACTCGGACATCATCGGGTGTACCCTCGTCTGCGCTATCCTCGACAAACCCTTCCCATGCATCAACCTCTCCGTCTCGCGAGCTGCCAAAGCTGGTGGAAGACCTTCGTGACCTTGAGTCAGACAGCTGACGACGCTCCAATTCATCATGATCTGTATCCCGGGAAGAGCAAACCGAGTCGTTATCGTCGGATTCTCTGTTGCTAGCAATATCGAGCCAATCTGAGTCAGACAAGCTTTCGACTTCTGAAAGATTTAAAGAATCAGGGTAATCCTGCATATTTGTGAGAGAAGGAGGGTGTTGTAAAGGATCCATGGTAGAAGTTAAGGTGAAAGGGGCACAAGCCTGTTGTAGCTTTAAGTAGTCTGCCACTGATTTGGCCGTGTTGGCCTTGAGGCAATGGTTTTTTTGTTCCCACGCACATTCCTATCAGGCCCGCAATGATCTTATCGTTTTTGAATTTGATCAGACACGCGCATCCCTGCGTAGTAGTTGTAAAAGGGCGTATCCAGGTTATTACTAACTAAACTACATCGGATAGGTCATTGCTGCACGTATCGTGCCAGGTAGACAATGCCCTCTCTCATTACCCTGCCAGAGGACATCTTACTTGCTGTTTGTGCCCAGCTGTCAGTCGCTGATGTCCTGTCTTTGAAACAAGTGAGTATACCTTGGACGTAAATTCGCCTTTGACTCATGCTTATCGCACGCATCGAACACGTAGACATGTCGTGTTCTACACACCTTTGCTGAAAATGACTATCTTTGGCATCAGATCATTCTCAATGTCGATCTGCCTTTGGACATCCCTTTTGATGTTGATCCGACATCTCTTTCAGCGTTCGAACTACAGAGGATTGTAGTCAGAGCCATGATGTTGGATCTTCGATGGCGGGATACAAACATGCCTACCTTCAAGGTAACACACTTGGCTCGTGACTCCCGCGATAATTACGTAGACAAGATGCAGCTACTCCCCGGAGCTCAGTATCTCGTGACTACCCAGCGCAGGGGAGGCAGCACGCGAACACGACTGATATTATGGTCACTTAAGGATATGCGCAACCCTCACCACGTAGCTTCTTTCAATGTGGCAGCTCGGGTCAGTTCTTTCCACGCTGACCTTCGAGACGACGGTAAAGAGGTCCATGTAGCTGTTGTTGCTGACCTTGTTACAACACTGTGAGTAGGGTACTTACCATATTTACGTGTGATCGTATCTTACTTTTCGACGCTAGGTTGCTTCAAGTCTATGCAATTTTACTCGAAGATCCTATCACACACATGGCTGAATCGCGCCTACTCTTCGATAGCTCTTCCAGGGGAACTATATTCTTGAAAGGCATTCCAGATAGAGTTATCGTTCGAAATAATCTGGTAGCTACTTCCTTCATCGGTAGAGTCCCAGGATCAAACATGCTCCTCGAATGGTATATATTTTTCTACAACATCGCCACCCATGCCCAGGTAATTGCGAAGCCCCCTGATCCAGTGGTAACCTCGATTTCAGCCCTTAATTTTCCCAGTGCTCACGATCTGTCACTGCTAGGATCCTTACCAATATTCAAATATGTTTTTGTATCCTCAGCGAATTGCACTCGTTAGTTCAGGCATGGCAGGCTTGACCATGACGGTATATAGCCTCCCGCAGGCCGTTTTGAACCATGAGCCTTCAAAGGACGCTAATACGTTACCACACGCACTCCCTAGGCAAACCCTTGAACCGCTTACGCAAAAGTATTGTATGTGTGGGGAGGGAGGACCTCGTGATTCATTTTTCTCTGATGTCCTCCAGCACCCCAAATTACCGCCGCCAGGAATATCGGTTCTGTCTTTTCAAGAATCTGACGCATCGATGGCCCATTTTTCTGTTGACTTGATATGTACCAAAGATCAACAACCGGTCAAGTTGAGACCACATGGGCAGGTTGCATGCTCGAATGGCGTCACTAACGCATATCTCGGTGCAACTGGACGGCGAGCTGTATGGGTTGAGCGCAATTGGCAGGGTGACGAATACGTCGTCATCAAAAAGTGGTCGCTCTCTAGAACTGATGATAAGGAGCAGTCATGTTCAGGACCATCTGCACTGATTCCGAATTTTTCGTGCTTACCTTTCGATCCACGCGACTGCTATACGATGGCCTTTGATGAAACAACGTGCAGAGTGTGTATAGGACTCGCCTCGGGCGAGATGTATGTCTTGGACATAATATAGGACCCATTGTGAACTTAGCATTTATTACGATAGCTGTTTTTCTTTTTTCTTTTGACTACTTTGCCCGTATGGGGTTGGCCTTTTTGGACATACGTAGTGTATTATGATAAGTTTAAATTGTGTTTCATCTGCGAGGAGTTGGGACTCCCGTTCTCCAACCGTCTACTTCTCTCGAAATAATGACAGTGCCCTCTTGTGCTCATTGATTTTCGGAATCACTAACCGCACACTTTACTATGACATTGCTTTATACTGCTACGGTTTACAAACGCTTTCTAGTCATCTTCGTCACACGAGTCATACTGATCATACTTTACGTACCAAAATTTTTGAGAAAAGCCACGTGCACGTGAGTGCATATACTTTAGTCACGGTAAGTTTCCCTGTAATCGCGATCTACCATCTCGCACGGCGCTTTGAACCTCAACGTCCAAGTACTATAGTCACTTGTTCGTACACTTATCAGCATCTAGAGCGGGGAAAACCTCATCATATCACAGTGCTTGTAACTCTCTACAAACAGGTTTACAGGAACTCACAAGTCGCCTCGTGGACGCGTCTGGTTCTGAGGCTAGTCCATTTGATACCATGGACGAAGAAATCCAGCAGGTCGTGCAGGCGACCCTTATTGCCTACAACCCGTCTCAAGGACCTTTGCATCGACAGGCTTTGGAATTTCTCTCATCGCTTGAGCAGAACGCAAACAATACTTGGAGGCTCGCTCTGAAGCTTTTCGTCGATTTAGGCCCGGAAGGCGAGCGGAAGCATCCTGCACAAGCGCGTTTTCAAGCACTGAGAATCTTAGATGAGTTTTTCGATAATCGGTAAGTTATTCCGCACTTTCCGGGAGCTGCTACAGGAGTATCTTGTGGCGTCTCGTAGAGTTGCCTGCTGTAATTCATCATCGAGCATATGATTGACTCCTTGATGCAGATTTGAACCTCTAGATGAGGAATCTTTCCGCACTCTTCAACAATCAATTATTTCTTATATACAATCGGAATATGTTTATGGCTCTGCTGAAGCAAACGCAACATGTAAGAGTCCTGTCGTGAATATCTTAGTTCACGGCTCTAACCCCTTTTACAGTTTTGCGCAATAAGTTCTCGCATACATTGACTCTCTTCTTCTTATGCACTTATGCTGAACAATGGTCGTCATTCTTTAATGATCTATTCTCTCTCATCCGCCCCGCCGAATCTTCCTCACAATCCACTTTCAACCATCACATTTCTCTTCTTTTCTTTCACATCGTCTTAGAAATCTCAGGAGAAGTAGCAGACCAGATGATCAAGTCAGCCAGACCATACAACCCTATTCGACATACACGTGATGCCAGAGTGAGAGATGCCGTGCGGGAACGGGATGCAGCGGGAATTAATGAAGCAGTCTTAACAATCGTTGCTGATGGTGCAGAGAGGATGGCATCATTGCGAAAAAATGAAGGGTCTGCAGAAACAGAGCGAGAATTGGGTATTGTTTCCGAAGTTGTAGATTGGGGTATCAGGACCTTTGGATCGTATGTCGGTAAGTGATATTACTTGTGACGACTTTTTTTTCGCTTGTTGACATCGTGATATATAGGGTGGATAGATATCAACCTAACTGTAACACCAACAACTGTGCCATTGCTCTTCACACTTTTGTCTGATACATCGCTACCAATCCGCTTGGCAACTTCTGTCGCCTTACTCCGCATAATCTCAAAAGGCTTGAAAGAACCGGAAGACAAGCTACAACTTATCAAGGTATTATCTTTGGGCCAAGTTATAGATGCCCTGGAGACCAAAACCCGTGCTCAACAAATAGAACGTGGACTAGATGTGGATGAGGCCGAAGAATCATATAGGGAAGCTCTAGGGAAATTGTTGAATGTTCTTGGCCTGGAGCTCGCTAAGTTGGCAGATGTAAATATCTATCACAGTCATGGTTTCTTTATTGCTAAGTTTATTCGCAGGAATGTCCTAAACCAGAGATAAGCTCAGAAGCAACTCAACTTCTGAACCAAATTTTCCCTGTCATGTTGCGCTTCATGGCAGATAAATACGATGACACTTGCTCGACCGTTTTCCCTGTACTACAAACAATATTGGGGAGTGTACGTATGCTTTTCAAGTTTTACCATCTGTGAAAACACTTATCACAAAGCATATTTTTAGTATAAGCGTAGTCGTAAAATGTCATCGGATCCCATTGACGAAACAAAACGCTCTTTCCTCATTTCACTCTTGCGTGTCATACTGGAGAAGATGAAATGGGACGACGAAACCGATCTCGACGATATGGACGAGGGCGACAAAACTGCGTTTGAAACTTTGCGAAAGGTATCGTCTCCTCCCTGCTGATATCTGTATTCACTCCAAATCGTATGATATAGGATCTGCGATCTTTCATGGATTCTGTGTTGATGATAGACCAGGACCTCGTCACCGATGCAGTGCGGACATTAGCTCTTAATACTCTATCCGCTTATCACCAGAATGCTGCGAGTGTAAAATGGCACGACGCAGAACTTGCGATTTACCTGGTCTATATCTTTGGTGAAATTAATAAAAGTACGCGCTGCATGTTTTTCATATTTCCTAACCTAATCCTAAATGTAACGATTCCAGGTGGTGGAAAGGGTCGCGCTGCATTTTGTCAAGCACCTCTTGTTGCTAAGGAGAAGCGGAAGGAAACAGATTATTCAGAATATCCATTGACAAGCCATGGAGAAATGTTGATTGCCCTTGTGCAATCTGGGATTTCGAAATATCCACACCGAATGGTGACCATGCAATTTTTTGAGGCAGTCTCACGATATGGCGATTTTTTCAAAATACGTAAGGATTGCATCATGCCTACACTGGAGGCTATGGTTGACATTCGGTCAGTCGACTTGTTAGATGTAATTAGAAGTCACTGACCTGCGTTATTGAAGTGGCCTGCACAATCCTGAGTCAAGCGTGCGCACAAGGGCATACTACTTATTTCATCGTTTTATTAAAGATGTCAAGAATGACATATCACCAGACGTTGCTATCGGCCTTATCGAAAGTATTCGTGATGTCCTGGTTATCCAGATAGAACTTCCAGAACTCGAGAGCCCAGAACAAGACATGCTCACAGAAGCGATTCGTAATCCTGGAGCCTTTGATTCGCAATTATACTTATACGAGACTGTGGGTGTCTTGCTGTCATTGCTTTTCAAATCCCCGGAGCAACAAGCGGCATTGTTGCTTTCCGTCTTGACACCACTCATGGACGACCTATCGCTTAACCTGCGACTAACGAAGGGAGCACAAGACTTCTTGCCTATCCTGACAATCCACCATACGATCATGGCTCTCGGCAATGTTGCAAAAGGTTTCCCAGACTACCCTTGTCCTCTTCCAGAAGGGTATACTCTGCCGCCCCTAGATGTCTTCAATCAAGTCGCTCAGGCAATTCTCATGTGTCTGGAAGCCATGAACGTTTTCGAGGTAGTACGAGATGCAGTATGTTCATTATGATTCAAAAGTATGTACTATGGTGCTCACTACTATGGCAGACAAGATTTGCCTTCGCGCGTATAATAGCTACTACAGGCCCGACTGCCACACATTTTATCCCACCTCTGATGGCCAATCTTCTTGCTCATTTCGAACCTTCAGAGCTTGTCGACTTTATGAACTTCATTGGGCTTCTCATCCACAAGCTTCAGGTTCGTAGGTTAGAGTATGAATGATCTATGGAATCTGACTACTCCACAGAAGGAGATGTTTGATGTTCTTGATCAACTAATCGGCCCTTTGAGCGCGCATATCACCCAGCTGTTTTCCCAGCCAGTCACTGGGACGGACGACGAGCTCAGTCACGCTGACACTAAGCGGGCCTATCTTGCGCTCCTTACCAATATTATGTCTTCCAAATTGCAAGGTATCTTCACCTCCAAACGTGAGTAAATCACTTAACATGTGACTTCAATTATCTTAATCATTCTATTCGCAGGCAACAAAGGTGCTCTCGAACCCTTATTAGAGAGCATGCAACATTTGGCGGAAGACATATCAGATTCAAGCAGCCAGAAGGCTGCGTTTGCTTTCCTAGGTCGCTGCGTTAGCGTCTGGTGCCAGCTTGACCCTGAACAATCAGTACCCAACGAGGAGGGGCTGCCTGGCTTTGAGCGCTTTGTATACGAACGGCTTGTTCCTGCTGCATTCAGAGTTCTTTCATCTCCACAATTCAATCCCAAAGACGGACAGATGTCAATGGTAAATTTTTATATCTTGACCATCTCTTTACAAGTCTAATTTTATTCTCGAGTGCAGGTTTTGAATGAAATTGCCACTTTTCTTCAAACCGTCTGCAAAGCCAGAGGCTCGGAAGCTCACAATTTCTTCGTATCTGTCTTTCTGCCTTCCCAAAACTGGCCCCCGGAAACGGCCATGGAATTCACAACAAAGCTACGAGATCTAGATCCCAAAACTTTCCGGAAATATTTCTCCGACTTTGTGCGTTCGTCTCGCTCTCAGACAGGCTCGTAGTACGAGCGTGCTTCAAGTAAAAAAGATCCACTATCAATTATCTCACTAATTGGCGCTTCACGTTTTCATCTCCTCCATTTTCGCTGTATGCATTACACATATCTCTACACATATCCCCTTGATATCTTTTGTTGCCCACTTCCATATTATCAGCGTCTGGCCGGTTGGTGTAAAAATCTCCGTTCTGTCATTGTTGGAAAGAATTGTAATCTTCATTACCACAGTCACCATCGAAGGGAACTTGGTTCGAGTTAGTCCGTATGAAATATGGCCGTTTGTAGTGCTGCATGCGCGGCAGTCCTATTTTGACCTATTTATCAACACCTTCTGGAAATAATATGCGTAAATAAAGTCCAAATCCAATCGCCACTTCTTGCATGACCATGATCATTAATAAGGCTTAAGGTCTATGAAAGCATGGCAGCAGGTAAGCAATTAGAAATCCTTATTTTTCGGTTTACTTAATGCAAGGACCTTAGTACGTAAAGTGAAACCTAAGATTGTGAGTGAATCGTCGTCATTGTCGTACTCCTTACATATTCTGTCCTTTACGACCACAGAAACCTCCGAAAAAGGTATGACAATTCATATCTGGGTATAGAACAGGGCTGAAATGATGTCAAGCATACACTAGATCCACCTACTGAGGAAATATGGTCAAGATTGGCCGAAAATATCCGTGAAATCCACAACCACAATGCTTCTAACCTGTCCTTTGAAGAGAACTATCGGATCGCATACAAAATGGTGCTCAACAAACAGGGAGCTTTGGTTTATGACGGAGTTCGCCAGTTGGTTGCCGAAAATGTTGATAGGCTTGCAAAGAACGAAATTATCCCCGCCTTCCCCAGTGGTGCGAACGATGATCCAATGCAACAAAGTCAGGAAGGCGAGCTTCTTCTCAAAGCATTGAGACGTGTTTGGGATGATCACACTGGAAACATGTCGAAATTACGCGATATACTCAAGTATATGGTGCAGTGCTTTGTCTTACCCGCGTTCGCCGCTAATTTCTCCCTCACAAGGACCGCGTTTATACGAAGGCCCACGATGTACCAGAAATATGGGAAGTGGGACTGGCCCTTTTTCTGAAACACATAATACGTCCACCAATACAACAACATCTTATTTCTGCCGTGTTGTCCTTGATTCAAATTGAGCGCGATGGATATGTGATCAGTCGCTCGGCTGTGAAAGAATGTGTAGACGTCTTTTTGCAGCTGGGTGTTGACCACGATGGCCCATCTATCTATAAGCGAGATTTGGAGCCATCTGTCCTTGAATCAAGCGAAGCGTTCTACAGTAATGAGGGAAAGCGACTGCTAGAGTCGTGTGATGCTCCTGAATATCTACGAAGGGTGGGCTACATTTAGAAACTTTCTGGGACTCAATTTCTCAAGTCCTTTTGCAGGTTGAAGCTCGATTTGATTCCGAACAGGATCGCACAAACCACTACCTATACTCTCAGACTGCCAATCCTCTTCGTGCTATTCTTGAGAACCACCTTCTTACACCAAATTTGTTGACCATCATCAATATGCCAAATTCAGGCATGGATATTATGATTGATCTCGACAAATTACAGGATCTGAACCGGCTTTATCGTCTATTCATCATGGTGCCCACTGGACTTCCTACACTTCGGAAGGCTCTCAAAGATTCCATTGCGCAGAGGGGTAGAGTCATTAATCAGGCATCTTTGTCTGCCGATGGCGATCAGGACAGTGGTGATGGTGGTGCCACTGAACCTGGTGATTCTGCTAAAGGCAAAGGCAAAGCGAAAGCGCGCGCTCCAGGTATTGGGTCTCAGACATTAACTCTCGCTCTCAAATGGGTGCAAGATGTCCTCGATCTAAAGGATAAGTTTGATCATGTATGGAAACAGGCATTACGGAGTGATAGAGATATCGACAGCTCTATGAATGAGGCAAGCCCTACTTCCTGCGGCTAACACTCGTCCACTCTCTTATAACTATATTTGCAGGCTTTCGAAGATTTCGTCAACCTGAACGAAAAAGCACCCGAGTTTATATCGCTTTTCATTGACGAAAACCTGAAGAAGGGTCTCAAAGGGGTGAAGGATTTATCTTGCTCATTTAGGACGATCCCTCTAATGATTAGCATATGTCTAGAAAACCGATATAGAGGTGGACGCTGTCTTGGATAAAACCATTACAGTTTTTCGTTATGTCTCGGAGAAAGATGCGTTCGAGCGCTACTACAAGAACCATCTCGCCAAACGTTTACTACTAGGTAGATCCGTATCAGATGACGCAGAACGAGGCATGTTAGCTAAGCTCAAGGTGGAGTGTGGCTACCAGTTCACGCAGAAGTTGGAAGGCATGTTCAATGATATGAAAATATCTGCTGATACCATGCAAGCATATCGTAACCACCTGGAGAACACTTCGGTAAGCGTCCAGTATTCTGAGCGTCTTTCTTTCTCACGGAAGCTGCGTAGGCTCCAGATATTGAAATATCAGTTATCGTAATGACGTCCACCTTTTGGCCTATGTCGCATTCCAGCGCAACCTGCGCGTTGCCAGAAAGCTTGACAAAGGCCTGCAAGTCCTTTGAGCAATTTTATCTCAGCAGGCATTCTGGACGACGTTTGACGTGGCAGTCATCCCTTGGGAATGCCGATGTTCGTGTCACGTTCAAGTCCAGAAAACACGATCTCAACGTCTCGACATTCGCCCTTGTCATTCTGCTTCTTTTCGAAGATTTACCGGATAACGAGTTTCTAACGTATAAGGCAATAATCATCCAAGTATTCTTGTTGGGTACGCCTGACTGACGCGTTACCAACAGGAAATCAAAGAGGCTACCTCAATCGTTGACGTGGAGTTACAGCGCCATTTACAATCTCTAGCCTGCGCTAAATATAAGATCCTGAAGAAACACCCCCCAGGTCGGGATGTGGATTCAACAGATTCATTTTCCTTCAACAGTGACTTCACGTGTCCAATGCAAAAAATAAAAATCGGTACGATTGCTTCCAAGGTGGAGACAGTTGACGAACGGAAGGAAACCCGAGATAAAATTGAGGAAGAGCGACGCCTCCAGACAGAGGTGAGTGGGTGTCATTTGCTATAGTTGTGCATTCACCTCATGTCACTCTGTATGGCGAAGGCTTGCATTGTGCGCATAATGAAAGATCGCAAGCACATGACGCACAATGAGCTTGTTAACGAAGTAACTCGCCAACTTGCAAGCCGTTTCCAGCCGAACCCGCTCAGCATTAAGAAGCGAATTGAAGGATTGATCGACGTATGTCTCTGCTTTAACTCTCCTTGCACAGTTCATTGACACTCGGGTCCAGCGAGAATATTTAGAACGTTGTGAAGACCGGAAATCCTACAACTACCTAGTATGTTGCCAAGCCCTGGTCTTCGTGATTATGCTGATATCAGGTGCTCAGGCATGAATGTTGCATGAAGTTCATCTTTTTCCCGTGTAGTGTATTTACATAGCACCAGAGCATCTACCATACATTTGACCCAAAGTAGGGGGGTAATAATAATGGCCGAAACTAAGCAGGTCTTGTGTGCAGTGCTCTTACTCAGTGCAATAGCATATCTCGTGCTAATCGAACCAACATTCTATCTCCCTAGCCAGACTAAATTACTTGTATGACCATCGATATCAGTAAATGAGCATCATCCTCTTGCAATAGCAATTTGTAGATAAACTAACAAATGAAAGATATCCTCCATTTCATTGTCCTAATTCTAACATACCATACATTGACAAATGATATGTAGGCTCAAACGACGTACGGAGCTACAAGGCCCCATAGGTACACCGCCCGAGACTTAACGACCTGGGTTATTTAATTTTTGAATCACACGAGAATTCCCGTGATAGCAACAGTACACAGAGAGTGGAGACAAGGAAACCCAAATTTGGCCTTCTTCAAGACGCAGTTGGTTCCTTCAACCCTATCTGATGTATCAACTCTGCTAAAAATTAGCTCATCACATCGAACATATTCAAAGAATGAACTCACATGCTACTTGGCCACTGGCCAGGTCAATCTAGCCGACAACTTGTCAGCCCTAGCACATTACAAGACGCCACCTACAGCAGTTGTGAGCACGACTCAAACTGATGAACAAAACATATAAACACAAACCAAAATGTAATACTGAATATGCCCTTCCAAAATGAGAGAGATGCCGAACAGACACTCCAACATAACTAATCACAGAAGCGAACACCTGACATCTGAGATAGAATCTACGTTAGCATCGTGCATCGACGGAAAACAGACGATATACTTGCCAAGTGAACCAACAAAATCTTACTGACCAAACCAGATAAAGAGATTATCTATGTCCGGAAGGTCCTGCAGTGCTTTACAACGATGGTCTAGCAAAACGATGACAATCAGCCTCGATAAATATATGAGAGCGTTATGAAGGTGCTCACCGACTATCCCAGTCTCCACATCGTTGGGGGTCACAATCAAGCTCCCAAAGAATTCGTTGGGCATACTCAGCGAGTTATATATATCGTCAGCATGCTTTAGGGGAGGTCAGGTTTAACCCAGCGGCATTAGCAGACCACAGTATGGAAGAAACGGCGGTGGCGCGGCCCACTCGGCTTTGCAAGACACTTTGCTGGCTGACAGGCATAAAGGCACCCACAGGTGTCAGCAATAGCAATAGGCCTTTTATGTATAAAATGAAGACAAAGCGATTGTAATTCATTATCCTCACACCGGCGTCAGCACGCATGTCAGGTGCAACAGTTGTTTCTAATATAGCCGTCTCTTACAAGACTGTTCCACCACCTCATGTAGTCTATAGTTCGTCTTTCTGACGTTCCCTTGAGCCATAGAATGCTTCTGCAAGTTCTGGAAATAGATAAGATGAGAGTGGGGTTTTCTTCAATGAATAGCTACTCACTGCGTCGCATATCAGGACCAAGTTCCACAGGTAACACAACGTTATATTCAATAAAGAGGTCACCATGCGTATACTGCTCGAATACTGGCATGCCTTCTCCAGCAATCATCTGAACGAAACCTGGGAGTCGAGTACAATTAGCTTGCATACACACAAGAAAGCAATATCACGTACCAGGCTGTGTTACACCTGTCCGGTCCAATGTAACTATATGACCATCGAGATGCGTAAGATTCCGTTGGAATCCAAGCAACGCCTATCATAGAACAAATTATTGAATACATAAAGACAACGATAAACGCATAAAACGAACGGACCTCTTCAATACCAATAGTTTCCCTCCAGTACAAACTACTTTCCTTCCTGCGCCAGCTTCCTTTTTCTTTCTTGCTCTTTATTCGCAGAATGATATCACCTGCTTCCCAATCAGGGCTCTCGTCGCCCTCGCCATCAAATACAACCTCGTGTCCTTCAGGTGTACCCGGGTCGACCTCCAGCGTATATTGGGCCATGTGGTCGATGACCTTCTGACCCTTGCAATGCGGGCACTCTTTGACGATAACTCGTCCTCGCCCACTGCAGTCGTTGCAGGTCATCTGAGTTTGCGCAAACATACCCGGGAAGACTTGTTGCCTGCCAACCTTCACGCCCGATCCACCACAACCGGAACAGGTATGAATGTCACTATCTGACGCAGCTCCCGAACCTCGACAGTGGTCGCAAAGAATGTTTTTCTTGACCATGAACTTGAAAAACAGGTGAATGAGAGATATTTGAATGAAAGAACGGATAACACACATCTATGCTGGCACCTTTATACCTGAAGATAATCAGTTAGTCTATGAGAAGGAAGAATTAACAATGGCTCACATATCAGCCAGGGTGATTTCAAAATCCATCGTTGAAGTCGGTCCTCTACGCACTTGCTGTTGTGACGCAACTGTATTCGAAGTATTATGTTAGCAAAGATATGGAGCCAAAGGGCCCGTTTGCCTACTCACAGCCTCCACCAAAGAAGTTGGCAAAAATGTCATGTGGATTTGCATATTGCTGGCCGCCTTCATGAGCCTTCAATCCCTCCTATTTATTTGGTTAGCATATATGTCTCTCCTATGAACTAAAGTACTCACTTCACCGTGGCGATCATATATTTGACGTTTCTACAACAAGTTAGTAAGTCGAGTATCAACACCAGTTATCCTCTTATCCTCACCGTTGAATCCGATAGAACTTCATATGCTATTTACCGCGGAAGAGCTCAATAAAGGCTATAAACGAGGGTCCTTATCAACATACCATGCGCAATCTCCACGAATTTCGCCTCCGCTCCTGGCTCCTGGTTCTTGTCTGGGTGGTATTTTCTGCTCAAACGTTTGTAAGCCTTCCGGATATCTTGCTCCGATGCATGTTTCGAAACTATTAAACAGAAATAATAAGTAAAAATATAATTTCGACTAGTTCGTGCGCGCCTTGGACTGACGCTCGAGTGTTTTGTATAGATCTGCCGCATTCACCAATACGGTGAAGATAAGACACAGCAGTAGTACGTAGTAAGCTGTGAAGAACATATTCTAGGATTAAGAATAAGAGCCTAAGGTTTATTCTGGAAGGCTACCCAGAGCAACGAAATAAACTCGAAGGATATGTCTCTGGGTCAAAATGCGAGTGCAGCTCCGGTTGAAACAGTTTTTGGAAACGACACGTCGCGTTCTGCCATGTGGCCTCACTTTATTCGCTTACCTTATTTGGTATATGACAAATCTTCCAGTAATTAGAGACTTTTTTTACTCAGAGAACTCTGAACGCGTGCATGATGAGTTCAGTAAGCAGAGAGCGGACAGTGTCCACCGCTGAAGGTTTCTTGTGCGGAGGAATAGCGGCATGCACTGCGGTCAGTTTAGCTTTTTCTACCTCACTTTCTGGTATGGACTGAACATTTCCTTTTAGGTCACTGTATCCAATCCTGCTGAAGTTGCTAAAACTCGTATGCAGTTGCAGGGAGAATTGACCAAAGGTGGTGGTCAAAAAGTGTATAAGAATGCTCTCGATGTGCTTGCGAAAACGTGGAGGAACGAGGGAATTCGTGGCTTGCAAAGAGGTCTTGGCCCAGCTGTACGTCTGTGCTATTCGCCTCATGCACTGTATGCTAATAACTCCGACTCTATAGTATACTTACCAGGCAAGGACCTTTCATCGTTATTCTTGGCTATGGTGAGGAGTTAGTACTGATAATAGCTTGTGTAGATTCTTCTCAATGGATCACGTTTAGGTATGTGACGTTCATTACAATCATACTGACTTGCGCCTCATTGCACCGTAGGTTTTTATGAGCCGTTCAGGCGAACATTGAACCGCTTCATAGGAAAATCTCCAACTGACCAACTGCCACTAACATCTATAACCGCCGGAGCCGTTAGTGGTGCAGTTGGAGGTAAGTCACCCACTCATTGCCTCGTGGTCTAGCAGCTGAAGGTGCTTCTTCCAAAGCTTCCCTTGGAAACCCACTTTTCCTTATCAAAGCCAGAATGCAGGTGAGATCTCTTGGTCACATTACAATGCCGAATAGTGATAGTATTTCCTTAGGCATATTCTCCGGCTCTCCCTGTAGGAACGCAGCACTATTACAAGAGCTCCTTTGATGCCCTGTCGACTATCTGGAAGGCTGAGAAATTCCGTGGACTAATTCGTGGTATAGATGCTGCTGTCCTTCGAACGACAATGGGATCATCGGTCAAGCTTTTAACTTTAAATGTGCTATACATTTTTAACAGTAGTTGTTCCTTAGGTCCAACTACCAACCTATCATTGGACAAAGAATCAGATTGTCTCGAATGGTCTTCTTCCTGCAAATAGTATATGGACGTTTCTAGCCAGTAGTTCTGTCTCAGGCATTTGCGTGGTATGTTCCCATTTATACGGTACACGTGAATTACATGAATTCATTTAATTCATAACTGGATTGTTCAGTGTATAGTCATGCAACCAGCTGATACAGTAAGTTCAATAGGTTTGGTATACGTGTCTTGGTCGCTGATATCTTTATAGACATTAACCCGGATGTATAATCAACCCACTAAGCGCCTACCTAATGGTAACTTAGTAGGAGCATTGTACAAGAATCCTATCGATTGCTTGTTGAAAACTGCCAAAGCGGAGGGTGTCCTTGGCTGGTACAAGGGTACGTTGAGTTGTTTCCATGAGAGTAGCAGCGTCTTGATAGCCCCTCAGGATCCACTGCTCATTTCCTGCGCATCGCTCCACATACGTGAGTATCATGAACAACATTGTAGTATTCCACTTAAAGAACCCCACCCCAGGATTATCACGCTAACTGCCAATGATATTATCACCAATCTCTACAAGGATCTGAAGTATGGTCGTGCGGACTCTGATGCTTAGACGATAGGATGGAGGTACTTATAAGCTTATCTTAGTACTTGTCTCGTTGATTCTGATTGAGTGAAGCAGCTCATTTTTATTTGTAGTGATAGACTATTCTACCTTGGGCAACATTTCAGTTCTCGACATAACTCCTATATAGTACATAACGATCACACTCGGATCCTGTTATCAACAATAATTAAACTATCCATGCACCCTCTTTCCTGTCCTATCCTCATCAACACTTCGCCTCCGTTTATTCATGTTCCTCCAACCCCCAGCAGACGATGGCATCGAGAAATATTTTTCTATTGGTGGTCTCAGCGATTGCTGGTGTTTCTGTAAATCGAATGGTGGTACAGTAGTAGAGCTGGAAGGCGGAACAGCACGACTTGTGGTTGGGCTCGGAGGATTGGAGTGGACGAGAGATTCGATAGTCATAGTTGAAGTACCCGGAGTGGCGGGTTCCTTTTGGGATGATTTTTTCTTATACTAAAGGCCAGGAAGTTCAGTATTACTACTATACTAGGAATGAGTGTCAAACCCACGGTTTCTAACTCAGGCTTTCCCCGCCATTTTGCAATAGCTTCGCAAAAGCGCAATGCTGCCCGCTCAACAGGCTCAGCTGGGTAGTGCCATGCTAAGTCTTCCATGTGTGTTGAAAGATCGGGAGTTAGTGAGGGTATCGCGTAGAACTAGAAATGCAAAGAGTTCAACTTTGTTATCTTATAGCCCACAGCACTGCGAGTCCAATCATTACTTACCCTCCTCAATCGCTCCTCCATTTCAGTTTCAAACTCTGCCTCCGCGCCCTCTCTTCGCAGGGGAACCCCAGTTCTCCTAGCCTGTAGCGCAGGGAACATTATTCTTGTCGATTCTTTCAAGTTTGGTAAATCATCGGGATCGAACCAATCCAACATATCGTCTTCGTCGTCCCATTCCCTTTCGAAGTGGTCATCGCTTGCCCCTATCCCTAACCCGACTGCCAGTAGACATTCCACAGCATCTAGTCCGCGCCAGCCTCCGGTCAGGTAGCCTTCAAGTGCAGCGCGAGTTAAAAGACCACCGAGAAGCATATACCACTCCCTAGAAGGCCTCAACGCAGTTGAGTAGATATCACGCCGCGACGGTACTGAAGCCGGCGATGATGGTGTAAGTATATGGTCCTCATTAATCGACATGCCACTACCTCCTGCACCATTACCCCGCCGCTCATCGTCACTCTCTCCTCCTGCGCGTTCTGAGCCGCCATATTCTTCTTCTCCTACCTCTCGTCCCAGTTCTAGAGCAACTAAAGCGGAAAGGCGTATGAATCGCGGTATGAGTTCTGATAATCGCGTGTTGCCTGCACCGGTGCCCGTTGCAAGTTCGGCTTCAGCCTCTCTGGAATTTAGCGAAGTCTTTGATTTACGGCGTAGGACGCTCCCGCGTACGCCAGGCCTAGCCAAACCAGAACCTATCCCGCTTCCGTCTTGCCAGCCTGTGATTCCACCACCACTCCCGCCCATACCCGTCATACTGCTTCCCCCACCCACCATGCTACCTATCATCATCCCACCTCTTCCTGCATTATTTGACCTTGAGTTCAAATCATTCGTTGGTGTTGCGCTAGATGGTGCTCGTACGCGCCCCGGGCCACCAGGAGCTCGGACGGGCTGTTTTGCTTCGACGCAGATTTCACAACCTGTGTGTAGATGTCGTGGACACCGCAGTCCCGGAGGAGAGTTTGCAGTGCTGGGATCAGCACCAGCTACGTAGAGTGCCCGGACACGCCCACTGGGTACAGGATGTGTTCGCCAATGCTGTATAGTACGTCAGTAGGTGCAATAACAATTGATGTATGAATGTCTGATATACTGCACGCACAGGGCTGAGAGGGGCACCTGAAAGAGGTGACGGCTGTGACGGCGAAGTCGACAACCTAAAATCATTTCTGGAAGGTAACGGTGCATTATATATCGAAGGAGCTGCAGAAATGGACGATAGAAGGACCAAAGAAGGCGGTAAACTGGCCGCAGGTGTCCCTGTTGATGACACGCTACTTCCCCTCATCGATGAGGGCGTGGTAGCCTTCTGCATGACTGGCGAGTTGCCTGGTGTCAACCCCCCGGAGTCTGATACGCTTCCACTCACGATGATCGGTGGTGGGTGATGGTGATGGCGGTAAGGCGGCGGAGGCGCCTGCCGCGCGAACAGGTCATTGATCACTGTCCCCAACGCCAAACGCAGCCGCACACCATTAGGCAGTGTGTGAGGATGGGATGGCGACAAATGATTGTGTGAATGAGGCTGCTTGGGAGACGTTGGTGGAGCAAGCGGATCATCATCCAAAATCGGATGTACGGGTGGAGGCTGGTCCAGCATAGATGTGACCACTTTCTCCAGTCCTTCAGCACGAAGACGCAAACTGCGCGCAAGGACCAACTCTTGTTTCTCAATTCTATCGTCCTCTTCGTCATTGTGCGTATGGCCTGGTCCACCTTCTCTGGCTTTGAGCGTCCCCACATCCTCGCCATCGCTTATAACTTCTTCCTCTTCCTCATAGATCTCTGGCCGTTCACGATGACTGTAGTGGGGTGACGACGGACCTCCTGTGCGATCTGTCATACCCAACTCTGCCCGAGCCTGGGCGAAGCGGGTACGGCCATGGACCCAGAGCATGTGGTCGATGATGAGTGTCCGTGTGGACTTCTCTCGAGGGGGTATAGAGTGTAGATGATGTGCATGCTTGTGTGCTGGGGCCTTAAATTTGCTGGGACCTGGCGTTGGTGGTACTACCGCTGCCATGGGGGTTGCGCTCGTCGTTTGACGCGATGAGGAAGGGGTTGTCGGGAACGATGCTGTGTTTGTTACACTGAATGACGGATATTGGCCTTGGTTGGGATTTGGTGGGATGATGGGACCATTCCCATTTTGCAAGGAAGAGGAATAAGACATGAATACGCCCGGAAATGTAATATGTTTTCTGGATTTTTGCGGTGTTTAGTCGTCCAAGTGGGCTGTAGAGGATATTTTATGATAATAAACAGAAGAACGAATGAACAAATGAGACTGAAAGTTACCCCACAGTGGTCGCAATATTAATTTTCGAAGTATACAAGCGTGTTCTAGCCTATAGCTAGCGCTGAGAATAGTGACAAACACGGTCGTAACACGGCTTTTCTCTTTACCACCATCTCGGAATCCTGTCAGTTGCCAGCCCGAAATCATATCTCTGGCTTCATTGTGGTCCACTTCGAAATGGATTTATTATCTGCGTGCTCATACGGCGTGAACGTCAAATGCGGTCCAAGATCAAGCTCTTGTGAGCATTACCTCGAAATACCACTACTACCAAATTACCCCTTCATTGGGCGCCAGCATTGAAAATTATTAAAAACAACCAGCTCCCTCTAGACATTCCTCGTTGCTTTCACCAATAAGTAGGTGTCAGCAGAAGAGTATTGATTCCTGTGAAACCATGAAAATAGTTTTTTGTCCCTGAAGACATCTCTCGGTGTTGCTGTATCGGCCTTCACGCGTAGTCCGAAAGCGTTGCACACCTACAATGACGTCGTGTTTCGAATAAGTAGTAAACCAACTGGAATAACGCATATAGTGAGTACTCCATGTCTGGTTTCTATGACACTGTACCGCTTTCGGCGTACTTTGCTGTTAATGTTCTCGAGTCTTTTCTCTCGTGTTACAAGCACTTCTACTACCAATTTTTTTCGCTTTCCAGTGGCGTCGGCTTTTAAGGTCCAAACTAAAACGTGTTACAGCTCGTAAGATACTTGCCCTGTGCTTGTTATCTCCTGTAAATCGGAAGCAGCATTTCCTGTTGCTCTCATAGCCAATCTCAATGTTGCAAGTGTTGCAAGGTTTTAGTTTAATCATGCCATGCATTCATTTGTTAAACATCCGCCCACAAACAGGAGCTCTGACGTCCCAGTACACCCCTATAGCAAAGTCCTCTCGAAATTTCATACTGAAACACGTGTTAGATCCATGCAGGAAATTGGTAAGTCGTCCTACTTATTCCAACATAACTTGGTTATTATGCGTGTGGCGTCTTCACAAAGCAAATATTTGTAGCTTTTTAATCCACGGTGTACATGACTATCAACGCGAGCTGAAGAGGGCATCAGCAGAAAGTTATCCACGGACTGCAGATAAGCCCTCCGCCTTCGCTTTTACAGTGCGAGGGCAGATCAACTGTACCCAGAAAATTCTCACCAAATCATGTATCTGTCCCACTCGTGTTTATTCTTGCTCCCCATGCAGGTATCTTTTATCGCTTCCAGTGCTTCACCCAGCTTCTTTGGTTCTTTCCATTGCACCCATATCTTCGCAGATGCCCTCGACTCGGCGAAACATCTACACGTACCTTCTCTGGTTCTTTCACATTGCACCCATCCCTTCTCGAATGCCCTAGAGTCGGCGCAATCTCTCTCACCTTTTTTGGAGCCTTTCGAGAAACAGTAGACGTGATGATAACTTCGTGTGACCAGTTTCAAGCACAGTCGCATGAAGCGAGTATGTCAACTAGACTCCTCGGGCTTCTATTCCATTGCGCGGTTCCCGAGAGTGTTATCATCACGATGCGAAATGACAAAAAATCCTAGGCTACACCAATAACACAACACATATGATGCGTTAGCTCCGGATCTCCATGTCTTATCTGTGGCTCTTCGCTAGATCATCGCAAATTTCGTGTGCTTGAGGCGGTGCCTCGCATCGCGCTGTGCATTTGAGTGCAGCGGTCACGATGCAATTGCGATGTTCGTTCAATATATCTTCAAGCGACATAGTGTCATCGCTGCACCCATTCATGGTGAGATGATCGGTTATCCGATGGTGTGTTATGGCCCTTAGGTCCGTATTTTGTTGGCATAGCCTTGCATATAATTCTCACATCACACCTCCCATCCTTTCCCCGTAAAGCCTTGAATATCTATCTCAAGATCCCTCTCAGAAAGGACCGAGCACCGCAATTTCAGTGATATTATACTAGATGTGGATGGTTATGACATTTCCAATTTGCTATGTGCGAGCCAACATGAAGTCCATTTTCCCTACCGTATTTTCTTTCAGGGCAGAACGTTCATACTATCTGTACGCAGGATGTTGCTTGTCGTATTTTTGTCACACTAATGCCTTTTTTCCGACACGACTTCAAGGTGTTCCAAGGCATACAGTGGTAAACCTGGAGAAGAACCCTCCACCCCAGTAGAAAATACTTGGAAACAGCATTTATGAGGCAATTTGCATCGTGAGACTATTGTATACAGTACGATAGGTTTACCGTGCAAGTTGTCTTTGGCTCTTCCATTTCCATAGTGCGAGGGCCGTACTTTTTGGCTTCTGTGTATATTATATTATACAGGATGACTGTCACAACTTCTGATTTTACACGATGACATTGGCACGTCAGAGTCCGGTTTGGGGTTTAAAAGTAGTCTGGTAGATGAGGGGAGACGAAAATAACGGGCAGGTCAGGCTTGGGTTCATTACTCTGTTGCGCATCTCTCCAGGAACTTTTGATCAAAACACGACTTGAACCGATACCTTTGAGCGTACTGGTGTTTTGACTTTCCTCGCCGAGAGCTAGCAGGTATTAACTAACACTCTAGCAGTGGCTCGTTTGCTGATGAAATTTTATATAGTCCAAAGAGATTCACACAGCCACTGCGCTGACTTCTCACAGCCTTAAATCCTCTCCCGTCTCTTCGCGGCAGAAGCCCATGTTGACGAACATCGTGATACCGTCTGGTGAGGAATGATGAATATATTCTGTTGTATACTTAGCTTATCTGCGGTCTATGATTTTTCTGTCAGCAAGATGTTGTGATCCAAAGTCTTGATCCATGTTCACCCCATCTATTTTGAAGAGGGGTCACATCAAACAGAGTTCAATCAGCTTACTCGTGAAACAACCATCTTGGGCTAATTTTATTGAATACGCTCGAATACGAAATTACTTTCCTGAAAAGATGGACCGTCTTCGACGCGATTAGCCTTCTCAGCCTACCTTTATTGCATCGTCATCATTGTGGTTCATTCTGTCCTTCACGGCAACGTCCGGTAACATCGTTGAAGAGTTTCATACCCTTTCCGTTCCTGCATTCCACCCCTGCCCAGAGTGGTCTGTACTATTTTCGTAACTTTTGCCCTTCGACTCTCTGGTTCAAATAACACGTGTTTGACGTCGTGCCTACCAGGAGGCTCGGAAGCAAATGCTATGTGACCGTATCCTAAGCGTTTTCACAAAGTTTTCGGGGCCATCAAGATGCATCAGCGCTCATGAGCCAGTTTGATTTCTACTATTGGGGTGTTTGTATTGATTCTTACCTTCTATTCAGGATGTACTCCCACGTTCTGAATAAGTTTTACAACGTGTTTTTCGGGTGCAATGTGATCACTGCACTTTGTAGTATGTGATACTTGATCAATTAAAGTGAGTAATCTCGAACTTTGACCACTTTCAGACAAAAATATGCTTACGATGGGCGCCGTGCACCTAGGTCCAGGTATCCAAGGTCCATCGATCTCTCCCATTTGTGTATTGGCCAAATAACTCCCATAATCATAAACTAGTGCTATTCTCAATAAAGAGGATTATTTTGAAATCACACCAGTATGTATTCGCTTGAAAAAGCTTATCTAACGTCCAGGTCCGAGGACATCATTGAAAAATCAAGCAAAATCCCTCAGGTCAAACGAGGCCAAATCATTTCAGAACCAAGAACCTGGTGTGAAGGAAACTCGCAAACTCGACTCGGAAGCAGTGAACTCGAAGATCAGTCCGGTAAGATCCTTTCGGGTTCTTCACTGAATGCCGGGCGCCAAATGTACTCAGATCCTTCACTTGCTAGAATAGTTCGTCGTCTTCGCGAGGGTATGCGATTCGATCAGTAAACGCCTAGCCACTGTTCTGCTCCGTCAAATGTATTACTGCAGGCGCCCTTAACTAGCCGCTCCATTGCATTTTCCGTATCACCAAAGGATCACCGTTCATATCGTGGTGAAATATGAAACACATCGCCTTTGAGTACAGCCAATGGGATTAACAATAATTGATCGTACACTTTCTCCTAGTATATGTACATTGGTCCGTGCAGATTGGCTTTATATTAATTATATTGATTTCTCATACCTCTGATCATTCGTTATGCAGGGTTCCAATTCGTTTGATCAGGTCTTTCCGCCTTTCAGGACACGAATGGATTTCCCATAGCGTTAGGTAGCATCAATACAACTTTCAACTTTCATCAATGCCAACCGAAAATTCATCACGTTTCCCCCTTTTTTGTGACTGGATCTAACAAAGCTCAGAGATGTGCACAGCTAAAGGGATAAGGCTGCACAGCAACCTTTGGCTTAGCACACACATAATCTAATCCATGTCTTCACCCACATATTTTCTTTAGCGCGCGCCTTGACATGGAAGTCGATTTTTGAAGAATTAATTTCGCAAGATTTATGATGTGGAAGAGGAACTGCGTCAGATGACATAGTTGGCATCGCCTGTCATGATGCACCCGTCGATCGAAGTGACAGCTCTCCAAAGATCCAATGATGTCTGCTCTCAGCGTGATGTAGCAGGCCTATGGAGGTAAATTTTGTTGGTTGCCGCCTGTCTTCGTTCGGGTACGTTTGGGGCACAGAATAATACCGCGATACGTTCACCTCCAAAGGTGTGGAGTGCTACACCTTCATGGATAGTATCAGTACAGTACGGTCGATCCGGTGACCAAATTTGCAGGCCATGTGCAGCATCATCATCTGGGCTTAGGCTATACGGTGTAAGCCTTGATTTTGGCGCCTGTTAGTATACGCTGATGTGTGTTTTGTCAAGTGATATTTCATTGCACTGGTCCTCTGCACTTAAGCTGTCGTAGCCGCACAACGTCCCATATCATTTCCCAGGTGGCAGGTAATCGTTGTCGTCGGCGCGTTCCAGGCATTGCTGCTGCGGGGCAGCACAGGCCTCGATAGTATCAACTTCACGTTGATTGCTTAAGCTACCTGAGCGATCACCAATCATGGCCATCTTCTCGATGCTGATGCCTCTGTCCGCAGAGGGTGGGTTTCCGCTCCGCTTCAACTATATACCTGTCACCACTGGCGGCAGGAGATACAGGTTCTCTTGCACTCCACTAGACAGCACATATCACCATCAATTCAAGTTGGATCAGGCAAATATACACAGAGTGCTGCGTCTTTGATTTTGATTTTTTTCCCACTCAAATCTCTTGGAGACGTTCACAGAACGGTTTCGTTTTTCCGGTTACATGATGTGGCGAGAATGGTTAGCATCCCAACCAATCAACTTGGTGACTAAAAAAACAAGTTATCTCCATCGGTTCAACCCTCTCGAGTTTAACGAGGCAAGTCACCACATAGTGACATTTTATCATGATGACAGTGGATATCCTTTCTACTCAGATGTAGATTATTTTGGCAATGAACTACACATGCATCATTTTTGACAGGAGCGCGGTTGTAATGGCGGTATATGCCGTTCCCGAGCTCAGCGGCGCTAGTACTGACGAGTTTAACTAAAATTTGCACTACTTTTCCCCCCACCTCGACGGTCAGCCACTGCAAGCGAAATGTATCGCTTATGTTGGAAGTATCATATGGGCATCGTTTCATCTCCAAGGGCAGGGCATGACGAACTGGCTACTTTTATACGGTTATACGCACTGACAGTCCTGAACTCGGCAATTCGCTTCAACCTCAGTATTTGGTGCCAAACCATAGAACGGTCAAAATATTGGATGACATAGCTTCAATACGACTCGGTATCATTATATGAAGAGGAAGGTACCAGATGCACCAAAATCGCGAACGGCGCTAGGTCGTTGCTTGAAGACTTTGTCTATATGCCAGTGATATATCTTCTTGCTCACAGCTACAAAGGTTGCCTAGACGGAGCCATATCTTATCACGCTCAGCATATATTGATCAATTACCCCAGATGCATAAGTAAGCCTTTCAATTCCTTTACATGTACGTCTATGTCGGCGCTGACAGAGATGTCGAGTATCAGTTAGCTATCATCACCTGTGAATGGTGGCTAAATCATATCTATAATCTCGTTATAGATAGGAACGCGCCCACCTAATTTCAACTCAGGAGAGGGCCTAGTGTCTTTTACCTTTACCCCGTAGTACCAGGAACCACTAGCTTTAAGAAGCGCATATGGACAACCTTACGTCGTTATCCATGCGGTAGTAACATCCATATGCTCTTCCCAACCAAAACAAGTTCCATGGGCGGCATGATAAGAAGACAAAGTCATCTGACGGGGAATTCCACGCGCGCATATATTTGCTGCGTTATCCATTCTTCGCTTCCGCGTTCATTATTGCCTATCTGCATTATTGGGTTCTCGAAATTCGATACGACATGAAGCAGTTGACGATGAAATTGCCTTTCTATATAGGCAGGCTTCCGGACTTGCCCCAAACCTGTGAAACGTTCGGAGACGCCACGACACATAGCCTTACTACGGTCGAACAGGCTACTGGAACTTTGGCCGTCCAAAAGGTGGTCATTTATCCTGTTTGCCACTATCAGAAGGCGTGGCAGCTGTCATATCCTATTAAACGTCAAGCGACAAGTTTTTTTTCCCGGAGAGCCCCGTTGAGTTGTCAGCAAAACGCAGAACATCTGCTTTATAACGATTACATCGGGTGCCTCGCTTAATACGATTCTGGAGATAATCGTAGGTATCTAGTAAGGCAGCTCCTTACCTTCGTAAGGAGACGGAGGTTCTTATGGTCACATATGATCTTCTTGTTAGCAATCCTGCATCATGCCAGCGGCTACTCATGTGCTCGCTTACCGGTGTTGCATCTCCTTTACATTGAAACCTCGACCAATCTCCCGCCCCCCAAAGCATCGCCTTTCCTTCATTTAAACTAGCCTAGTCTTATTGATCTCCGAGCCAACCGCCCATAATCATCGGCGCGCATACAAATCCCGTCTACCCGCGCACTGCCCATGTGTCCACAAGCCTATCAGTACCGCTCCTTGTCCGTTCTCTCCATTCTGATTAGCCTGTAGTTTTAACCTCTACATTCCTGCCTTTGCTTGGTGCGCCGAGGCCATCATTCTTCCAGCATGATCGTCGGCTCAGGCCGAGGAACATTGCTGTTTCGCGGTTGGGCGCCTGTGTCATCGGACGGAAGGGGCTAAATTGTTTGCCTGGACAAGGAGCTTGATCTAAGCGCTGGACACGGGGTATAGAAGACTTTCGCCCCATTCCGGTCAATTGGAAACTTTAGCTTGCGGCCTTACCCACTGGTACCCACTCCCCACCCTCCGACAAGATCGCATTGGCCATTTGAGGTTGGCCTGCCAACCTCGACCTCGTTCTCAACCACATCACGCCCTCGTAGTCTCAGGGCATCAGGGGATATGTCAATGCATGAAAACATAAAAGAGCTCCTAGCATAGCCTCTTGCACGCCGACCGGTCTATTAATGGGCATATCAGTGCTTGCAATGTAATATACAGCCTCAATGCCGTTGAGTGTAGTACTTGTAAGGAGCAAAGCAAGCTGTTTTTCATACGTCAGATCTGGCATCCATTTTCCTCCAACGTCAATCTCGCTCCTACAGCACGCCATCATGGAAATCTGAAGACCCTTATCGGACAGTCCTGTCCGGATCACAATGCTATGCCAACCACCCCCAACTCCCCCGAGTCTTCCTCGCTAGTACTAAGCTTGTCAGTAATCACAACAGCCAATGTGCAGCACGAGCACACACATCGGATAATGGGGCGACCCCCTCTTGAACTCTGCGACCTCGCTCGCGTAGCAAATGGAAGTATGACATCCCGCCAATCACGTTCGCATCTTTCGTGTCGGGTGTCAAGGCCGTGCCACTTTCGATCCGTGCACGCCATCATGGAAAGGACGCACCCTATTCTCGCTGGCCCGGCGGGTCCCTTTGGGTCCCTTTACAGGCTAAATGACAGCACTCGAGTATGGAGGCAGTGCCTAGTAATACATTTGCAGCAGCAGCGTCTCCTCCTCCTCGCCCGCGTTCCGCACTCGAAAGGTTGACGTCCCCCACCCACGATCTGTGCGTCATGTCAACTGTTATCCTTCAAGCCATCCGTCGTAGCTCTCACTCGAACTCCGCAGCAGCAGGTCCTACGGCCGTAAGTGGAGACACCGCAGGGCTCCTACAAAGATCCCCTTAGTAGGGAAGGCAACGCGATGCCTTTGATTACGTTATCCCACTTAGCCCAAGTACCAAATTAACAAGTCTACAGCAGCCAAGGGGGGGGGGGGGCCATCCACCTCCGATCACTCATCAAAACCTCGCAATGATATCAGTCAGCTGAAGTGACTCATCGCGCCTCAACCTGCCACCCCCAAACGTGCACGAGAAACATCACCCACTCCATCTCCTTTTCGGCATCTCTCTGATTCTGCTACGCGAACGAGAGAGAGAGAACTTGAAGGAGCTCCCCATCATGCATCATGGCCGGCACGGATCTAGAGTCTGCGTTGTGTGTGCTCGAGTATTCCTGAGAGGTCCTTTTTGTGACAGCTTTGTACATTGTTACTTGTTCTTGTCTCAGAGCGCTACAGCAGCCAAGGCCCCATCGTGAGCCATTCGATCGCAAAAAATAAATGGAAATTCTTAATAATGAGGAACATAGTGATATAAACTTGACACTAGCAGTTTCAACCGCTTGACACCATCTATCCGGTAAAAATGCGCCTCGCGTCCTACTCCGTGACTGAGAAGGATACGGGTGCGAGGGTTGATGATTGGGTCGCTTATTTCACATTCGCCATTGGCAGTACGTCGTAGTCCACGGTCTCGACGATCCGATCTGTCTGATCAGTGATCACACCAGTGTATCGATGACCTTGTCGGCGTCACCTACAACCGATCACGATGTGTGTCCCATTCTGTCGTTTGGTGCAAAAACGTGGAGGCATCGACGACGACGGACGACGTCCCTTGATTTTCCTTTTCCCCTCGTGTTTTCGCGGCTGGTTGTGAACAAACGCGATCAAGGACATCCACGAATGGGTGATCACGTGAAAGATGGGGCTTCGTCTTGGGTGAAATTTCAAGAGTGGGTTTGAAAGACTGAGACGATCACATCAAAAGGGTTCCGCGACGCACGGCGATACCGATTTACTTTGCTTTCAAATACCCTCCCCTCCCCTCCCCTCCCTTTCCCTCAGACCTCAGTGCTCACCCCCCTATTCCGCACAGCCCAAAAGTCAACGAGAGCCAGATGGGCGAGTCCAAAGTGGTTGAATGAAGCCTGGGAGAGCGATGGTGGATGGTGATGCGAACGCGGCGTACGTACGGGTGCCTTGCAATAACACTCCCTCGGTGGCCGGATTCAAAGAGGGCATCACTTTTGCGACGAGATCAATTCCAGTTTTTGATCTCTTGGTAGATTTCAAATAAGATTAAAACGGGGGTGAGGCAAGGGCAGTGCACGCCGCAAAGCCGCAAACGCTCACTCGTCCCTTCAAGCCCTCTCCCTCAGACTTTGTTCCCTCCCCAAGCTTCAAGGGCTTTTTTCGTGCGCCGTTCTCCGTCGACAGCCTCCGGTCCCTCAGGCCTCAAGATCTAGAATCAGTCTCACGCACGCATCAAGTCTAAGATTTCGACATTCGGATGTTGCGGCGGTTTCTGAAAGGAGGGAGAAAACTCTGAGAGGCCCTGGCGACGAGTGGCCGCGGGATGCGTTTCCCGTTTCTCCCATTTTCCGTTTCCCGTTTCGTTTCCCCGTTTCCCGTTTCCCGTTTTCCCGTTTCCCGTTTCCCCCCCTCCCGTTCCTAGCTTCTTTCAGTCAACTTTGCCTTTGCCCGCTTCCCGCTTCCGGGGGTTGGTTCCAAGACTGACTGACAGACTGCCAGGCGCCGTGACTCGCGCAACGCACAAATGACTCGTCCGTGCCCAAAGTGGGCCGCGCAGCCTTGCGGTATGAGTATGAGTGATCGAGTCGGAGCGTCTTTGAATGAGTGACCGAGTGACTCGTCCTGTCCGCACGAGTCCCCCAAGTCCCCAATTCCAAGATGGATGCGGATATGGCATGGCTTGATTACGTAGAACAAACAGATACGCAGATACACGGAATAAAATCATCTGTAACACGACACGACTTGACTGCAAGAAAAGAAAAAAACAACCCGTACATTATGACCATAAAAGCACCCCCAATCGATTCTTGAACACAACGACAAGCACGACCCACGACCACCAAAAAATTAAAAAAATTCCAGATTTTCCATTTCTTTTTCACAACGACGGACAGGAGAGAGATGACATAAATAACAAGACGCAGAAAAATGAAAGAGGCAAGGGTGAGAGTTAAAGAGGGAGAGAAAGAGATTTAGCAGACATACGTGATAACAAGTATATGGGGGAGAAACAACAAAAAGTGAGAGACTACTGTCACACCCGCACGTACACCAACGACACAAACGTCGCCAAAACGCAAAAAGTAAAAACAAAAAAAGCTTCTGTTAAAACGCTTCGCTCCGCTGCGTGCTGCGTACGTGAGAGGAACGGAAAGAAAGGAAAGAAAAAGGGGAAAAAACATCTAGTACGACTAGTGATACTAATACGATGTACGTTTGGACTTTGCTACGCTACAGGACAAGAGGGAGATTTTTCATAATTAAGATACGGGACACAAACAAACAAGAAGCAGAGAGAAAGAAAGGGCGATATCTAGCGCCATTAATACGATTTCCGAGCACGACGGCGGAGCAAGAAAGTGAGAAAAGGAAATGTCTGTGGTAGATATACGTATCCGAGACTGGACGAGGGGATAGAATTATGCGCGAGAACCCATTAGTAGAATCGTCGTGGAATTCATAATGTGCATGCAAGCAGGGTGAGGGGATATTAGCAAAGAGGAGTAGGCTGTGAGGAGGCGTCTATCGGTGCGGAACATAATGACGGGCGTCGTTCGACGACGACGGCGATAACTGACGTCGACGACTAGACCATGACGCTCATCCCAGGCCACCCATCCTCCGTCTTCGTCACCGGCCCACGCCCACTCGGATCCCTCGAAGCGTCCAAAATCCGCTGACACTCCGCGCCTCCCTCCGATCGCACTACCCCACCATCAGTCTCGCTCACAAGGAAAGGAAAGAAAGACTCACGATGCCTGTTGAGCGCATCCATCCGCGCAAACGTCTTTGAGCAGCCCTCACACGTAAACGGCCTATAGTTGCTGTGGAGCTGCTCGTGCCGCTTGCAATCGTGCTGCCTCGCAAAGCCCTTGCCGCACCCCGGCCACTTGCACTGGAACGGCCGCTCCTCGTTGTGGCTCCTCATATGGCCCTTGAGGTTGAAGCTCCTCGTAAACGTGCTCCCGCACCCGGGTACGGGGCACAAAAAGTTGGCGTCCTGCTTGCGACGACGGTGGCTGGCGTCCGCCGTCCGGCCGCTCGTCACCGTCTGCTTCGTCACCTGCACGTTCGCCGGCCCACCGCCGACGGCGGGGTTGGCGAGGGCGGTCGAGTTCTGGAGCGGGGAAGAGTGCATGCCGCCGTTGCGACCCGAGAGCTGGACGCTGGTCAGCTCGAGCTCGTCGTACCTCACGCGCGGACTGGCATTCGGGCTCGGGTAGGGACTTGCCCTGTTGGAGCTGAGGCCGCTCCACGAGCCGTCTTCGCCGCCGACGCCCCTCAGTCCGCCGCCCCTCGAGCCGGACGAGGCCCTGCGCGAGTGGCCGCGGATGGAC